TACAAATAGTTTCCTTGTTTTTTTCCTTTCTTTTTCTTGTTATTGGTAGAGAAGGTGGGAAGGGAATGGGGCGGATGGGACAGAGGTGGACTGTTGGTGTGAATAGAGGGTAGTAGAACTTTTAATTGATATTTGAGTGCCCAGTCAGCATTTTTTTGTTTTTTTTTCTTCCCAGCGTTCATCTTTGGATAATTTCAAGAGTAGCAAAATACGTCAACGCCCTCTCCGGATGGATGAGAAAGTAAAAGGGTACGGGCCGTGGGATGGTCTTGATGAGTATGAGCAGTCTGTACTTGTTGTCATCCCAGCGAGAAATTGAGCAAGAGGATGATGAACAAGGGCGAGCCACGGAAAGAAGGGACAAACACCGACTTCATCCCGAAGATGCTTGCTTGCTTACTTGCCTTTTCTCATACCCCAACTCCTAGCCTCCAAACAACTCCATTTCACACATACACCAACACCTTCCAAATCAACCTTCCCCTTCCCCCTCCTTCCTCCTCCTAAACCTCAACTTATTCCCCTTATCCAACGCCTCCGTCTCGCCAAACAAAATCTCCAACGATAAATCACAATCGCTCACCTACTTCTCAATCGTACTTGAGCAGGAAATGGAACAGCGCAATCTCCATCTCGTGCGCGGCGAAAAACCGCTCGGGACAGCCTTGTACACCCGTGGCCGAAGGAGAGATTATCTGGGTCGGTGGATAACGAAATGGGCTTGGCTGGCTTTGGTGGGGTTGGGGTCGAGACGCATGCGGTAGTTAGCGATAGATGTCGTTATTTGTTTTGGGTTGGGGTAGATGGCTGGGTCGGACATGTGGTAGCCGTCTACGGCGATTTGTTGGCCTTTGAGTATGACGGTGCCGTCGGAGAGAATGACGGTGCGTTTGGCTTTGCGGTGCATTGTTACTGTTTGGTTTGAATGTTAGATTTGTCATTTTTATAATTGTTGTTCTTCTTTGTTCTCTCTCTCTCTCTCTCTCTCTCTCTCTCTCTCTCTCTCTCTCTCTCTCGCCATTTTCCAAGAAAAAGATAAAAGACGGGTTTTTTCGCAACTTACAATACGCAGCGGGCCTGTACCTCTGCGACTCCTTCAAGCAGCTATCCATCAATTTCAAATGTGCTAGCGCCCCCTTTGTTAACCCCTCACTGCTCAACACCCGCACGATCTCTTCCCGAAGCGCATCTACAAATTTCGGCTCACTCCCTAATAGCGTCAGGGCATGCGTCAGCAGCTCACTTGTCGTATGTATCGCGACAAACGACAGCGCAGTCTGAAAAAGCGCTGCATCGTAGTTCGTGCCCTTGCTTTCCTGCTCGTACCAGTCAATCATGTCGTTGAAAACGGGTTCGGGCTGCGCGTTCCGTCTAGCCTCTTCCTTTAGCGCTTGGCGTTGGGTCAATAATGGGGTCAGGATCTCGCGACATCGGTTTCCGTTTTCACGTACGGTTTTGGCTTCCGAGGAAAGGTAGGGGACGAGGTATTTTAGATACGGAGGGAGTGCTGCCATTTTGAGAGTCATGATGAAACATGTTGCCTAGGATTCTTTTACATTAGTCTGGTGGTAATATCTGACTTGTTTCATCCTTTTCGAATACAATATTCTTCTTGAAAATGGAAATCGACTGACGGTGTAGGCTTTTGAGGCAGAGAGCCAGTCTTCGTTGCGGCACATGGTGTCGCCGAGGAAGATTCTGGTGGACAGACGGGCGGTGAGTTGGAGGATGGAGTCTGCAATGACTGTTTCTTTCCATTCTGCGAGCGTGGTTAATTGGTGCAGAGAAGAATGGTGGATGCATCGTACCAGGATCTTTACCAAATATCACATCGCACGCATAAGTGGCTTCTTCTGAGAGGGGCTTTGTCAATGTGTCTGAAGAAATTCATTAGCTCTGTATGATATACTCGATTGCTTGATCTGATTACTCAAGTATTTGGTGAGCTGTTTCATCACAACGGTCTGTACTAGTCTTTTCTCGTGTAGCAGGACGGCAAACATTTCGAAGCCGTGCACATTTCCGGAAAACATCTAACGCGTGATAAGTTGAGTACGACGTATGAACTGTTTTAGAAGCATACCCTGACTACTGCTTCAGCGAAGCTAAGATCCATTGAGTTGCGAATCGTAGCCGTATACTCCGGAGGTAAGATGAGACATTCGCCGGTATCAGTCATCAACTTGTAAAGCTGCTTGCCATAGCGCCTCCTGGCTTCGCTCATTATGGCCCCCCCATTCTGTTGGAATTCCAGTCGTTTGAAAAGTGCAGTCTGATACCAACGTGGAGAATTGGCTAGAGGTGGTTTTGATATACCGCTGGTCACGATAACAGCCGACAGTACAACCATGATGCCCAGAGAAATTGTCATCATCGCTGGCAAAGACTGTACAAGTTCGTCTAACGACTGCTCTGATGGAACATGAGTAATTCTCGATGGTCCAGGAATCGACATATTGAAGATATCGTGGTTGAATGGATGGTTGGAATACCTGGTGTACACAAGAGCTCCATTCTTATAGCGAATTCTTCATCAACGCAACCTCAACATCGGGTTCTCGTCTAGGTACATCTTCCGTGCTAAGCGCATCGATAATCCCTTTGTCATCTGTACCCAGTCGTGTGGCTACATTTGACGTTGTATCGACCCAGCGATCAACCACAGTCCACGGATAGCAAAAGCTCCTTCTTCCGAATGCAACCCTATATCTTTCAAGGGCTCTCGTTGGGCCTTGGCACCATATGCATTGCATAAGACGGATGCAATGGCATCCCACGTTTAGAGAGGCCAGGTGCCTAAGCTCGAAACAACCAACCACAACCGCTCCCAACCCCTCAAATCCCTCGCCAAACCAGTCTCCTCTGGAATGGTAGCAAAACCCCAAGTATAAGACGCATGAGTGCCGTAGAACAACCCCCCCTGCCCACCTGACCCGCTTTACGCTCTGACCAGGCGAGCAGGAGATTCTTCTCCTATCGACACTAAAACCTCCGAGTAACAACGACATTTTCCAAGCCCTCCAAATGACGTCAGAGGCGCAGAGTCCTGATTACTTGCAACATCCCCTATTGGCATGGCAGAGACAAGGCCAGGAGCAGAAAGCTTGAGGTTGCTTGTTGAAGTCAACTCCGCCTCTTTGCCATAGCCTTGCGGAACGGGCCGACGGCTCGGGAGTTGCTCCTCGAAGCCAAGTCTGCCTACTCCCGTGTTTGTTGATACAACATCATCCGCCATCAGGTTCTCATCTGGGGTTCATCCTTTTACCATTGTGACTCGATATTTGTTTGCATTAATAACTCGTAATATTCTGCTCAACTTTTCCACCATCGTAACCAACTAATAGCATGTACAAAAGAAAAACAGCTGGGGTATCATCGAAAAACACTCGCTTTTAGAGAGAAAAAAACCGCAAAGACCCTCGTGTGGTCATGTCATAAAAAGTTGTCGTCAAAGTCGGACCCTTCGTCTTCGCCCACATACTTCTCTTAATCATCAGTTCGTGACCCGATACCTTCTCTTTCACGACCAACCAGTAGTAAGTACTACACCCCCCTCTCGCCCGACAAAACAACAACATCAAACTCCTCATCCAAGCTCTCCTCTCCCTCAGCACCAGCACCACCATCACCCAGACACTTCATCTCGTCATCGCGATACCGCCCGCCCACAAAATCCCAGCCATCCCCCTCAAGACGAGTCCGCAGACGTTCCAAATTACTATTTGCTGCACGGCGGAAAAAGCTCCCAGCCCACTTATTCGGTCCCTGAGGTGCTGCTGGCGGTTGGGGTGCTGTTGACGACGATTGCGATGCCGATGGCGATAGGGTGCCCTGGCTACTTGATTCCGTCTCCGTCTCCTCGCCTTCCTCCCAGTCATCGAGTTCGGGTAAGATCCACAGATCGGATTCTGAGCTCTGTCCCGACGCCGCCATGTTCAGGTTCAAGCACGTGCTCTGGTGAATGGACATGTTGTATTCTCTTTTGTTAGACTGTTGGACTTGCGGAAGCCAGGTTGGAGGTGCGTTGTGACGGTTGAGTGAGATGGTGGTTTTTCTGGCGAGATTTTGGTTGGCGCTGGTGGTGATGGGTTTTCTTTTCTTGGAAGAGTTTGGGGAAGTGGCGCGTGACTGGTGGGGTGAGATGGGAAAGTGACCATATATGGCGTTGCTAAGATCGTAGCTATAATCTTCGTCGTCATGCGCCGCGGCGCTTTGTCGCGCGTTGTTGGCCATGTTCCTTGGTGGAGGTGGAGACAGGTGTTCAGATTCTGCTCAGCTGACGGAGGTGCAGACTTGATGTTGGTGTTGGAGCTTGCCACTTTGTAGCCGAGGAACGAAGCCACAGGTGAAATTTTCTCGCTGCAGACGGATCTGGAAGGTGGGTCTCTCTCCGCTAGAAACTAGAAACGCGCGGGGTGAAGGTGTGCGGGTGTTGTTGAGGTGGAAGTGCGGCTGCCTGTTGGCGGCGCTCTGGACGTGATCTGATGACGTTGCGAGCTGGTGACGCCCCAGGCTGTGCTAACTTGTCTTGTTTCAGTCGGGGTCTATTTTGAGTTTGCAAAACGGAAGGTACGAGCAAGATGTTGAGTGAGAGAAAGGGCCAGAGGTGAAATGCAATATAGAGAAAGGAAGAAGAGAGAGAGTTGGAGGGTCAAGGTGAGCAGAAGCGACTGGCTGCGGGTGGTTGAGAATGGGGGAAAGTGAAGCTGCAGTTAGTGACTGGTTAGCAGCAGTGACTTGTTAGCAGCGGCAAATTGTTAGCAGCAGCGACTTGTGTGCAGCGAGCAAATGTGGACTTGACACGGCATGTTGTCGACGTTGTGTCGAATTTGGGATGGTGTTGTCGGTGTCGTGGTTGTGTGTGCGCCGAGAGGGAGGTGGGTACACACGGACCACCTGACGTGTGATGTCGGTTGAGCTCCAAATCTTCATGGCCTTGGTCAACATCGACGACCATCACCAACCCCTCAAACATCCACCATCTCCCGGGCCAGCCCACCATGCTGCGCGCCTCTATCCTAAGGGCCCGTCCAGCTGCCCGCCCATTGGTCCGCGCCGCCCGCCCGCAATGGCACGTCGCCCAACGCTTCTACGCAGACGATAAGAAGAACCTGGGCGAGACGGCCGTCCCCAACCCGGCACCCACCACATCGCCCTCCAACCCGGCCCCCGTCGGCGAGGGCTCCATCCAGGCCTCGGACGTGCCCAAAGCACCGCCCGCCCCCGACAGCTCCGTGGCTGCTGCAGCCTCTCGCGATGCGCCCGCCATATCGCCAAAGACAACACCGCCCACCGGCCCCGGATCGTCGAGCATAGCCCCCGACCCAATCCAGCCCAAGCCCAAGAAGAAGCGACGCATCTTCCGCAAGCTCCTTCTCTGGCTCACCGTCCTCTCTGGTCTTGGTTATGCCGGCGGTGTCTGGTACTCGCTCGTCTCGGACAACTTCCACGACTTCTTCACCGAATACATTCCCTATGGAGAGGATGCCGTTGCATACTTTGAGGAGCGCGAGTTCAGGCGACGATTCCCCGGCCGCGCTGGAGAACCGAGACTGCACCCTCAGATCTCGGGCGAGAACAAGGTCACTATCCCTGGACGGAGCGGCTTGACGGCGCGCCCAGCCCAGGAGAACAAGAGCGACCTGGGCTCCAAGGGCCCCCATCTGAGCGCTGTCGACGCCAACAAGAAGCCCGACAACACCGAGTCGAGCGGTCAACAGCCCAAGGTCTCCTCCGGCGCACCTTCACCCGCGCCGTCCAAGACAGAAGAGAAGAAGGCCGCCCCGGTCAAGGAGGTCGTCAAGAAGGAGACTCCAGCCAAGCCCATCTCCCAGCTAGACCACCTCAGCGTCCCCTCCGCCACCGAGCCCGTTGTCCAAGACGTTGTCAAGATCGTCAACGACATCATCACCGTCATCAACGCCGACAACGCCCACGATGGCAAATACAACTCTGCGCTTGACAAGGCCAAGAGCGAGCTCGCAAAGGTCGTTTCTGACATCAACATGATGAAGGAGAGCCTGCAGAAGCAGACCGAAGACAAGGTCGCCGCCGCCCACGCGGAATTCGACCAAGCCGCCAAGGAACTCGTCACACGTCTCGATCACCAAATGCAAGCCCAAGAAGCCCAGTTCAAGGAGGAGTTTGAGAATGAGCGCGAGCGTCTATCACAATCCTACAAAGAGCGTCTCCAGTCTGAATTGCAGGCCGCACAAAAGGTCTACGACCAGAAGCTCAAGAACCAGCTCCTAGAGCAAAGCATCAACATGCAAAAGTCCTTTACCGCAAACGTCCGCGAACGCGTCGAAGCAGAACGTGACGGCCGCCTCGGCAAGCTCAACGAACTCTCGTCGTCTGTCCACGAGCTCGAGAAGTTGACGGGCGAGTGGAACAGCGTCGTCGACGCCAACCTCAAGACGCAGCATCTCGTCGTGGCCGTCGAGGCCGTCAAGTCGGCTCTCGAAACACAAGCCACGCCCAAACCTTTTGTCACGGAACTCGCTGCCCTGAAAGAAATCGCGGCTGATGACCCCGTTGTTAGTGCGGCGATTGCTTCCATCAACCCCGCCGCGTACCAACGCGGTATCCCCAGCTCTGCCCTCCTCATCGACCGCTTCCGCCGCGTTGCACAGGAAGTCAGGAAAGCGGCGCTGCTGCCCGAGGACGCGGGCATGGCGAGCCATCTTGCTAGCTTGGCCATGTCAAAGGTCCTGTTTAAGAAGTCGGGACTGGCGGTTGGTGCGGATGTGGAGGCTGTGCTGAGCAGGACAGAGGTTCTGCTCGAGGAAGGCGATTTGGATGCGGCGGCACGCGAAATGAATGGCTTGCAGGGTTGGGCCAAGGTGCTGAGTAAGGATTGGTTGAGCGAGTGTAGGAGGGTGTTGGAGGTGAAGCAGGCGTTGGATGTTATTGCTACGGAGGCGAGGTTGAATAGCTTGCTTATTGATTAAGAGAGAGAGAGAGAGAGAGAGAGGCTTGATAATGAGCCTTCTTGGTGGTTTAGAGGAGGTGCCGAATCTGGGTTCTTTTATTTGCCCGTCTCCCTCTAGCCCGCCCATTTGGTGGTTTTTGTTTTCCGTAGTCCGATACTATTGTAGTTTTGTAACAATACGAGTATTAGTCTATAGAAGAGCTGTTCTTTTTTCTTCTGCTTTCTTGTTCTTGTTTCTGCTCGGTTAGAGGATGGGCAGTGAGGTGGCATAGACCGATTGTGATTGAATGAAGATTAAACGATGCAACCTAACTATCGTAGAGATTGTTTCTAACGTTATGCTAAGTTTTGGAGTTGAACTTTTGGAATATAGACTTGCTGGTATAGTTGTAAGCCAGGCATTTGATCGCTCTGATTAGTAGATGAGGAAGATTTGCTGTGGTTATAGTGGTTCCCATATGGTGATTAGCATGTAGCGTAGTTGTTGTTATTAATATCGCTGGAGATATATGGTTGTACTCAATTACATAACACTGCATATTGCAGGTCAATCCAAGTAGGGTCAAATTGCTGTAAAGAAGCAAAAGGCAACTGGTATAACTAAGTTGACACTTAGAGCACAGTTGAACTCTCTTGTTAATCAATTTCAAACAATCATAAACTCATACCAATCGTTTCCCCTCTGCTCATAGTATTGTTCAGGTATATCCATAGCACCAAACGCATTTAGCAAACTAACAAAGGGGGACTGCTCATCTTTCGGAAAAGGATTGTCAACTTGGAAGATACCAATTCGACGGTATTGACCTCTTTGAACCCCAGTCAACTGCAGTAGGATCCCTTGGAGTATGAAATGAGATTGTGAGATCCCGAAGACGACAAAGGAATTTTGCTGCTCAGCACTATCCTCGAGTAATACTACTTCGTCAGGCTCATCAAATGACAAATCAGGACATTCAATGTTGATGCCAGACCAAAGCAATCTGAGTGTGCCAGAGCCCCATACCTCATCCCAGTGTCCAAGGTGTGTGACAGCAGCTCTGCATAATGGACCTCGAAAACGGAGATAGCCCTGGGAGCTCGCTGAGACCGCGCCAAACGGGTCCGATTGTGGGAAGGTCTCTATACTGATGAGCTGTGCCAATGAGGTTTCTTCGTAAGGCATTAGAAATGAAACCTTGCCATTGTACGACGCCCACGACCATGAAGGTGCGACGTAAGTCCGTGACCGACTGCCAGGGTTGAAGGGGGTGGCACGCCACGTCAGTTGCAATTCGAAGTCTTGGCTCCAATGGCCTGCGTAGTATTGCATAGCCCTATTGTCCTGACGATGTTCAAACATATATCTTGCGACTCCAGATAATGCTACCAGCTTGTCTGTGGCTACCGACAGCTTTGCGTGGCTGTATAAGCTGACAATGTTGGTCCATGTGCCCAGAAACTCGCGGATGCGACCAGCGCGGCCGTTTCCCGGTGCTACGGGTACAGCTAGATATGTCTTCCTAGAGAAACGGAAGTCTTCAAGCTTTCCTGTAACATCCGTCTCGGATGCCTGACATTCATCGCATTCCCATACTACTTTGTGTTTCAGGAAATGGACAGTGCGTGACGCAAGAAGACGCTCTTGGACGACCCACCCTCTGTCCCCAAGCGGCGCGTGATCGAGCAGGTTTCCGATTGGATAACTCGGCCATAACACAACAGGTTTGCGATGCCAACCTGAGGGTATATGCGTGAGTGGCACCACTAAGGGGTTAACAGATTTCCATGACCGTTGCTGAAAGAGACCTCCCCGAGAATCTCCAGCCGCGTTCGCCCCAATATTGATGAATGAATTCATGTAGACAGACGTCATTCGAGTACACTCGTTGGCCCAGTCAATGTCGTCATCCTGGATAATGCAAAGAGAATCGATCCATATGTACTCTATGCCGAGCGACTTGGTGAGGATGATGGCTTGCTGGAAGGTTGGTGGAAGCTTGTCAACATCAATCCCATCCAGAAATGCTGGCAACGTGCTCCTTTGAAGCTTTACTGGCATATGTTGGCCCCAGCAATGACTGAGAGTCGTGTACCTGGCATCTGCAGGTATTTGAGCAGTCTGGCGGAGATAGGCTTTGGAACTTGGTTTGAAGGGCTGTACTTGCAGCAGTCGAGTAGGAGTTTGGCGAGACCGTTCGGCTCTTCTTTGCGCACATCGCATGTGAGTCGTTTCACATTCTCTCAGCCAGTAACGTATCATGTTGAGAGTCTCAAAAGAGTCTGTAGAGGGCTGCACTCGCTTGAGGAGCCGCGCTGGTAGCCGATACATGAGTAGAGAAGTGCAACAAGGGACAGTCATACGTACTCAATTGATGCTCATCAGTCGGAATCTCACATTTGAATTCGTAGAAACGTTTTTGTCTTAATACCGATGACCTCGGATATGCTTCCTCAATGGATAGGTACGGAGTTATTCCAGAGGAGAGATTGTAGGACCCAACAACAGCCACGAACTGGGGCTCGCCTTCGCTTGCGCGCTCCAGCTCTTCAAGGTACCGACGCTGCTGTTCAGCTGTTATACACAATAAGATCAAGATGCACATATGACAGCCATTCTCTGAAGACTCTTTCAGCTGTTGAATGTTATGAAAGACCATTTTCGCTATTCGACCAGTCTGTTGCCTGGCAACAAAATCGAAAAATGAGCGACACATCTGGCAGCAATCATTCACAGAGCTTGGCACCGAAGGTTGTCGCTGGGCTGAAGCTATTGATTGCATCGTGCTGGGAGGACGCAGCTTGTCTGCGTGTGAAGATCAAGGGTGTCGCATGAATAGGGTATCTTCAGCCCGTGAACAAGCACCAGGCTGGGTGGCGAGGTCATGAGCCCCGCAGTGCCGGTGGCGTCCTTGGCAGTCATGTGACAAGTCGCATCGTTGACATATAGATAGCATGATTTTGTGTGATGGAGTGTAGGATGGAGGTTGAGATGGGAGATCATTGGGCGGTAGTGGAAGGAGGAAGACCACAACCGGTTGGTATGTGATCATTGTCGTTGCCGCGATTACCTCAAGGCGACTTTACAAAGATCGAATGTGGTTGTTTCGTCGCACTCGTCCTGGAATCTTCGGAAGCAAGCATAGTGAGCAACAAGTTTCCAGTGAGGACTACCACACTATAGTATAGACATCAAGAGTTCACATCATTCTTTGTCAGGCTAGACTACCGCGCTGCACTAATCTCCATTGCCCGTGCGCACATGGCAGGAAACAGATTTACACAAGCACCATGATGTCCAATTTACCAATGAAGAGCTCAAAAGACACGTTCTTGGGTCACCGAACCCAGTACAATAGTTCGAAGCCGTCAACCAGGTTCGCGGCGGGGTCGTCGCTGGTAGTCAGTCGAGTCCGGAACAAGGTCCACTTAATCACCTTCCCAAGACCGACTCAAGCTCTACCAAGACCAGCTTGAATGCCGTCAGTTCCACCGACTAGCGGCTTGACTTTGCTTGTTTATCGAGCGGCACGAATGTGTCCAAGTTTTGTAGCTTCCTATTCCGGCGTTAGCGCGGTTACTTCCGAGGCTGTTCCGTTAGCAACACCAACTGACCTGCAATGTTCCAAGCCTTGCCCCCGGCCTCTGCGAACATCGTCATTACCGTTATCATGTCACCACGCCACGAATTGCAGCACGCCATGTGCATGCCCCATGTCGTTTGTACCATCCTGGCAATCTCCAGTTAGCCGCGATGCAGATTGCGCGCTCCCAGGCGATAGGAAAGCAGTTGCGTTCCTTCCGACTATACGGGGATCGACATGCAAGTACTATGCACCTTATTATCAACCTTCCACATGGGGCAGCAGACCCTGGAGTACGCCAAGGTACCAACGAACTTCTGGGTAGTAATGACGCGACGTTAGCCGGTGCTTCACTGAAGCTTAAATAGCTATCAAGACTGCTGGATGCGACGGAGCGCGTCTGCCATCTTGCTCTCAAGACCAGTATTCATTATGCAGATCTTCGCGACTGTTGTGTTGGCCGCTGTTGCCGCGCGTGATGCGTTGGCTTCTCCTATCCAGGCTCGAAGCCCGTATGTTGTCAAGGAGACGCATTATGCGCCCAGGGAATGGACCAAGCTCGAGAGGGCACATGGTGGCAAGACTATCCAGCTGCAGATCGGTCTTAAGCAAGGTCGATTCGAGGAGCTTGACCGCCATCTTCGTGAAGGTATGTTTGCTGCAATTGAAATCCGGGTACCTTTGAGTAGCTGACATGGCATAGTCTCCGACCCAGACCACAAGCGCTACGGTCAGCATCTGAGCGCCGATGAGGTTGACGAGCTGGTTGCGCCTAGCTCCGAGACTCACGACCTGGTGCACGAGTGGCTCCGCGAAAGCGGTATCGACACCGACAATGTGGGCTACAGCTCAGCCAAGGATTGGGTCATTGTCCATCTTCCCATTGAGATGGTCGAGAGCCTTCTCGACACCGAGTACCACACCTACAAGCACAAGGATGGCTCCATTGTTGCGCGTACAACTGCCTGGTCTCTGCCCCGCCACCTGCACGCTCACATCGACACCATCCAGCCTACCACATCCTTCTTCCGCGTTGCCCCCAATGAGGCGACGTTTGTCGATGAGGCAGTCGAGGTGCCCGCGAGCTATCACACACCCCAGAACTCCTCCATCTCTGCTGTCTGCAACGTGACATCCGTCACCCCGGAATGCTTCCAGACTCTCTACAAGACCAAATGGTACCACACCAAAGCCAGCCGCAAGAACAGCGTCGGCTTCACAAACTACCTCGGCGAGATCCCCATTCGACCCGACACCAAGATGTTCCTGGAGAAATACCGCCCAGAAGCCGTATCCCAAGCCTACGCCTTCAAGCAAATCTCTATCGACAACGGCCCCACTCAAGACGGTCCTCTGACCTACAACCAGTCCACCGTCGAGGGCATCAGCCGCGAGGCCAACCTCGATGTTCAAGCCATCTCGGGCATCAGCTGGAAAACACCTATCACCTCCTTCTCCACCGGCGGCTCACCTCCCTTCACACCCGATGTCTCCACTCCCACAAACACCAACGAGCCCTACCTAGTGTGGGTGAACTGGCTGCTCTCCCAGCACTCCATCCCCCGCATCATCTCCACCTCGTACGGCGACTCGGAGCAGACCGTGCCCAAGAGCTACGCCGAGCGTGTCTGCAAGCAATTCGCTCAAGTAGGTGCCAGAGGCACAACCCTCTTCTTCTCCTCCGGCGACCGCGGTCTCGGCGGCACAGATACCTGCTACACAAACGACGGCCGCAACAAGTACCAATTCCTGCCCAACTTCCCCGCCTCGTGCCCCTACGTCACAACTGTCGGTGCGACCATGAACTTTGAGCCCGAGGAATCGGCTTACCGCCCAAGTCGCAACACGTCTGCTGGTTTCCGCGACCTCTACTCCAGCGGCAGTGGCTTTAGCAACTACTTCCCTCGCCCTTGGTACCAAGACAGCGTCGTGCCACAGTACGTTGACTCGCTCGGCGATACCTACGAGGGTCTGTACAACAAGACGGGCCGCGGATACCCTGATCTGGCTGCCCAAGGTCTGTACTTTGCCTACTTCTGGAATGGCACTGAAGGCACCATTTCTGGTACTTCGGCGTCTTGCCCATTGACTGCTGGTATCTTCGCCCTGGTCAACGATGCGCTGTTGGCCAGTGGCAAGCCCGCCCTAGGTTTCTTGAACCCTTGGTTGTACAAGAAGGGGTACAAGGGACTTACTGATATTACCAAGGGCTTCAGCTATGGATGCAACGTTCAAGGTTTCCCCGTTACGGAAGGCTGGGATCCGATTACTGGGTTTGGAACGCCCGATTTCCCTAAACTGGTCAAGCTGGCTGGCGCACATGTGCACTGATTGATGAGTTGAGATTGTACGGCGGATCATGATGGATGGTGTGGCTTATTGTTACAGAATAGGTTATACAATGTTATAATCATGATGACTCGTTACGATGTGCGTTAATAAGTGTACATGAATCGTGATCGTATAGTCCCTCCTCGTGTGCTAGACATTGCAAATCGCCCAGTGGCAATCAGCATATTTAAGAGCCAGACCGCGTTAGAGCTAAATATTGAGGTAGCTAACATGACCAAAGTCGACATGGGCTGGTTGCAATTCCGTCAGACACGGCGTCGCTACCTCGACCAATAGATCTCACTCTCTCCCTGCCCCCACTACTCCGCACCATTCGAAGTAGCGACATCAGGGTTAGGATAGTACCACGCAGCCACAGCCACAATGACATAAACAATGATAAGCATAGCGCCCTCAAGGTAGTTCGACTCGCCGTCCCTAAGGAAGTTACCCACCACAACAATAGCCAGCACCAGCAAGACAATCATGAAGATCTCAAAGTTGAGGTCCATATCCTTACCCATGATCCAGCCAACAATAACCACCAGCGGAGCGTTGAAGAGAGCAGTCTGGATAGACGGACCGATGCAGTGGAAGAGGGCAAAGTTGATCTGACCATCCCACGCTTCGTCAATAGCAGTCAGATGCTCAGCCGCCTTTTCGACAAGCGGCAGCATGATGAGGCCGAGGAACTGGTCTGGAACCCCAGATTCAACAACATCTTCGATGCGCTCGACGAGGAAGACGGCGAGGAGCGTGACGATAGCGAGGGACAGGACAAGCGCAACCATGCACTCTGTAAAAGTAAACTTCGGCTTGGCAAGATCCTCGTGGTGGTCCAGATCAGCATGTTCGTCCGCCTCGAGAACTTCGTCGAAGAGCGAGTGCTGGGAGCGTGCATTGTACCAGATGAAGATGCAAAAGGCGATGATGAGGAGGATGGAAGTCACCTGACTGATCCTGAGGACGTTGTGCTGCAGGATCTTTTCCGTAAACTCGTGGTGCTTTGATGCGTGAGCGACCGCAGAGCCCTTGAGCGCGGAGTAGTAGGCTGATGGGATGAGCAGACCGAATCCGGCTACGAGGAGCAGACCGGATCCGACTTCGCTGACGGAAGCGTGGAATTTCTGGCTCATCTGGCGGAGGCCGCCGACGAAGAAGCAGCTAGCATCCAAGTCAGTATAACGCGCACACTTGAACTTGTCGTGGAGTACTCACAGTCCAAGACAAAGCAGCAAGTTTGTCAGTATAGATCCCAGGATCGCCGCCTGGATGACCGGAATGAGGTTTCCATGCTCGCTCGAACCATCCCTAGAATGATGTTTGGCAATCAAAATGATGAATAGGATGATTTCCACAATACTTCCGAATGCAGTCTCGATCAGAATTCCGCTGACCTTTGGCATCTTCCTTGCAAACTCTTGGCCCGCGAAACCCAGGAGATTGGCTACGGGCACCATGGCGATGTAGCTGGTCGCGAAGATGGCAATGGGCATTGACGGAGCAGCAAAGTGCAGCACAATGGCTACGATGACAAAGGGCCAGAGGAGGTTGGTGTACTTTGCTGCATTGCTGCCGGAGCGCCAGGCTACGTTGATGAAGTGGGATGGGTGGAAGCCCTTACGGCCGGACTCGCCATCGGGGTGGATGTGCGAGGGGATGATGTTGTGGAGGAGCGGGGTGGATTCATTGTGGTTATTATTGCGGTTGTTCTGCCCATTCACATGGTCGTACAAGACGCGTGAGACGTTGTGCGAATTGTCGTGGCCGTGGCGGTTGGAAGACATGGTTGCGAGATTCCGGGTAACCGGGAGTGAAGGGCGCTGTGGTTGGTGGGGAATGGAGAAGCTACCCTGGAACGGCGGGCAGCTCTTGAGTGGCCCGCTGCAACGCTGGACGGGAAGCAAGGCTTGTCTTGCTGGTCAATTTGGCTCGCGAGCACGATGCGAGATGCGATGAAACTTCTTCCTGCGCAGAGCAGTTGGGATGGAAGAGTTGAGGTGAGAGCTGGAGGTTTTTGCGGAGGGCGGTGACGCGCTGCGAGACTGCCCAGACGCGGCTGGGGCTGGGCGTTGCCGAAAAACAAGGCAGGATCGTCGAGGTTTGCCAGCGAAGCAGCTTCTTGCATCTCGCAACATCGTCAAACATCACGAAAAATACTGTTTCGCGTTGCGAAATCGACCAGGGCTGGTATCTGCTCTCTTCCGGCGCTCGCGATGCATAGCAGTGGGAGTTGATGGAACGCAATGGCTCTGGACACTTACGGCTGGCGAATGAGCTGTGTACGAAAACAACGACCATCAGCAACTTCGCCTTGGTTGCTTCAAGTTGCTTTGAATCCCTCGGTGAACGACATGTTGCGCGATATACCGGAAATCCAAGAGCGCGGTCCTGAATGAGTTCCTCCATGGAGTTGACTAGAGAGTGTCTACGCGCGAACCAAGCCCGCCAAAGATCATGTTCCATCCAAGGTCGACGCAGCTGACATGACCACGAAGAGACGAAAGTTTCTCTTCCAGATTTGCATGGTATTATCTTTGCTCAAATCAAATGCGCCTCCACGAGCATTCGAGGTGCGGATGATGAGCTCAACCATAGGACTCTGGTGGGCCGTGGTCCATCCCCATTCAACGTCCAATGAGACGAATTTCCATACTAATACTAGAATCTTGGTAGAGATATGAAGACTGTATACCTGTTCGACAGCCTCACATCACTTTTAGGTCTTTACATATTGCATCAGAGGTGCCACCGAGATACTGTGTGGTCTTCTCAACGTCGTAGCGACCCTACAGGAATAATCCAGCCATCATGCCTATGCCGACCGCTTCAAGGCCGAACGGAAGCTGCACCAAAATTCCTGAACATACGCCGCTGCCAGTGGAGACACCTCCGACCGATACGAAGCGCGGTACATGCCGGCTGCACTTCCTTGAGAGCGAAGAGCAAGACTCATTAGACTACCCCAGGTACAAGATTGCGATTCAGTTCGAACTCTTTACCGCTGTTCGATCATGTCCGCTATGCGATGCCGAACTAATCCATTACGGCATGATCGCCCGCGTCGAGCATCTTCTGGCCCAGGCTTGCAAGGCCGAGGGCAATGTGACCGCCTTGAGAAAACGCTATGATTACGCGTACGAACCGTTCGAGAGACTTGAAGAGTTAGAAGAAGACGTAGCTGGCGTTATGGAAGATTTCAGGAACGAAACGAACAACTTATCCCAGCCGACTAACGATTACCTGTTCAATCAACTGCACAAAGTGCTCAACAAGAACAAGATCTGAGGCAGGGACTTGAACTATCTTGAACAACTCCTTCTGGACGGTCATGTTATTCCTGAAGCCATACATATATGGTATACATTCAAGCTCGACTGGGCTCAAGAGGACTTCGCGGCCCGAAGTAAGATGCTAGGCAAGCAACTCGATCCTCTTATCGATGAGCTACACGAACTTGAGTACGCCCTCCAGGATCTATTTGCAGACTTTCACGAATTTGACGGATTTTCAAACCAGGAGATTGCTTCGGAAGTACAAAACGTGTTTGGGTCCACCGCTCTTTTGGACGAAGTCCTCGAAGAGCCGGAGGAATGGAGTTGTTGTCAAGATGATACAGGGCTGAAGATTGAATGCGCCGAGATACAATCTAATTGGTTGCACAGAACCATTGATTGGTTTCAACGCGGACTGAGCAGTCTTGGAGATTCGGGTCGTGTAGAGCGGGAAGAAGACACGGCCGACGTGTATACTGCGGTCAAGAATACGTCTGAGGTGGTTCATGATCGGGCGGAAGTGGAGGAATTTGCAGATAGCGAAGGTGTGATGGATAGTGACTATGGGGATGAAGACGCGATGGATTTTGATGTACTAGATTCGCCTTAGGGCTGCTGATGTCCGTGGGTATGAGCAAGGCAATGCCCTCGAGCGCCTCGACATCTGCGATCTGAAGGAGAATTCTGGTAGCATCAAAGATCAGTAGATAATCGGAGTCGCAGTAACCATACAAGGAATCAGGCTGCCAACAAGGCCGAAAGAAGGCAGATCCGTTCCCTCTCCCGAATATGCCTTATGGCTAGACGCATGCAACTAGTCGTCATTCATTGGCTCTTGTTGGTCCAGCTGGACATGCATGCTGGTTTTTAGCGAAGGTGCAGTCGCATGGAGGCTGGCTGGGGTTGGCAAACGAAAGTTGTGATTGGGAGAGCAATGGAGAGTTGTGCTCAGCCACCACCACACAGACCAGGGCACGGAAAGAAGGATTACCATCCCCCGTGAACATAAACAACCCGTCGTCGCCACCCTCAACCGATAAACTGACTCTCTCATTAACACACACTCTTTCAAACCATTGAGTAATGTGCTTCTACGATCAACACCGTTTCAAATGCGGGGATTGGAAATGGGGGCACTTCCGCCAACATTGCGCAAAAGAGTTAAGGATTGGAGAAACATGTGGGATGAAGTTAATTATGCAGACCATTCAGGTGGATGCGCGTTGCAAACTGTGTGAGAAAGTCGATACCAAGATGCGACGCCGTGCTGCCGAGGTTGAAAAGGTCAGACAATTACAGAAGCAGGGAGCGAAGCCTGCTTTCCTCAGTATCGGCGGATCACCCACTGCCAGCCAAGGCCTCGACTATGGAATAACTTATTGGGACCTCGAACGAAGGTCACAAGCTGGAGGCCAAGACTTCGGATCAGGTTCTACAACTATGCTTGGAACCATGTGCGGATCAAGTTCTACACCCATGCTTGGAACTATGTGGGGATTAACTGCAGATGCGATCCAAGTCGCGAAGTACGCAGATCACAAGCTACGCGCAAGGAGCTTACATGGAACAAAGACGTCGTCCGGGCATAACGGAGAGCTGCCACACTCGGCCGTAGCTTTCGTTACTCCCCTGGGTTTCATACAACAATTTGCCCGCACTATCTATAAGCATGCCGGCGCTCATCAGTGGGCCGGAATCATAATGGCGCGATACTCTCCGACAAGCGTCAGGAACAGCCTCGAAATCCTTCTCATGGACTGCTGTAGTAGGCTGAACAACAAATTCGCTACAGGGATTACGTCTTTTACTGACGCCAACTGGAGAAACATGGAACTTGTCCTAATGGGAACATCTCTGGTAGAGGAATTCAGGATTGAGATCGTGGTGACCCTTTGTTCAATTCTATCTTCTGATCACAGCTCAGACCATCCTTCCCTACGAGAGATTCGCCCCGACTGGTCTGATCAGACGCAGGAGTTCAAGCTTCACCAGAAGCGGCTTGAGCTCAATCAGGCGCCAATCACGCTACCGAGCGACTGGATCGAATCCTCAGAATTTTGCAACAAGGACGCAGCTAGTGCAGTGATTGAGGCAATGATATCCGAGCCAAGATCAACGGATATATTAAAGCGCTTCGCGCTAGACGTCCGCCGTGAGCTTTATGATGATGACAGTATCGCAATGCGCAACATCGAGACGATAGTGTCAGAGACAAAATACCGCTCCACACTACATGGTTACGAAGCTACATTTCAAATGCGCTGGTCGATTGAGAAGTTCATGCAGGATCAATACAGAGAAGACATACCCAGGTTCGGGTCAGTCTTGACTCTTACCGGTTCCGCGCTATATGCACAAGCCTCGACATGTGCCAACTATATCGAGATGACATGGCCCTCTACTGGAACGTTCTTTTTGGAGCTTCTTGATGCCATTCACGCTTCTATGGTGGCATCGGATACAGCAAGACCAGTTCAAATTGACCTAGAAAGTGATCGGGGCCTCTCCATCAACTTCAATGTCATCTACGAACCCGATCTCGATCCCTTCGCCACCTTTTTGGCGCATGCTACCGAAAGAAGCCTGCTTGTAGAGTTTGCTCAGCAACTATCTTGGTTTAGCTCTGCATTCACGACATCGCCGTCCAAAAAGCAACTGGCTTATTCAAGCCCGTCACTTGCTCAGATGCGTGAAGGTGTTTTCGAGATCACAATCAATTGCGAATTGATCGATGAATCTGAGAAGGCATGCTGGATGCCTCTTTTTGATGGTGCATGTATCGTTTCCGGGTTTCCTATATCCGAAAGAGCTGACGAAGTTGGTCTTGAAGCATCGTTAGAGCTTCTAGCGGGGCTCTCAGGCGCTCGACACGTATTTGAGTATGATGGAGGCTTAGTGATGAAGGGCTTCTCACACATCTTTGTCCCAGTTCGGCGGCAACTCGATCGGGTTCAATGGCACGCCGTCTCTAGTCCCGATCAAGAGACACCGCTATCGTATCAGGACGGTATTTCGCGCTGTGCTTCGCGTGCCATGCTCGAAGAAGTTAATCTGCAGGACCTTGCATCACTACGAGCCATCGTTGGATGGTGCTCGGAGGCAACTATTTGCCTTGGTTCTAGCCACGCGAATTACGAGAACATCGACTACACCAAAACCGAGGAAGCTAATTCAGGGCCGAGGTGTACGGGAGGATCTCTCGGCTTCCAGCAGTTTGGAGTCGCGGCGTTGGATGTCAGATTTGGTCTCAAGGATGGAAAGAGTCACTTCCACAGAAGCGGTCCTTATCAGAGGATCATTCAATTCGCGGAAGGTAGCCCAATAGTACTCCATGACGTTGACGGGAAACAATCGTGGCTTGTCCCTGCAACTAACGTCATGTTGCACATAGTCCAGCACCGTCATCGGTTGGAACCTTTCCAGGCGAACGGAAAGACAATCAGTCTCGATACGAACATTGTATCAGGGTCGTCGGCTAAAGAAATATTGTTGAACAATCGGACTATAGTTCTGTTCGAGGACGATAAGCATACCTTTATGGACGAAATACTGGACATTTGGTCGCTTCTAGATTTTCTCCTCGCTCAAAATATCAACCGTCAACGTGAGACACCTGGAGTTTGTATGCCAAGCTCAGTTCACGAGAGCATATATGGGTTCGAGTTCAAATCCATAGTCCACCAAGATGCGCTCTATAAGCTCAAGAAAACGACTGTTAGGAGGAATCATGGCGGATGGATCAAGCTTATCGAAGACATCGACGCCTTGGTTCTATTTGCTAATGGTTTCGGAGACGTCATCCTACCAGCAGGTGGATCTGACAACCTTTTGTGTCATAAGTGGAGAAGAGTACCAGATGGGCAGGACTATTTGACTACAACCACAGATGTGCTGCAACGACTATTTGACAAGGCTGGGAGTAGGCTGGATCGGAAATACCTTACCACCAAAAATAAGCTTCGGTGGCATCAGGGAAGCTCCACCTTGTTCAATGCATGCCGAGATGTGGCTCTTTGCGATTGTACCCGCCTGCAACAGCTCTTCCCAGAATCAGCATTCAGAAGCATTCAACCCCCCACTTCTATAGCCAGTAAAGGAGCCGTAATCTTCGGACGTCCTAGTCTTCGTCCAGCGCCGTCGCGTCTCACAGAACCACAGATCCCCAGTAGCTTGTATAGTCTGCCGAACATCCCAATTACGACAAGTGTCATTCTTCAGCATGACAGCCCCATCGATGAAGCCATGGAAAAGATCAGACGGTTGGATATCGAGATCCATGAGTTGAGCTGCGAGCGCAAGCGACGACTGCACACCATTCATTGAGTCGCCCTTGGAGGCTTTGAGGCATATTCTCTATGATCGATGAAAGCGGCTTGGTATTGGAGGACTGCAACGCCAAGTCATTGTTGAAGATTCATGAGTATGCACGGTAGTACCAGGTATACTGCACGGAAAGTCGCACTGTGGAAAATGTCTGAGACACAAGTAGATCTAGAGGGATCGACATATTTCACCAGAGCAGTGTGACGGCATACGCAGTCGCCACGCGAGGCACTTACCAACCAAATGTATTAGTGGGCAAACGATCAAGATCGTCTAGGGGTTTATTATTTGCGCCGCCAAATTCTTCAAAATACACATCTCTCTTCCACGAAAAAACCCCTCTGAATGATCATTCGAAGATATCGTACACAGTGCAGAGTATGGAAACCAATGAGTTTCCACTTTGTCGTTTGATCGGAAGGATAGTCTTTAATGAGCTCTGTAGAAGATGATTAGTGTGAGAAAATGCATCAAGTGACACTTGAGCTTTCGAATCTGGTATCTGCTGTCTGGCGCGACTCTGGCCAGGTACACATTATCAACTTATCATGTATATACATCATCATATTCATTCATGTAGCGCAGCACCTACGCAATCACAAAAGACATAACCACCACACCTGCCACCAATGTCGCCATCCCCGCTTTCCTACCCCACTCCATACCCGCTGCTGCATTCTCATTGTTCACAGACTCGGGCGGCACACGACTTCCCTCTCGCACATGATCAGGCGCAATGCAAACGACCTTTGTCACACCGCCCGGAGCATCGTCAGATGCAGCAGCAACGAGAATTGGGACAGGCCTCGTAATGTATTCATCGTACCAAGTGAAATTGTCGACATCGGTATCATACTCCCAGGGTGCTTCTGTGGGCCCCGTACCGAAGAGTCCGCGCGTGCTGAAGCCAGCTGGTACGTCGATGCCTGGAGGAGCGGCGTTGCAAGTAGTGTTTGTGAGATTTGCTGTAAGGGCTAGATCACGCGTTAGGGATTCCAATCTAGATGTGATGTGGTCGTAGATAAGCTGGTGGAGAGAATGAGATGCTGCACTTACTCGTGCTAATTCCGCCGAAGAACCCTTCACCACAAGCCTCGTCCACTTCATCTTTGTCAAGCGTCAAGCTAGGGCATCGAAAACCTTTTGATGAGCTGTCGATGAGGTCAAGAATGTTCACAGGAAATTGATATTTCTTCTCCAGTAGATCTTGGCATTTCTGTGATATCACGCCGTCACAACCATTCTGGCCGTCGCCTTGCCGGTGATTGTCTAGTGCATCAAACATAAATAGACATGCTTGGGTTGTGGTGTTTTCGGGAGCGCTAATGTATGCGTATGTCCATGGGTCGAAGACGCGGTTACCGATGCTGTTGCGAGGGTTGTTACGGGATTCGCCGAATGTGAGGGAGACGTAGAGGTCGATTGCGTTCCCGACAGAGACGTTCCACGTACCTGTGCCATTTACAGGCTGCTCGTAAGAAGGTGTACGGCCGCTCGGGTTGCATTCAGCTGGTCCTGTGGTATTCGTGGTATTTTGTGCGGCGGAGGTGCTTATGAGGGATGCAGCGAGAAGAACATTTCCGAGCCTAGACGATTGTGGTGACATGCTGAAGGAGTTTTTGGAAGTCGTTTAATGCAAGAGGTGTGAGGTTCGAGGGCTTTGGAGATCACGACGACAGTGTTGGCTATGTGCGTGCAACGCGCGCATCGCGTGATTTTGTACGCCCTCAGGCCTACCATATCGAACCGGTAGTACAGTTCACGTTCATCACCTCGCCGAGTTGACGTCAGTTGTGATAGCCCCGTTTCTTTCGTTTTACAACACACGCGATGGGACGCCTAGCCAAGTATCGTGCTTGTGCCGATTTGTCCATCCAACTATAACGCTAAGCATCGGACTTCGACATGTCCAGGTATCATTGGAAAGAGCAGCACGGGTCCGGTTGGACGCAAGGCTGACTTGCTTAGACGAACTTAAGGCCATGGCCGTGTTGGGAAGGATGTGATTTTGCCAAAGTGAGATGTGTGGCATTGACATGCGCCAAGCTGGCTGTGACGGCTTAGCGATACCCACCAGGCACGCCTTAAATTCTTAAATAAAGAACGCCGATCTTTACAACTCCGTCATTCTGCACATAATTGCGGATTGAGCCGTCGCGAAAGCAGGTGACCTTGTAGTGTTGCTGGGGTTCTCGGCGACCGGCATCCCAATAACGAGAGTACTTTTGACGTGTATGTTACATTGCGGTAGGATGCCTTGTCGAAGAGAGCGAAACCAGCTAATACAGCAACGTCATTGGTCGTGGAGCTCTAGAGAAGGATATGAGTATGAGTATACCTCTCACCGCAGGGTAAGAACGATCCAGAGCTTGTGCGCCGCCCTGGTGAAATGGCTTGATGACAAGGTGTCGTTTGAAGCGGCCGGGAATGCCCTCTCATGCTTGCGAACATGTAACAAGTGTGCATGATAGGAGAATTGTTGCTCATCCATCGTAATCACGATTAGAGCATGTAAGGTGCTGAGAAGTCTGGATTCAAGTTAGGGTAGAGGCTGGGAATCAGAGAGGCTAAGAATGCGGGGGAAGCTAAAGCCAAAGCCGCCACGCGCTCTTATCACCGACACCATACCATCCACTTATCCCACCTTCGATAAGCTCCGCGATGACCATATCGAACTTTGCTCTTATCATGCCAATGCACGGGATGGAAAGCTTTATCAACTCGCGCAAGGCCTCTTGCGTCACTTTCATACTCCTCGGAAGCTCGTCTGGATAACATGCCCCGCACCATTCGCATAGCTGCCGCCCAAGTTGGTGCTGTGCATCGCGATGCCAGTCGCCAAACCACATTGAATCGACTCCTTGATCTTCTGTGTCAAGCTGCTACCCAAGGCGCACGGGTTGTGCTCTTTCCAGAATGCACGTTCACAACCTTTTTCCCTCGCCACTTCTTCGCCGATGAGGCGGAACTTGAGTCGTTCTTCGAGCATGGCGACGTCACCACAGCGAAGGAAACACGAGCAATATTCGATAAAGCTAGGGACTTGAATGTAGATATCTGCATCGGATTCGCAGAAGCCACAGATGAAGGCGATCATTACAACGCGTGCATCTACTACCACGCCAGATCTGGATCCATCCTGTCAAAGTATCGAAAAATCCATCTACCTGGAGATGTCGACCCTTTTCCAGAACCTGATGCAGTCAATCAGCTTGAGAAGCGATACTTCAAGCCCGGAAATCTGGGCTTCAAGGCCTTTCGAGTACCGGGCTTGACGAATTCCACACCTCAGGATGGCGAACCCATCTTCGGAATGATGATCTGCAACGACCGGAGATGGGCTGAAGCATGGAGATGCTTAGGCCTTCGAGGCGTCGAAGTCGTCCTCGTTGGGTTCAATACACCAGGCTTCGCGCCACAGATGTGGGGTGCTTCACCCGATGTGAGTCCACAAGACGCGCGTGCTGAGGCTATCTTCCATCATAAGCTTGTCATGCAAGCACATTCATATACAAACGCGTGTTTCTCTGTCAGCGCAGCAAGATGCGGGCTAGATGATGGGAAGTACGACTTGGTAGGCGGCTCGACTATCATCGGTCCTGATGGAAAGATCATGGCCGAAAGCAAAACAGAGGACGACGAGGTTATCGTGGCCGATTGCGATCTTAGTCGATGTGCAGCGGGCAAATCACGGACATTTGATTTTGCGAGACACCGACGAACGGAACATTACGGTATATTGACTTCGCAAACAGGAGTCATTGAACCTCCAAGGCTGTCAAGCCAAATATCTGCTCTCAATAATGATGGAGTTGTCCTGGACGATTCTCAAGATCAATGCCTACAATCAGCGACTGGCACCACTAGCACCAGGCAAATTCGCATCCTCCTCTGTAACCCTAATGCCACACCCTCGATGACGCATGCATGTCTCGAGATGGTCAAGTCGACGCTCACACCCGATGTCACAGTTACTGGTTTCACGGCGCCCAAACCCGCACCCTCAGCCATCGAAGGGGGTTTTGATGACGTCATGTCTGCGGCAGCAGCCGCCCGAGCCATCATCCCGATCGCGCATCAGTACGACGCTTTTCTCGTCGCCTGCTATAGCAACCATGGGCTTATAAAAGTGCTTAGAGAAGAGCTGTCGCAGCCAGTCGTCGGTATTATGGAGGCTTCGCTGTTTGCTGCGCGAACGCTTGGTGGACGGTTTGGCGTTATCGCTACGTCGCGGCGATCCAAATATACCCTAGAAGAATCCGTGAAGCACTACGGGTTAGATCCATTCTGTATCGGTGTGCAAAGCTGTAATCTGGGCGTCTTGGAATTAGAGTCTAAGCCTGAAAAAGAGGTGCTGAGTGTTATGTGCAAGGTGGGTAAGAAACTCGCTGATGAGGGTGCGGACGTCCTGACACTAGGGTGTGCTGGCATGACGAATATGAAAGCTGCTGTTGAGAAAGCGGTTGGTAGCGATGTTCAGGTGGTTGATGGTGTTCTGGCTGGCGTGCAGCACCTGGCCGGTCTCTGTAGACTTGATATGCGAACAGCCAAGAGGGGGATGTATACCAGTTCTGCTGGTGACAGGGAAAAAAGAGGCCAGAATTGGTACTAAGGATGTTTTTACGCTCGCTGTTCGCGCGCTAAAATTCGCGGTCGTTTCTGGGCGAGTACCGTCACCAATCGGGGCGACTATTCGTCCTTTGTTGACAAGTACGAGAGGATGTGTGTTGCCAAGCTTCATCGTACATCGAAAGCGCGGAAGGGTCGGGCTCCGGAACTTTCACAGCCTGCGATGTCCGACATTCCTCACCCAATCAGTGGCCACCACGCTTTGTTCCAACTTTCTGTAGCGTCGCGGTGCACAAGGATCTCGTACGAGACCAAAATGTTCGCGGCATGAAATACAATCTATGCGGCGCGGGCCGCAGTCGACCGGACGAGTTTCTTTGAGGATGACGGACATTTTGTACGCTCAGCCTCAGCTCGTTGTTGGGGCGCAGAAGATGATATGTAGAACCGCAGGTAGTGGCCTTCACAGTTTCTGTGCAACAGCTTTACCCCAGTCACCCGACCCCTATCTGCACACGTGGATATCTTGAGTCCCTATCTATAAATCTCGACGCAATATTTTTTCTCAGTTAAAAACACCCCCTGAGACAAAACGTCCGCAAACGATGGCAGCTGCGATGCAAGGCCCTTACGTAGGCGTTGGCCCTTCGAACAACGATCAAGAACCCGCCATAGAGATGACCAGGACCCTCACTGGAAAGAAGCGGTACTCAGGGCCCAATGTCTCGCCCTTGGAGATGTTGAAAGCCTTACTTCCAGCAGCGTTCTTGATAATGGCCGTCCTCTGGATCAATGCGTCCCACATTTACGGCCTGTTTCATCATCAAGGAGCTTATGTTCACAGGGCGAAAGTCGCGCTGGCAGACTTTGATGGAAACGACTTTGGCGAGGCTCTAAGATTAGCAGCAGCATCGAACAATGGGACTTACGGATTTCCCACTTTTGTCAACGTCGACACCACAGGATCTTCCCCTGAGCAGATCCGACACGACGTCTTCGAGGGAAAATATTGGGCAGCGATCGTTGCGCAACCCGGGGCAACCACTCGATTCAACGATGCCGTGAACGGTACTGCTACACAATACGATCCCAGTAACGTCTATACCTACTATGTACTATCGGCGCGATACTACACCCTCTACGCCTCGACGATACTCACATCGACTATCACCACTACATCAGTCGCATCCAGCATCTTCAACACCGAATTCATGGCAGCCCGCCTCGCCGACGGCTCGTTTTCCAACAGCACTACTGCACTTTCTGCTCTTGCGATTCCCGCACGCGCTGTCGAAGCCCAAGCAGGATCTCAAGACTTCGCCGATTTAGACGACAAAGCTTTCATCAATACTCTTGGTACCGTCTTACCCATCCTCATGCAATTCTTCTTCATCATGGCATGGAACGGAATATGCAATGGTATGCACTTGTATGCTGCCTACGACCTACGTACACACATCCTCGCCCGCCTGTTTTGGAGCACAGTCTGGCCCATATTCACCAGTTTATGTACTGCTGGATGGACCTTCGCATTCCGCGGCTCTTACCACATCGATGCAAAGATGTTCTTTGCTTTCTGGGCTCTGACGTGGGTTTTCAGTATGATTCAATTTGATGTCTTGGACATCATTACTGGATTTATACCTATGGCCTTTGTGCCATTCCTTTTCCTCACTTGGGTCATCTTCAACGTTGCAGCATCGCTTGGGCCGGAGGAAATCCTTAATCACTGGTACAGGATCAGCTACTTTTTTCCATCACTACACTGGTACAGGACATTTATTACCATCATCACACAGGGCGGTGTCAACAGGCTATACTACACGCTACCTGTGCTCGCTGCTTGGCTGGTCTTGGTGAAGCTTTTGAGTCCGCTGGCTACGAGGAACCGTGTAAGGAAGGCACAGGAGGTGTACAAGTGGTACAATGAAAGGCACGCTATTGGTGGCCCTCACTAAATGATCGAGTAGGGTGGTTGTACTTTATCGCGCATTTCTTTTGTCTATAGTAGTCGATTTAGCGTAGCATACTCTAGACTGTTGTCACTCTGCACGTTTTCTTTCCATATATGTCCATATCAGACTTTGTAATATACGCTCCTACCCATTCTCTTTGCAGCAGACGGGACCTATCCTCTCCACTAGTTCAGTAAGTCATCGCTGGCTTTCTATAATTCTACACGTTTGATGACATCTGGAACTAGATCTACATTAGCAGAGCTGTAACTTGATTTGAATGGGAACTCAGTAGTGTTAGGTAGGACAACAAGTAATCTGAGGCATTGAGCGCGCATGGCAAGGCGAAAGATCATATCCACAATTAGTTTCCCAGCAGCAAGCGCTAGCATCGTACAACGATGACGCCGCGCTAATCGGGCCGGCTTGTAAGGCAGCGCTCGTCGTCCGTAACATCCGACCCTGCGCTTCCTGCACTGCTTCTACAGTGTATTAGATGGAAGAAAAATGGTCAGTGATAGCTTCTTGAGAACCCGGGCTGCTGGGCTGCTGGGAATGAAAGTTCGAAACGCGCTTACTGATCTGCGCACTTCCAATTGCCGAATATTCTCTCCGTTCTGAAGAGAGGTTCTTAGTCTTATAATCAACTCGGCAGAAACTTGGAACGAAACTATTCGCAATCCATGGAATATCATGCCAAGTCGCTGCAGGTTGGCAGCGGAGCACGTTGTTCTGGTCATTATACATGACGTCTACCGGCTCTAGCCCCGCATGTTGTACGAGCAGTGGTCACGACGATCAGTCACGGACGAAACCATGTATCTCCATGGTGTATAAAGATGTTTTCAAGCCGGGTTGTTATCATCACAAAAGCACCTAGGTGGCTCTACCTCAAAAGCAATCATGGCGTATCTTCCGTACACACAACCAACAGCTGACGAGAGCACGCATGGGCGATACTACGTCTACGGTCTGGTCACGCTGCTTGTTTTCATTATCTTCAAGCACATCTATCAGATCTTGGCGTCGCCCCTTCGAAGTGTGCCCGGCCCTATCCTCGCTCGCTCCACACGACTCTGGGAGATATACTCCGTGTGCAAACACGACAACCCAACCCACAACATTGCGCTACATGAGAAATATGGTAATACCCCACTATGACCAATGTTGATAACATTGTGAGCAAAAATGCGGCAAACAACACGACTAACATACACAGGTCCTGTTGTGCGTCTCGCGCCAAATCGATACAGCATAAATGATGGCGAAGCCGCAAAGATGATTCTCGGACACCATAATGCCATGGATAAATCGAAGTTCTACCATCCATTCGGCCAACCGGATGAGTACAACCTCTTTTCCGAGCCGAGCATATCCGTTCATGGCAAAGTCAGACGTCCGCTTGCGCAGCTGTATTCGCAAACGAGCCTTCTCTCCTATGAGCCATTCGTTGACACTTGCAACAAGATCCTGCTGCAGAGACTAGAGGAATACGCTCAAGGTGACAAGGCTCTCGATGTGAGGGAGCTCATGCAGTACTACGCATTTGATGTCATCGGCGAAATCACAGTTGGATCGCGATTTGGGTTGATGGAAGACGGCGGTGATAAGTCTGGCATCGTTGAGGCTATTGATGAAAGCTTGAGCTACGGAGCGATCATAGGTTTGATCCCTGAATGGCACTGGTGGATTGGAATGACGATGGATATGCTCCGACTCAAGCCCAGCTTCAGAAAGATCCTCAACTTTGTGAATTTTCACCTGGAAAATCGCGTTTCGGGACGCACAAAGTCGCCCGAAGACCGCAGAGACTTCCTTGACAAGATGCTGCCCATGGAACAGGAAGGCAAGGCGACACGCTTTCACACCCGCCAAGCCACCTCTCAGAATATCGCAGCTGGATCAGACACGACCGCCATCTCGCTCACTGCTGTCATTGCATACCTGACCATGTACCCGAGCACGCTCGCCGCTCTCCGCCACGAACTCGATGAAGCCACAGCAGCCGGCACTCTGTCTGACCCAGCGACCTTCCAAGAAGCTCAGAAACTTCCCTACCTCCAAGCCGTCATCATGGAAGCCTTACGTATCCATCCTGCCGTCGCTGCACCAATGACTCGAGTCGTCGGCCCCCAGGGCCTCGTAATTGCAGGTCAATTTTTCCCACCTGGCACCGAAGTCGGCGTCAACGCATGGGTGATACACAACAACAAGTCAATCTTTGGGGCTGACGCGCACGTGTTTCGTCCCGAGCGCTGGATCACAAAGAACAAAGAGGATCGCGCGGTGCTGGACCGCAATTTCTTGGCTTTTGGCGCGGGGCCACGGACGTGTATTGGCAAGAATATCAGCTTGTTGGAAATGAGCAAGGTTATTCCGCAGATCGTTAGAAAGTACGATTTCGATATCTTGCCGGGTGAGAATGGTGAGAGATATACGTGGAGGACGAGGTGGTTTGCGAAGCCAAGCTTTAATGCTGTCGTCAGGAGACGGGCGGAGAAAGCTGCGCGAGAACATCAGTAGCAGGATTTTATATTACGTTGACGCTGAGGAACAACCAGCACCAGTCAGTAATGACACTTATGAAAGAAGTTAGACCCCTTGTCTCCAGGTAGGTGTCTTAACAACGATGCACTCTCCAATCTCAGACCAGAACCACATCCCCATATAGAAGAAGACGAGGAGACCGTTTTGCCCGATTCCTGCAGGGCATAATTGTTCAGCCAAAATCTGGAGATTGAATGTCCGGAGACATAACACTAGTCCCTAGCAACTAGCCACACGGCTCGGCAAAAGAGCTTGTTTCCCCGCACCGATGGCCCCCGCATGGGGTAGACGACCCAATTATATTTCTCAATTCGCGCATCATGGCGGAAGATTGACGATTGATAGCTCATGGGGATAAGTCGGGTAAACCACCGACATGCATCTACACCAATGGCCAACAAGTCGGCAAAATGACCGTCATAGACACGCTTGAGCATTCAACACGAGCTATAATACTACATGCAGAGAGAAAAACGGTTTTACGGATATTCTACGTTTGCTCGTAACTATACACAGTACATCTTTCGCTATGCGACCTGGCGTATATCAGTTCCTCGTCGGGTGCTTTGCATCACTGGGCTCCTTCCTCTTTGGATACGATCTAGCCGTGATTGCAGAAGTCGTAGCATCCGACTCTTTCAAATCCCTGTTCTTGCAACAAAACTCCGATTCTCGATCTGGCACCGTTGTTGCGCTCTTCACAGCAGGATGCTTCTTTGGCGCTTTTGGAGCAGGTTTTACCGATAAGCTCGGTAGACGAGGTACCATTTTGATGGCTTCGTGCATCTTCGTTGTGGGCGGTATCGTCCAGACTGCTGGCGTTGTCATAGGCATGTTGTATGCTGGAAGGTTTATCGCTGGTCTCGGTGTTGGGTTCTTGACCATGATTATTCCAATCTACCAAGCAGAGATTACTCACCGTCGTATTCGTGGCAAGGTCACTAGTCTCCAGCAACTCTTCAATGCTGTAGGGCAGATCTTTGCCAGCTGGACGGGCTATGGTTGTTACCTTACATGGGCGGGAACGGGTGACAGCCGTGAGTGGCGCATACCGCTCGCTGTGCAGATCATCCCCGCTCTTTTCCTGGGGAGCTTGATCTACATGTTTCCTGAGGTTTGTTTGCGATCGGATACTCATCTACGAGAACAGTATGCTGACGACACGGTAGAGTCCACGATGGTTGTGCGACCACGATCGAGCCGATGAGGGTCTTCGTAACCTCGCGCTTCTCCATGCTCACGGCGACATTTCGGATCCGTATGTGGTAGCTGAGTTCGACCTCATCCAAGCACAGATTCAGGCGGAGCATTTGGAGAAGAAAAAGACTTACTTCGACCTTGTCCGCGACTGGCCGAACCTCAGGCGAACAATGCTTGCATGCTTTATTCAAGCCGAATGTCAGATGACGGGAGTCAGCGCGATCCAATACTTTTCACCTCAAATCTACGCACAAATCGGCATCACAACGTCTCAATCGTTGCTCTTCAATGGAGTCAACGCCATCATCGCTTTCGCCGGCACATCTGTATGCATCCTCGCCATAGACCGAATCGGACGACGGCCACTCGAGATCTATGGAGCAGGTCTCATGTGCATCACATTCTTGGTCAACGCCATTCTTATCCAACAGTTCCCAGCATCAGCTACCAACAATGGAGCTCATTGGGGTTTTGTTGCTTTGACGTGGGTATTCAATTTTGTCTTCTTCATCACATCCGGCCCATTGTCATGGGCGATTCCGGCCGAGCTCTTTGGAACTGCGCTGCGCATGAAAGGTGTGAGCGTTGGCGCGATGACGAGTTTTGCTTTCAACACCATGATAGGACAAGTCACGCCTATTGCCATCAGCGCGATCGGATGGAAATACTATGTCGTCTTCATTGTCTGCAATTTTGTCAATGGCATTGTCTTCTGGGCGTTTTTGCCAGAAACCAAGGGACTCAGCCTCGAAGACATGGACGAAATGTTCTACAACAGTCCGACCTTTGTTCCCGGCAGCAAATGGGTACCGCACTCTCATCTGGATGAAGATGCTCACAGAATAGCGAATGGCGAAGATTACGTGAATGGATTGGGTACGGCAAAATACAAGGCCACTGAGGTAGAGCATATCGAAGGCGGTGCCTGATTTGGGATCAGTAGATACGGTCTGCATGGTAGAGACCTTGGTAGGTAGGTGCAGTATAGATGTAAGGAGCGTGCAGTCGCGCTCTTGTGGCATGTAGATCTCGAGAGCTCCCTATTATACTACGTAAAGACTTGTGTTCGTGAAATCTATTTGGATGTCATGTGACTGAAGCGAAAGAGATCCTTGTGCGTTAGTAACACTGTGACGTAAGATCTCGCATCCGAAGGGGCCAACTCGGTTCTCTCTAGGCTGCCACTAACACACCTATCTGCATCCCAGATCATGGATGAGCCACTAACTATAGCGCAATACTCGGTCACCATACGAAAGACTACACGTTGTGCAGGATGCCTCGATATGGACCCCGCAATATTCGATTGGAGAGCAGTCAGATGGGCGGGCATCTATCCGGACCTTGATCCCCAGAAGATCATATATGGTTCGCAGACCCAGTGCACGTCATGCACGATGATCAAAGAAGCCTTACATAGCGTCGGCGTTGATTTAGACATGACGCATAACAAGCAGAATCTTTCCCTGGGTCTGTTTCACATCAGCCAAAATGGCAGTCTTCTATTGTCCGCTCTCTTCGACAATCTCGAAGGATATAAATCAGTGGAGCTTTATACCGCATTTGGTGAGTCATTGCTTGCTTTGTTGATGGCCGTTGAGCTATGCATCATGTATCCCATCACAGAATCTTGCCACTATGCAACTGACTGATGGTATTGGGCAGAGAGTCCATCTTCGCCATGGAGCATAGTGCGTCCCAAGACACATTTATTGGGTAACACAGCATTGGAGCTCAGCTCTCATCAAATCCAGCGGTGGATGAATGACTGCATTCTTGGCCACGAACGATGTTCCAGTCAAAGCAAAGTCATTCTACCTACACGAGTACTTGATCTGGGAAACACAAATGAATCCATCAGGCTGGTGGAAACTCATGGATCGGCAGGCCCATACATCTGCCTCAGTCACTGCTGGGGAGGTTACTCGACCATTTTATGTACGAGGGAAACATATGCCGGCTATCAAGACAATGTGCCTTGGGATACTCTACCCCTGTTGTTTCAGGATGCAGTCAAGGTGTGCCGCATGCTTGATGTCCGATATCTATGGATCGACAAGCTTTGCATCATTCAACACGATTCAGATGATTGGGCAAGGGAAGGATCGAGAATGGCGCAAGTTTTTGAAGGCTCCCTGCTCACGATTGGAGCAGCCATCTCAAAAGGTGACAAAGATTCACTGTTTTTCCAAGACAAGATGCGCACTGCCAGCTTGAGAAAACATGTCGGTCAAATGGAGGATGGTTCTTCCTATACCATCTATTCCCGGCTTTCTCATCGCTACCATCCAACCGATGGATCTACACGGGGGGACGAAAGCGAAAAATATCCCCTCATGACACGAGCCTGGGTATATCAAGAGAGGTTGCTCGCACCACGCTTCTTGTACTTTGGCGAAGAGTTGATCTGGGAATGTCGGCAAGCTTCAGCTTGTGAGTGTTCGGAAGCCTGTTCGGGCATCAAGCATCGCCACAGCTCGTCCCTTTTGCCTGACTGCTCAAAAGAAGAACTTTATCTGCAATGGCAGGATATAGTTCAGGGCTTCACATGGCTCCAGCTCAGTCATGAAGAAGACCGTCTGCCAGCCATATCAGGTCTCGCACAGCAGTATCAACGTCATCTGAAGAGTGCATATTTGGCCGGTCTCTGGAAAGACAACATCGTCGCTGATATGCTTTGGCATGGTCGCTCTAATTATGACAACGGGTTGGAACGATATTACACCAAGAAGCCGAAGAAGTGGCGTGCCCCATCTTGGTCATGGGCATCGATTGAGGGTCCAATCGCATTCTACAGACCCTACAATGTTGAGACATTGGAAGGAGGCACAAATAGCCCGAGATGTAGGGTTGAAATCATCTCGGCTGAGTGTTCACCATCATCACTCGACCCGACGGGTACAGTTGCAACCGGAAGTCTCGTGATCAAAGGTAGCGGGCACCTTACCCGCCTCAAGCATGCGGAGGACTGTACAGGGCATGGTACCCAACACTACACAGTTGTGCCTACAGGCCTGAAATCGTTTTCTCGTCATTCAAACTTCACTGTCGATGGGGAGGAAGCTGAAGTTGATTATGACCTTATCGAACAAGGATTGATGGAGGAAAATTCCGATATGAGCATATATCGCTTATATATAGGTGGCAGGTCCCATGCTCAGCGTGTTTTCAGGCTTTCTGAAGGAGATTACATCTCAGCCTCGTTTTTTAGAACGTGGTGCCTCCTGTTACATTGCGTCAATGGCAACATCTTCAAAAGAGTAGGATTTCTAGTACATGACCATTACAATGGCGATGAAACGAGCATTTGGAACAACTTAGAGGACTGCATGATCACAATCATATGATAGCGCACGTAGAACAACGATGTCGACTACTGATCAAGATAGGTCATATAATCCATGGTCTAGCGGAAGTAAGTCGGCGCTGTAGCCTTGGCAGCCATCCAAGCCTCATCCAACGCCTTCACGACATCATCAGGGAGCGGACCCTTTTCCAAATCCGCAAGGTTCCCTTCCAACTGCTTCAAGCTGCTGACGCCAATGATCACGCCGTCGTTGCCGCCTTTGACCCGAGTCTTCAATTCGGAGTGGTGAACGCACCATCGCAGCGCGATCTCAAGCAAGGTCAAATCATGCTTCTGCGCAGCCTCTTCAGCAATCTTGAGTGCCTGGAAAGTAGCGTCTTTAAAGTAGCGGTCACGGTACATGCTTCCGACGCGATTTGCTTTGGTGCCGAAACGGCCTTCGTCAGGCTTGATGTCCTTGGATTTGATCTTGCCGGAGAAGAGACCACCGGCTAGGGGGTTGTAGATGACAATGTCGATGCCGTATTTGCGGCAAGCTGGAATAAGCTCGGGTTCAATGGCACGAGCTAGCACCTGTTAGAGTAAAGTTACAACGACAAAAGGCATACACTCACTGATAGCATTGTACATGGCTTGATAGATGGTCGGCTTCACCCATCCCCGCTCCTTGCAGATGTTGTACACTTCCGCGACTTCCCAGGCGGCAAAATTAGACAACCCTAAATTGACGAATTTGCCTTGCTTGTGCAGCTCATTGACGGCACCAAGAGTCTCCTCGAATGGCACGGAATGGTCTGGTGCGTGCAGATAGAAAATGTCCACGCAGTCTGCGCCCAACTCGTTGAGACTAGTCTCAAAGTGCTCTTTCAGCCTGTCGGGCTTGTGGACGCCAGCCTCATAGGGGTAGACTTTGGTGGCGAGGGTGAAGCCACGGTCTTTCCATCCGGCCTGGCGCGTCCATGCCTCTTGCTTCCCGCCAACGTATATGCGCGCAGTGTCGATTTCATCGTAGCCTTGGGACTGGAAGTAATCAAGGTGCTTGGTGAATTCGTCAAACTCTGTGATACGTGCGCCGCTGCTCTCATCGGGACCTGAGATGCATTAGTAATAGCTTTGGATGTGGTTGCAGATGGTGTGTTGGTGAAGCATACCAAATGTCATCAATCCGAGGATGACGCGGTCTTTGGGGTTCTGCGCGAGGAGAGGCATCTTTGCTATCTGTATCGATTGTGTGACCGTGAAGTGTAGAGACTATCGAGGGGGAGATTCACATCTGCCGCTGTCGTCGCGACATGACGACAGCGGGGTGCCCCGCTCGGACATAAACGCGTATTTCCGACACGTCCAACGCGTTTTCGCTTTCTGCGCGTTCCATCCTGCGATGGCGGCCAGTTCCCTTTTCACTGATAAACGACAAGACGGATCATTGCTACGCGTCCGTGCCAAGTGGTAGTAATCCAAATAACCCGAAACCCGAGTCAGCCGCACAAGTGCGATCAAAACAGGTCGCAGCTTTGACCTAGGATTGTACCGCGTTCTCCACCTCAGACCTCATGATGCGCGATCAACTCTAGCCAGTTATTGGATGACTCATCATGCAGCATGCACTATGCTCTAATTCAGACTCCTCTTCAATACTCCGGCGCCGCCGATATCGTTCTTTGCGGTGTGTCTACGGCAGTTACAGTACAGGATGACCATTCCTGGCTTCCGAATGGTTCCTCGATTCATTGGAAACGCCACGGTTTGGTTAAGAAAACGCATCTCCGCGCGACTATTGGACGGCAGCCTCGGACCTACTAAGGCTCCGCGAACTACTTGCAGCGCGGCGTCGAGGCGGAGCAGATGTCTCACGAACGCTGTCTGTGCTAAGGAACAGCAAAAGCAGGAACAGCGCACTCCCGCGGCCGTGCAATCCTTGGGGGGCGACGACGAGAAAAGGCTGAAACCTTGCTGTTCATCACAGCCAACATTCACAGCTCGCTTGGGGGCTGTGGGGCGCCCTAGAGCCAATGACGTCGCTCATGGGCCGATAAGGATAAGGAACCCAACATGTCGCAGCGCCGGGCTGGTCAGGCGGTCATCATCATGCAGCTAAGCTGCACCATCATGCAGCTAGCCATGCCCATCACTCTTGCAACATGGCCGAACTCTGCACCCAGGATCGTCCCGCAACCGTCCCGCCGCTCTTCTGTACAGCACAGGTGCCACGTAGCAGCGACGCAGGTACGCACAGAAGCCGCACACAAAGAAGCATAAACCGTTGCGGGCAGATCGCTGCACCATATAAGACTGACAGCCGGCCCTGCGCTGGCATGTACCAGCGTTCTACACTCCATTTCACTGCAGACCGACATCTGCAGTGCGCCAGAGGATGAGTCGATCAGCTGGAGCCCGAGGTGTCATGTGGCCCAGTAAGCCACTGTGTGCAAACTTACGAATCAGTCACTTCCTCGCACACCATCAAGTGGGCTCCGCTCTGATTGGAGCGCAAACCCTCGATACAAGGTACTTTGACTGAATCCTTTCTTGATTTAGCTTCTGGCCATGCGTCTATTGGAATTCGGCCTCCACGCCGCGAATGCGGTGCACTTGTTCCCTTGCCAGGCCGGAACACTCTTTGTCCTGACATGATATCATAATAGTGAGGCCGCTTCTCACCAAGTCTCCTCTGCCTTGAAACGCTAGGTTGTTCCTATCTATTGGTTTGTGTCGCGCGTCTTAAGTAGCACCTTGGGTCCCTCATCGTGCATCTTAGCACTCCGAATTTCGGCATTCACATGCATGCAGTCATCACCACTTCTGAACCTGGATACTGGACTCGAACATTGGGCGCATAGCGATCCGAGCCTGAAATCTTGGTCGCTATGTGCTGGTCTTTCAACTTTGGCTTTCCGGGCAACAAGAAGCGCAAGAGCTCGTCGTCGTCGGACGAGAAGAAGAGACGGGACCGGCCGGCGGATAACGCGCTTCATGGAGAAGGAAGGCCAGTTGCCGCAGAATACTCAGAGAAGCGCAGCTCTAAGGAATCGAGCAGAAAGAGACGATCTGGAGATTCTACCCCGCGCTCGCCGCGCCGCGAAAGAGAAAGGGAGGAGCATCGTCCGCGGTCGCAACACCACTACGAGGATGCCCACCGCAATCGAGAAAGGCGCCATTCTGTACTAGATGTCGAGGTGCCGCAAATGTATCGACGTGCACCTGAGCCAAGTAGTGTTAATTCATCTCAAGAGGCTCTGCTGAATCCGCGGCCCCATCGAAGCCAACATCATAGGCGGCGGCATCCGAAACAAACGTCACAAAGCACTCTACGCGGGCGCGGTGCAAAGCGCGATCCTGTAAGACACTCCAAATCCAAAAAGAACCTTCGACCCGAACCTTCTCGCGGATGGTCACTTTTCGCCCCGTCCCCACCCAAGACACCGAAACGTGAACATCGCAGCTACCAGACATTGGAGTCTTCACCCCGCAGTCAACGCTCATCTCGACAACATCGCTCTTCGACAACGACTACTTCTCAGACAAGCCCAGAGTCGCTGCGGTCATCGGCGAACCGCCACCACCGATCTCGTCAGCATGAACAGTCAGCTTCTTCGTCGCGCCAAGCTCGCTCCCGCACACCAAATACGGCGGCGCGTCGCGTGCCTGACAGACGCTTCGCCGTGCTCGCTGCTACCAATCAGGCGCTCGAAGAACTTCGACAGGAGGCTTTTGCGCAATCGCCTCCGCCTCCGCGCCGAGAGAGGCTGCGACGGTATGAAGGTGTTACTATCCCGACTTCGCAGATACCTTTCAATTGGGATTGCGTAAGCAGCTCGCAGACTTCAGCTGGACAGGGTCATCGGAATGGCGAGCCGAGTAGTCGGCAGAGACGGTCGCGTCGCTGATGGGGAGTCTTGACTGATCGTGCATGAACATGATGTGTCGCGCATTACACAAGACGATTTTTTCGGCAGGCGTACATTTGGTGGGTGTGGACTGAAGGTTCGGGCGGGACGTTGGGCGACCCTGTGGCGCATCATTCGCACGTGGTGTAGCGTCGTTTTTCTCTCCTTCTCTTTTCCGTTTTCTTTCTTTTTCTCGTTGTTTCACATTATTCCCCGATCGGATATATAGTAGGATACCCCCTTTCCACTTGACATGTACTCGGCAATTTGGGCGTTCGCATTGGTGTGTTGTATTTGGCACATGTATCTCCGCACGTATCAGTTTGTCAGGCGTTTTGTTTGGACAGCACAATACCCCTACATCAACATTCTTCTTTATTGTCGCATACAGCTTACTTTTGCTAGTGTCGTTAAAGCATACAACGTTACATTCTGGTCAGCTGTCATCACGTGGTTTGACTTGCGCCGATTGCAATGCATATTCTACCATTACTGCGCCGGAAGCTCTACAACGATCTCCTTGACAATTATCTCCTCCTTGATGCAAGTATCTTCCTTGATGGCCATCCTTTTCCCCTCAATCGTCTCTACATTTGTATCTTCGTCTTCGTTCGCATCTTTGTCTTCGTTGCCATCTGATATTCCTTTTACGAAAATTCTTCCCTTTGCAACCACTGCATCCTTAGTGCGTATGGATTCTTCCGCGACGGTGGCTTCATAGTGCTCCAACAATTTCCTTGAAGTCACAGCTTCGTTGTTCTTTTTCATTCCGTCGACAACGTCCCTCCAGTCAGACTTCAGCGATCCGCTCAGATCGTACGGATTGGCCTTCTTGAAAAGCTCTACCCAAGTGCTCAAGATCTGTATCGCCCGTTCTTTGCTTACTTCAAACCATTCCTGATGACATACGGGCTTCCCTGTCTTCTCCGAGCACACTTCACAGGGCCGCTCTTTGCGCCACTCTTTGATCAGCTCGAAATGCGTAAGCGTCTCCACACGTTGCGCATGTGGAACTCCAGTTGCTCTGAACAATTCGATCGGAGTATATCCGCATTTCAACCATTGTTCCAGACGCTTTTCGACTGATTTAGCCGTCCAACCAATCTTGACGTAACCGGGTGAAGATTCGCGGCGGTACATATAGACCATTCCTGTTTCTAGGTCCCGCTTGGGCTTTCGCACGTTCAAATCTTCACAAATCTTCCATGCGACACTATCTTCATGTGTGGGATCGTGGGTATGAGTGGTGAATTCTGCCGATATGGAAAGTTTGACTTGTTGGTCCAACTGTGTAAGGGAATTGCTCACTGCGCGGGAACGGAGGTGGTATCGCTTGCTCGTTTCTAGAGGCTCTGCCTCAAGTGACGCATTGTCTGGTATGATCATCGGGGAGACACATAGGAGCGGTGCTGAACTTGCTTCTAATTGTGATGGGTTTGGGCTAACAATCGGCCATTTGGATCTACCAAAAGGACTGTACGATGGACTGGACGAGGGTGTCTCGACCGTGGTGGCGCGACTAGTAGCCGAGGAGGGAGATGTGTTGCATGAACTGGGGACTGAACTGCTGGCCCGTGAGGTTCGCTTGGGCGTTATAGGCGTAGAATAATAAGCCGACTGTTTTGAAGGCTTTCCCGAGTCCTTTTTAACCTGTATCTCATCCAGCCAGCGCTCGACCAAAGGAACCAAGAGTGGACTAGATAAGATAACATCTCGATGTTTTGCTCTGGAGCAGCAAGTGGATTGTATGTAATCTCTGATATGATCTACAAGCGTATCTTCCGACTCATTCTGAGCGATGATACGATGCAGTTCAATCGCCCGTCTGTTATCGGATTCGGAGCAGTCCCACTTGCACCGTCGGTCTGGACGGTCGGCCTTCACGAAATATATGCATTGTTTCTGCGCGCTTGGGTTGAGATCGTTGAAGCTGACGAAGAAATCCACACCTGGGTCTGGAACAACCATCTCGAGGTGTATGTAGGACAGCTCAATGCGAGCGCGAAGACTTACGAGCTATATGAACACCGGTGAACCAGCCCGCATGGGCTGAATCACCAAGCCGTCGCACTGCCTACAACATTCAAGCTGAGAGGGCGAGCAATGGTCCTGTGACCAAATTCGGATTAATTTTAGGATTAGGCTGCGTCTTAAGCGCCAGCGGCTTTTCACCGGCCATTAAAATCATGCTGCAAGACAGGGCTTAGCGAAGTATTCGCTAGCCCTTGCGCTATACGGTGCGCATTCCAACTCACTTATCATTTCATGACTGTGATTTTGCTCATTGAGCTGGCGTATACATATGGGAGTAGGAGGTAGAGTACTATCGTAGCTTGTAGATTATGCGAGGCTTGAACTTAGCACATGAACGTCGTGCGGAATGCGTCTGACTATTCTTTACGCTTACCTTTCTAGCAATCACCCGCTTGCACGGCGAATGGGTCATACTGTGGTTTGTATCTAGATAGTTCCGGCCATCCCTCCAGTCCCGGTCAATTTCATCGCATCCAGTCGTGGTAAAGCTGCCTGAAGATACTTCACTATTCATATCCATCAGCTATTAGACTCTACTCCTGTTCTTTCTCCACCCACTCCACTTCCTCAGCATCCTTATCCTCATCCTCATCACCATCATTACTGCCGCTATGATCACCGTCGCTACTTGCCTCCGCTGCATTCTCCCAAGACAATTTTCTTTCCCATCTTCTTCCTACATCTCTGTTCCCTGCCTTTACCTAACAAAACCTTCAATTCATTCATGAAACGAAAGAAGACTATCGCATTGTGTTCCGCACGTCGTAAGTTGCGTTGACCAATCAAACTCTTTTTACATGCGACAACTGTCCTGTGTATGAAGCCTCCATGCCGTTTATCAGCAGGAAGATTCACATGGCACTTTTTCCATCTGAGAGCTTTCTTCATGGCCATGGTGGTGATCTCGTGGTTAGCAACGTGGATGGTGCGGCCTAATTTGAAGCAGTAACTTTCCATGGTGATTGGTGTTTCGCTTAGGTTTAATCCTTTTATTTGTAGGTTCGAGGACCACTTGAGGCGTATACGCGTTCTTCATGTCGAGGGTAAGACGCGCGTAGCTTAAAGCTTGCTCATGGACAAAGGAGAATAAACTCAAACCATCATCATTATCTTCTAGTAATCGTAACAATCTGGTCTGACTCAGTCTTAGTCTAGTCTAGATAGATAACGTGAACAACCTCGTACTCGCAAAAGAGCTACGCATCGTAACAGACGGTGAAAGGAAACAGTAACGCGAGAGGAAGAGTTAGATTGTTTAGCTCAATTGGTCGAAATCTTTGTATGAAGCAGACGTTACAGATAATCTAGTGTTACAACTTGTAAAAATACATGCACCTATTCTAATTGTTGCCACACTATATATTCTATATCTTTGGAGGCTGCGCAACATTGCCGCGAAAGCGGTCTGCAAGAAGAGCATAATTCGCCCTTGTAGTATCGAAAGGTATGTTATTCGAACGATCATAGAGAAGAAAAGTTCGACTGAAGGTGACAAAGCTCGCATCGAAGTTGATACCAAGGTCTTTGTTCTTTGCAATAAGCTTGGCCTGTGCATTCCTGAACGCAGTAACGGAGGGATTGTCGTCGCAAAGCCAGAATTTGAAGACACCGTTCAGACTTGGATTGTTGTAACCACCATAGTACGCGCGAGAGTCGAGACCAGGGACCGGCGTGTGAGTACTGGCGTTGTAGATCGTACCAGAGGGGATGTCGGCGAGAAGACTGTTCATAATGTTGGCTGCGAAGGTGGCATTGTCAAACGAAGACGTGTTCGCGTTGGAAGCATTTGCGACAACCCAGTAAAAGGCATTGTAAGTTTCGAAGTGATCGGAAAATTCGCAGGTGTTCTGTACATCTTGGAACGCTTCATAAGCGTAAAAGCTCATCACGCCCGAGAAGTCACTGAAAGCATTCCCATCAGGACCGATGACCGTCGCAGTGTAGTTGTTCGATGGTGGTGTCGAAAAGGATGATTCAGAACGGCTGTATAGCTCGGTTATGTCGTTGTGGCCGAAATAGGAGGGTTGCGCATGATTTTCCGTAGTATTGATGCCGTAGGCTGAGTCAAAGATGTGGCCCTGGACATAGGCGATAGGCTGGTCGACAGTATCTGGAGCGTTCCATGATTTGCGGCCATGAACTATCGTATGATGGTATAGGTATTCCGAAGTGGTCAGACCTTGACGACGCTGGTTGGCGACAAGTTGCTTGGGAAACGAGTTGGGCCAAGTAGTGTTGGCGAGGCACTGCGCGACCAAGCCTTGACTAAGAAAGATCAGAATTGAAGAATTGGCTAGCCGCATGACTTATCACAATGTTTCCGACCTCGTGAGATGTAGTTGTGGCGCTGGCACATAGTTGTCTTTATTGCCTGTTTATGTCGGGATGTGGAGGTTGGTTGCTTACATAAAAGAGCCGTCGGCCGGCGCACGTCGCACGAGGTGGTCACGCAGTGGAAGAGCGAACCATCGTAAATAGCTCGCCGACGCGCGGCTAGACTCGCGTCGGCGTTATCTATAGTGTATAATGCCTTGAGGGTTAGGATAGTTCTTAGGCAGAGTGGACTTAACCCGATTCGGCCTAGTAGATCAGGATAAAGTTTATCTTGTTTGAGTTCAAGTTCTTTCTGTCAGATCAAGAGAGAAACTGATTTTGATTCCCTCTAGAGTCGCAAATTAGAAAAGACTCAACATCAGACTTATCGATTGCCTCTATCTTGACCACTGTTGTGTAATCCTTTGTCTTTCGGGGCGTGTCAGCGATGCAGACTCTTGAAACAGGTACTACGAAGTGACTTTCTCCGTCTAGTACGATACTGTTGTCGCCTAAATTGCTGGAACTATGCACCCTGATATGTCGACAATTATTGAGGCAGAATATCGACATCGAGCAAACAAAATAATACGTTGTATGTATGCCGAGCGCAACGAAAAGCTTGATCAAAGTGCGCGTGAGTGTTAGCCATAAAATGCTTTATCGCGCAAAGCAACTGGGAAGTGACAAGCGCTCAACAAAACCCGAGATGACCTTTCTAGGATCAACAAATATCACAGTCCAAGTAAGAACCTCCTATCGATCAGCGAGACGGGTGAATGTACCACCCGCAGCCTTAACAACCCGCTTTAACGCTCTCACAAATATCTCCCAAGGCTCTTCGCTGACATCCAGCTCGCCCGATAGTTCCGAGAAGTGTGACTTCGCGTCATAGTATATGTCTTGCCTACTCTGTTCTTGTAAATTTGCATCCTCTCTTCCCTCATTTTCGCCTTCGGTAGTACACCATGATGAAGGTACCGATTCGGTACCATCATCATGGTGTTCACGTTCTACTAGAGGCGACCGCACTATGTGGTAAGTCGCGTCATCAATGTACTCTCTGGTAGAATCGCCTGGAAGATGAACATCGGGAGCCATTCTAGGACTTGACCCGCACCGGAGGAAGCGTACATGCAAACCTGTGTTGTAGCGTCTGACTTCAATGGTTGCTTCTAGAAATTAGCGATGTAAGAGTGGGTTGATAGACATACTTACAATTTGCATTGAAGCGTAAGGATATTTGTGTAGGGACTTGTAGTACCATACCAACACTGGACAGGCGTCGAAGCACAATATCGTCTCCGTCAACAGTCAGATCCCAGGTTACGGAGCAGGCTTGCCACGCTGTGACACGTATGCGTTCTGAAGCTACATGCGACGTTCTCGACAGGATTGCGTTGGAAGTCAACATACCACCTGCACTGCGAGTTTCTTGTACTGGCAGATTCGCCTGAACAATAGTTCCGGTCTTGTCCACCTCGCGTCGTTCCGATTGCTCGAAAAGATGTAGAACATCAACCTCGCGAGCTTGTTGAACATTCATCACCGTATTTGGAAGCTCATGCTGCTTGAAATCCAAAGTGGTAGCAAGTCGCTCTCTACCCGGTTGCCTCCAAAGGATGGTAAATTTCTTTTCCGTTTCACTTGGAACGATCAAGAGACCCGGAAGGCGTATCCCATGTTTGCCGGCCATGTTCACTGCATGCAAGTGCTGATGCAACTGACCGAACATCCACTCTAGTGTCGTCATCATGCCTTCCTTACGGAAGATCATAACCTCCCCAAGGATTTCGCTTGGTCTGACATAGATGCCTGATCTCCCAGTCACATGGTACCAATTGGAAATTTGTTCATCTGGTGGCGCAAAGGTTTCATCTCTCGTTTTGAACATCTCGGTCGACTTGGCTAGGTCGTGTTCTCTGTATCTCCGCTGCGGAAGATGTATCTAGTTGTACTTTCACATCATTTGTCGTAGTTTGCTTCTTGCCTGCCTTCATGATGAACATCAAGCATGGGACAAGCTCGTGTGATCCAGCGTCCGGACCAATCTGCCGTCACTTTCAGAATCATCTAGTCAATCGAAGTTGTACCTCTAATCCAGAGTGTGCCTTCTCACCCCTGCATGATTCTTGTCTCAGAATGGATCGTAGAGCGTTGAGAAGTCGTCGCTGACGTCATTGGATGTAGGCTAAGTGTCTCAGTCTTGGTCTTGCGAGTAATGCAAAGGATGGCCTCTTTGATAAGATATCCCGCGAGGAGAAAATACGTTGATTGGCACAAAAGATAAGACGTGTGTAATGTTCAGGTGCAGCTTTCCATTCCGATTCCGAACGGAGCAACCCCCGCGTTGAGCTAGGACGTTTTGGGAGAAGCGGGGTACGCCTCTATGCCACTTTGTTCCTTGTAGCCAACATCAACTCCGTGCACAAGCGGGATGACTCTTTTTGACGCGAAAGTCTAGGCCTCATGCCGAATCAACCAGCATGTTTCGTGAGCGTCAGCGCTAAGCCAGAGCGACTTAATGCGACGCCCGTCATCGCATAAGGCTGCCTAGTATATAAGTTCACACGAGAAAGGCAGCATGCGCTTGCAAACATTCAAGCATTTTCCCACTCCATACACGAATTGATACGCACAACTTCAGCAAGAGTAAACACAATCGCAATCATGGCAGAACAAAAAGCCGCCTTCATCAAAGTCCCCACCGACCTCACCAACGGCTTCCAAACCATGCCCGTCGAGCCCTCAAGACGGCTACCTGAATCCGACATACGTATCGAACTCTGCACCGAACACGACGCAACCAAGATTGCCGAGGGCCTCTATCTGTGTTTTCCCGACGACTGGTGGGCAAAGAAAGAGCCACTGGATCTCCGTCCCCAGGAAAACAGTAACCAGATCCGTATCCAGCGAATGGCTGCACGCCTGACCCCAGCCATCACGGACCCACATCACAGCTTCATCAAAGCCGTCTATGTCGCCACGGGCGAAACGATTGGCATAGCAGGCTGGACACTTCCGTCGAATCCGGGCGTGCACAACATGTTCCGCCGCTCTGCTGTCGACCACTACGGGTGGCAAGAGAAGATGGGCTGGAGCGATGCTGAGCTCGAGGAGATGTGGTCGCATGTTAGCAATGAGACTTGGAGCGTTCAGTTTGGCAAGGATGACGAGACGAGGAGGGAGATTACAGAGGGGAAGCCGCATTGGTATCTTGCGCCGTTGCTAACGTGGCCCGAGTGGCAGGGACGCGGGGTGGGGAAGAGGTTGATGGATTGGGCTATCAGGCAGGCGGATGCGGAGGAGGTTAGTACGCCGATGTATTTGGAGAGTAGGCCGAGTGCTAGGCCGGTTTATATGCATTTGGGGTTTGTGCCGTGTGGGGAGTATAACATGCTCAGGAGGGGACCGGCGGTGGTGAGAGGGTTGGAGGCAGAGGAGGAGAGTAAGACTGCGGATGTTAGGGTGGATGTTGTGGCGAAGAAGACGGAGGCTGATGTGGTGGGGTAGGTTCCATGTCACGTTATGTCCATAAAGCAATGTTTCCACAGCGGTATTCTGAAGAAGCAAAATCTTAATGTTACATATCTCTATTTGAATTACCTGATATTATAACAACGTCAGTAATAGTCTCGAAGCAAACGGATATCGACACGCTTACTCCAGGTACGAAGGCGTTATTCGGATTAACAATGGCGAATGTGCCGGTTGCGACTGAGTGCTCATCAAGCTCCTTGTTGGTGATGGTCTCGCCGCCAGCTAAGTATTGGTTCTCGGCCGGGTTGATCGCAATGCATACATCGCTACGAGGTGATCGTGGGTAGAGGCAAAGGTCGCAATGGAGTTGCCGTTTATGTGTGAGTGTATACGTACGGGAAGATCTCGACGATGGTGACGCGAGAGATGTGAGTAAGAGCAAAGAACTGAGAAGGAAAGCTGTAGTGATGAGTCTGTGGACCGCACTTGTTTGCTCCCTCCCAACCAAAAACTGACCAGTCGCTCTAAGCATAGACTCATCAAGTACGACGCTGATTGGTCCCAGAGTTCCACTAAACGAGCGCAAGTGAAAGCAGGAACGCGAAGCACTGCTCTGCCGAAGCTATCATGGCAGCTGCTAGAAACCAGAGAAAATATCCGAAAAGCCGCCTGGAGCTCAATCAGGAAGGCGACCGTGCCACTTTACTGCTCAGGACGGCCGAAGTAACTAGAGCGAGCAAAGTGACTCACTCATAGCAGACAAACATCTCCACACGACTTGGGAGACAACAACCAGATATTCACCACCTCTACTTGTCTCAGTCCTTACTATGCCTAGTCCCCTCTTAGCCTACATCTGCACCTCCATCAACTCCAGCATTCGCTTCGTCAGTCCTGTACCGACAAACCCCAGCATCTATTCCGTCTGGAGGGAAGAACAAGATGTATCATCTCATTTCTGAGTTTCCCAATCTTTCCGGATACCCCTTCCTCTCAGTCTTAGCGTGGTAGTGCTGAAGTCAGCGAGACGTGTCTGCCACCCTTCGCAATACGTGATACGGGGCTTCATCCGTGGCACGTATCGGAAGACATGGACACGAAGTTCGGCGGGTTAAATCCTGCTTAGATCAAATGAGAAGATCTGATGTAACTAGTCGCCACGTGCTGGAATTCCCTAACGTCTCAATTCCCATGTCGTGGGATAGCAGCATGGTGCGAGGAGAGACAGGCGGCTGTAATGTCAACGACTCTGCCCAATTCTTTCCACCAATCATAAAAGCCGCCCAGGGAAAATGCATGCCATGTCCATACAGCCACGTGAAGGCAAATAGATTTCGTTGAATCGTGCCTATGACTGTCGTGGGCCTCTAAAAGCCACGTCGTAATCAGGCCGTGGCGATCGCGCATCAAACGGCCGGCTAGCCGGATTCTCGCTCCACCGAGTACATTAGCGCCTTCCTACATGGCGCCAGGCCGGCCCATCCAAACATGACATCCAGAGGTCGCACCTCACCACCACCATGAGGGTGCGATTGACGCCGTTGCGCCTCGCATGCGCCGTCACCGTCTTTGTCGTCTTCTCCCTGTGCACGCTCGTCGTCCGCCTATGGCACGGCGAGCGCGGCTACGACATCCTCCCGCCATCGCCCGCGACACCCGGCGGCGGGCCTCCCTCGCACGTCGCCTACGGCACCGAATGCTCTCCCTTCTCCGCCGGCGTCATGGACCGCGTGACCGTTGTCCTCAAGATTGGCGCCGGCGAAGTCGCAACCCAGTTGCCGCTCTACCTCAACCGGCTCGGGCGCTGCAAGCAGGACCTGCTCATCTTCTCCGACCGCAAAGACACGTACAACGGCTTCGACATATCCGACGCCCTCGCCCACCTCCGCCCGGAATACAAGTTCAATAACCCCGACTTCGACGTCTATGACCGCATACAGAGCTCCAATGGCACGGCAGCGGCGGGTGGTGACAAGAGCGAGGAGGGCTGGCGTCTGGACAAATACAAGTTCCTGCCTATGGTGGAATGGACGAGTTACCACCGGCCCGAGTCGGAGTGGTATGTGTTTCTGGAACTGGACACGTATGTGAACTGGGATAACATGTACCGCTTCCTGTCCACGTTCAATCCAAAGTCGGCCTACTACTTCGGCTCTCCGGTCTGGCCTAAGAAGAAGACAGTCTTTGCACACGGCGGCACAGGCTTTGTCTTATCGCGTGGCGCGCTCGATAAGATCATGGCGCTGGGCCGTATGTTTGGTGAAAATAAGCACTTCCCTGGGACCCATTTCTTCGGCGTCGATGTCAAGAAGCAGTGCTGCGGTGACGAGATGCTGGCGCAGGTGCTAAAGAAGAGCGGTGTCTCACTCCGAGGATACTGGCCCATGTTCAACGGCGAGAAGCCAATTACCATGCGCTTCGACAATGAGCAGTGGTGCGAGGCGGTCTTGACGATGCATCATCTTGGTGAAGAGGACTTTACAAGATTGGCACAGTGGGAAGAAGCGCGGAGTCATCCCGAGAGGCCGCTCATGTTCGAAGAGCTGTTCACAATGATTGAACCGAATCTGCAAGATAAGGCGGAAGACTGGTCAAACATGTCCGAGGACGTCGTATACAGAAAGGGCAAAACAGCGGCCAAGTCTTTTGACAGATGCCAGAAGGCGTGTGTAGGCGATGGCAGGTGTCTGCAGTTTGAACACGACGGTAATGAGTGCCGCCTTGGCTATTCCATCCGACTAGGTCACCACCAGAGCAGCGAGGGCGAGCGGAGGTGGACGAGTGGATGGATGTTGCCAAGGATCAAGGCGTTCAAGCAAGCCCGCTCGCCATGTCAGGGCGCCCGCTTTGTTCACTCCAATCCTTGAGTTGCATCTCTTTTCCGGAAGCATGGACGACGATATGATATGTTTACGGCATTATATGGCGTTTGATACCCCCAAGGCGTTTTTGGATGGCACGTTGTTGTTGTTGTTGTTGTTGTATATATTGTGCGAGTTGTTGGCGAATCGCCATGGTTTTGGGGATGGCGTGGGGATGGTCAAGGCATTGGCAGACATCTGCTTGCCATGGGATGTTGCGGACTGGAAGAAGGAACTTGGCTTGACGTATTCGGTAGCGCTACTGACGGGTCGATGCGAGTGGCTCCGAGGGAACGATCTCGCAATGCAACTTTAGCCGTGTCTTGCCGTACCTTGTACATATGGACAGAGATCGTGGCATACCTTGTACGGGTGCCTGACCACTCCGACACGCTCATGAATGCTCGGAAGCGTCTGCACTCGCAAAGGATTCGACAAAGCAATCATGCTTCTGTGTCAGCTGAAAGCACTGCAATGAGCGGTAGGTTGGGTTAATACTCGAAGATAATACACGTTACACATCACTGCAACGCGCAGCACCGATTGCCTATAGTAGAACAAACTCAGCTGCTTGTTTTGATACCGTCGTCACTACTGTCTTTGTTATTGCTAATGGTGTTTGTCAAGTGTTCAGCTGGTACTGGTGGTGCTGCCTTGCTGCTCTTCTGAGTGGGGAAGGAAGGAGCTCCTAGCCCCGTCGTAACTCACATGTACACTCCCTCTGATCTTTCTCGCACTCATCTTGTCGATACACTCCCTGATCCGCTACTTGATTCGACCGTTCAGCCCCAATAGCATCCGTCGTGCGAAAGCGCGCGGAACGATTGGGTTGTTGAGTGTAGCGGACGTATCTCGCTACGCTTATGTTTCTCTCCTCTCATGCATTAACCTCAGCCACGTCTTGGCACGACAGAAGGCGTACTGATTGAGTCGAGATGCTTGCCAGCTGAGTACAGGAACGCCATCCGGACACTAATGCAGGTACCGTACGAGCCAAGCCGAGTGTACACTCCGCGGTCATTCCTAGACACACACTGCAACAGTACAATTCGTGATGCACAGCGTTATTAGTACGCGCGATACTTGCTAATCAAGGTATATACATTCCTGGATCAGCCACACCATGAGCGATATAGTTTCTTCCATACGAGATATCCTCGCGGACGTAGACAAATGACTGCTTCGAAGCGCCTTCCCTCGTGGCAGACGCAAGAGCAAGGGATGAGGGAGCACAGTCTAGACGTCCGGAAAGCCGCAGCATTGTCAAGCGCAAAAGCAAATCACACCTAGCGGAACGGGTCGATACCAAGAGCCCCAGTATCATGGACGTTCGTTGGCTCCAGGAACTCACGCCACGTGCGCCGCAGGCAAGGACCGCATTCTCCTAGCGAGCCAGGACTCCAGCCAGCCGCAACGCGCAAACGGGTGTCAGGTCGTTAGCTCTGGCGGATAATTGCTTGTTTAGACATCTTGGCTCTCGCCTATGTGCCCCCTCCCCTTCTTGCAATTGCTTACCTCGGCGCTAGCAGATCAAGCCTCAACGACAGAGACGCGACGGGGATCGTCACTCGTGGACATTTCGAACACCCCAACCCCACATTTCGGCAGCCCCGTCCAGCCTTTTCTGCAGGCACCAGAGTCTAGATCGTCGGTATCGATTGCGATGGCTGTGCGCGAGAGATGTTTGTCGGACCATGGGGCGTAGTAACTCTTGTTCACATCCCTGGCTAAAGGGGAACATGACATCTCGCTTATTCGCCTGTGGATCTACCTAAACGCTGTGCAGGTCAGCGCATCACCTACATGGGCATGTTCGGGGTCATGACAGGCACGTCGTCACTGTAACCTGCATGGCAATGCCAAGTCTGTGGCTCTACCATTGACGAAAATAACTTCCACCGCGGTTTTTTCTTTTCGACCTCAGTGACGCCTGAGATGGGGATCCGATGAAAGCCTCTATGCCACAAGCTTCTCTCTATGGACTTGAGGACTATATATGATCATGTCTCTTGCGCGGAATGGAGAGTCCACAGCAGACATCACTCGCTCATCGTCTCTTGTGCTTTCCTACTCGACTCTCTCTACTTGATTTCCTGGTAGTGTCATCATTCGTTCTGACGCGAAGGTCTACATTCGTTCATCTATATCGCAACCATGCGTTTAGCATTCCTCTGGGCTTCTTTGACTGCCCTCACGGCGGTCTCGTCTGCTGCAATCACGGAAACAGGACAGTGTGGCGGAACCACCGGCCTCACGTGCGAGGGCTCACGCTTCGGCAACTGTTGCTCGCAGTACGTGACTCACGAAATATGACTCCTCTGACCAAGCGGACTAACAAATATTCAGGTACGGCTGGTGTGGTTCTTCCCGCGCCCACTGTGAGACTTCTCAGGGCTGCAAGCCCCAGTTTGGCACTTGCACCGACAAGCCGGACAGCAAGATCTCTCCCGATGGGTCTTGTGGCGGATCTTCTGGTTACGTCTGCTCTGGGTCTGGCTTTGGAGATTGCTGCTCTGAGTATGGGTGGTGCGGTTCTAGCACTGCTCATTGCGGCGCTGGTTGCAAGTCTGACTTTGGTATCTGTCCTAACGCTCGCTCTTCGTCCACTTTGCAGACTTCTGCTCGTTCTTCATCGACCGTTCGCTCTTCTTCTAGCTCTGTTCGATCATCTTCTGTCCGATCATCTTCTGTCAGATTGTCTTCGACTCGATCGGCGTCTACGCGAACGACTTCTACACGCACAACTCCTACGAGGAGTCCCTCTGCTAGGTCTTCTTCTACCCGCACGACATCGATACGCTCGTCTAGCAGGCGGATATCTTCCTCCACTCGTTTGACGTCGAGCTCCTTGAGGTCGTCAACATCGTCTTCTGTTACGCCAACGAGGTCTAGCAGCGCTTTTGTGTCACCATCGTCATCGAGCGCTACTTCGACGCCTGCTGTCTCTTCTTCGGTTGTTGCAGCGTCTTCTGCCTCCATCACGTCTTCTGAAGAGGCCGTCTCTTCCGCGGTTGTTTCACCCGAAGCCTCTTCTTCACCAGTCGTTGCTTCTCCAGATGTCGTTTCGTCATCTGCCGCTGTCTCCTCTGAGATCATTATCTCGTCTTCAGCCGCAGTCGAAACTTCAGAGCTTTCATCCTCGTCTGCTGTTACTACTCCCGATGTCCCTTCGTCATCTTCCTCCGAGCTTTCGACCCCATCCGAGGCTACCTTGACAGAGACATCGTCGTCGACGATAACCGCAAGCCCGGACGTGGTTTCTTCGACCGACACCGTCACCATGACGTCGCCTGATGCTTCTACTCCAGTTGCTGGGAGCTCATATTCCACCAGCGAGCTTTCCGATATCGTATCTTCGTCCGTCGAGATTCCCTCCACGTCTACAGTAAGTGTGGATGTTACCCCTATTTCGAGCGATGTGGATGTCACGCCTTCTGCTGTCACTTCCATTGTTGTTACACCCTCGGCCATCGTTACAAGCTCTTCCGAGTCAACACCGTCTGCTAGCGAAGAGACTCTGACAATAACCGAGACTGAGTCGCTGAGCACTACAAGCTTTGAGGTAACTCCGACTAGTACCGAGCAACCAGCACTGTCGTCAGATATCTCGAGCTCGGTTCTTGCTGAGGGTACTACGTCAACTGTCGACGAAACTGCGTCATCTACTGCCATCTTGGAATCCTTCTCGTCAACAATCGAGACCAGCGGGTCAGTTGCTGCCTCTCCCACCCCGAGTAATGTGGTTTCTTCGACTGTCAGTGAAGTCGTTGCTTCTTCTTCCAGCGAAATTGTTCTCCCAACTATCAGCGTGGTCATGCCTTCCATTGCTAGCGGAACCCCGACCAGCTCTAGGGTTGTGCCATCGTCTGTCATCGTTGAGCCCTCCAGCTCCGCATCATCGTCTGCGGCGCTCCCCTCAATATCTTCTACCTTGTCGTCAATCCTAGTGTCCTCTACGCCTGTCGCCACCCCATTACCTTCGTCGGGCGGACCATCTCCAACTCAGTCCTGCATTGCACGATCTGCAAACTACGTCTCGAACGGCAACTTCGAGACTGGATCGCTCAGCGGCTACACCATCGACACAAGCCGGTCAACCGTCAGCATCGTCAACGACGCTTCATCCGCCCACTCCGGTAGCTACTTCATTCGTGGAACAAGTACCGAAAACAACAGCAAAGACAACAACAAGGCCATCTTCACGCGCTACAACATCAATATCCCTTCGGGCACCAAGGTCGTGGTATCCGCGTGGTTCAAGTCGCTGAGGTCTGAGACTGAGAGAATCCAGCGTTTTAGAATCTACCTCGATGGAACTGAGCTTGGTAATGTCGTCCCTGTCAACGGTGATAAGAAGTGGATCAGGGTTGGTAACACGGAGTCGACGCCTCACACTGTGTCGATGGCTAAGACCCATACTCTTCAGTTCCGCGTCGACAATAACCCCTCTGATGGTCCCTACTTTGACATCGATGATGTTTCTATTGTGGCCGTTGACTGCAGTACTGTATCAGTCTCGTCGTCGAACTCGGTTATCGTACCGTCCAGCTCTAGCGTGGTCACAGTGTCGTCGAGCTCTTCTCCTGCTGTTGAGTCGACTACTCCTTCCACTGTCTCTGCGTCTGCCTCTCCATTCAGCAATGTTGTGTCGATTGCGTCAAGTACACCTGCGGCAGAGGCGTCTTCTATCCCGAGCGAAATTCTTACCAGCACATCTGCGATCGAGACTGCAGTAAGCCCATCAGTTACTGAAACTGTTTCAAACATTCCCCAGACTACTCCTTCCGCTTCTTCGATCGAGTCGTCTGTAGTTGTCACTTCAACCACCCCGGAACCTACTCCCGAGACCACACCCAGCCCTACCGACATCATCGCTAGCTCTTCAGACGGCGCTCCCATCACCTCTGAGTCAACTCCAGAGGCTGCCTCGAGTGCTACTCCAGGGGTTACCACTCCTGTCGATGTCGCCTCCAGCACACCCGAACCCACTGCCAGCGTGTCCTCAGACACCGTGTCTGTAACTCCCGAGACCAGCCCAGCTTCCTCCGGCGTAGTTTCTCAGACGCCTGAAGCTAGCTCAGAGTCTTCACTACAAGTCACTGCTACCTCATCTTCTTTAGACGTCGTCTCAAGCACCTCCGAGCCTAGCCCAACCTCTTCGGAAGTTGTCTCCCAAACTCTTGAGACGACACCAAGTGCTTCTGCGTCAGAGACCGCAAGCACCGCAATCGTCGATACTAGCTCGTCTTCTTCCGAAGCGATCTCCAGCACTGTTGAGGCTGTGACTAGCTCTTCTGATGTCGCAAGCGTAACACCGGAGACTACTCCTACTCCTTCGCCGGAAGTATCACCTAGCTCCAGTAGCGTCGAGACCGTACCCAGCTCTTCTGATGTTATCTCTGCGACGCCTGAGACCACTCGCATTTCTACACCAGTAGCGACATCTTCCGAGGTAGTGTCCGGCACTTCTGAGGCTACGCCCAGCCCATCCGATGTCGTATCTGCTACACCAGAGGTAACCTCGACCGCTTCTTCGGCTGTAGTTGAATCGACTCCCAGTCCTACAGGTGTCTCTTCTAGCACCCCAGAGACAATGTCTAGCTCTTCCGAAATTGTCTCTAGCACTCCCGAAGTGACGGTGAGCCCTTCAGCTTCCACGACTAGCACGCCGTCTCTAACCTCGAGCTCCACACCTGCTCCCGTTACACCCACTCCGACAACCCTCGTGACTCGCACATCCTCATTCACCTCGACATTCACTTCTACATCACTTCTTCCATGCTACACCGCTAAATCTGAATACCTCATCAACCCTGGCTTCGAGGCAACCTCCGGCAACAGCATCACGCCTTGGACATCAACTGACACTGGATTTGACTACTCCGTACAAAACGACAATAGTCGCTCCAGCGGCCGAGTCTTTCGTGGCACCACATCTAGCAACAACCCATCTACCCTCAAACTCACACAGGCCAATATCAAGGATCTACCCGCTGGGACTACCGTTACCGTATCTACATATATCAAGCCAATGCGCGACGGGATCACGACGAGCAACTCTTTGTCGTTCAACTTGAAGTTCGACGGTACGAGCGTTCAGACTTTCACCGCAAGCAATGCAAATAAGAATGGTTGGATACAAATGACAGGTTCGATCATGGTCAGCAATGCTGTATCGCATACTGTTTCGCTGGAGGTGAATACCAAGGGTAAGAGTGGCAATATCTTTGCGGTAGACGATTTTTCGGTTAAGGCGACGATTCCGGCAGCGGGTAATAGGTTTTGCACGAAGTAGGCGGTCTGTTTTCGTAACAACACTCTTTGTATACGCCAATTTTCTTCTGTCTTGAGATCAAGCATACGGGGAAGGTAAATAAACCGAAAAACGCCATGTGGGTTACGCAGATTCATACATTCCTTTCAAGTATATTCTACATTATATTCGCTGTACAATAAGTTTAGAAGTTCGATTGTTGCTCCCTAGTCGATTGCCTTCCCTGCTTTTAACTTCCCAATATACATCCATAACGCCCTCGTCATTGCTGGGATCATACGATGGATCTCCGTCGTCCAATCAAAGCAGACATCTTGTAGTGGGCCTGGCTAACACGTGGTCTAAATTAGTCCACGGGAACGAGCGAACCCTCATGGATCGCGCCTGCTGCCCCGAAACACCTCGCTTATCGACATGTTCCTAGAGCCAATCCATGCGATGCTATTACGGTGCGCATCCTCAAGAGTATCAGATGATCATCATTGACATAGCTTTGGCCAAGCTGCTTCTGTGGCGCAAGCCGTCGAAGCAAACGATTTATCGTCCGCCAATGAAAATTTTTCAGAGATAAGGAAGTGCATGTGGGGGCTGATTCACGATGGCGGTGCACAGCCATACCGAACTTTGAGACGGGAAGAAGAGATGGATTGATCCGGTATTGACGTTTCGACACTGGCGGGCAAGTTTCATTACATGCACTGATGGAAGTTGAAGTTACTGGAACTGGATCAACAACAAGCATAAAGCCTGTAAGCGCAACTCCACATCCGTTGCGTCAGCATTCGCATCCCTCCTGTGGGTTACAGACACCTGGCGGAGGACCAAAAAGATGCTGAGCCGACAGTTGAGGATAAATCTGCGCACGACCACAGGCTTGGAGAATCAAGGCAAATAATGACGCGCAATGTGCTGCGATGCTTGATCCCTACACCTTCTGGAATCTATGACGGGAGATTTGACTCTCTCAGCCACGGAGGCGCACTCGAACACGTTCGGGATCGACACGCCGAGTCGCATGCATGCGAGATGGTGCAGCGCGCGCGCCTTGAATGAGGTCAACAGACAGGGCAAGCCCGGATGCAAGTAACTCCCTAGCAACATCAGATGACTGACAGGAAGGGCTACCGGCAATTGCCTGACATGCGATGAATGGCATGGGTGTCGAGTGCAGGGTCGGGTTTAGGCGTATAACGAGCTCTCATGGTGGCACCAAAGGACGACTGCAAGATCACGCAAATAGCTCCTGTGACAAGAGACGACGCGGAAAAAGCCATGACTACGTCTCCAATGCGCATCGGAGTAAAAGATTCGTTCAGACTCAATTCGCACGCAGAGGGGTGCCTCGCTCTGTGCCTTCTGCAACCAGTCCTCCACTCGGCTAATCGGCGTTGTCAGCCTGGGCCCTCGCATCCTGATGGTTGCGCACCTCGATGCAGCATCAGTGTCGGGTCTGCAACACTTCTGTCCACATCAGCTTAGCGCACACGAGGCACATTTTTCCTGCCACTGGAAGCAAGGTTGCCTCGTCCCATATCAGAAAGGATGCATTGTGAAGTGCGATGTAACTCATCTTGAGCCGAAAGTGCAAGAGGAGAAGGAGAGTATTTGCGTCACTCGATTCAGAGTGATGCTGATGCACTTGACTAATGGCTTGACTATTGCAGCGGTGAACGCTTTGGGAAAACTTGGGATTTTGTCTATCTAATAGATTCGCCGACATGATTGCAACGTCGATTTGCCACAGGCGAAACCGTCGGACTAACGGTCATGTGACTAAAATGTTCAAACATTTACAACTCTGAAAGGGTGCCAAGGACGGCAACACGTCACTGAACATGGGTTAGAGGGTGGGAGTTTGAAACGTCGAGTAGCTTTGGTAAAGGTGGGTCCTGATGATCAAAACCGGGCTATACACCGGCTTCAGTCCGCTGGTACCTACGTCGGCGATGCGGGCACTCTTCCAGTAGTCAGGCGTAGCTCCACAGCACAGTACAAGTTCCACGTGTAAGCAGGGTTGTCTTCGTATGCGATGATCCTTTTCGAGACGACAATCCTTGCTTTGCTTCTTACCGCTGGGACACTGGCACGCAGATTACAGAAGCGCGACTCCGCTGCGATTCGTTACTTTCCAAGTGTCTCACTCTTCCGAACGTCGTTCACTCCCATTTTACTGCCGCAAATGGAGACTGTCCCCTGCACGCATCAGTAACATGGTTTCGTCCGCAGATGTCTAGCGGTCGTCGCCATGTCGGAACACTGCTGACCTTGTCTGCGAAAGGCTGAACTCATCTGCAGAGGCCACCCTCTTTTGCGAACACTGCCCATCGGGGCTCCACTTTAATCATGCACCCGTTTAGCTGCACTGCGCATCTAGCTTGTTTAAACGAGCACATGGCGAGATCAGACCTAGCGCTGATCTCTCAGTTCCCCGCAATCAGATGTCGTGAATCTTTGCGCGCCTTTTATATTCTCCTCCTGCCCATTGTTTTTCGTAAGCCGGCCACTCTGATTCTCTACTCACTATCATTAGAACCAAATCTCGCACACTGTCTTTTTGGTACTTTGTTTAAGTACCGTAACACTCCTTTACATATTTTGCGTCGCAGGCTCGTCGTCTTGATTACCCACTCGCTATCACAAACACCCACACCGACCGACACACGGTTCATTTTACACTTTTGAAGTGTCGTCACGCTCATTTATATACCCTCCGTCGCAGGATCGTCGTCTTCATCATTCACTCGCTATCATCGGCAGCTACTTCCACACACGGTCCTTTTGGTATGCTTCGCATTACCGTTACGCTCGTTCTCGTCCCTTCCGACATTCCTTTCCTTTGAAGACCGGCCGGTGCCTTTATAGCAATATCGTTTCGATCTTAAAGATAAAAAAACCCGATACAATTACATTCTCCAGTCATGGACCATGCAACCGGTTTCCCTACCAATGGACATCCCGTGTATCCACATGCCGCCCTAGTGCTGGCTTCGAAGCTTGGTCATCATGACCCGCAGATTGTGATGAGTAGAGGCACCGCGAAGCAGAACGCGAACATACGCAACATGCTGTTAGCCAACGCAAGTGGAGCGGACATTCTGTTGAGCGTCCAAACACACCAGGCTTCAAGGAACGCTGGGATTCATCAGATACTCGATAACCTCTCGGAGTTATCGACGGAAGAACTACGCCAGATAATACATGCGAACGGCAAGTGGCCAGGCATGACTACGCTATCTTCACAAGCTGACATGAAATAGAACGACTTCTATCACCAGTCTTGAAAGCGGACGTGAACCTCAAGCGGAAGATGTCCGAAGACCCTGACGAAGAACCGGCCCCTTCTCCTCAGAGCGCTGAACGCCCGCGCAAGACTTTGAAGGGCAAGAAACGGATTCAAGAAAAGCTAGTTAAGGACACGTCGCGTGTGATGCCATATGGATGTCCTGGATATGGAGGCACGTGTCAAGAGCATAAGAAAAGACGATGGACATCGAAGACAAAGTTTCTGGACCACTTCATGACGGAACATCCGGAGGAATACAAAAGCATCGACCGTTGCGGCGTTGTAGATGGCTTCAAATGTCTCGAGTGTAAGAAAAGGAACTCGTCTTTTGGTGTCGATACGGGAGTGGTCACATCCACACACATACGAGAACTTGCAGTCCACGTATGGCACGATCATATGATCTCTCGAACCACAGTGGTACATGTTCAGAGGGGCGAAGTAGGCGTGAAGGATGAACCTAAAGAGTCCTTTGATATTCGCTACAACGAGTCCGGTGGTACCGGACTTGGGGATCAGAACCAGAGCTCTATGACTATAGAGAAGGACGAAATTAAGCCCGCGAAGTCTTCAGGTACTGAGCACGAACAGACCTGCGATGTTGGACCCGACGCATCCTTATGTTGCGACGTTGGCAGCGACTCCAACATCCTCGGAGAATTCGACTTTGGTACTGATGCCAACTTCATGGACTTTTTCGACCTGAATGGGTATTTCAGTGGCCCGTTGTCCGATGTCTGACCATGTCAAAAGTCCCATTCCTGGTCGACGGGACTTCCACGGCGCTCCAGCCTTCTTCACCACCACCATTATCACCACCACGATCTTTATGCCCTCCTTATGTTTTCCTTTGCCGAATGTCAGCGCTTTCCGTATAGACTCACACTAAACGCCTAATGTATGATGCTTTTGGAGTACGTCCTCTCTCTTCTTTCTTTTGTTCTTCTTCAGACGCATTGGAGACCCTACATGAACAAAAGCAATTTTATGACCCTCATATTGTCCAACATTATCAGCATCGAATCACTCAAGAAAGCAGCTTCCTGTTCACCTGTGTTGTCCCAGTCGAAGGACATTGAAGCGCCGTTGCGGCTTCACTACTGTCACAACATCCGGACGATAAGCCAAGCGGCGCGCGACGAACGTTTGCAGATCGCAGCTGCGGTGCTGCAGGCTTCAGATGTGCCGGCGGAACACTCAACGTCCCCTACAGTGTCATGATCAGCTCACATGCTTGCGGCCCGTACCGCGCTGATGCGTAATGCCGATCTGTGCCCCTCTTTGCTCCAGATCATGTAAATCCATATCTCCTACATACGGCAATCGTTTCGCCACGTGAGGGTGTGTTTCGTTGTTGGGAGGATTATCGACAGGCTTTCGTTCGTTACGAGGTTGGGAAGGTTCGCCAGTGCGTCGAAGTCATGGAAAGGTCGAGAGGAAAGGTCGCGCTCGTCGTAAAGATGATACTACAAGAGAAGATGAGCGCGAAGATTCTGTCGCCAGCCTTACAAGTCGCACCATGACCCGGGTCTTGGACTTGGTGTAGCGGCCCGATCTTCCGACCCCAGATTTGCGGAGCCATCGTCGGCTGACTACGGGAGCAGCCATAACACGCAAAAAGTGGGTTGCACCGACATTGCGCTGTCTCGCCGAGTACGGGAAATCCGTGCACTCGAGCGCGAACGTCAGGTATCCTGTGGTAAAAGTGCTAAACGTAGCCCGTACGTGTCTAGCCATTTCCTCCGACAGCATGCTGCGACCATGGTGTCTTCCATCGTCGGCGTGGAGGTGTGGAGAAGGTTAGGCAATAAGTCACGGTTGGAAAAGGGGAGTGGATACGGTGTAGCGTGGTAGCGAACCACAGTGGTAAGGCCTAAACCAAGAACAAGGCAACTTGACTGATGTCACCGACAACTATCTTCGAAACGTCGACAAGGACGCACGCTGGACGAGATTGTGCGTTATTAGCTCTTCATGTACATTGGCCTGGGCCATGACATTTCCTTCTCTTAGTATTCACAAGGGAGCTTGCAGTCGCCTCGAAACACGCGGGCGGCCTACAGCCCACATTCAACTCGATTGGATTATCAACAAGGTGCCAACTCTGACAACAGCAAGTTTTTCAGTTTGTTTGCGCATTATGACGTTCATTCTTCATAGTGTCGCATAGGCCAGACTGGTTCGGCGATTCTTCACCGCCGAAATGAGCTGTGTGCTTGTCATCAATGAGATTCTCTTTACTACCGAGTCAAGGTATTGGGTAGACAGCGAAAGACAAAGGTTTCTTGACGAGCGTTACGCGGCAGTTTGTGGGTCTGTTCCAAACACGCCAATGTAAGGAAGGGGAGACCGGGGACAAAATGGCAGGGTAGGCATTTAGCCCTTCTTTCATTTCTCCTACAATTGCTTTTTGTGACCCCCACTCGCTTCTCGCCACTTCCAGACCCCAAAGAGAGAGAGAAAATTTGATACGCTAATGCTTTAGCGTGACTAGTCTACGGTAGCGTGGTAATCACCCTTCCCGGCATCCTGGTGCAGAGGTGTGACCGGTACGAACAAAGGTGATTTTGCGCGTGAGGGTCTGCAAGCGGTAGGCAAGAAAACCAGAATCGTTACAAATTGGTATTCCACTCGCTTCCAACGCCTGGTAACATTTCGAGACCGTAACACATCACGACACCGTCTCTGCTTGCTTCGGCGATAGCAAGGGCGACATGTAGTAATCCGCGTGAGGGTCGGTGGGATCTTCCGAGAGCCTCACCGATCGGCGCAAGGTTTGGTGTTACAAGGAACAACCTTTGCTCCGTAGCCAAAGCATTGGAATTTGCTATCTTCCGTGATTGGTATTGCCAGGACGCTCAAGACGAGATGCGTTAGCGTCTAGGATCAAGACAGTGATGCCCCAGATAACAAGCGCCAACTTGAAAAATATTGCGTGTGTACCATGCATGTGGCTCCTATTCTCGAAGCAAGCCATCGTGCCCGGAACTTAATGTTTTACCAGTGGTGACTGACCGATAGGAACGGCTGCCAACGATATCATGGCCCGGAAGCGGCAGGCTGGCACGTGGCTAGATGTCGGGGCTGGGTCGTGATGCGCTTCTAAAGCCAAAGTTCACGACAAGACGTATCTAGTGGAACCGTAACGGATACTTGAGAAAGCGGTATCATAGCACGCAGTAAACAACTTACTACTGCAGCCGAGTCAAGACGGAATCTCTCTTTCCAAAGCCCGCAAATAGGCATACCCACCCTGTGCCTTTGGAACTAAACCCCTTACTGACTAGGTACGCTAAGCACCGCGGTCAACACTCTCCCAGCTCGCCAAATATGGGTATCTGAATCGGCATCAAGCGCTCGGGTGTACGAACGCAAATGTCAACGTCACGCCCAATCGACTATGGGACTGTTAGGGTGCGCCCAGACTCCATAACCTTGCCTGAATACGAGCACACTAGCACCCTCTTGGAATTAGCATACATGGGGTCAGCTGAAGTGTATCATAATTTACAAAACACGCGGGGCCGCCGTCTCAAACCCCCAGGAACATTCGTGACCCACTCTCTTTTCCCACGATTGCCCTGTCTATTTGTGGGTCTAAGCCTTGCTTGCCGATCTCGCGCGGTCATTCTTTGCTGAATCACCAAATGATTGACACTACTTGTAGAGCTCCATGTGCTGTGCGTCAGTCCCCGAGCGCGATGTACCGGCGCACTGAACCAACGCATGTCCTGAGCGTTCACCGCAAAAGATTGCAAAGTTTACAATCAGCACCACGAGTTACATAAGGGTATAGTCCCCTTCTGCATCTTCCGCTGTCTCTGTCATGTAAGGCAATCCTTCATACCTTATACTTTCCGTCCGCCGCTCATTGTTCATCTCACATTCACGCTCGCTATTTCCAATACTCCGACCAACACACACTCCTTCGACTATACTACCCAGCACTATCGCATTACTTTCTAGACTTTCCTACATAACTCGGCACTCGACTACCTTTCTTTCCAGCATCCTCCAGGCACCGTCATAATAATGTGCTATGAACACATCGCTTCCTCGTCCTCTTCCACTATTCCGTTTGACTTCCGCAGCGTCCTAGCCGACTTCGAGATCCCAGAGCACCAACCTTCCACTCTCGAGCAGAACTCCTCAACACCTGACATAGACGTCGATCAGGATGCTTCGACAACGGCAACTTCATCTGGCACCGTGAAGGAAGACAATGCCATACAATACTTTCTTCGCCTCAAGTTTAGTCCAGAGCAGATCATCAAGTTTGCAAAGACCCACAAGGATTCAAAAGAATATGGACACGATGAGGCCCTTGAGATCATCTCAGGTGTTGAAACGGAAGAGCTGCCGGAGAGGATACGCACCGTTAGTGAGTAGATGTTACCAGGCCATCACAAATCTCTCCAAGCTGACTTGAGCTAGAAGCTCGCCTTCTCTCGGCCGCAACGATGTCCTCACCCATACCCACGGCCGCAACCCTACCTACGACCGCGACCCTGCCTACGTCCACAACCGTTTCTACACCCACAACTGTTACTACACCCACAACCGTGCTCACACCAGCAACCGTGTTTACATCGGCGACTGTACCTACTCCCGGAACCATAATCACATCGGTGATCATACCAACCCCAACATGCATCAATCGCGAACAGTTCGAAGCCTTCGACGCCGAGCCCGCACCGCAAGGCATCAAACGTCCGCGCATTGATTCCATGAACGGTGAACTAGCGTCCACAGCAGAACCCCAGGCTACAAATGCGCCGAAAACAAAGAAAGCTAGAAAGCTCGATAGACGTGGGTGCCCGGACAATAATTGGAAGTGCGTACCTGAGGAGACGAAGGGAAGGGCAAAGTGGACATCAATGGTGCAGTTCAAAAAGCACTACAAGACCTATCATCTAGGTGAGGGGAACAAACATGAGGACGGAGATCGTCTCAGATGTCTTCTTTGCGATCACGACACATTCTCGCAAGAAGGGTGTGCCCTGGTTGAGCATATTTGGCATGCTCACCTTGTGTAGAAGAGGCTTTCGGCAGCCCTCAGGCTCCCCCAGTGTCGGCCTGTATGATCGTTATGATCTTGTTCAACGGTTTCAATGTCTCGTCATGCCTGCGTCTAGTTATGTGTATCTTTGTTCGTCCCCATCACGGTCTTTACCTTTTCCCAGGCTCAACGAGCTTGGTCACAGTCTCTACCTTGCACTATATAGACAATCACACTCATTTTACTATCATGCTTCTTGAGTTTTGGAAATAAGAACTCATCTTGGCGATAAGTACCTCATAGCTTCTTTGTTCCAAACATCAATAGACGCCATACCGACAACTTGCATCGCGAGCTACCCGCCATGCATAGCATGTGATAATGATATGACAGATGCATGGATGCAATGGATGTTGTAACGTATCGCGGCATCCTATGTTGTCCTTGCTACGATAGTATACACATGACCCCAGGCTTTCGAACATACATCCTACCTTCAACAAAGCTCGGGATTCAATGTAGCTTCGGCAGCTTGAACAGGCGCTGGAGCGTACGAGCGAAATCGTATAGGGGTGGAGTTCCGTTTGTTTCAGCGTGCACCACCAATCATAACGAGCTAAACTGTAATGCACCCCTGGTCTATGCGGCTCGTAGAATATCTAAGGAAGCATTCTTGGTACGCTACGGCCTCTACTAAGCTCCGCCGAGGCCATCAATGTATGCGCTGGCAGCAGTCTTGGAACAGCAGTAAGCCGCCTAGAAGTGCGTACCTGTTTCGTTGAGCAGCCCGTGCAGGGAATGTGACTTTTCGCTTCCTCTGAAGCTGACACGCTTGCAGAAGCCACTTCTTCTCTGAAGAGCCCCAAGGGGAAGGGCACCGCGTGTGATACGCGTTAGCACGACCGCTCGATCATCCTTCAGCAGCGTAATCACTGGGGAAGATCTATGCGCATATTGGTAGCACGAGGAGAATTGATGCACGATCATGCATTGCTGGCAAGATCCGGAGAGACCGATCCGACCAACGGCGATCAACAGACGAACGTTGCAGACGGTAGATTTAGTAGTCGGGTGTGGACTGGCATCATTAGATTGCCGACTCCACAGCGACTGATTGACCTATCGGCGGAAGTCGCCAAGTCTGACATGACATCCAGTCCGCTTTGATAGTCAATGACGTCTCGTCTTTCAACACCGCGTGTTCTAGGCTGCTGGCCCAGGGAGGAGAGCCGCCGAGAATGGCATTGCGCCAAGTGCCATTGCCAACGATTCTTCCGTGACAGACCTGGATGTGGGCCAAATTAAAATAGTAAACTACAGCTCACGGGTTTTTGGACTTGCAACACGCATATGCATGCCTAGCGAGGCCTTGGGCCCAATGGGCGCCGATCGTATCGTGGGAGTTATGTTCCGCTTGCAGCGAGGCGCCGCTTTCCTGCAATCCTGGTTATTGGAATATCGCCAAGAGACTGCGTCTAATGACATCAAAGGTTTGTTTTGAACGAATACGCCTGTCTTCACACCCAGAATCTAATCACAACCTGGGTGGCGTCCAGGTGCGACCACTGCGTACCGATAATGAGCGCAGAGTCTCCGGCAAGATGGCATACAAGGGAAATTTTTCTTTGGTAGCGCACGCAAAAGCAACGCCGACTTGGCAGGGGCAGGCTGAGCAAATGCGGGGTCGCGGGATGACGTATCCAACTTCGAAGCGACATGTGACAGTGCGCAGCGCGGCCTGCGCAGATGCGTCGGGATGGGTTTCTCAACAGAACCAACGAGAAAGTTGCGTTCAGATGACGAGAGTCACGATCGACGGTGCGAGGCAAAGCACCAGCCGTGCAGACAGTTACCGCCCTTCTCTGCATCATGGTGTAGGTGATCCACACGAACCACGTATGCGCTACGGCCAAGGCGATCTGCATAAGAATTTACTGTGATAAAGCTCTTCCCAGACCTCAATTGCTTCCGAACCAGTCAGGTAAAGCTTGGATTCGCTACCGGTGTTTTTGCAATCTCGTGGAGGTACTCCAGTGACTTCCCATGACTTCCGAAAGTAGCCCCTTGTTACGATAACGTGGCGGTGAACTGTTATCTAACATGCGTATCTCTCATCCCAGCATCAGGGTCTGCGACCAGGGAAGAGCAGTAGTTCCAGCGCAGTGGTTCCCCAACGTTTGGCAGCAATAGCAATCCTCGAAGGATAGACTTTGACATGGGCTTCTTCGCAGCTGTTGTAGGCAGCAGAGAGAACACAGAGTTTACAACCTTGCCACTGTTCGAGTGCATAACGTGTTTTTGTCCAACAGGGTAGGGATAAAAGCGCCTTGTACAGTGAGAAAAAGGGTCCGGATAAGAGCGCATGCGGTTGTTTGCAGTAATATACACTTAGTACAGTAGGCTTGCAACAGGAAACGTTACAGCCCGCGAGTCTGTACTACTGAGTCCACCGTCACATCCGGTACTTAGTGTCGCTACTGCAGTATCTGCGCGCCACTTCGTATATTCGTGATAACGATCGTAGCTCTTCTTTCCGAGATACTCCCGATAACACTCGCAACGATACCCTTCGACAGCGGGACGCTCTACATCGCATATGTTGGGTCTCACTGGACCAGCGTAGGCATTTTGGCAGTCATGATGATTGCATCCATAATGCTATGCTTTTATGTAGAGCCGGTCTTGCCGATCAAGCCGGATTCAATCGCCTCCAATTTCATTTATTTGGCCGATTCCACTTTGTCGGACACATTTGCGGAAAGTTGTGGAAGTGAAGATGCATCGTTCGACAAGCGGGTTGAGTCACTTGGCTTAAGGTATGCGCTGCGGCCCTCTAGGCAGTATGGAGGTGTAGTCACTGTAGATGTGGATGATGCGCTACAGTACGCGCCAAGGTTGCAATGAAGGGAGTTCTGTAGGAACAGCGACTCTACTGGATTATGAATACATCAAGGTTCCGATACCAGTGACTCGGCCTGCGCGTAGGGGACATTAAGCTCGTCATGGTCGGGGCGGCAGAGAGGAAGTTGATGGCCGATGGAATCCCAGTAACTAATCCACATGCCGTCCAAAGGGAAGCGTACAAACGCTCTTACAGGGCCTGCTGCCGAAAGTATCGATTGATTGTGCGAGTCTTTTTTTGAGCGGAGGACTGATGCGTGCTGTTTCTGCCCAAGACCAAGCGAGAGCCGTTTGACTGACGTAGAGGATTGGTGGAAGAGTAAGTATCGTGCTGTCATGCATAAACTGTGGCAGTCTGGGAGGTATCGTAGGTGCTGAAAGGTTGCACATTACGAGACCAGGATTTGGGGTTGTTGTGGGCCTAATAGCGTTGTTACTAAGTATAATCAATTCATCATCTCTAGTGCATCTAGATGGCGGCATGCTTTTTGAATTACCAGGGTCTTGAGAGGATGGAACGAGTGTGGGGGACCGGACAACTGGTGCTCCTGTGTCCGTGCGTGGCACCAAACAATCGCGTGCCCCACCCAAGATCCGAGATCAAAACGTGGCCGCTTCCGAATCACATCAGTGTCACCATCACCTTATGCCGCACGTGTAACGCAAAGTCAGAAACATGTACTCGCTAAGTGTTCACAGAATATTGCGACATCCAGTGTTGAGCTTTACATTTCTGGTTCTATGGCCAGTGTCCCTGGTGTGGACTGTCGCCATCCTGATTAGCTCAAAACGAATTAGATGAAGGATGCACTTATACAAAATTCACCATATCCGCTGCTCTGCTGCCTGGCGGAAGCTCAACGGCCGTCATGTCAACAAGCGCAAGCCCTATTGCGATACGTGTCCACGTATCACCGTTGGATCGGCCGTGCAGAAACGTTGTCGCCAACTACTGTACAGTTGGTGGACAGAAAATTTGCTTGTTGTAGTGGAGCGGGCGACGTTCAAGAAGCTAAATAACTCATCTTAGCTATGTGGCTTACGCTGTGTGTTTGTTGCAATGGGAGTCGCTGAAAGGACGTGTTCAACATAATTACGTGTCATGCCCACGTACCGACGGCGGCAACATTGGTCACAGTCACGAGGTATTAGTACGACGACGACTGGCCGCGTTTACAGCGGTCATCCTAGCATCTGGCGGTACCACGCACCAATGTCACTTCGTGCTATTTCATAGCTGTAGTGAGTGGTAGGATTTAGTATTCTTGTGCATCTAAGTCAGAAGAGTAGGATCGTTGACTATGGACTTCTGCGGTTGGAATCTTGCAATAATGGTTGTAGATCTTCCAGCGCCAACGTCATCCTGTGAATTGTGCCATGAAAGCCACTGAGGGATCTTTCGGCCGGCCTGTGCGCACAACAACAATCACATGCAAGGCATCCTTAAGTCTTCACTAGTGCATGACATTAATCATTGTGAGTGTTGTGTCGTACATGAAGCCAGCTCGAGCAAGTACTCAAGACCTCGGCACAATCGGGCTAGTTGAGAATGGAGATCGGTTTCCAGGTTCGCCTCATCATCCGCCCCGCCTTACCTACATACGCGAGCATGTGCTGAGCCTTGACGTTGGCTGAGAGTGCAACGCTACGATGACATTTGACTAGTCAGAGCTGGTACTGCAGCTGAGTTTCACAGCTTAGCTTCTTTGCCTTATGTCTAATTACGCCACTTCCGGGCTGTTCACCCACGTCGCACCAGTCAATGCTGCTTAATTTGTACCTGTCGCATGGCGGCACCTCTTGACCCAGATTTCTACATGATGCAAGCGTTGTTCGCTCAAGCGGCTGCTTTTACAAGATTTACATTTTGCTGGCATGGCTGCTTGAACTACAAGGATTTTGGCGCAGCTAGACGCAGTACAGTCCTTCAAAGCTTGAGATGATGTAGTTTAGTATTTCCTTGTGGCTTGAAGAATACCACAGTCTCCTCATTCTTCATTGTTCTTCATCCTTCGACCTCGGAATCCTTTCCTAACCTGATTACAAATTTGTTACGCGTCGTTCTACGGACTCTTCTCTTTACCGTCATTTGCATCATCTCAATGTCTAATCAGTTTGATTCTTCATGGGCCAACAAGTCTTCCTCGAAGCCAGATATCCGCAGCACCTTTGGAAACACGGTTATACCGAATGGTTCATCTGACGCTTCTAACACGACTTGCAAGGAGGCCGGTTATCAAGTCGGTATCGAACCTAACAACCAGGCTCCTGCTTTCGAAACTGAAACAATCGGGTCTCACGCACCTCTTGCTCCCGTTGCTTCCGAGCCTCAAAGAAAAGCCGATAAGTCGATTCAAGATGAAGCTATAGCCGCCATGCTAAGTCGCGGTACGGACCCGAAGAATATTCCCAAATACGTGCAGCATCATATCATAGCAAAAGAGACCGGCAATCACCGAGACCTCGACATCATATCACAGATACCGTCGACAGAGCTTCAAGAGAGAATCAGCAATGTTGGTGAGTGAAAAGAGCCGAAAAGCTCGACCAAAGCTGATACGATTGAAGAAGTTCAACTGAAACGAGCACAACAATCGTTCGACGAGACATTTACTTCTCCGAACGAACTCCCGAGTACGCGCACGACTCCCGGAAGTACGCCATCCAGGTCCGCCAGACCAGCACGATACGGTTGTCCGGGCGACGGAGGCCGGTGCATCGAGCACAAACATAGAGCCTGGAGGTCATTCAAATCGTTCTTCGAGCACCTAGAAGCCCAGCATCTGGAAGAGTACAGAACTTACGGTGGTCTCAAGTGTCTTGAATGCGAGAAGAATAACCTGTTTGCAGGATGCCACACTGTCAGCCCTACCTACCTATCGCAAGGAAGAGACCTCGCAACGCATATCTGGGATGACCACATGACTCCTCGGACCAATTCAGAGCAGGTTCCGAACACCTCCTTCACAGATATGGATTAATCAAGAGCGAAGAATCTCCAGCTGCACACATTTGACCAGTCCGATAGCATCGAACTCAACATCGCGCCGGCTGCTAACAACGATGCGCACCACGCCGGCTTTTCATCCGGGATGCTAGCTTTTAACTGTTTGGCATGTCGTTCTGATCATCACTTTGGGGTATCTCTTCTTCCAAACGCTATATCCGCGGTGTTTCTACTCAACACGGCGCATGGTCTTCAATGTCCCCGGCATTCTCTTTACTAACTGTAATGCCCCTTTTTATCGTTCAGACATGTATTTGCATCCACAAGGCGTCTGTAGGTCTTCTTTCGCATCTTTCAAACTTGTCTTTCGGGAAGTGGTTCCGGTTCATCGTATAGATCATATGACTTATGTAGAGATCGCAATATTACATGCATACGGAGCGCAGGCGGATCAATCGATATCTCTGATGATGCGACTGGCGGTAGGCGTGAAGGAGACATAAGTCTGGATGTTCGCACTCGCACGCGCACGTCGAAGCGCAACATCCAAGTGGTGAACGTCGATGGCGACGTGGCTGCAATGATCTCGTGTACAATCGATGCATACCTGTCGCAGCAGATGTGATCTGCCTGAAGTCGTGAGCGGTAAAGAGGATATTGTTCCCCACACGAGAAGACACAGGGTGAGGAAAACTACGAGATGGTGGGGTTGCCGAGCGAGCAGAGATCAACCCGTGGTACGTAGGCTCCCGTTCTCGGTCCGGGCCTCCCGCATTCGTCATCTCATCGTGCCTGGAACACTTTTCGCAAGTGATATCGAACTAGTCACATATCTGTACTTGTGGATATGATTATTGTCCCCGAAATACAGCTTAGCATTCCTCGCCTCCCTCAGCAGCGCGATATCGAGATCCAAATTTGCAGTCGTCGGCCTTGGCATTGGCCAAAGCCCTGACATGCTCTAGAGCTCTACGAAGTCGCCTTTGAGATGCAACAAACGAGCTACTGCGTAGCAGTATGATATGTTATCCGCGGGCCTAAAAGAAGGCTCTTGTCCATTCACTCGCCAAGGCACGTCGCGGATGCGCCGAACTCGTGAGGGTGGGTTCGGATTGAAGAGAGTAAGGCTCGTCATGAGTGAGACGATCAGAAGCGAGGACGAGCGCGGCATACCAGCCGCAGTTTGCGGAAGCTGTGATGTCGGCTCGTTGTAGATGTGCGTGGCCATGTTTTCACAATGTACGGGATAAATGTGAGTCTTGCTTTCTAGAGAATTTGACAGCAATTCGACCGCATCCACAATGTCGCAGGCCTCTAAGCCTCGTCCTGTGGACAAGCTGATCGCTCCTCAGTGAGAGATCTCGCCGTCGATTCGAAATGGTATGCGATCAGCCATCGCTAGGGCTACTGCCAAAGCTTCTGTGGTGGTCGCCTGCGCGAAGCTTCCTCGGGCGGCGGGGAACGGTGGAGAAAGGGCTTCGGATAGCCGCGAACGACGAAGCGAGCGATAGGGCGACTCGATGCAGGAGGATGAGGCTTAGGCTGTCATGTTAGCCAGTGACAGTTCAGAGAAAAAACGAAAGGGTCGGAAGAGTGGACACCAGGATTCCTAGGATGAGAGTCGTTGCGTGACTGTCGATATGGGCATTACGAATACAAAGTTTGAACTGTGGTCAATATTGGCTCTCTAAGTTGCTGTTCGTAGGCCGGCATCTTTTCTGAGATACTAGGTACGGCTGTCATGCAAAATTGACAAAATGCGGAAGCGGAAGCGCACACGCTCACCGACGGAGATCTGGGGGAATATCAAGAAGGACCGAAGCCTCATGGTGAACCCATTGTCAAGGAAAAGGCAAGATCTAATGTTTCTTTCCAGATAAGTGTGGGTGGGAACCGGGAGAGACGAGTACGAAAGATAGGTTACGTTGTTGATTGTCGACTGTCGATGTGAAGGCGGGGAGAAAGATGGGGAGACAAGCCAAGCAATCGTAGCGACGCGCGAATAGTCGGCAACAACTAGTCCGGGTAATGCTGCTCGTGGCGCGAACTTGGTAACAACGCTTTTGGCTGGTGTCAGGTCCCACAACCCGCATCACACGTTCAATGATTTTGCATGTTGAGGATCAGACCGAGATGCAGACCGCCAATACTGCTTCCCAGACTGCGCGATGAGGCTCTTCCTCGCAAAAGCGCCGAAAACAGATAAGCTCGCACTGTTACGGCGTGCGTGTCGGAGTGCGCATTACCAAGGTCTCGTACATCTGTGCACCGCCATGCTGGTCGCAGCAGTGGTAGATCCAAGCTCATGGGAGTTAATGCGGGGCATATAGGGCAATGGGTGATTATACCTTGAGATGAATGTGTTAATGAAGGGCATATAACGTCTGGTTCTATACCCTGGGATGACGAAGCGCACATAGGGTAGGGGCTACCTCTATACCTTGAAACGGCCCACGCACGAGCAAATCGGAGGCCGATAGTGCCTATGCAGTAAGAAAGATGACCAGATTGTCGTAGTGCGACCATATAGTAGGCGTTTTATCGGTGCTCGATGGCCTACCCTGCGCCAAAGAATCCCCGGCCCGCATCAATCAACGGCGCTAAGTTTTTCTCCGCATGGCCGCCAGCATCACCACCACATGGAAACAGGGGCAAGAACGTCGCAGCTGTGCTCTTAGGCAAGTTCTACATCTACTTTAAGCCACAGGCTCCACTGAAACAGACTCGCAGCTCGGCTCGTCTCCACGACATTTATATTTCCACGCATTATGCCGTCAGAATTCTCGGTGCCCTTTCCCAATGCGTATTCGTTGAGTGTCGCGACCAACGTGCTTCTTCAACACGGCCACCAGACAGATTGCAAAACCGACATTTCAAGCCTACCAGAGTGATGTTGGTATAGTCTGTCCACAATGGGTGCTAAGCCTAGATGTCGATCAAGGCTCTCTCCCACAATCCCTTTACATATAATGCCATCCTTACTTCGTACACATCCTCTCCCTCATTCGCTCATTGTCACGACCTCTCGCTCACCGTTCTCACGACGTATCCGTACTCGAGCACGCTTGACTATCGCTCTTCGCTCTACTGTCGCCATCGTGATCGCATTCCCCGGTATTCCTTTGTCCTGGAATTCAACTGACATCTTCCCGGCATGGGGATCCAAATATCAGACGAAGGTATTCCCTCCAGCTCGATGTCACCAACCTTGTACGACCTGCTTGGCATTACAGAGGGAATTCCTCTCCCTTCCAAGCAAGATATCTCCATGCTTAATCCGAATGCCTATCCCAAGGTTTCAACACCGGCCAAATCTCCCGACACCGTAGACGAAGACAAGGCTATACAACTTCTGCTTCAAGGTGGTTTAAGACCTGAGCAGATTATTAACTTTGTCAGGATCCACAAAGTGTCAAAGGAGGCTGGCAACCATGAGGCTCTGGATATCATCTCGGGCGTACAAACAGATGAACTACTGCAGAGGATCCATAGAGTCGGTCAGTATATATAGCTTGACCATCTTGCCAAACTGACTTGGGTCAGAGACCCTTCTGGTGTCAGCAGCGCCTACAAGCTCGAACAAATCTGTATTCACAGCCCGACCTACATCCATCAGGCTTATGCGCGAGCCCTCCGAAGGCTTTGACAAGAAGCTAGATGTCTCTTTCCAAGAGGCTGGACGTGTATCCACCGCTATCATGGAGAGGCATAAACCCAAGAATGTACCAGAGTCTGTAGACAAGTCGGGAGCTACGGACGTTCCAGGGCCTGCAAAGACCCATCGACGAGGTTGCCCAGGGAATTGTTGGAACTGTAAGCCCAGGGAACTGAAGCCAAGGACATACTGGACTTCCTTCAAGAAGTTTCGCGAACACTACAAGACACATCTGGAAGATCATCGTGTCGAAGGCCATCGTTGGCAATGCCACTTATGCGATCTCGATTCATTTGGCGGAAACGGACACGACCTCATGCAACATCTATGGGATGCTCACTTCAAGTGAAAGGAGCTTTCTAGCACCATTCAGGACACGTAGATGATACGATCTTGCGACCTTGTTGGTACCTCTTATCAGCTTTGTTGCGCGAGCAAGATTTTCTTTTCTCCAGAGGCCTTGCAGGAAGGATGGCTTGTTGGCAGTCGAAACGAGATACAAATTAGACAATGGCGATGATTCAGCTATCACTCCTCGATGTTATGTATAATACTCCATTCTAGCAGGAAGCGTAGTGACCTTCTACGTCGATCTGGTTGAAGTCAAATTGTGCTAATACGACCTGAATTCTGTCATGGCTCACAAGAAATGGATTTCGATAACCGGATGGCATATTATGACCCACTTGCAATGCTACCATTTCTCTTTGCATGATACATGGAGTCGAACAACGACTCAACGAGTTGTCCGTTGAAGACACGGGTCGCTACGTGGTGACTTGCGGCATCGACGAACCTAGTTCTAATGAGTACAAGCTTGCTTTCGTCGTCATAGAGGAGTACATCTCTCCCAAAGTCGTGCAGATCGTCTGTGCACAGGCGGCCGCTCAAGGCTGGCGAGAGGGCGACTTCGTAGGTCTTACGGAAGATGACCGTCATGAGGGGTGGAGTCTTGGTAAAACCAATCCTCCAACTGCCATAGCCATGCGATGGCACATATTACGACCCTGAGTTGGGAAACCCAGCGGTCACAAGGGAGCTCGACAGCGTCAGGACTATGCTCACTGCTGAAGCTGCTGTCGGATATATCGTGAGTATCGACTGTGGGAGGCTTCTTGGGCGGCGGAGGATGGCAAAGGAGGTTTTCGGCCAGGTACGAACGAGCATGGCTTTAGTTGAGTCGTGAAATAAGACACAGCATGGTCGTGTCGTGATTGACACGTAGACTCGTTGCGACGAATCAAGGGGTAGGATCGCGGTGCGGTCGCATTGAAACCACTATAACTGAGACATACAGCAAAAGACTCGAGAAACCCACGTCACAGTTTCCTTAGCTGCATGATCGCACAGCGTTGTTCTACTGAAAAAGGAATCAAGCGTTTACGTCGGTTGCCGTTAGCGGGCAGCCCACGCGGCTTAATCGCCCGAAGGCTCCTGGCTCCTGGCGCCAGTGACACCAAGCCTACGAGTCATTTCCTAGATCCGTTACACGCCATACGCATGGCGAAGCTCGACGTTCCTGGAACAACTGTAATTTGTCTACTATCTTTTGAAGAATGACCACTGAATGTGATGTTCTGCCAAACGGACTGCGTATAAAATCACTTGTTGTGGCGGGATCCCAAGCGGAGACATTACAGCATCCAGCTCCAATCAGCTACATACCGCCGGCTGGGCGTTGATTGTCATCATTTCACAAAATCTGATCGTGCTCAGTGTGATGGGTACAATTTTATCGCTGGCAGCTAACATGAACGATATACAGGACTGTGGCGGCAGCTGTAGCAAGAATAAGCCGCAAGCCCGGAGCCTGCCGACAAGCGCTGGTGCGAGCGCCTCATGAAGATGCCACCAAACAGGAAGTGCATCCCACGTCATTCGGCACATGGTCCAGGCCCGCTAGCCACCTTGGAGGCAAGACGGCTGAGGCTAACCGCCCGCATTTTGAATGGCAACAAATGTCGAGCTTGGCGGGCTAATTGCTGTTGCCACATGACCGGATGAGACTGTTTTACAGCGCCGAGAGAATCACTGTTCGGGTCAGGAGGGTAGGAACTTTCTTTTTGGCCCGGTGCAGCATTTCTTCTGCCCGGTAAAAGGTAAATCAGTCACGCCGCCAGCCACTGGAGCCGCAAATGCAGCGTAGGTCCCAATGCAATAGGCCAAATGCAAATGCCGACTCTTATGCAACGTTTCTGACTGGACGGTAGAAGTTCTAGGCGACACAAGCCCAATGTCCCTTCTCTGATTGTCATGTTTCGTCGCCGATGCGATCATGACCACCAAGCTCGCCCTTCTCCAACGTCTGCGCGCCCCCTTGGCATACACATCACAGCGTCCACGCCCCAAAGGAGTCGTTCTATCTACACTTGCGCCGCAACACCAATCTTCCCGAATACAATTTTCTAGGTGAGCTGCATTTTGTTTCCAGGCGAAGCACATTCATGGGACTTTCGAACATCTCCATGTATCCACGATGACATAATCTCTTCTTTGCTTCTTGTTCTTGCTAGCTGATTCCTAAAGTCCTTGAGTTAGATCGGTTTGAGAGACAATGCATTGTCTTGCTCCCTCGAGCGCTCTTCAACTACATTGGGGGTGGTTTCCATCCAGTCCGTACATTGCATTCGCGCAACGATATCGCAGAGCCACGAGGCGCATGAAAGGCCTCGCTCCGCCTTACAGCCAAAGTAAACGACCGATATATGTCTTGGTAATGAGTACAAGCTGCAAGCTAGACACTTATTACTCGTTATACTGCCTTGGTGAATTCAACTGTGATGTTAGAGAGTGTTGGGAATTTTGCATAGGAATGGGCAAACTTCATACAGTATCACTGCGAGCATCCCACGAGCAAGGATGGTGCTTGTAGTATAGCAAGCTGAAGGAACTACCTACGTAGAGCTAGAAGCCGGTTCATGTTCGTAAGGAAGACAAGGAATATTGCTCTCGCATGCAGCTAAGAAGACGCTGGGATAGAGACTTTAGTAGAAGGCTAACTAGCAGCGCATGGTGTTTGTACGGGGCACGACAGCCGGGTAGTATGCATGATCCAATAGGAGGAAAGACTACCCCTCTTATCATGCGGCTGGAGCGTGTTGCCAAGGGGCCACGTTGGAGGCTGTGGCGTCGGTAGCCTAACGTTGCGCTTCGAACAAGAAAGCAAGATTGGATCATCCGGAATGCAAACCCTGTAGCGACGGAGGGCGGACGCACTTCTAGGATAGGTCTCACGGTGGTTTTGGCAGTCATTGACGAGTCAACAAATGTGGTGCAGGTTAGGTTTCCTGTTCTATGCAACCTTTACCTGCATACACGAATCCAGATAGCTGATCCCTGCAGTGCGGCGCTGGGTACCCTACCTCGCCCGAATTACCCAAGAGCTCTCACACAACATTTCACGCTTTCCTTTCTATCTATTAGACTGCAAGCGACGAGTCAAAAAGAGTCACACATCGACACCATCGCCCCTGACTCGCGAAGGGAACGTCTTGGGGCACTAATAAGCATACATCCGTCTCTTTAAGCTTGCTTATTACCCGATGTCGCAACAAGCCATCGTTCAGGCAGGCTTGTGGATATGCTCCGGGGCAAACTGCAACCTCGACACTAACCGCCAAATATGACAATTTTGACATGTTTTTTCCTTTTCAGCTCCGCCATGCTTTTAATCCATGTGTATATCAACGGCCAGTACTCGCCTCTCATTTCGCCCTTCACCTACATATAGCAACAATCGCATCACAGCACGAATCATCGACATCCTGTTGCGGTACCATCACACTCACGTATATCTTTCTGAAGATTTATTTCCACTTAGCGCTGTCGGTCTCTTACCTGCGATACCTGACCTTGGCTAGACCTGGCCAATCATGGATGAACATTTGGACTTCACCAACAACTCGCCTAATGCCGATCAGTACGAGTACGTAAAGTCTTCTCCCGATACATGTCACGACGTCCAAGTAGATCAGGCTATTGACCGTACCTTGGATGAAGTCTATGCTTCCCCAAAAGCCAAGCAGCAAGACCAGGCCATATCCTTCATGCTTGAGGTCAATACCAGGGACGATCTCCTTCGATTGACTGAGACCTTCACTGCTGCTGAAGATGCTGGATACAACCATTGTCTTTCGATCATCTCAGAGATTCCAGCTGAGAATCGCGCCGGGAGGTTCGCGGCCATCGGTTAGTTTACACCCTTTCTTCGCATGATATTGCCATACTGATCTTGCTAGAATCACTCTCGATGAATGCAACATCAGAACCACTCGCAGATCTCGAACGTCAACCTCAAACCGGAGGGGAGACCTATCATCAAGCCAGAAACCGCAGGCCTACTGCTTCAAGCAGTAGAGCACCAAAGCCGGTTCACCCCAAACGATACGGCTGTCCGGGACAGCAAGGTAGTTGTCCAGAGCACCGAAGGCGAGCTTGGAGATCACTTGTTACATTCTTCGAACATCTACAGGACAACCATACAGGAGAATTTGAAACACCCGATGGTCTCATGTGCCCGCAGTGCGCGAAGCGTGACGACTCCACAAATCCCATGGCATACCCATTGGATGGACGAGAGCTCGCGAAGCACATTTGGACCGACCATATGACCTCCATGCCTGGCCGCAGTAGCTCCGGATCATCTCAGTGAAGCTGCAAGATGCGGACGAGATCGGAGAGCGTTCGTTACTTAGCACGGTCAGTTCGACCGTGATGAACTCAACATTTCACGGGTCGTTGACAACGGCGCTCACTATATCTATCCAGCATCGGGTGCTTGGTCTTCTCGCTTCCTCGGTCAGCCTTTCTCTTGGTCGAGTTTTCTTAGCGTTGCGTTTTTGTTCATCCCCGGACCGTTTTACATACCATCGCGTTTGCATCATGGCATATCGCCTATTTCCTGTCCTCTGGGCTTTTGTACTTCCCGTCTTGTATCGATGTTTGGTACTTCCCCTGTATGAACATGTAATGCGACGTTCCTCCGCACCTCTTCATGAGCTTCGATGCTTTTCCCAAAACGTGTCATATCATATCACCCCTTCCAACTGCTCTCTCAATAGAAATGCTTACGTTACACCTTGTAGACGACACAGTACTTTACCCCCTACTTGCTCCGATCTCCCAACGAGATACTTATTTGAATACAATGTGCCGCTATCAACTGTGTCGAGACTTTCATACTAGTTGAAGCGCGCGACCATTTGCAATTTGTTTCCGCCAGCGGACGCGCAGCTTACTTCAGACTGGCATGGGATGCTCAACTCGGTGATCACAAGTCTTCGCGTCGATACGAAGGCAACCATGCCAATCTTGGAGTGACAGTCTGGGTCGTTTGTGTCTTCTTTTGCTACGACTCATATCAAATCGCGCGGCCAGATACAAGGCATCGTCTCGACGACTAAAGTGCTGCGGCAATGAAACGTTTATGGACACACTCGCTAAGCGCGATACCACCACACAATAAAGTGACCATGACTTCGTCTTCCCACATTCCTAAATCACCGAACTCCTACATATACTTCCCCCCTCTTCTCAACACCCTAACATCCCCATCCGCCCTTCCAATTACCAACTTCCCTATCCCGACTTGCCCTCCAACCTCACCAAACCTCACCTGCAGATGCCTCAGATACCGCGACCGATCCGCCGCGTCGAGATACGTTCCCGTTGTCGGCAGCGCCACATATGGATTATCCCTTACCGCCAAACTAGAAACATTCATAAGTACATCCGGGCCGTGCGACAGCCAAGTCCGGACATAAAATGGGATCAAACTCGCTGTGATGAGGACAACCGAGGACACGATGAGCGCAACGACCCAGCCGTAATGTGCTTGGAAGACTGCTACATTACTTCGTTTTGTGCCCGTGCTTGGCCACGTTTCTGCGAATAAGTAGGTTTCCCTGGACGGCTCGCCCTGATAGCTCTCTTCTTGGTAAGACCAGATCCTCTTATCATCGGGCGGAAGCGTTGTCTCGTTGAAACGGCGCACAAGCGAGTTTTTGCAGTACATGGTTGACCAATACGCATTCAGTGTTTGACTAAGACGTATCGACAACTTCTCATAAGACATTTCGGAAGCGTTCGCAGGCGCTGTTGCCATGTAATTTTTTGGGGTGCCGATCCAACTCCTAGAGTAGAGATTAATCGCCGGTTCGTTCTTTTGACTAGCATAATCATCAGATCCGACGGGTTTGGACATGTTGACCGACAATGGACTCCCAGGCCCGATACCAAGGAACCATCCTAGACGAGTGCGGTCGGTCGGTGGATGTTCGTGGCGAGAGCGTCTAACGCGAGAGGCAGAGCAGGTGGTGTATGTAGGGCAGGTAACTCCCACTTCGACGTATACTGTCTTGGCCGTACAATTCAAAAAGGGAAATTCTCCTCTCTTGACGACGAAGGTAAAGGGATTGAGATCTTGAGGGGGTGGTTCGGCGGTTGCTGTGGTGTAGTTGTTCCAGAATACATGTCCTATCCACGTTGACTGATTGAACACGAATCGAGATTGCCCAAGGTACGGGTCGCACATCAGACTGAAGTACATCACCTGCACTGTGGTAAAATAGTCGAAAAAGTCCGCCGAATCGATGCCGCCTATAGTAATACCAATGAAGGAAGAGTAAGAGTCCAAGTCCAGAGTAAATTTTGCCGTCTTGTACCAGCCTTCGTCTTCAGGAGTTGATGTACCCTCGTAGTATTCGATCCTAGGTACTTTAATGTGACCCCAAGCATCACGTGAATATCCCCTTGCTTCCGGCGTCATGATGCCAGCTACGTAGAGACTATCCGTTTGTATCTTGGAGATGGGGATGTCGGGTGTCCAGACGTTAGAGTTAGGAACGACATGGGAAAATACCACATCCTCGACAACGCTCGTTGGACCAACGCTTATCTGTCGAAAGGAGGATCGACCGCCCACTGGGGATAGCAGCCAGATAGCGATCAATCCAAGGCCTATGTGATCCATGAGCCGCATTTGGACTTGTGAGACGACAGTGCTTGTGAGCGATGTACTGCCGGCAAGTTAATCCAGAGTACCAACCTTTTCGCCCCTTCCAAGTCTCCAAAGTAGGATCGCATGGGTAGCTCGTCCGACGATGGGTGCAAATAAGATAGGATAGATCGTAGGGCCCTGTATCAGTGAGCAAGTAAACGATGTAGCCTGATCGGTAGTGTGCTTACCCAATTCGAAGCTTGTTCAAATCTCTCAGCTGCTTGTCGATGCGAACTTACTGGCTTGCCGTTGCATCCGAGGACAAATAGGGCAAAGGTCAGGAATGCACATGAAAGTGATAGTAAAGCAACGTCGACGAAAACATTCCATATCCGTGTGCTCATGGGAAGCTTGATCGCCTGCGGTGAGGTTGGCCAACCTTGAGGTATCATTCCAGATGGCTTTTCCAGCACAGTCTTGTTCGGTAGCCCACAGTCTAGCGCAGGATTTCGGACGGTTCCATGTGCACTGTCTGCACCTTCCTCTGAATTCGAGACGAGTCGCTCGCCGTGGCGAAGGGGTTCTAGAAGTGGTGCATCATTGGTGAGCTACGACTCTGACGGAATTCGTTCCTCGCTGTAGGTGGACTGGATTCCTATCTTGGAGGCAGCATTCATGTCATACGAAACGAGATCGTGTGGCGCAAAAACTTTGCGGCACTGTTCTTACAATATAACTTCGAAATGACGCGCCTCTTATGGAGTCATGGCTAAGCCTAGATACGTAACTCTTGGCGATGAATCAGATACTCAAAATGAACATTTCAAATCTCACTGTGTACTGTTGCCAGTACAGCTTCCGTCCAATGAAGTGGCAAGTCATCGAGTGCTGCTTCGGGAGCCACAGCGGCTATAGGAGGGTGGGTGGATTTGGCGAAACCACAGGGAGTCTTCGCACCGACCCGGTGGCAGACCCCACCAATGATAAGTGACTGCCCCCACACAAACACGGCTAATGGAGGATGTTCCTCATGGACAAGGCTGGCAGGCTATGCATGTTCGCAAAGCACTGCCGAGGTGTCGCGAATCTGGTATCGTCGAGCTACGCGGAGTCATGTACAGGAGGCTAATGTTCATAGAACAAGACAACATCCGCCGGTGTGCAGGGCTGCCAAGGAGCACATGACGTCATGGCATTTGTCAACCTGTACTAATCTAGCTTTGACTCCAATGATGAAGGTAAAGAGGGCGCTTCTTGAATAACTTAATTAGTGTCTATAGCGTTTATCAAAACGAAAGGTACAGGAGTGCTGTCATCTATGTAGTGGCTCTAATGCGTCTAGAAAAAGAATATCAAGGAAAGCGTAGAGAAACAAACCCTAAGCAATATCATACATTAGCCGTAATCCATAATCATGAATGGAACATGATAAACCCCGCTCAAAGAACATTACAAAAGAAACAACGGAATGGTGGTAGTGATAGTGGGGTGAGCAAAGACGTCGCGCGTTGTCAACAAGACGTCGTACACGGGCGAAGTGATAGACGAGACGGCCAGACATCGAATGGCGTACTGCAAAGGGGCCAACCAGAGTCGAGACTGTTAGATTTGTGGGTGCGAAGTTCCGAGGTGGCGAGTCCGACATTAGCGGCAAGGTCTATTCGAGTGCCTGAAGGCTCTCCGGCTCGTCTTGCATTGCTACTGCAGTGCTCTGAGCCCGCTTCGATCTCTTCCGTACGGTCATATGGGCTTCCCATATGTGTTCCCCAAGCATTGATCCTTGTACTGGGTATTCCTCATCGGCAGAGTCCGTCTCCTTGCAAAGCAGACACTTCAAGGTGTCACCCACTTTGTAATCTTGAAGGTGGGTGGACAGCAGATGTCTTATATATTCGGCTTTATTCCTCCATGCTGAAGTCTGTTTCACTGTACATATGCTTGTACCACCTGGGCAGCCCATCAAGCGAACGGGTGGCGGCTTCGTCGGGGCAGTGGGCGTGAAGTCGTTGCTCTCTAGAGTTATACACGAACGTTTAGGAGGGTTCGGCTCGTCGTTGGTGAATCTACGCTTGAGAGTCGTGGGCGCTTCTGCGACTAAACAATATCAGCGAAGTAACGCAGAACGAAGTTTTGTCCACTAACGGATAGCGTTGATCCTTGCTGCCAGTACTTCCGGTTGTATCACCGACATGGTATCTAGAGCACGGTGGATGCCAGCATCTTTCGAATCCTTATGGGTCTTAACAGCCGAAAGGATGAAATCGCTACTCGTACCGCCTGCCAGCACGTGCCGTATAGTCTCATCAAGTTCCGCGGTACATGAAGCCTCTGCATATCGTGAGACCGGAGATAAGGGTGAAGCGATTAAAGAAGGTGTAGCCGTATAGGATGGTGAAGTCACGGAGGAAGGTGGAGCCACGTAAGGCGATGGAGACATGTTCGAGTATGGAGCCGAGGAGGAAGACAAAGCTTGGGTTGCGTTCAAGATAGGTTCCATTCGAAAACCTGGAGTCTCCATCACCATGCTGCGATCTGTGGCGCTGTGAGGTCCGGAAGGTTGTACAGGGAGAGGAATGAGAGGAATTTGCGACCCGCGCAAGGGAAGGTTCACATGAGAGCCTTGGTTGCCAGGCTGTTGGACAAAGCCAGGATTGAGCCCCGGAAAGTCGGTAGGACGAGCGTGAGACTCATGATGCCGAGGGCGGGGAGGGTCGATAGAGTCCGACAAAGGCGAGTGAAAAGTGAAGCCGGAGGTGCACATCAGGGTGGCGATGTGGAGATGTTGATGGGCAATCGAGAGAGGAATTGCTTGAAGATGTACTAAAGTGATTAAAAGAACGCTGGAAATGAAGGGCATGAAGGTGAAATGATAAGACGACTGTTGGCAGCTGTATGTTTAAGAGCCAAGGGCAGGCTGCCTGGGGTTTAGGATGAGTAGCCGTTTAGTTATATGTCGAGTACACTAGCGGCAGCTAGCTTATGCAGGAACCCGCGCGTCGGTAAAGTAGATTTGCGCGGACTGACTACAACGTAGGCAAGTGGAGACCAGCTGGCGCTAGTTGTACCTATCTTGTGTCGAAATTGTCTGTTTTGCAGGGTTGGATAACGGCCTGATCCCCATGATGAGAACAGCTGCCTTATATCAAAGTATGTTCGAACAGCATGTAGGCCTTTTGGCGTTGCGAGCATCGTCTTCGACAAAGCTTGCACCGTGAAAGTTCGCGCGTGGACCGTGGCAAGATGAAGGATACTGCGAAAACAGCTGAGTGTCAACATCACGCCTGGTTGAGACCAAGAGCCTGTGAGCGCCGGTGAAGCTTGACGGTCCGACTTGGCGAGCGCGCGGATGCGGACTGGACTTTTGACAACGACGCGCTCAGAGCACCGGGTGGTGCGATTGCCCCACGGCTAAGACGCATCCCCTCGTCTTCATTTCGCGCCTTTTCACTCCATCCTTCCAGAAGCGCCACGAATGCACGTTTACGTTCCGAATTCGACCAACCAGGGTCGTAGCGAGACGCTTGTAATTCTTCGTTAGCAACTCGCATCTTTTTTGGTCTTCTGTTATGGTTACGTGGGTGCTGCCCGGACGTGTACCTACCTAGGTGGAGACAACTTCGCTTGGTGAGTATCTGTTAGCTATGCCCTTTCCGAGATAGCGACGCTGATCTGCTCGTGCGCTTCCTTTGCCTTGTTTCGACTGGGTGGCATTAGTCTAGTCCTACTTTCTACGTATTTGATGCATCTGACACTTCAACGGCTTGGAAACTCCGATTACACAGACTATGTCCAGGTAAGATGGGAGGCTATTGTCGACGACCACAACGTGGCGAGCATGTTGACTTGATCGAGCCGCGAACATCGTCCACGATCATAACGGTCATTCCTAGCACAACAGCACCTACGTATTCGTGGGGTACTGCTTCTTGACTAGTCCATTCGGTTATCCTCAATACTTGGAATCCGAGATTGCAATTCAGCAACATCGCTTTCTTGATACCACGCGCTTATCTTGTTTGCACCGCATACCTATAGACAGGCTCTCGACCACTCCATGCCAGACGCGCAGACGAGAAAGCGGACTGGTCGAAGGTGCGAATCCTGAGTTTATGGCATCACTTGACGATGTCGGAGGACACCTACGTACCTCCGTGATACAAGTGCTTCTAGCGTCGCGCTCTGGAAAGACCTCGGGGTAAAGCGCATGATCAACCGCTCTTCCAAGGCACTCAAAATCGCGAGTGCGCTAGAGTTTAGATGTGTGGAGTCGCGGCCAGGCATTGTAAATGCGATTGTGCTGCTGGATCTACTATGGTAGGTGGAGGAAAACCGGATGAGGGACCCATACGTCATCTTCTAGCCCTATTCCAGCGACGTTTGGACCATTTACCCCTGAGAACCACAGAGTGGGATGCTCGCGTGCGGAGTCGTAGTTTTCGGCCTGGACGACGAAGTTGCTTTGTTTTTGTCGAACATATCCAGCAGTTTGTGGAACTTTCTGTTCGTTATTTATCGGCCGACTCAGCGGACAGACGGGATCGAAACCGCTTTCGAACATGCGCCGCAGAGACTGCTCGCATTGCGTGCTTTCCAACGACGACCAGCCACTTGAATTTGTAGCCAGTGCCCTCCGATGGACGTGATCGGTGAGCCTTGCGCACGGCGCAGATGGGTCAAAGGCGAAACCGTTAGCTAGAAGAGCATCGCAATGAACATGCTAATCTCCATTGCCCGTCAAAAGCTCCGCTGGTCGATCATCACAGATTCCCAGCCCCCGCTCCAATCATCGCATCTCAACAATATTGCAATCAGCCACCGCTCTACTCCGCTCCCAAGGCCACTGGTCCGGAAGGACGGCAAACATCGCTGTCGAAGCTAGTGGCGCTCTGGATATCTACCAGGTGCTACCTTGCTCCCTGGACGTGCTGGCCTTATCACAGGATGATTCAGCTGCGCAGGCTTCGGTGTCGAACCAGTTCCCGACGCAAAATCAAGACCTGAGTTAATCATCAACTTCCTCCAGTCTGTATACTGGCGTGTGACATAGCCATTGTAGCCCACCGTTGTAGCCTGCCGCTTCAAAGATCCTTCCGACTATAGAACTCTAATGTTTGTCCACGATCAATATGCACTACGAGCAAAAGCTGACTACGTCTCAACTCGCAGCTCACTTTTGTGAGTCACGAACGACAAAGCCTCGCTTGACTACGCGCCGCTAGAAAGAAGGTTTCGTACCAATGTCGTTCGAAAAAGATAACCGACGCATTCTGGGGATAACCCTGGATGGCGCAATCACAGGCGCAATGCTGTGGTTATGCAACCGTTTCCCGACCTGTCTCTACTGGTCGGTAACCCATGACTGACCAAGTTAGGCAAATGCCTCTGTGCAAGGCACAATACTACCAATATTCTGAGCATAACTTTGCACAATAACGTCGCCAAGCCTGTTGATCGGGACGGAAGTAGACATCCGCGTACGCTGCAAAGACGCCACGAGATTACATTCAATGCGTCATGCCGTCACTGGGATCGCGGCCTATTTCGAGAGTCCTCTGGGAAGCTGAGAAGCCACGACTGCGTGCCTGAGTGTTCCAACTTTCCGCCATAGGCTCTGGACATATGAATGGGTTACTAATACGTAACCATTAATAACAAGCAGAGCGCGTTTTGGATCAACCCATCATTCCAGAGTTCGGAGGACCACAGTAGTGAGCTACACAACGACCTCTGGAGGGGGCGTCTTGTTCGACCTCTGCCGCGTCCACCATTACCGTCATCTGGAGAATTCCTAATCATATAGCAATAGTGGCTGCACTGCAGTTGCGCGGCGATCCAACCTTCTTTCGGTTGATCTCGAGCCAAATAAAGCTTTGTGTTGCACTCAAACTTGGATTGGTCTCCAGTGACACGCTCATTCAGCAAACCTGACAATCTCCTTCGGGCGAGTTTTCCCAACCCAGCATGGGAACAAACAACGTCGTTAGTTTGGTGGTAGTCGAAACGCCTGCCACGTGCCTTCAACAGGGCTGGCGAGCAATCGATTAACGAGCCAGCAAGACTGGGCGATGAGACCATGCCACAGCGGCCTATCACAGGTGGCCGGACCTTTGACCGAAATCCTCGTACCCCGACCTGCGTCCCTGGTTCGACGGCTGGGGAAAGAGTCTGCAGGGCAGCGCGTCGGAGGCCGGCCAAACGCCTACTACACGGTCGCAAGCCATGGGGCTTAGGCGGTCTGGTGGGCTGGACCTTGCGTGGAGAAACATCCTAGGCTGACCGCTGGGCATGCTGCAGCGATGGCACGGGCGGTCCTTGCAGAGCGACGGTGATATCCCCGGCTCAGGCTTCACGACGCAGGAGCTAACAGTATCGCGGGTCCAAGTAGCAGTGTATCCGCTTTTCTCAGTTTTTGTGCTTAACAACATATTTGCCCCCGAAGTATCGCTAACTACGAATTCCGCCGTTAGTCTTGCCGTCGCCGGCTGTTCTCCGCATTACCGTCAATCCAGCCCCCCTTTTTACAATAGCTCGTCACCCGGTCTCCGTGTTATCTCCGAATACAAGACCAACACATCGGCGCAGCAAGCGATCCCATATCGCTTCAAGCAAGAGTTTTCGTCGCCTACTCTAGATCGGAGTTGATATGAGCAGTGTCTACTAGCCTCGCACCATGTAGTACGGGCCCAAGGTTCATGGATAGTGTCGGCACTCCCGCAGTTAGCCGATCGACGGAGGTCCTATCTCCCTGGGTCGGATACACCGGGCCGCTACAGCGAGTTCGTCGTTAATCTGACGACGCGAAGTGGTGAGAATACTGTTGAATTCAAAGAACATGTAGCGCAAGACACCGAGCACACTGGAGAATATGCAGCCAAGTCCAAGTCAAACGTGTAAGCAACCATAAATCACCTCGAAAAGGTAGACATGTCGCTACAGGGTAGTGGACCTCCAGTTACGACTTGACAAGGCGGCCAAGTAAAATTTATACGAAGTGATCTTGGTTGAGACTTATCGCTCAAACTAGCAACCGTCCAGCGCAGAGGGTATTCTGCAACACGTAGATATCCTTACATTGAGGTTGAATGGCGTGCAAATACTGCGTTGGCTTACTAACGCTACAAAGACACTCTGTCAATAGTACTATGATACTATGCTAGGTGCAATACAGCGATTTCTTTGTAAGCAAAACCTCTCCCCGCGCGCTACAGAACCCTTACAACACAACTGGTTGTCAACTTAAGACCAATACAAAGTCAACCTTCTCGCCTGAATGTTATCGTAAATCCAGTAAATCCAGCGTCACGCTACTTGAAATCAAAACTGTACTAAAGTTGGCTCTTGATATAGCACACCACAAACTCAATTAGCCCTCTGCCATATACAAGGGAGATTCCGAGAGGCAGGAGTAACTAGTCTTCTCTCTACTGCAGTCTACAACAGTATATTACAGAATAACACTAGATGTTCTTAAGCCAATGTAGACTTTACGTCTTCAAAATCTATATAAATACTAATTATATTAGTACTGTTGTAGGTTGCAGCAGAGCAGTTAGGAAGCTTTGGTGTACTTCTTCAATTTCTCCCTTGTAATGCGGTGCCGCCTTCATGAATGACCTTCTCACTATTTCTCACGACCTTGGGCACGCATCCCACAACCACGCATACCGCTTACCCACACTGCAATTTCCCACCAACATGCGTGCACTCATACAAAACGCCTACAAACCACACCCACATGCACATCTTCGCACACCAATCAAACATGAATCGTGAATCAAGAATCGCTATTACTATATCCATTTTTCATCTCACTCCGCTCAGAAAACGGAAAGACAAAGGGGAAAGGAAGAAAAGAACTCCACGAATCCCCCGGCATCAAGTTCCTCCCAACCCCTCACATCACCACAGCGCACTCTCTCTCTCTCGCGCGCAGTGACTGTAAAAACCTCCATCAAACTCAAAACCTTGATCGTACACATCAACCCCCCTTTTAAGTGGAAGAAAGAAAGAAAGAAAGAAGAGAAAAGCATCTACCTCTTCCTCTTCTTCGCCTTCCCCTCATCCTCACTCCCACCACCCCCGGCCTCCCTAGCCTCCTTATCCTTCCTCGCAGCCTTCTTATCCAACTCATCCCAACTCTCGCCCTCACTAAACTCCTCCTCACTCCCCTCATCGCTCATCTCATCACTCGCATTCTCATCAAAGTCGCTCTCCTCACTACTCTCATCCGAAATCGCCAGCTCGCTCTCACTAACCTCAAACGCACTCTCCTCTTCCTCGTCGCCATCCCCTTCGTCATCCGACTCGTTGGATAGGAAACTCCAGCCGCCATCTGCAAAGAACTGGTGCGGGTCCGACGTCACTGTCTTCATGATGGTGGCCCAGTTAAGGTTGAGGGGGCCCTCGGTAAACGGAATGTCGACAGAGTCGAGCCAGTCCTTGACTGGGTCGAGAGATTCGACGGGGATGGTGTTGATGTGGACAGGGGGCCGGTTGTAGTCCTTGAACACGACGACCATGTCAAAGTTTCTCAAACCGAACTGCACACGTTCCAGGTGCACGATTTCAATCTCACTGAGCGTGAGACAGGTGAACGGCGGTTCGGTGAGTTGGACAAGACAGTCGGTCGTGGGCTGGACGAGCACGCTGGACCGACTGGGCACACCGTTGAAACCCAACTCACGGTATGGGATATCAACACTGACATTCTCGTTCCTCGCCGCATCGGCAATCTTCTCGGCAAAGTTTTTGAATTCCTTGTCGAGAGCGGCACGGCGCCTGCGCTCCTCTTGTTCTTGCTCAAACTCCTCTTCGTCGCCGAATTTGTGGCGGCGTTTGCGGTTGCCTGTCTCGTCGAACTGCATCTCGGTTGCTTCCCGGACAAACTGGACGTCCTTGGTCTTCTTCTTACCGAGCATGATTGGGTTCTTGAGGTGCACGTGGATGATGACGATCAACTCGTGTTGTGAGGGCTGGAAGAAAAGATGCTTCATGTTGCTGAACAGAACGTCGATCTTCGCGGTACCATTGCCGTGGACGTAGCGCAGACCGTTCTGGTGAATCTCGACACTACCGGGGATACGTTTACCGTCGAGCGCTGGGCGGATGAAGATGAGGTCCAGCATGTGAGGCTTGCGAGTCTTGAGTGGGATGAGCTTGTCTTGTTCAACAACGTCCTCCATCTGCTTCTTCTCAGTCTCACGTCGTACGACGTCCTTCTTCAGCTCTGTAATGTCCTTGGTGATCTGGTCGATGCGATCAACGTCGTGCGACTTGAAGGTCAAACTACGGATGAAGTGCGCGTTGGGGTCCTCAAAGGGTTGGTCGTCTTTTCGGCCCACACCCTGACCTGGCGACAGGAAGTTGATGCGGAGCGATGTGAAGTCTGCCTCGGGCGTGTGCGAAGCGTTCTTGATGGTGTGGATGTGGAAGGGTACAGGTCGACCCATGATGGGCAGAAGAACGGTAAGGTTCTTCTTGTCGACTACAATCTCCAAGTTGGCGACTGAGTTGGGGAACTGGTTGTCGCGCTTGTACGACTCAAACTTCTTGAACTTCTTCTCTTCAGTGCCGTTGAGAGACTTTGCGCCTTCGCTGTACTCGGCAAGACCTTGCTCTTGCTTCTTGGCATGCAGCTCTCTCTGATGTTGTCGCCGTTGCTCCTCCTTCTCCGCGTCTTGGTTCGTTGTTCGCTCGTGTCGGGTACGGGTCTTGGTGATGTTTGTCTGTGCAATAGCGGGGCGCTCCTTCTTCACCTTGGGCTTCGCTTCCTCCTCTTCGTCGTCGAAGAAGAACGAGACGGCGTCCAAATCAGAAGTGGTGTCCTTGGTAAAGACTGCGCAGTCAGCCGAGCTGACACGAACAGTGTCTACCAAGACCAGCGAATAGTTTTTGCTCTTCTTGTCTTGAGGTTTGCTGTTCTCCAGATCCGACAGACCAGTCTGAACGACCAGAGTCATGCCGTCCTTTAGAACACGAGTGTTCTTGCCGCTCAAGAGGAGCGAAGAGTCCTTGTTCTCGGTACCGATACCGTAACCAAGGTTCTTGGGGAAGTGCTTCTCCCACTCTGGCTTCTTGGACTTGAGATGTGCCAGGGCCTTGTTGTAGACGTCCTTGGCCACAACACCGTCCTTGATGGATTTGATGACCAAGTCGTGGATCGCCAGAAGCAGCTTGTAGGCAGTCTCCTGTTCCTTGTTGGGTCCTACCATGAATGTTCGGCCGATCATGGCACCGTAGGTCTGGTAGCGCAGGCCGAGGACCGAGATGATGACGCCCGCGTGGAGGTTGTTCTCGTCGGGCTCCGCAGCAAATTTGAGGTCGTACGAGCCACCGCTCTGGATTGTAGGCTGGAGACACCAGTCGAGCTGCATCGAGTCGAATGTCTTGGAGAGCTTCTGTTTCTCAAAGAACTTGGCGTCGTCGATCTTGTTGGAGACCTTGTCGGCGAGGGCGCGGTGTGAGATCTTCTTCTCCGAGTCGAGGATGTCGGACATTTCTTCGACGAAGTAGTTGGACATGAGGGCGCTCGAGGCGCGGGCAGCATCGCGGATAGTTCGCTGCAGGGTCAGCCAAGCACTATTCTGGTCCGTCGCTCAACTTACCAGCTCCTTCTCGTCCTTGACAGACAAGGCGGCGTTGGACATGATGGAGGCCAGATCGACCTGATCCTCGTCCTTGAAGCCAGCCTCGTCGAAAGCCGCCTTCCACTCGTTTGCGAAAGCGTTGTTGGCACTGTCCTTCTTGAGCACCGCAACCTTCTTGCCGGCCTTTTTCATCGTCTCGAGACATGTCTGGAACTGCTTCTTGTTCTCCTCGGCGTCCTTGCCCCGCACGAGAATCTCAACAGGCACCTTGCCACCCTTGAGCGGCTCTAGGTAGGATGCTGCATCGCCGTTAGCAACCACATGCCCTGTTCAGGCCCGGACAAGCATGTCGGACTCACCCTTCTTCTTGGTTGTGACAATCTGGAGGAGGTCGGGGGTAAGGACGAAAAGCGTAGCAGGGAACTCGTAGCCTAGCAGCCATAGCTACGGCGTCTCGTCAGCTCACTGTCCATCATCACATGCGGATCGGCGCAATCTCACCTGGAATGCCGCTGGCTTCAGGTAGATGCCTGGCTCGCTCGCCTTGCCCACGAGCGTGGCGATTGAGCTTGCGCCCTGGAAAACCTGGTCGCCGGAGCGCTTGTCGGCCTTCCACTTGGTGACGAGGTTGTTGAGGCGCTCGTGGAAGAGCGCCTTGTCGATGACGATGTCGTTGTCCGCCATGTTTGGAGGTGCGCGCAAGAGAACCTCCAGACAAGTCGACTGGGCTGGGAGGGGGGAGGTGGAAGAGAGAAGGCGACGATGGGAAAGTCGCGAAAGGATGATGCGACGCGAGGTACGCGCTCGCGGGCCGTGCGCTCTTTAACTCCACATCGGTGCTAGTGTCTCCAATTACCTTGCCAGGTAGCACTCTGGGATAGCATCTTGACGTACATCTGAGAATCGTCTATACAGCTGTTTACGCTCTCTTTCTCTTTTGTCCAGTTGTCTTATTGGCTCTTGTCCACCCGGAGCTTGGTCAAAGTCACTCCCACTCACCCTGTGACCATCCCACGCGGCTGCCTTTGCCAACTTCAACCCTCCAAACCTCCAACACCCCGCCCATGCGCCTGCAGTCCTCACTCACCTCCCATGCTATGCAATGACGGCCGGCTCCAGTCTCCGCGCTGGAGTCTCTCTCCGAAGCGATGCCTCCAATGACACCTCTCCCCCCGAAGCCCCGCAAGCACCCAACAAGGCACCAGCGACAGGTGTCCAGGCTGCCGGCATGCGCGCCGTGGCAGCCAGAATGGTCGCCTTTTACTTCCGAGCACCAGTCAAGGCCTTCTTCCGCGGGAGGATAGATTACATGGGCTATGCGAGGGCCATCAACCCACACGTCATGGCGGATGCGAAGTGGTCGTGGAGAATGACTACGCCCGCCGTGCTGGCGCATGCCATACGGACTGAGGGATGGGGCTTCATTCCGAAGCAGGTGCTGCCACCTCTAATGGCAAACACATGGTGTGTATGACGAGTTCCTGGCCCACGCATATGCTCACAGCGCGCAGTATTGGCGCAGTCCTATATACAGCATACCTCCATAGTCTCTCCGCACTTCACGAACCCTCGTCCTACCAAACCAAGCGCGTCTACCCACCACCACCCCCCTCTGTGACCTTCACAGCCGGCTTCATAGGTGGGGGCATCCAATCCGTCATCGCCGCCCCCTTTGACGCCCTGCAAACCCGTTTCCGCACGGCCGACATTCTCGACGGCAAGCACAAGACCATGTGGCACTACGCAGGCCACAAGCTGCGCTCCATCGGCATCCAAGGCATCTTCGCCGGCTGGTCTCTATCCTTTATGAAAGACGCATTCGGCGCCGCCGTCTTCTTCGGCACCTTTGAGACTGTCAAAAGCCAGGCGTACCTCGAATTCGTGTCGCGGTACTACGGGAGCCGGACGCGCGATACGCTGCTCGAAAAATCTATACCGTATCTGCAGGAAGACCACGATGACCGCCCCGTCATCAGACCTCACTATATGCTCGAACCCATGTTCCTCCTCTTGGCAGGCGTCTCTGCGTCAATCACGTCTCAGCTCATCCAACACCCTCTTACCGAGATTCAAGACGTGCACTACCGCCGGCTAGAAGCACTGGATTTCCAGGCCCACCAGGACAACAAGCCTAGTCACATTGTACGAAGATACTACCACGCTTACGAGGAGACGTTTGCCCAGTGCAAGATACTAGCCAAGCGAGCTGGTGGCTGGAGAAAATACTTGTACAGGGATTTCTTCATGAGTACGATTAAACAGGTGCCGAGTACGGCGGCTGGCCTCATTGTGTTTGAAATTGTGAGGAGAAAGTACTCGTTTGAGAATGAAGAGGTTATGATTCTGCACGAAGATGCGAGGATCTTGCTGACGTAATAACACTGTCCTAAAGCACAAAGTCTGATGAGGTGTGAGTGTGTGTGTGGTGGAGGTGGCAGAAATGCTTGGCAAGCAAAAAAAAAACTTGCCACAAACTCAACCATCATCACCACAACGAGCAGCATGGCATGGTGTCGACAGAAGCATAAAAAAGAAGAGGAAGCCCGACGTGGGGGTCTACGAACATGTTAGGCGTTGAATCGAACGTTGGATGTTTGGAGCTAACTAACCGAACCCACAACCTTGAGATAACGAATCGAGTCTTTAGGACGTGAAAGCTTAAGAGTCTCACGCTCTACCGATTGAGCTAGCCGGGCGAATGCTTTTGATTGATGGAGCACGGGAGAAATAAAGAGAAGAAAGATTGAGGTTTTTCCTCACTCGACGCGTCGAGCGTTCATTTTTGCATATGATACCCGGATATAGACTGCCAAGACTTATAGACTATGAATATTTTTTTTGGTCCCATGTACCCGGATTGTTGTGTGTGTATATATGTATATAAGCAAATCGTACTACACTCGTAATAATTTCTCTTCCAAAGTATGCTCAACCAAGTGCGCACACACTCAACGATACAAACTTTCCACGTGTAAATCTCCATGCCCTCTGTTTGCCTTCCCACTTTCCTCCTTCCCCTTACTGCCTCTCCGCCTCCTCCGTCTTCTCTCTCAATCTCGCTCCCACGCCCCACATTTCCAGAGCCAGGATCCACCAGACGAAGCTCCGGCCCACATGCCATGACCCGTGGGAGAACTGGTATTGTCGAGTTCTACAACATGGCTTTGTTAATTCGATTTCCTCACCTCACATGACGGGGAAGAGAAGGAAAAAAGAGGAAGAAAAAAAAAAGATTCTTACAAACTCACACGAAGCAGAAGAAGATGGATCCGATGATGAGCCAGCACAAGGCGCCGAGGAAACGGGTTTGCGAGGAGGAGGAGAGGATGATGAATGCGGTAGCTGTTGTTGCGTGAGATGATGCGGAAGAAGAAGAGGGAGAAGTGTGATTATTCTCGTCCCCATTACCAGACGATTCAACACTACGCCAACAACCCAGTCCAACAGTCACGCCAAGTCTCATCGTTAGACCATTCTCTGCTGTCGACGTCGACGTGCTTAGTTGCGGACACTCTGGGTCCCAGATGATTGGTGAGTTTAGCTGTGGTGCTAGACGTTTTTGAAACATGATTAGTTATATACTTCGCGCATGGTGGGGTGCAGATGCGTACCTGTTCCTGTTGGTGCGGGAGGGGGTGTGGGAAGTGGTGCTGTTGCTTGAGGGGTGGCGGAGGGGAAGATGAAGGATACGCCTGGAGGTAGGGGTGGGATGGGAGATGTTGTGTTTGGGGACTCGGGTTTGGGTTTCGTTTTCGGGGGTGTGGATGTGTCTGCGTTGGACGTAGCGGATGGGCTGGTAGACTTGGGCTTCTTGGGTGAAGGTGTGGATGTGTCGTCGTCGGCTGGAGCATCGTCGTCGTCGTCGTCGTCCTTGGTTGAAGTGTCTTGATCCGCGTCGTTAGTAGGTGTAGCTTCTTCGTCTTCTGTAGGTTTCTTCTTCGTGGATGTAGGTTCTTCGTTGGCGTCTGCAGATACGCTCGTAGTCGGTGCGGTATCCTCGTCATCCGTAGACGTAGGCTCCTCGTTTCCATCCCCGTCTTCATTCACCGCCTCATCAGGCTCAGTCTCTTCGCCAACCACCGTCTCCTCTTCCAGCTCAGCTTCTTCTCCCTTTTCACTACTCCCGTCTTCTACAAGGCCATTTTCGTCCTCGTCACCACCGCCCTGCTGTTTAACCGCCAACTTCGTAGCAATAACCGCACCCTCCGCTCCTTTCCCCTCCGTACTGACCCTGGTAGGTTTCTCAACCCCTCCGTCCCCCTCATCATCAATAGCGATATTGAAAACCCCCTTCTTTTCTTGCTCAGCATCCTCAGCCAAACCCCTCCTCCCCATCCTTGCATCAAACCCACTCGTCAACCACTCCCGACCATCTCGACGCCACCACACAAACGGCGACCCATACCGCCTCACCCCCGCGTTCCTCGACGCTGTCGCAGAAGCTATACCAGAGTTGTAAAGCCGAGGAGTCGAAACAGTACCACTAGTCCCCATCCAACTATAACCAGACGTATACTGCATACTCCCATCCCGCGTCGATTCAACTGCACGTCTAGCTCCACCAGCCTGCTTCGTCGCCATGGATGCGGCCCGCCTCCCTAGCCTCACAGCTCCGTTCACAGAGGTAGTGGTCGTGATGAGATTTTTCTCCGTACCATCTGCTGTCGATGCGGTGTCCTCGGCGGTCTTGATGTATTCGCTGATGTAGGGGTACCATGTGTTTATGCTTGACATTGTGAAGACGTTTTCTTTGTTGCTGGTCTGTGTTGCGCCGGTAGGAAGGGCGAGGGGTGTGGCTTTTGGCGATGGGGTGAGTTCTGGATCCGCGGAGGTGTCTTTGGGCTCCTTGGCCGAGGAGGTTTTGGATTTGGTCTTGGGCGCTTGAGAGGTGCTCGTGTCTGGGTCAGAGATGTCAGTGATTGCGGATCCTGTTCTCGTGGGAGTGGGTAGCGATGAGCGTGTTTCTAATGTATCTTCGTCGGGTTCGCTTGCGGAGGACTTTGTCCTGGACTTGCTGAGTACTTCGGTTGCTGATGCTGGGGCGATGGATTCAGTGTCTAAAGATGTCGCTGAAGTAGATGATCTCTTCTTAGACTTAGATATCTCTGAACCATCGCTAGTTTCGTCATTATGCGAACTTCTAGTCTTTGTTGCGGAGGACGTGTCAGAGTCAGTCTCTGAAGCTGATGCCTGGGAAGACGTATGTTTGGACAAAGTCGATGTGCTCCCCGATATTTTCTCAGTAGTCAAAATCCTTGTCGTCTTTTCCTTTGTCGATGAGACTGTTGTTGTTAAACCTGCAGTTGCTTTACTATTTTTCGAGTCATCTATATCCTCTACTTTCCTAAACTCGAGGCAGAAACCAGCAGCTGCCTCTCCGTGAACCGGTATAGTGACCGTTTTCGTAGCATCTAGAACAGCAAGGTGTAGTTCACGTGTCTTTGGAGGGTCTTGCTCTACTTGGTTTTCGCAGAATTCGTAGGCTGCACTATCGGACATGTACACTGAGATATAGCCTTCAGGCGCAAGGTCAACTCTGAGATTGTAGAGGTTGTTGCTTCGCTTGTCGACGGTGTGGAATTCGTAATTTAGGTTATGATCGTGCTTGGTGGCATCGGTCGAAGATACGGGTTGGTCTCTGCGTGTATCCGAGATGACAGACTCGCCAGTCACAGATCCTCGGGAGACCTTGGGCTTCTCACCGCTTAGGGTTTCCAGCCTGAGGTATTCTGTTGATATAGATGAGGCTGAGCGATAATGCTCACGCTCAGAGACCCGCTCGATGGAAAAACTGGTAGATTCGTTGGACATCGTCCTCTTGCTCCTACCAATATCGCTATCGTAGCTCGTGTGCAGTCGTCGTACTTCTGTATGATAGAATGTTTTTGTTATCGTCGGTGTCTTACGGCCCTTGCCCTCGACAGCAGCCGCCAGAGCTAGGTCAAAGGCAAGAGCACATGTGCTCGATGACAGGGTCAGTATATTCGGAAGAAGTTTCATGTTTATGCCGTTTTACGGTGGTTTACAGAAAAGACAACCGACTATGGAGGAACAATAACATGAGTATTCTAACTGTGGTGACGATGCATGCTCATTGATTGACGAAATCCGGGTGACATGTAGCTATTCGGAAGCATAGGATCGTGGAATGAACGACGGAAGATCAATAAAATCTATCAAATTAGCTGTGAAGACAGAGTGTACTTTCGAGGTCCTTGACGATGACGCCGTCCGCTTCCCATTCTCTCACGCGCACATCGCATCTCGCATAGCTGGTCAATACCACGGCTCTTCACAACGACCGTAGTGTGATTTACTGTAGCCGCCAGAGTGCAAGAATCATTCACAGTCTTTGGAATAACGATTGATCTCGTGTTTATGCGGCACACCAGACTCCAAACGAAGGAAGACCTTCTAGTTCACCACAGTAGAGGTAGAGCCGAGAGCTTTATCAGATGCGCAAGCTCTACTAAGCAACGACTCCGCTCCATCTAAGCCTCGTCATGGGGGAGATTGTGTTGTCGTGCTTACTCTTACCCAAATCTCATATTACAGCGGCACTCAGAATAACCATCTCAGATAATATCTACTGAACACCATAAGCCTCGTTTAAAACGCGCAGCGCTTTAGCGTGCGCGTTCAATCGCAACTCGACATGGAGTGACGACTTTCCTAGCTCGCCTGACTACGCGTCAAAATTACGCGTTTACTCCTGACTGGAGTTACCTCGGCCAATCTCGGAGGCCACGAAAGTAAGCATGTACAAACATGCTCTGGGGATCAAAGTACGTAGTGGGGATTACGAAACACTTACGTACGGTTCTTTGTATAGCATAGGAGGGCCGCACTATGTAGATAAGCCAAGAGTTACTTATATACCTTATACTGTGGACCTTCTACCAAGCATCGATTCTGTGTCCTGGCATTACGAACAATGCGTTTCTCTTTATCCACTTTGCTCTTGGCTGTCGTGCCCAAAGTCCTTGGCGACAAGCATTACTTCTTTTCTGGATTCTTCGCGGGGAATGTGATTGCAGGTGTAGAATTTGATGATTCGACGAATGACCTGACGCTCGTGAACAACATCACCGTAAACGCATCAGAGGGCTCGAAATGGATAGCTATCGATGTACGAGCCCAACTATTTTCACTAAAACCATCAACAAGTCTAACTCCAACAGGAACGCAAAAAGAATGTCTACGTCGCAACAACCGGCCAAATCCAAAGCTACGCCATAACGTCAAACCGCAGCCTCACATCCACCAGCAACATAACCCTCTCCTCCTCCTGTCAGCTACCTATACTCCCTCGCAACAAACCCATCTAACAGTGAAATCTAGGCCAGAATGCAAACTACATAGCCACTACAAACGCTTCTCCCTACACTGTCTTCGGCGTCGCCTACAGCACCGGCTGCGCCGCCCAAGCCCTCGCCGTCGACTCCACCGGCGCTCTCACCACTGCCACCGCAAATCTAACTTACAACAGCACCTCTGGCGTCCATGGGCTTGACATCAGCCCAGATGCTGCATTCGTGTACTCTGCCGATGATATGGGCAATGCCGTCTGGGCGCATTCGTACGACAGAGAGACCAAGACCGCGCAGACACTGCAGTATCTAGCTGCGCCCGAGGGTGCAAATCCGAGGCATTTAGCTGTACATCCGAATGGGGGCTGGGTGTATGTCATTTACGAAGAGGCGAACTCATTGGCGGTGTACAAGAGAGATGATAAGACAGGATTGTTGATGGACGAGAAAACGACGTATTCGCTGTTGCCCGCTGGTATGTTTATCCTTTTTCCTTGCTTTCTCCACTCTTGCTGTAAGATTAGAGATTGCATATGTACTAACGCACCGCTACCCAGGTTTCACAAACACATCCTCCTACTGGGCCGATGAGGTCAAATTCTCCATCCCCACCTCAAACTCTACCAACACCACCACCACTTCCTCCCTTGCCGATTCCACCGCCCCCGCCCAACCGAGATACCTTTTAACCGGCACCCGCTCGCGCTCCTCCAACGCCACTGGCTATGTCTCGGCCTTCACCCTCGACGCCTCCACTGGCGCCATAACATCCCAGCTCTTCCTCCTACCCACGACGGCCAGTGGCGGATCCGCGAATGCCGTGTCGCCAGCGCTATTTGGAGAGGATTATTTTGCTATTACAGATAGTGGGGCAAATTTTGTCGAGGTGTGGAAGATTGAAAGGGATGGGATGGGGGCAAGCGCGGTGGCGCGTTTGGGGTTTGAAAGTGGGCCGGCGAATGTGGTGTGGATGGACTAGCGGGGTTTGAGGATCGAAGGATAGTTGGGGTACATGGTAACTACTCGGGCCCAACGGCTGCCGTGGCAGAATTTCAATAAAATTTACTCTATACAGAACATATATCCTCAAGGCTCAGGAAGTAAAGGCTGAGTCTCCGCGGCAGTATTGTCCCTGTTGATTCTTCGGGCTGAGTCGTCTTTGTCAGTACCCAAGCGCCTAATACTGTTGAACACACGTGGAGACAATAGCGCAAGGCTACCGAGAGGAATGGCCAGTCCGTGTACGACCTGGAGTCTTGATTAATCCATCGGTATCATTGTGTCGAGGATTTCACTTACGACGCTAGAAATCACGAGAAACCATACTATGACCAGGGTCACTTGAGCCAACGCGATACAGTCCTCCCGCTCTGGATGTTCGAGTTGGATGCGGAGCAAAAAGTCCTGCGTGACATACAGATAGAAAATTGCGCTTATGCCGATTGGGCCAAAGAAGCCCATGATAAGCGCGTGGCGGAAGCTGCGGATTTGAGGAATCTGTTTTTGGAGAGCGATTATGACTGGCAGGCGACGAAGGAGAAGAACCAGAATACCGAGCAGAATGAGTCGAGAGCTTGGTATGACGTCCCCAGAAAAGAACTTTTCCCACGGACACACGGCGCCAAGCCACATGAACACAGCCACGTTGAGGAGGAAGTCCATGATAGGCTGAAGGGAATCATGCTCTGTCTGCTCGCGAAACCAATCACTAGAATCATGTCAGCCAAGAGCTGTAGATTGGATATGAGGCTCAGAAAAGCTCTTACTCCCAGGTGAAGGTGTTTCCCGCTACGAAGCAGGCCAATACATCGTCCGCATCGATGAGTCCGACAGTACCTATGATCAAGAGCTGTAGAAAGATCAGTAATCGAGTTGTAGCTCTCCATTGTGTAGAAAGATTGGCTTACAGCTAGAGCTATGGCAAATAGGTGGAGGCTTTCTTTATCGACCATGCGTCTTCTGTCTGCCCAGAAGAGCAGATGTTTCGCCGCCCAGCCTGCAACAGCGCCATAAACAACGCTTAGCAAGATGGTGTACAAGCAAGTCACGCTCAGAAAGGAGGTCACCGCCGTTGATGTTCCACCTTCTTGACCAGCGAATTTGACCAGATATAGCGGGAGGAAGAGGAAAAGGTAGCCAAGACCGTCATTGGCGCCTGATTCTGCAATAATTATCTTTTGAAGTGGTCTCGACATGTGCTTGTCAGCAAATGTTCCCTTCACAATCGAATTCGAAAGGACAGGATCAGTTGGCGTCACGCAAGCACCGACGATAAGGCTCTGGACCAGACCGAGGTCTGGCACGAGTTGCCATACCAGAAAGCTGGTAATGACCCACATGCCCAACATTCCAGGGCCGAGCAAGATGGCCAGGCTCTGCCATTCTGTCTTGAGATATCTGCTGGGCAGCTGTATTCCAGCTATAACAAGTTGGATTCCCAGGACGAGGCGCGTGAAGCAAAGGGTGACAGTAGCGAGCGCTTCTGGAGAGCTGGCGTATTCATGTGGGCGGATGAGACGAATACCGTATGGCGATAGGAAAACTCCGGCGCAGAGAGACACAACTAGCCATGGAAGTCAACATGACAGGAAACTGAGTTCCTGAGGTGTAGGTGCACATACGCGGTTCCGTCACATAAAATCCCTCTTTCAGAAGATATGAAACCAGTCCAAAGAGAGCAATGAAGCCGCCGCCGACGCAGCAAACCAAGTTGAAATTTAGTATGGGATCAATGCTCTTATTGACCATGTTGTCGAAGAGGACGGCCAGGCTGCCGACGTATATTGCTTGCTGTCCTGCAGAGCTTCCGAGGCGCGATCCGTTTGCTTGAGTCGAACAGAAGTTTTGGACCACGCTGCATCAAAATCGCGTCTATCTGGGTGAGGGGCTTGTCAAGACGAGACGGCGGGGGGTTTGCGAGTGTGGGCTTCACAAGCTTCTTCGACTGTTCTCATGCAACAATTGCGAGGACTGAGCTTACCATCTAGTACAAGGTTGTCCGCGAGCTTGCCTAGCAGCAGCGTGAAGCAGCTGTTGTAAAGTGTCGAGAGAGAAGAACCGGTGACTATATGTGCCGCTCGTCAACAGATGGACTGCATCTTCAGCGGTGTGGGTCATCGGCTGTTGGTAAGCCGACGCGTGATGAGAGCACGAGCCGCGGCCAGGTCATGCACTACGCTTATCGTGGTCATTAGTCTGGGGATTTGGTACCGTGCCCGTGCTCCTATCAATGCTAACTAGCTGTCACGAGGTTGACCTCCCCCACTAGGAAGTTGAGTAGGTTTGAAAGGCAGCGGGGGTTAGGAGAGCTCCTCGTTGACTGCGCACGGACTGCATGTCTTACTTAGTCAGCTAGCTCGGTGGATTCTGCAGCGGAACCCGAACATCGGCAGCCACCTACCTAGGTCCTTTTCAGCGCTTCACAAGACAGCTGCGCACACAACCACACAAAAGATGCGCCGCGATACGGGATAAGATGTCTTGCGTATCTGTATGAAAAGTCATCTTTTCGGCCAGTATGCTGCTATACGCTGATGCCGCGCGTGCGATGGCTTCCGAATCGCAACGATAGACCCCTCAATTCAGTCCGAAGCAAGTGCCGAGAGGGCTACCTGCTGCGATACACGGTGATACATGATACTTGACACCACTATGCTTCCGCGACTCTTCTCCTCGGCTCCTCGTCTTCTTTCCAATAGAATTCCATCATCTCACGTCTCTACACGCACCATGGCTTCGCTACCCATCAAGCTCGCCGTCCTCGATGACTACCATAACATAGCAGCTTCGCACTTCACCCACATCGATCCCTCCAAAATCGACGTCACCGTCTTCAATGACACCTTACCCTCCTACTCGCACCCCGGAACTTCCGATGCCGACCGCAAAGCTCTCGTCAACCGCCTCAAGCCCTTCTCCGTCTTGTCAACCATGCGCGAACGCACTCCCTTCCCAGGCGAACTACTCCGTCAATTACCAAACCTCAAGGTCATATTCGCTACGGGTGGCAAGTTTGAAAGCTGGGATCTGGATACGGTGAAAGACATGGGAATCACGGTATGCGCAGCGCCCGGCAAGGGCAGAACAGATGGCAGAGGCAGTGGCACGTCTCCGAGATCTTTGCCCATCAAGCAGGGCGGCGGCCACCCGACAACGCAGCATGTTTGGGCGCTCATATTGGGCCTTGCGCGGAATATCGCTGCAGATGACGCCGTGGTCAAGGGGAAAGGTGGGCCAGCGGGGTGGCAGACTGAACTCGCCATGGGCCTGCAGGGAAAGATGCTAGGTTTGGTTGGTCTAGGCAGAATTGGCGCGCATGTTGCGAGAGTGGGTGTCCTTGCTTTTGGCATGAAAATCGTGTGTTGGAGCGCGAACTTGACGCAGGAGAAGGCTGATGAGTTGACGGGCGAATGCGGGTTACCGGTGACGGGTGGAGGTATCGCCAGCGAAGATGAGAAGACGTTCAGGGTGGTCACCAAAGAGCAGCTTTTCAGGTCCGCCGACGTGGTGAGCGTGCACTATGTTCTTAGCGAGCGCTCGAGGGGTATTGTTGGCGCACGGGAGCTGGAATGGATGAAACCGACTGGACTTCTGATCAATACGTCTCGTGGACCACTTGTGGATGAGGCCGCGTTGCTGGAAACGCTCCGGCAAGGACGCATACGTGGCGCTGCGCTCGATGTGTTTGATATCGAACCTCTTCCTGCTGATAGCCTGTGGCGGAGCGAGGACTGGGATGTCAAGGGCAAGAGCAGGGTGTTGCTGACGCCGCACATGGGATATGTCGAAGAAGGTACCTTGACGACGTGGTATGAAGAGACGGCAGAGAACTTGGAGAGATTGATCGAGGGCAAAGAACTATTGCATCGGATTATCTAATGCTGATGCAAACAGGCTGATGTCCAAGTCGTATCCACGGTTTAGAATGGGCACTCGCATTTAATCTATCGACTGACCCTCGTTCTCCACTTCGTGGTCTATCCCATCCTCTCATTTCTATTTGTTATACCTCTCATCTATCCACTTGGTCGGCGAGCCGGACTGAAACATGTCGATTGAGGGCAGAGAATCATCGTGTCGAAACAGTCAATGCTTACAATATATCTAAATGGCAAGGCCCAATCTTGGTTTCAAATACCACCCATACTGTACAGGTGTTGGAGTGTATGGAGACACTATCACGAGGATGTCAAGGCATCTTCTTCGTACAGCTAAGGGAAGAAGGATGTACAGGTGTTGTACAATTGTATTCTGGTAACTAGAAGAGTGTGATCGTTCCTCAATCGGCTGCTAATGTACAATATGCCGACTGCCGCCCCACCCCACAAGACTTGTTGTCTAGTAACCCTGACGATCGGATAGACGGGTTCTGGGTGCTCTGGAGCAGGCGGTGCAGACCTTTACTTCAGTGTGTCGGCGGGTAGGTTGTCCAAGTCGTGATTAGTGATATAAGCGTGTTAGATAGAAGGTCTTAGCACACAAGTAGTCTTAACATGTCCTAATTTGTTTATTGTACTAGTTCTCTCCTAACAGCTACCTTACAAGGTTAGCTGTTTAGTAACCCTAGAAATTAGGTATGTAGGTTCTGGGCGCTCCGGAGCAGGCGGTCTAGGTGGTCGAACAATAGATGGGACAGCGGGAATCGTAAGCACTGGCTTTCGACGGGTACGAATTGGATCTTCTCTGCCATCGCTGTGTGCACTATTGCCACCATCGACCTCGGCCGGCTCTGTCATTGAAGCATAAGTTTTCAGACCCATGGCAGATATGGATGCCGGGAGCCTACCATGTCAATAAGACGCTCCTTATTCTCCTCACCACCGACTCGGTAGAACTCGCTTGATGACTTCGTGGCCGTGGGCTCGAGTTCAGACGAAGTCGTCAAGGTCATCTTGCTCGCGCAGTCGGGGCTTTCAGAGAAGTTTGTATCCGAGCTCGGAGGGGAAGGAAGGCCCAAATCTCGACGTTTGGCTTGCTTGTGCGGAGGGACTCCTGTATATTCCGTTTAGCTACGTGTTAAGCTGGGCGAGGCCATTGTATCCGTCCGGAGGGTGCTCGGCGGATCAGAGGGAAGCAAAACTTTAGACGTCGCTGTCCACTGTTGCCGCAATCAGGATGGGATCTCCCATCGGAGGGGATATGTCGAGGACTGCATGTCCGGGTCTAGTGGGTAGAGCGAACTGTGAAAAGCTATACCGAACCTGTCAGCAAACAGCAACATCACTAAAGCCATATCTTCTTAGGAATACCTAAAGTAAACCAATGCTTGGTCAAGGCGATAGAACAGTTTATGCGATAGCAGGAACTGCTGATGCGCGACAGTGTCTGCGCCTTTGTCGGTGTGATAAATTGTAAGAAACATTGTTTTCCAGGCCGTGCGAAGCCCATTTTCGTCCTGCTCGTTGTCGGATAGCTGGAAATCACATCCGGCTATGGCGGTTTTGAAATCTACTATTGTGGTTTTATCTCGTAATGAAGGTTGCGTCTGGGCAGCTTGGTCTGGTGGAGGGGCGATTTCACCGTCGATGGGCGAGATGTTAGGGGTGGGTAACACCGTCTCTTTCGCCCGTGTGTTTGGGCTTCCGGAGACGGAACTCGCTGATACGATTCTCTTTGTTGGTGATGCGTTTGACATTTTGTATCATGCGTGTGATGCGGTGCTATGTGATTGATAGTGAAGTGAGGTTAAGTTCCGTGTTGGGTTCGAGTTCGACATGTGAGCAACCTGGTACGATAGTGACAGTGTCGTGGAGAGACGTGGGCAATGGGAACATCAAAATGACAAAACAATGCCATTCGAAGAGAAAAAGTACACTCAGCAACAGAAGTGAGTGCTTGTTGGAGTATAAGAATGATGCATGGAATGCTACGGAGGACTTGGTTATATAGGCAAGACGCTAGAGGTTGTGGCAGGTACCAATAACAACATGAGACGGCTCTTTCTTCAGTGCCCACCCACCACTTCCGCGCCCAAAATCAATACTATCACACATTTTGAAGTTGTGCAGGCGTGTTCTTCAAATGTATTGCCCGAGCTTCCGGCTTCATTCGCCCACGAGGATGTATTGTCAGCTTGTTCGGTCGGCTTCTTCTTCTTGGGGCTCTTCATGTCGTATCCGGTCGCGCGACCGCGGATCCGCTTGGCAGTCTCAGGGATCACGGATTTTGTGGGAGGAGTTACTTTGTTGTTGGTAGTGTTTTGTAGCTGTGGGCATATAGTGATCTGGTGGTAGTTCGATTTGGTGGTGTCATAGTGGTTTGCGTGCAAGCGGTATGAATTTTTGCTTCGTATCTTTCAAGATTTGGTCGAAAGCGAGTCGAGTGTTCGTGAAAGATGCAATGTCGGGATGCATGAACCGTTACATACATACGTTTTTCTTATAGACTGGTACCGGATTTACAGTCTTGGTGAGTCATAAATTGGCAGGGGGTACACACTGTCCCGTGGTAGTGCGATGACGCAAAGCAGACGAGTCGCACATGGATCCCATTTCAATGGCCGACGAGCCACTCACGCATTACCATTGTTGGGATCGTCCAATATTCTTTCAAAATTCATCGGCGAGAACATCGTTGCTCCTCAACTATTCCTATATACAATGTCGCCGGATAGCACATCGATGCCCCTCTATTTGATTATAGCGGCTCCGCTAATCGACACAAGTATATGCTTCGTATTGGTCAGCATTCTGGCCTTCCAGCTCTGCATGCTGTGGGTATGGGCAAAGTCTCCTTGTCCTGTTACTTCCATCTGAAGGCTCCGTAGCCAGAACGTATTCAGGAGCTATACCATCCTCTACCCATGGGATGAGTGCTTCGAGAGAGTGGTACTTTCCAGGAACCTGAGGATAACTAGCAGCAGGGCCGCAGTGACCGCCACCCGGGACCATGAACAAGCGCCAGAAATCATTGAGCTGTGCCTCACCATAGATAGCTTTCGCTTCGTTGTGCTGATCGATAGGCCAAGTAGGCGCGTTAAAAGGGTCAGCCCAGCCTATCCATGTAAGTCAATGGTTTCGTGCTCGTGTGAATCCGGTGGACGACAAACCTTGCGATGCAATAAGTTTTCCACCCCGAGCTCTGAAAGCATCGAGTCTTGGAGATATTGCAGTGATCAAAGGACCTGCAATCTTGTCCACAATCTCGACGTCGTTCTCAAAGTCGAAAGTGGTGTAATCATAGCTCAAGTTCTTGAAGACAAGGTTCTGCAATATAGGTACTGCATACGCGGTGTAGAGGCTTTCTTCCTGCATAAGCCATTCGGATTCCGATCCCTTTGCAAACCCGGGGTATATATCCGGCCCGGGCCCATTGTAGAACGCCTCAAAAGTGGCAAGCTGCGTCTCGTTCAGACATGTCGTCGTATTATTCTCAACTCGGGGCTGCCCAGGACGGCACAGTAGTGATGTAATTTCAAAGTCACACTTGCTTGGGTCGTCGATCACTCCGTCTTCCACGCCATCAATGTTGTCACACTTCTCCAGTGCTGCGTTCCTTGCAAATGTGAGTAGGTCCTGGGCCAGAAATGCACTAGGCTTCTGTGCATGAAGGCCGTTCCACAGGAAAGAAAGGATGAGGTGGGTGTACCAGTTGCCGGCGCATCCTGCAACAATACCATCGAAGAGATCGGGATGGTACTGGGCCAGTGCATACCCTTGAGCACCACCTGTGGAACAGCCTGAGAAGTAAGATTTCCGTGGCTGGTATCGGAAGAAAGTCGCTGTGATGGCTTTTGCTGGTACAGTGAACATCGCGATCGAATCCCGGATCCACGCTGTGGTCTGGGCATATGAGTGAAGGAAGGGAACATAGCCTCCTGGCTTGGTAGGGCCGTTCTCGGACACCAAATGTCCAGAGTCACACCTTGGGGCCTATCAGTCAGCTCAACATGACAAGATGCAGAGGGGGCAAAAACAAACCCTCCGACAGCGAAGCCAGAGTTGAGATTCGTGGCCATTGCCTGGTAATCTATCACGCCTGCAAGTCCGCCATTGCCTACATGATGATGTCAGAAACAACAAGACACAGTCACTGATCTGACTGATTCAATACGTACCGACAGACAAATAGCGCCCATTGTAGTTTTCATTTTCGGGTAGCCAGACTTCAAAATTTAGTGTGTGATTTGGACCGTATGGCATGAGTCCAACAACACGGCAAAAGGAAGCTGTGTTTGTCTCCGTGACATTTTGAGCAGCCACAGCTGAGATTTCTGCAACTTCGCCAACGTTTACACGACTGGAGCTGACAACGTAGTCCGCACTGTGTCGTAACGAAGTACAACTGTCATGGTCCACAGGGCTAGAAAGTGCTGTCGCAAATAACGCGGCATAGGTGAGCTGTGCGTAAGCAAAGCGCAGCATGGCAGAGACTTCAGGATCGTAAGAAGGGGTGAAGTGCTTGTTTGTGATAATATCCGAAGTATTTGTATCTTATGGCGCCTGGCTTTCGGCCCGATCGTAACTTCCGTAGAATGTCAACCCCGCAAACCACTCCGCATTGTGAGCCGTCCACAATGATCAGATCCTTGCTCGGTGAATTTTGCAAACTCGTTGCAATGAACTACTGACTCGTTGAGGGAGCTTTCGGTGATCGTCACCGACACTTGTGCGTTGACTGGGCGGGCTAAAAAACAGCCGGCGACGGGCGACCGAGCCCGAGTAGGAGCTAGACTAGGTTGGGTACATGCCTGATGCTCGGCTGATGGCTTCCGGTACAACAGAGACCCGACTTCTGCCTGCAGAATGCTTGTTGATTCTTATTCAAAAAAGCCAAGGTGCTACAACTGAATTTTACATATGATGTTTGTATCCTGCGACAACCATGTCCCGATGATTGGCTCCATCTTAGCACTTTACATCGTTCTTCTAGAGCTCTTCTTCTTCTGCGATGTAGGTCTATGGGCCACACTCTTCTTACCAGATTTCTGCGTACTCACCTCTCGAGGCAGCGGCTCACACGTGCTCTCCAAAGCATCGAGCATTTCAGGCTTCAGCACCCACTCACCCGATTCCTTGTCTTGCACATAAGGCTCTTGTAAAATCCACTCCCGCCACTTCCTCAGAACCTTGACTACGTGCGCCTGTCCCACGTCAAACCACTCTTTGTGCATTGTTCCGCAGCCTTCACATTGTCTTCTTTTCCTGTACTCCTTCAGCTCAGCGTGTACGAGCTGCTCTACACGATGCGCATGTGGTATCTCGACCTGGCACTCCGTACTAGAGTGGTATATATGCTCGCGACCACATTGTTGGTTCCAGCTCTCAAGCCGCTTAGCAAGATCTTTGGTGTAACCAATCTTGACCATGCCAAAATACTCCTTGTCCCAGAAAAGGTATACGAAACCCCGCTTCTGGGCTATCACTCCCAGCGGAGCCGTAGCTTTCTGGTAAACGGCGTCGAAGACTGAGGTCTTCTTGGACCTTTCCGATTGATAGGGCAGAAAGCTTGATGAGGATGAGGCTTGAATCGCAGTAGCCGGAGTGGGCACTCCAAGCTTGGACTTTGTGACCGGCTTGAGCTCTGTGGCAGATTCGGGCTGTCTAATCGGCTTGGGAGCGATCACAGTTGTGTAGAGCCAAGAGATATGGCCTATAGACGCATGCGAGTCGGAAATTGTATGAAGCCACTGCATGAGTATGTGGTTCTGGTCTTTTCCAATATCTCCGAGGTTTGTGAACATCCTATCCAATTCCATAAGTTTCGACTTGGCGTTGGGTTTTTTCTTGTTCTGTGGTTGTCTTAATGCGGTATTGCGGTGCACACCGCACATGACTAATATGACGAGCTGCTCAATAAGATCAAACATATCACGGTAACGCTCCTGGCTCTTGGCTCTTGCCAATTTCTGGATAACGATGCGTACCTCTTCGAGTACGTTGCCATGTTTCAAACGGGACTTGCATCGATCGGATGGGTCCTTTACCAAAGATCCGGAACACCTTCCTGAATCTTTGCCAAGTCTTGCATGAAGATCTAGAGGTACAATATGTTCTAATAGCGTTCGGAGTTCGACTTGTGACGGTGTGGGGTCAGGGTGCCGAGAGTCTTCGATGTGGGTTTTTCCCCCGTTGAATGCGGCGTGTATGGCTGATGTTACTGGTGTTTTCTTGGCAGTCTTAGATCGCGTGCGGGAGCTAACAGCGGCGTTGTCATCGAAATTAAACGAGGGGTCGAAGTCGTATTTCACGCGAGCACCCGCGACGCTCTTCTCAGAGACTGTGATGAATAGGTCAGATGCTGTGCATTCAAATTCAAGAATGATATATGCGTACTTGCTTCAAGATCAAACGTGAAACCTCGAAATAACTTTGGTTGGAAGAAAGGGTCGTCTGGTAGTGTTACATCCTTCTTTTCGAGAAGAGGCTGCTTCGCCGCTGGAGCAAATGAAGGAACGAAAGAAGGTTGGGGAATCGGTGTGAAGAGCAATTTCTTGGAAGATCCGAAAGTTGTAGGCGGTGTCAAGGGCGTCAGGATGCTGCGTGAAGAGGCTTCATCTGACGGACCAGAGGGCGTCTTCGGCGAATCCCAAAGGAAATCGGCGCTCGCCAGAGACGATGCAGTAGAGACTGTCGACACCGGAGACAACCATGAGAGGTTTCTTGAGTCTAGCCAAGAAAACAGGTTATCATGTCCATCCTCTTTCGAGGTAGATTGTGATAAGAAACTACTGCATGGCTGGCGATCGGCGATTCTCTTACGAGGCGTGATGTATCTCCTTTGGAGTATCCGTTGAGCGTCATCTTGTATGCACGTCTCCTGAAAAATGGAAGTCATAATGATAGCTCTGGTAGAAAGCTTGTTGATGTGATGGTAGTGATGAGAGAAAAGAGGAGATGGATGTATTGACGATGCTAGCACAAGCTATTTGCATGACACTTTATATTATCGGCCCTACCAAGAAAAGTAGCTCAATTGAGACTGCACCAGAACCCCAGAAATGCTGCCATATCTGCCTCAGACATTGCGATCGCATGATGCTGTGAGCGCAAAGGCTCCACAGTAGTCCAGTCGCGCAGCCACACTACCACTATGGGCAGGTGATCTCGTCTCCAAAACATGTAGGAACAGACTAAGGCTAAGATGGATGCCTATCCTTGGGGTTTGAAGGTTTTGGATCGGTGGTGGCTGCATGACCCGTGCCGCAGAGCCGCAGGTGGCTGCCTTGCTCAGCCTACTTGAATCCCTGGACGCAGAGGTTCATCAGTGTCGATGCCCATGAATCGTATTGAACCACCAGCACGCCCCCTCGGCGTTCTGACACTTGACGGGAAAGAGTCCGAAATCTGTGGCTGTAATGACGGAACATGAATCTACCATGTGCCTGGAAGGCAGCGATCTGTGATACCTTGGGATTTTGGCCCCATACGGAAACAAAGCTTCGAAACCTTTGGCGTAGTACTCCGTCATGTAAACTGTAATTCTGGCAGCACGCACGCGCCACCTTAAGCGCGTCTTGTGTGAGATGCCTTCCTGTCATTTGCCGTTTTCTACTCAGAACGTGGGGTTTGAAACAAACGTCTTGATCTTGAAGCGGGCCGTGCTGGAATACGCGCCGCCGGCCATGGAAGCGTGGAGAGTGGGTCAGTCCGCCCCGCGCGGGTCAGCGGCTCAGCGGGCGCTGCTGCGCGTCGGCTCTATACCCCCGGAACGCCGGTCACCACGCGTACAAACCCATTCTTTTTGTATGAATCTTCTTGCGTTTGCGTTCAAATCCTGACAGATGCGACGACATGGATTTGGATGTGAGTGAGTCTTGGGTACTTGCCGCTAGTTCCGTGAAGCGAAGGAGAAGATATCTCGCTTAGATAGCTTCTGGTCAAAAGTCGCGTTTGCGAAGGCAGTAATCTGATCAGCGATAGGACAACGCGCCGACAAGACTGTTGAGAATCCTTATCAAATGGGCACTCTCTTTCCTTGATCATGCAGCGACGGCCAGTGCCCTGGACATCATTACAAAACCTTAGCTGACACACGAAATTCGTCTCTCCTGAGCTCTTTTGGTTGCATGGCCGTTCGTGCAGGAGATCCGTGTGCTGCCATGCGGCGCAGCAATGTTACTGCGGCAAGCCAACGCTGCTCTCTACGGATCCTGAGGCGAGTACACCATAAAACTAGTAGTGGCTACCGCGCTCTCGTTCTAAACATACCGACTTATTTTCTTCCCTGATTCCGATCTCGCAACCACTCAGTCAAAGTGCTTTTTCTGTTGATTATGGCTCGTCGAGGTTCACTTGCTTCAAGTCTGACTGATCAAACGGCCGCCTCCGTACGCAGACGAAATGCAGGCAAGAGACTAAGTGAACCCTTTCGAATACCAGAGGCATCATCAACTTCGAGCTCAAGGTCGCCCTCAACGCCGGGTTCTACGTTGGGAACCCCGATCTTGATAGACTCGGACGACGAGAAGGACAGTACACCTACTAAACAGAAAAAACCCAGCATTCGGTCTTCACAGGACAACTCAGCAACGAGCTCGACATTGGCACTACTGGAAATCCCAGTTCGTGCTAAGCATTTGACGAGTGTGAGCGCCAAGGAAGATGTCCAAGATATCAAAATCAGCGAAGAAATGACGAGCGACGCGCAAGACACCAGCAACTACCCACAGCTGATACACGCTAAACTGGGCAAAATCGTTTGTGAGACGCTCCTCAAATCTGAAGGGGAGGGCTTTCTATACGTCTTCCGAGATCCAAAGCATAAGGGTGCAGTGAAGATCGGATACACAAGGGATATCAATAGACGCACAAAAGAACATGGAAAATGCGACTTGGAGCTGATATTCGTTCATATCTCAGGGCGGGTCAAGGCAATGAAACGGGCAGAGCAGCTTATCAAAGCCGATTTGAGGCACTTGCGTAGGCCGTGGGATTGCTCTGCTTGCAAACGTACTCATGAAGAATGGTTCGAGATCGACGAAGAGTCTGCCAAAGCAAGAGTCACTCTATGGGTTAATTGGATCAATAATTGCGACCCCTACGATTCGTATGGGAATATCAAACCACTCTGGAGATACCTGATAGAGTATGGAAGAAATCCTCGGGAAGAGTTGGACAGCAGGAACCACGAAGCTCGATGGAAGCATTGGAACTGGGTCTTGTCAGAGCCTCTGCCCAGCGACATGCCAGGATTCCAAAAACACCAGAGGAGATCCAGTGGCATGAGCAGGCGACCGATGCCGTCACATCGGCATGGAGGCCAGCAAATTGCTCCTACGCATAATCAGATCATTACGCATGTTGACAGAACGTCGATTGAAGCGCTGCAGACGTTGGGCATAAACGAATTCCTCCATGCCGCAACACAAACAGCGACAAACAACAACATCAATTGGACGCTAAGCATAAATGTCCAGTGTGACGCTCATGGTAATCAAAGGAACCCTCCGATTGATGGGTCCTTGTGGGAATGATCCGGTAGTCCAAAGACTAGTATACCTTTCGTTAGTGTTCACTGTCGCACTGTATTTTTATCGAGTTCTTAGTCCTTTACGTTATGAGTTCTCAAAGACCGGTTGCATTGGATTCTTTTGTACAGTAGACTTCTGCATTAGTCATCTACGCGAATGTCCACATCTTTGATCGCATCTGCTCGACTCCCTGCCCGAAGGACGCGTGACGCGAGAATGGAGTGGTGATAGATACCTGTAGCTTGTAGTGCGGCTGTAATCATCCAGATATGGATGTCAGAGACGTTATCGGAATCTTTTTGCACTTGAAGTGAACAAGATATGTTGAAGAATTAGTAAAAAGACGTCGTGATCTTGCCTTAGGCCTGCTTGAAATACGCATGGTTGATGAGTGTGGGGTAGTACGTCTGAACCACGAGAAAGTAGCAGGTAAAGTAGGATAAATTCTATGGGAGTCCATTGATAGTGGACAGCGGGGCTACCGCCACGTAAATAAGCGAAAACCGCCACGGATGGGCTGTCTACCGCCGAAACGCCAGCCGCTGCGCAATCTATCCACTGTATTCATACATATACCCATGCACCTCTCCTTGAGTGTGGCAGTAGTTGTAGTAAGTGGCTGCTTGCCTCCCCAACAGTGTCTGAGTGTCATATATGTGGCATGATGACCATCCGAGGTATATAAGTATGGCGTTTGTGCGCCGACGTCGATCACTCGGGATGGTAGCGGCGAGTGATTGCCTTGGTAACAACTTTTAAGATTTATGCCAGCCGTTCTCACTGAAGTCGTACGGCATGTGAGCAGCCTCGAAGTACAATGGCGTCACTATCTGCACGCTTCAGGGCTCTTGGTCGTGGTTCTTGCTTCCCTATTCTTCTTTGTCCCCGGTAGGAAATGTCTCTTGAGGCTCTGTAGCCGGCATCTCTTCAGTGTATTGACATCGAGCAGTCTCAGAGCAGTACACGTCTCTTGACAAGAGGAGCTGGGGCGGATGGGACGAGCGCGCAGACACGGAGAGATGCTACAAGCAGGAACGGACAGCAACTCTGCTAGCTTTCTGGCTGGGCGTGTTCGGTGCAGACCATTGGTACGCGCGCCACTGGATTTTGGCTGTCTTCAAGACGGCTACTCTTGGTGGCTTGAGTATCTGGGCTGTAGTTGATGTAAATCCCCGGATCATTGGCGGATACTATGGAACTCCCGGGTGCCCTGGCGGCCGCAAGAAAGAGTAGGCTTATTAAAGACGCGAAGATTCGGTCAAATGATACCAAAACCCATCCTGAAGATCTTTATTGAGCAGCTGTGTGAGAATTCGATTGCAGAGAAACTCAAATCGGAATCGTCTTCGTCCCCGCTTCATATGTTCCCCTTGGATTGACGCGTCGCACTCTTCACAAGTTCTCCGTGGATAACGATGCGTCTCTCACTTATCAATCAAACATGTCGCACAACATCACGCGTTTATTGAAGTTGGGGGATAGTTGAGGATGAAGACGGGGTGGGATGTTTCAACAGATGCGCTTGCACCAGGTGGGGGGAGGGGCGAGCTATGACACGCTCCTGCGATATGCGGCTCTACAAGTCCGAGTCCCCCGATGAATCGTCATGTCTTCTCCAACGCGACCCTGTGGAAAACGTTGTCGCTGCATTTCCAGGGTGATCTTCCATTGTAATCCCGTAGGAATTCTGAGCGCTTTTGGACTCAGCCCCCAGCAGTCACAAGATCTGCGTAGCCGTTGGGCGCTGACGTGACAAATCGGACCATGCCACATTTCACTCCAGTGTGCTCCACTCCATCTTTTCTAAACCAGTCTAGTCCTTTCCAAAACGACCTCATGAAAGACCTTGAGGCTGTTCCCAGGGATATGACTCTGTTTCCATTCTCGATGGTTGCGCCCACTTCTGAGTCTTCCTAGTTGTCAGCTCTAGAAAGTCACAGGATTCAGGCAACCACCAATAAGATATCGTAACACGCCAGAAGTTATCGTTACATCTTTCGCCCTCCCAATACTAGAGGAAGTTGCTCGAAAAATGAACATGGAACTGTGTAGCGTCTGCTCGCAACTCGACCCCCCCAAAAAACGACGAATCCTTGGTCTTTATGACGAGCTACTGCTCAAATCTCAGAGTCTCGGACCAGATCGGGTTGGCTGTGGTGGCTGCGCATTCTTTTGTGCCATGCTTCGAAGCTCCTCTCGCTGGCGTGATCGCGTGTCGGAATTGTCAGGCCAAATTGTTGTCGAAGACGGTTGGGGTTTGTTCGCGAGAGCATCTTTCGAAGCCGGAGATGGACCTGATCACGATGGCTATGATCAGACCCTAGAATATTGCTACCGAGAAGAACCAAAACGTGTGTTGCAGTGCGATTGAAAACGATTCAATTACTGATTCGAGACCATCTAGAGCTCAACATCTACAACAACTACCACAACTGGCATACGAGAGTAATGAGACCAGTACATCCCGACCCGCGTGGAAGCAGCTGCTTCGACCTGATCGTTCAATGGATCAGCCAGTGCAAATTGCACGCTCGCTGCTCTCAGTCAGTTCCAGTTGCACTTCCAAAGCGGGTTATCGAAATTTCAGCCGATCCTTCTATATCACCTACACTGCGAACAAGCAATGATGCGTTGGGTCGATACGTAGTCTTGTCTCACTGTTGGGGTAGCAAAGGACCGACGAAGCTCACCAACGCACTGTTGGCTCAATTCCAAGAGGCCATCAAACTTGAGCTGCTTCCAAAAAGCTTCAGGGACGCGATCGAGATCACGCGGCGGTTACACTTTCGATACCTGTGGATAGATGCACTGTGTATCATTCAAGACAATGGTGAAGACTGGGCTCAAGAGTCAGGGAAAATGGCTTCTTATTATGGGTTGTCGGCTCTCATGATATCCGCAACTGCTGCTGAGGATAGCAGCAAAGGAATCTTGAACGCTCGGAATGTACTTTGCTCGCCCATGATGGGTAAAGAACAAAGCTATTGCTTATGCGAGAAGGGTCTCCAATCGGACGGCGAGATCAACGGGTCAGTCCTGGCTACACGCGGGTGGGCTGCACAAGAGAGAATACTAGCACCTCGTATATTACACTACACGACACGGCAGATGTGGTGGGAATGCGCTCAGGCATTTTGGTGTGAAGCTTCAGACAAAGAGGTACATCGTCAGATCCACGGTGCCGGATATTCAAAGCCGCAGTGCCAACGCTTTGTCACTGAGGCCTTAAGTCAAGAAAACAATTTACCTCGCCACAATGATCACAACACGCAAGAGATATCAGAATGCGGATCTGAAGCCGTGTTCTGGGATAAAATCAGAGCATGGAATCGATGTGTCAGGGAATTCTCATCCCGCTCCTTAACAGTACCAATCGATAAACTTCACGCCATCGCTGGCGTCGCAAAAATGTTGAATCAAAGTGGTGAACTTGGAACATATTGGGCAGGGATCTGGAGCGTGTGCCTAGCAGACGCCTTGAACTGGAAGAGCCATTACTACAGACTCCGTTCACCACCCATATACACAGCCCCTACCTGGACTTGGGCCGGTCTGGAAGGTGAAGTACGTTGTGCAATTTGGATCCCACAAACATCTATCGATGATGCGGAGCAAATTCATGCCAAGAGATTCGATCCTAAGCTTATTGATCAGCACATGATATTGCAAGACGAGCGCAATATCTACGGTGCGGTCCAAGAAGGCTCCTACATCACCATCGAGGGCGCATGTCTTATGAGCGCTGATTTCGATTGCCTGATGAGAGATCTCTACGGGAATGACTTCGGTGGTTTCCCCGGTGTTCAAATCAAACTCGACAGAGAGCGACTGGACATGTCGGCGCCTTATGATTGCTGTATGTTCTTGAACGGGAATCTGTTCCACAAGAAGGAGAAATGGGAGGACGGTCTCAGCTACCCACTTAGCTGCATGGATGTCCTACTACTTAGCTGGGTTGATCAGGAGGCGAAAGTTGCGCAGCGGGTCGGGGTAGCAGATATGCAAAGTCGTGGGGATCGAGACAACTTGATCCACAAGATCAAAACTGCAGATTGGGAAAGATGGACATTGGAGTTGGTGTAAGATATCCTATGTTAGAAGCTACGAGCTATTTACAATCAAATATCTTCCTCCCACCACATCATCTAGCACTTGAAAACAGCCGGTCCAGGACTCGTGTACGTCTTGCTCCCAGTGTACAAGTTGTACAAAATCCCTGCATCATTCTGCTTATACGCACCGGGGAAAGAAACCGTCGCCGGCGTCTTACTCGCCTCCCCACCCGTAACATTAATCTGCGCACACTCCATATAAAACTGCGCGCCCATGCTCGAACTGGCCGAATGCAGCGCAATCAGTTCGCCCCTTAGCAGATACTGTCCCGGAGCAATGCACTTGGGAATCGTAACCGTCTGCACGCCCTGGTTCGCAATCAACCGGTCAACGCCCCATTTCGAGCCGTCAAAGGCATCCTCGCTGATCTTGAACCAGCCTCCGCCGATACCTGAATCGGTCTTTGCGTCGCTGACTTTCTTCATGTAGGCCATGACGGGTCCCTTGTGGCTTGAATCGATGACGTCGTTAGGACCGGAGGTCAGGGTGTGGCGCCATGTTAGTTTCGCGGTGCTGCCGGCTTGCAGGGTGATGACGGTGGAGGTTTTCGCGGTGGGGTTTGGGCCGCCGTTGCAGACTATGTCGTTCGAGGAAACGTCGTTTATGGGCTGCGAAATGGATTAGATGGAGAACAGTGGGCTTTGGTGGAGCAAGAGATTTACACCGTCGTACGAGGGCACGCGGACACCGTCTCCTACTGCGCCGCCATTGACACTGACGAAGATGGTGTGTGCGGATGTTGAAGTAGCTGCTGCAGCGAGAACGAGCGATGTAGAGAGCTTCATTGTAAAAGTTGGTGTTGCTTTGGCTGGAGTGCTGGGGTTGAACTCGATGCTGTGATGTTCATGTCGTTCGTGTTGCTTATAACTAACTTCTCCACGCCAACACCCAAGCCTCGGACTCAAACTCAAGGTTTACAGATATATTACATGCCCGATGATGTCGCATCTACATTTCCGAATGCGTACAAGTCCAACTTTACTACCCCAGCCGAGCGGAGCATTTCCTTCGTGTCCACCAACTGCATACCGTGCCACTACTTCACACACCCCAACCACGTGCTACCACCCGGCGCTATACTTACCAAGACCCGGATCAGCCAGGCCGTATCGCTGTAATTGCAACGCGATTAGATTAAGCAATGTATTAAGACGTGTCGAATGTTCTTCGAAGGGCTTAAGCGAGCTTGACTTTAGCCAATGGCTTAGCCGTGTGTAAATTGCAGGGTCGAAAAATGCCAAGATACCCGGGGATAGAGTGCCGCCTCATATGAAGAGGCTTGCCCACATCTTGGTTGATGCATTGCCGCTAGTGCAGAAGTGCCGACCGGATCGCGATGTGTGGGTGTCTGTCGAGATGGTAGACCGCATGTGATGCACTCAGAGAAGCGTGATATCCTGAAGTCCGATATCCTCCATAGCCATTACTTCCCCCTTCATAATACCATGAACGTATGCTTCGCCCAAGAGCTCGAACTTCTTGCCATCCCCTTCAACTTGCATCTGCCTCATCACAAAAGGTACACATGCTCGATCGAACACAGCGACCTTATCACCGACTTGCACACCTCTCGGCACTAGCGCAAAGTAGCCCTTCTCGGTTACAGCAAATCGCCGCATCTCCAAGGCGGCCCGGAGCGCCGTATTCAAGTCTTCCAGGATCTTGGCCGGCTTCCTCGTCTTGAGACTGTCGAGGTTGAAGTAGCCTTTCTGCCGCCGGATGCTCATAGTTTGGCCGGGAAGGGAGAGCGATTTTCCTGTTGTGGCATCGAGAATTAAGCCAAAGACCTCGCTGTGATCCGCGGAGGGAGCTAAGACGCCTGTGCCATCGCGTCCTGCCAGTAGTGTGTGTAAAAAGGCCTCGTAGGTTGAAGAGCCTAGTAGAAGGTAGGTCTGTGTTCGACCTGGACCCATGACCAGCTCCGCGTAGGATCTCAAATCACTGTTGCTCAGCGGCGAATTGGTGATATCAAGGAAAGGGTCGTTGCTAACATCGCCTATGATGGCAATTGTATCGAAGACCTTACCACGGAGTGTGATCTCGCATTTGTCATCGCTCAAGCCCACTTTTGGTAGTTGCGCGCCTGTGACGGGTCTACCGCCCGCACAATACAGAGCCCAGGATTTGGTCAAGTAGCCCAGGGCTTTGGTCACACGAGGTGCGCTCCAGTCTGGTACCCATGATGGCCGAAGCGGCTCCTCGTGGTCGACGCAGCTCAGCAGCTCGTATATACGCAGCGGAATCTCCGTCAAGCAGGCATCGTGGTATACCTCTCTGGTGGATCCTTTATAATCCGGTACGACGGTCGAATCTGCTATACCCAGCACGCCGTAAATCTTGTCTTTCGGCTCGGTCGCCTGAGCATACCGCGTAGACTCCAGTATAGTCAGTAAGGCTTCTTTTTGGACAAGTGTCAAGCCGTGCAGGCGATCAGCTTGTATCGAATTGACTACCGTTGCCCCTTGTGGTGGAAGCGTCCAGGCATTGGTAATCTCGCCGTATTTGTCCTTCAGGACAACATCTGCTGTGAGCCAGCTGAGAATGTGGGTTTCTCTCAAATCATAACACCACGCTGCAAAGTCGTCCCAGCAGACCTCTGCTTTGCCGCACTTTACAAACAGATTTCTTGAAAGCACAGCTTCTTGAATGGTCCACAGCCTGCCAAACCAGGGTCGCCTGAGGAATTGGCGGACTGCCCACCATGCTCGGTCATCGCTGGGTGGAAAGTCCAGCCTCGCAAAGTCGGCGGGCGTTACTTGCGCATCGGTCCCCTGCAGACGCACGTAGACGGTTTCCATCAAGTCTAATGCGAGGGCCGGGTCCTCTCCGTTGTCGTCGCCGAGCCAGATGAGGGTTTCCGTCGCATGTGTGTATACCATGCCCATAAGTGGGATCTGTTGCACCTTCTCTGCCATGTCTTTCTGGTTAATGCAGATCTGGTCCGCCCACACGACCACGCTATGCTGAGTGGAGCGCATGTGTTCCAAGGCCCCTGCTAGGGTTGCTGTAATCTTCAACTCATCATGCTCGAACGCTACTGTGTGGTCAAAGTCGGGTGCGCCCCAGACATAGCTCAGCGCGGTAAACCACACAGGTTCCCCTGTAATAAGCGAAACGGCATGGTTGGTATGCCTGGTGAAGGTCAAGGTTCTCCTGCTCGTGTTCGCTGGATCGTCGAAAGGCTGAGTATACTGCTCCTCTCTTGCAGGATGCGAGAAGTCGATGCTAACTGTGTGTAGAGCTCCTTCAAGCGGACTTCCGGATTCTCCTGCATATAACTCCAAGACGCGTATCTCGCCGTCTATGAGCGGTTGATAAAGCTTCGACGGGGGCACATTAGGTCGCTCGCCCCCCTGAGACCTCTTCTTCGCCACAAAATCTCTGACATGAGTCTGTGCAATCTCATCTAGCCGGCCATCAACACCGGTGGGGCCTTCGAACGTGGCAGGCTGGAATATAGCCGTCTTGGAGAGAGCAGAGTAGAAACAGTTGCAGTCATCTGACACATCACGAGTTAGTAAGCGATACCGGCGTACTGAGCTGGGCGGAAGCACTGCACCTTGCGCATCCTTTGCGCACGGACAAGTCGAAGCATGCTCGATATGTGAATATGACTTTTTATAACTAGCCATATTGTCGTAGTGGTGATGCTGGAACTTAGGTGGGAAGTGAGGTCGCAGTTTCAGCAGGTACGACAGTCGGGCCTAGGCCCGACTCGGAGTGGGGGCCATTATGAATAGGCAGGAGCTGGCGACAACGAATGTTTGGGAATGGTTTATACATTACTTCGCTGTCGTTGACGACACTCGATACAGCTGCTTCAGTCCGCAAGTCCAAGAAACTGAGTGATACCGTGACCCGGGGCCTGCCCGCCCTTGTTCTTCTTTCTCTTCTTGCGCTTCTGCTTTGGCTCGTCCTCTTCGCTGCTATCATCCATATCCTCGTCGCTATCGCCATCATCCTCGCTCTCGTGGTCTCGCTTGCCATTGGCGGGCTCGTCGTCGTCGTCGTCGTCTTCATCAACATCCTGCCAGGTTTTCTCTCCCCACACTTTGACGGTCTTTCCACCGCTGCTTATCATGCGACCAGTAACGTCGAAGCCGAGACCAATAACGCTCTCCTTGGCCAGCTCGTCATGCTTGAGCTCCGAGACAATCTTATTCGGGCCGAGCTTAGCAAAACGAATGTCTCCGTTGCCCAAGCCTACTGCAATGTGCTTGCCGCCGGGTCCAACACCGTCTGGTACGACAGTGATGGAATCCAGACTCTCGCCGCCTCCCTTGGAGCGGTCGACGATGATGCGCTCGTCTTGGTCGTCCCATACTCCGCGCTCCCACAGTGTGAGAACACCGTCGCCTGCACCTACTATGACCTTCTCGCCTACACTCGAGCCCTTCTTTGGTAGCCCGGTGACGATGGTGGAACAAAGCAGCTCCTCCTCTTGGTCCTCACTGCGAACCATGACTCCTCTCCGCAGATCCGTGACTGCCAGTGTGCTGCCACCTGTTGTGACCCATTGCTTGCTGAAGCCACTGGTACTCGCTTGCGTGGGTGGTAGAGGTGTGAGGGAGGAAACGTAGTCGTCGTGCGGGCGGTGTGAGTTTTCGGGCTTCAGGGAGACCTTTTCGCCTCCCTTGAGGTTCCTAATGTCGTAGATGTGCAGTGCGCCGGAGTCGGTTGTGAGGATGAGCGATTGCGGAGAAAGGGCGTAGACGAGCGTAGGCGCATCGATGCCACCATTGGCGCTGTGAAGTGTCAATGAAGCTCACGTGGTTCTTGCAATGTCGCTACTCACGGATCGAGCGGTACAGCAATCTTCGCAGTGACCTGGCCGGTCATGGAGTCTGCGACCTTGACGATGCCATCTGTTCCTGCCGAGTACAGCGACGTACCATCAACGCTGTATCCGAGTGTTCGACAGCTTCCCTTGTGTCGCCGTGTGCGCCAGACATTGTCTATGGTGCCAAAGCCTTTCTCCGAGGCTGGCGCCGTGTCATCGTCGTCGTCGTCGTCGGTCGCGTCAGAAGGCAGCCTAAAGGTCTGGACATGGCCGCTAGCCAAGCCTACAGATATGACGGGCTCTTCTGGATGTATCGCTTGCACAAAAATATCGTGCTCCACTGGGAGCGCGCACAAGTTCTCGAACATCTTTGAGCTAAGGATGCTGTGCAGTTGAGAATGCTCTTCGCGACAGCTTCAACATTTTTTGTGGAGCCGCGGCTGGGGCCAGGGCTGCTGCAGCCGATGGCCTTGGCAGGTACTTCTTGCACGCGGGCGACCATTCACCCTCAATACCGATATCGCGGCCGTCTCGGTCCTGATATCTTGACTATATGTGCACTATACATGCTCACTCAATCCTTTTGAGTTAACCGTGTCCGATAGCGAGATGCCATCGCTTGTCGCAATCTAACATAAGCACCGAAGTGGTCGGATACCACATATCCAATTTTCCATTGTACTTCTTCGGAATCAAGCTCCTCCATATGGCTTCCATGGATATCAGAAGCAGCTTCACTTTTTCCAGTCAATACGTTCCCCAAGAGGCTTGACAGCACCGGAGACCGGGTCTGTGGACCACAAGTTCTCCATGTGCAACATCGTGAGCACGTCGAATGAGTTTTTCCTCCCAATCACGGCCACACCATACACCACGCTTCGTCTCCACCACGCTTTTGATCTTCATCGATCCATCGCAAGACGTCCTTGGCCACCGACGCGACAGGAAGGTCGACTTCTTCTCTGATGCGCCAAACCCCGTCAGGCAATGCTGCCGAATCACGTTTGCTAATGATTGGTTACCAGCAATATGAACGGCTCTTCCCCATGTTCACCGTTGTACAGCCGGCGCAAAGACATCCGACAACACGCATGTCTTAAATAAACGCCATGGACCAATGTTCTCCCACTTGGCAAGCGTTGAATTTCCTTGCAATAATCTAATACTTAATCTGCCCAACATGCTTGCGCCATCGCTTCTCTACGGTCTTTTGGCCGCGGCCTCTTCGGTCAACGCGTATCATCACGCAAAGACTATCAACTACACTGTCGTGACCGGTATCTTTCAACAAGACGACAACACCACCGACCCTTCGACCTTTGATTTCCTGAGCAGCAACTTTGGACTGATCAACCGAACCTACCCAAGCGACTCTTCCTGCCCCGATCGCAAGCACGCAACCCAATGGCAGCGTCTCGCCCATTACCTCTCCACCCTGAACAAGAAGGCATCGCGCAATGAACGCTACACCCTCTTCTTCATGGGCCGCCACGGTGAAGGCTTCCATAACGCCGCTGAGTCCTACTTTGGCACCCCGGCGTGGAACTGCTACTGGTCCGAGTTGGACGGCAACAGCACCGTCACTTGGGCTGATGCGCAGCTCACAGAACCCGGTATCGAGCAAGCCAAAGTCGTAAATACCTTCTGGAAACATCTCATCAAGGACGAAAAGATATCTCCGCCCGAGACTTTCTATACGAGTCCTTTGCACCGTTGTCTCGACACTGCTAAGCTTAACTTTGAGGGTGTGCCTCTTCCGCGCAAGAACCCCTTTGTGCCTGTCGTCAAGGAGTTTCTGAGAGAGGGCATCAGTGCGCATACTTGCGACCGCCGTCATAGCAAGTCTTACATCAGGAAGAACTTCCCCGGCTTCAAGTTCGAGAAGGGGTTTGCCGAGGAAGACCCATACTGGACTGAACTTTTCGCTGAGCCGCGCGCAAACCAGGATGCGAGGTCCAAGGCTGTGCTTGACGACATCATCAGCAATGATGATAGCACGTACATCTCCATTACCTCGCACTCTGGTGAAATTGGAAGTCTGCTACGGGGTAAGCTTCCTCTTCCTTAGTCTGGTGATAACTTTGTTTACTAATGACGACGTAGTTCTCGGTCACCGTGAGTTCCGTCTTGCGACTGGATCTGCTATCCCGGTTTTGGTCAAGGCAACGACAATCAATGCTCCAGCGCCGCCAACGACTACGCTTCCATACACACCTCAGAAGACGTGTGCTGTGCCGCCTACTATCCGTGACTCGAGCTGCAATGACTGCTCATGCTGTACGTGAACGGGCGTTATTCGCGTAGGAAGTAGTAGTTCTGTATGTACTTGCAATTAGATATGGAATGCAATTTATGCAATATGACTTATCTACTCGCCTCAATCTCGTGTGAGCCGTGGTCCAGAACCGTCTCTCCAAGTCTTAATTCCATTCAATCTCGCTTGCCGGTCGTCTCGCCACCTCGGCTATCTCAGCATGCTGTATACTCATCTTCACTTGTAGAGGCCCAGGACATCCATGCTATTCAACACATTTTCCATCAACGACGAGGGCAACAAGTCGACATGTCCAAGATCCCGGAGCCATCTAACTCTTATGATCGTCCTCCGAGCTGTTAGCCTCCAACATGTCACCAAGCTAAAATCTACGCCAGCCACATGTCGCAGGCACCCATCTCCACAAAAAAAAACCCAGATGCTTCCAAATCACCAGCCCCATATGCAGATGAACCGCGGTTCCCAGGCATCTGTCATCTGAAACCCATGGCCATGTACGTCGTAAATCTTCCCCCATCGCCACCGCGCGGCCAGATAGGCTGGAAGAAAGACCGGAGCAACGCTAGCCCCACACTGCCGCTCAGTACAAGAGTCGGGTTGTGGACAAAGTATCCTAGCGTACCAAAACGGACCTTCTGGTCGGGAGTTGGAATTGCGTAGCGGGAAGGAAGGGAAAAAGCCTGGCTTGAGCGTTGGGTTCTGGTGCGGAGCGGGCGATGCTAGCGTACCAAGATCGCGATGAAGAATCGGGCCTTTTGCGCCCCGAGTCTGCGTCGTCTGGATACGATTGGCGGAAGTATGCATGGGATCGGAGGAGGGATTAATATGCACGGGCGGTGGTAGAGAGAGAAACGTTAACGACGTCGGTTCCCAAGCGAAACGAGGGTGCTAGGTGGTATGGAGACTAGATGACGGGACGGCGGTGGTTGATTGAGGATGGATGCGGATGGCGTACCAAGTCAAACAGCGCACTAAACCTCCTTTCATCAACATGACGGAGCTATTCGACGACATCACTAATCGGTCAAATCCGTTGGTTTGTCGTGGCTGGTGGTGCGAAAAGAAGGTTTGCATGGTCGGTTGTTGGTACGGTAGTTTCAACGGTTGATCGCTCGATTGGTGCAAGGATATAGTCGTCGATCTAGCGGTTGTGTAGAGCATAGGTGCGACGTTGACCGGTCGGTGGTGTTCGGCGGGTTCTCTCGGCTGGAATTATCAGATGTTGGGGCTGGTCGTTTGGATGTTGATGATCGCGAAGCGATTACAGTTGTGAAAGGGGTAGTTGAGATGCTCGTGAAGGCAGGTGCAATGGATGCTAGCTAGCTTACGTTTACTCGTGTGTCGTTCTGAAGCCTCGCGAGACTGTGACAGTTTGTGTTCGAGTTCGCATACAATGCTTTTTAAGGTTGCGGCATCCTAGTGTCTGGTGTCACTGAAATGTCACCGCGGGGACTTGGAATAGCTCACACCAAGGTACTCTCGCCCGGACGGCAGTCGACACCTAGCAAGTTACTGACTTGTCCATAATCATCTGTCACATCATGCCTTTGAGTATGCTAGGATCTTTACATTGTTCATTAGGTAGAATATGCTCATGTATACAGGGGTATAAAAAACTGTCATGTCGCTTTTATAATGTACAAGGATAGGGTATAACATAAATGGTGGTGATCATGCGCCCGTGTTTCGCGCCTTGATGCTGATAAATTCCAACGTCGACCAAGCGAGTCAAGTATAGCTTGCGACTCAAGCCGCTGTGGGGCGGATGAATTCCAGATTGTTTGCGATTACCGAGACGAGTCTTCGGTGTTCTTTCTCGGCTCTGGATGAACTGTGTGTCTTGTAGCCTAGGCATTACTTCTTTCGCAGATCCAAAGCCATGGCGCTGGTGGCGGTCATGTTCGTTCGCAATTACAAGGGCAAGCGAACATGTGGGGGATCGCATCACTCTGAGTATGCGAAAATGGTGTCGGAGTTGCTTCCTTGAGAGACTTTCTGTCAACGCGGCAATCTTGATCAAAGCTGAAACGCATCGACGTAATGTCCGTCTTTCAGGATTAGGCGTAATCCTGGACGGCTTCGTTGAGATGATTCGAGGAAAGTGATTGTGGGTAGATTGCTGAAATTCATCATCTGTATGGTGCAGACAGAACCGATCCCCTCTCTTCATCCGTAATGTAGAATGACTTTGACACCATGATGCCGTTCTGGAAATTGTCTTCCTCGCTGCTCCTTGAACTCTTGATCCTCAAACTCCTCTGACTATCGTTGTCTGAATTATCCACGCGCGTGGTCTTCTTTGAGTTGGGAGGAGCGCTGGCGCCACCGAACCAGTTGGGCGATTTCTGGTAAGATCCATTTTGCGTTGGTTCGTCGTCGGAAGTGCGTGTTTGCACAGTGGCTGAGAGTTTGTACATGTCGGGCCGGAGTTTGTCGGCTTTGGAACCGGGGGCGGCGTTAGCGGGTAACGGGGCAGACATGCCGTATGCGGAAGGTCGATATGCGCCAGATGGGCGTGTAGAGAGTCCGAGTTTGTGCATGGCAATGAAGAAGAGTGGGCGCAGAGTCGCAAGGCTACCAGCAGTGATAGCAAGGCCTTGTTCAACCGATGACCAGATAGCGATATCAGTCGTCGACCCTAGCAGAGTTAGTACTTAGTAACGACAGTAGTTAAGGGGAGATATACAAAGGAAGTCAGGGGCGTTGAAGTAGTGGATGAAAGGCAATCGTGCGATGACCGCCGCACTCGCAATGCAGCCCATGGTGATCAAAGGGATCAAAGCGACCTTAGTCCTCCTCTTCAACTGCAAATGCCATACCAGGAAGCCAGGAATGATAGCGAAGGTGAAGTCGGTTATGATGCTGAACACGCTGTAGACATAGCCAAGCGCGGAGATGACAGTGTTGTCAACGCACTTTCCTTGTTGCGAAGTGCGATCCCACATGTAAGAAATCGGGTAGCACTGGAACAAACAAACAAAGAAAAAGGCGCCTCCAGCGATGACCGAGACACACATTGCACTCCAGATGATCCTAATGTTCTTAGTGTATGTCGCAAACATGACTTGCATATAAATTTACTCACCATGTATGGATTTTGCGAATACTAATCCGTAGGAGAAGGAACCCGATGGAAATCTTCGCGCATATCATGGCTACGGAGTAGAACAGATAGCAGAAATACCAGGCATGCCTTGCCTTTTGTATACCGTCGGTAGACAGATCGTGATGATGGCGTCCGGTTCCATAGTGTATACCGATGCAAGACGATGTTGAGTAAGAGATGAAGAAGAGCTGAACATCTAGTCAGGCCGTGCCCCAGTTATTTGGTCAGTCCACACTTACTGTTGCGAAGACCATTAACCAGTCATCTCGGCCAAATGCCTTGACCATTTTGACACGAACAAATATCCTCAATGCACAAGCCAGGATCGCTGTGATGGTGAAGGCGATGTTGACTGCGAGCAGCTCAGGCCCTCTGTTTGGGACAGCCATGGTGGTGTTGGTATGTTGTCGAAGCAGTTGACGCTCACACGGCGAGGAGGAGCCCCAGTAGAGCACAACCAACCATTATGGGGGACTCAGGATCTTTTACGTAGCTTGAGCCTTTACCGAACAAGCACTGTGGAGCTATAGAGGGCACTGCATAATGGGTGCCGCCACGAGAGATGTGGGTCTACGGGCGGGCTCCCAGCACTCATTCCAGGGTCTGGTCCGTTTCAAGGAGACACCATTACCAAGAGGGTCGCTTTCCCGCGGAGCTAGGACCTCGAACTATGGATTTGGCGAAGTCGTTCATGCGTTGACAGGGCTAGCTGGGGACGCGTAGAAGCTGACGGCAGTAGTAATGATTGCCGTAAACGAGATTGTCCATTGAGAGTAAACGGACATGACGGAAGTAAGAGCAGGCGATCAGCGCGCACCAGCGTCTCGCAGGCCGCTGAGTAGGGATGACATTGGTATATTGCATAGGTCTGAGACACCACGACTACTCAAAGGAAGCTTGCAGTAGCAAAACTCAAAAGAGCGGCTCGAGTAACGGCAGTGATGCTCCATGTCGTGCTTTTGGAGGTGCCTAGACGCGTGCCGCTCAATCGAGTTTCGCGATGTTGACCGGCCACGTGAGAACTAACCAGGCTTGGGATTAGTCACCGAAAATCCTGTAAGGGCTGCATCTTCCGTGCCTTCCGCTTCTTGGCTAGTTTCTACACAGACAATGAACGCTAGCAACCTCCAATCCAGGCTCCTCGGAGCTGCCAGCTGTCGCCGCTGATCGGCAGCATCATCGCGCAGTATGTTTTTAGCCGTTGGTTTCGACTATTCTACGACTCACTGCCGGTTTTGCTCGATGGGGAAGTGCTCTGCAGTGCTAGGAGCGGGAACTTGTATCCACAAGCCGACCGTTCCTGAACCTGCATTGATCTTCACTGACAGGTTTGCACAGAGCGGCTGTTCTTTGACTTTGCCAACAATCCTGCCATGACATACCATGGCTGATGGCGTTCAATGCAATAGCCAGAGGATGTCGCCAAACTACTTAAGCCTCGGCTTAAGCACATAGACCGCAGGGTTTCACGAGTACCTAGCGCACTGACTGACTCGTTATCGTGGCCGTCGGCACTTGATGGAGGCACTGTACGACCTGGATTTGGCTCCAAACTTGCATCATCCACAGCGCTATTATCGCGTCCTGGACCCAGAGTCTGTCGCACGAACGACCATGGTTCGCAAAGCTGAAACCCATGCTTAGAAGGTAGTTGTACGGCAACGGTCAATTGTCCGACGAAATGTCAATGGCTTGCCTGGCAACTGTTCCTCGGTTATGCCGATGACCAGAAGACGGCAGGATATCTCAACAAGGATATCGCAGTTCATCACATCGTTGAGTCCTGCTTGCAAGACCTAAACGGGGCATACTAGAAGAGGTGGAGCCGCGAATTACAAGGGACGATTGCGACATGACCGTCGCGGGCATCAGGGTTGCGCAGCACTTCCGAGTTCCTGGAAAAAACTCCGCGCCCATCACTGCCCGGTTGGACGCCTGTCCGGCTCTCCCAACGTTAATTGGCCTCAGCTCAACGTCCTTCCCGTCTGGTGCCTTTCTGTCAAAATGTCGGGGAACGTTACCAGGCCCCCGAGCGAAGATTCAACTACGGAACGGAAAGAACTCCTGGCGTAGAGTTCTGCTGTCATGATGGCGAAACCGTATCCAGAGCCAGAGAGCAGACCGACCTCTGTTCAGAGTTGCGCAACAAAGAGCTTTTCGGACTCGCACTCGCTGCATCCCTTTCAAGCCGTGGTTGACGCATCTGTCGCACAACCCATGCGATCGGTTGCAATGATCCTACGATGTACTGGGTTACCGCTGATCTTCGGTCTTTCAGGATGACATCCGCAACACCGCACCCAGGCTTGAGCAAAATGTAAGCAAGTGTCCACTTCCAGGAACGCCCTACGGTTATATTCTTCAGTTTGCGCTGACTTCCGAGGTCCTTACATCAGCATCTGACACGGCAGACGCTCCTGGTTCAGAAGAATTTCACTCGTGCATCACATTGATCATGTTTTCAACGATCAACGCTTGCAGTAGGCAGGCGACGTGCAGTAACAAAGTTTTACGTTGTGCAATGTACCTATGTACCATCTAACGACACGGCGAGTCGGAGGACCACCCGCAGCCTCGTAGTCCAAATGCGTTCTTCGATGCAGCTGAGACGACTACCAAAATAGGGACGAGCATCAAAGCCAGAACAAGACAAGTTTGCTTGTCTCGATTGAGCTGGCAATCTCTTAGGCCATACCGCCTAGGTACATGTTTTTGACACAGTGCAGTGCACGCAAGAAGCATAGCATCAACGTCGCCTTGCACAGGATACAGTAGGCTAGCCTCGACTTTGTCATTGTGAGCAAAGTACATTTCGCTGCACTGATCTTTTCCTAGCAGTTCACCAAGAAGTGTTTGTTGAATGATATCAGTGCTTTTTATAAGTATTCATATTTCTTTTTCTCTTATCTCCACAGTACAGCATCGCATCACACTCCTTGGGTCCCGGAAAGATTCTTACAATCGTGTCGCTTTCTTCCGAGCGATCTCCTTCCTTTTTCGCGCCTGCACGTTGCTTATCTCTTTTATGCATGCATACAGATGCGCCTATGCGGCGCAGTCGGATTCGACACATCCAGCGCCTGCACACCCATCCACAAGCACGAGCGCCCGACCCAGAAGATCCTAGCGGCTATCCAACCCCGCAGCCGCCCAACCAACACGTTCGAAAAAATCTCCGCACTCCCGCGAAAAGTGTGGCCGAGTGACTGCCGCCTGGCCAAGACGGGTGTGGCGTAAATTGTTTCGATTGGAGTTTTGGATTATCCAACCGCCGCATTTTGCTGTGCCACTAGTAGTACGTTTCGTGGGTGGGGAGGCAGGAATGCGGCGTGGTTAGGGGACGTGGGGTGTATATACTTTACGAGGGGGGCAGGTTGACTGTTACCAGAGACGTGATGCAGCGCATCGTGCTACAATACCAAGGTTCTCCAGTGCCTCATCGGTCCGATACTTTTCCAAGGTTCTAGACGACTCGCATCGCGAACTCGTCTCTCCAGCGACATCCAAAATCGTCACGCGAAATCTCGCGCGTCAACCCAACACAACATGGAAACCATCTTCACATTCGTCACACTTGTCGCTTTCGCATCCTCTGCGCCATTACCCGCGTCCCAACGAATTGAGCCCCTTCCGCTCGTCTCCCTCGCCCTCATCGGATCACCATCACACTACACAATCGGTGCGGCGCAAAGCCCACAACTTTCCAAGTTCACATCTACATCCGGCAACGCGTGGTCGATACATATACCCATCGATGTATCCCTCGATCTAAGCACACGGCCGGAGCATGTCCAGGCCATCGAGGTCACTGGGGTAGGATCGGGAAAGAACCTGGCAGGAGAAGATGTAGAGAAGGATGATGGGGGTGTGCTGTGTAAGGCAAGTTTGGGATGGGGGAGTGAGGAGGTGGTCGTGGGGATGGGCAAGGGGAGGGTTGTTGTAGATGGAGGGAAGATGGGTAGGGTTACTGGGTTGAGTTGTTGGAAAGCGGGGGGTTAGGGTACTTATGCATGATTTGAGTGAGTGTTCAAGAACAAGCAGCTTCGCAAAGTATTTTGGAGGATGCTTTGTTGCATTAGGGTTTGATGTGTGTACAAACTGGTTTCTAATCTTTAGTTCTTTAGAGGACGCATGCTCGTCGTGGATATACCTTGTAACTTAGTATCTTGTCGTGTTTCACGAACAAGACTTACCTATATTGTATCTACGTGGGTGGCTATGGGGAGTGACGTCCTCACGCACGGTAACCTTGCATCAGCTTCTCTACAATGCTGATGCCCATCTGCTCGTCTGCAGAAGGTGGCTTCTCCGGCTTCTCTTCCTTTTCAGAAGTAAAGCCCTCTCGTTGCATGATCTGCTCCATCATGCGAATGCCTCTGAGCTCTTGTAGTGGAGGGATGTTGTGTATGCCCTCGGGATCTACAGTATCAAAGTTCAGGGCACCGGTGGGTTTCACCGCGCCAGCCACCTCGTACAGTGCGTCTGGCGTAACGACAAAGTCGCTTTGTACCTCTCCCGACGTCGTTGGTGTTACCTTCTCCACACCCAGTTGTGCCTCGTCGACCACCTGGCACGCGTGTGCGACCGCAACAACGGGGGTATTGGGCTGCAGTACCTTCAAGTCCTGCAGCATAGCCCACTGCACTTCGAATAGATTGTGACCCTCCCATATCGTCACGCCCTGTGTGTTGAAGACGAGACCCCCTATAGCGCACATGTCTACCTTGAGGCATTCGTCCCGCATCTGCGAAAGCGACACTGCTCTCCCTATCCCCGGTTTCTCCATGCCGTCTAGACATGCAGCCATCTCGTACTTGGACTCGTTGATCCTTCCGGGATGCAGTAGTATGAAACCTCTGCGTAGCCTATATGTCGCTACCAAGACCCTCTTCCCGTCTTTCAGGGCTCTGTATCGCAGTTGTTCGAGGCTGTTGTCAGGCGTAACGAGGATGACGCTGGCCGACTGGTAACATGGCAGGGAGACTAGGCGGTCGATTGCGGAGGCCGAGCCCCGGAAGTCGGGGCTGAAGGACATGAAGTCATAGTTGAAGCGCGCGTCGGGAATGGCGTGTTGGATAAGGTCCTGGTATACGCGTGCCCATATCAGCTTCCTGCTGGAGTCGGCGTCGGGAGAAGCAGGGGCCGTCATTGGGAGAGACCGGAAGCGAGCGAAGTGCGGCTATAAGCCTGGGTATACGTGATGTGTGATGCTGCAAAAGCGAACGACAATGTGTGGAGTCTGCGCCGTGCAGCGTAACAAAGGGCGGGGGCATGTCGGCCCTGGCGCGCTGACTAACCGGACCGCCTCGTCATGTACAACCTACCTCCCTCCATGTCAACTTTGTTAGACAGCCCTGTAGATTGTTTTCTCAAGACTGTCTCTTCACGATGCACGACAGTCGCTTCGTCAGAACATTGGTAGAGATCCGGGTTTACCCGTCCCCGCACCATTAGGGTAAAGTCCCCGCGTCGGGCTACGCCAAATCGGCTACATGATTACGTCCGTCATATTACCGAAGAGTCACATATCTCAAGGCCAAGACGCATTGCAGAGCATGCTGTGAGTATCGGGAATAAAAAGTCCGAGCAGGCACAGATAGCTTCCATGATGGAGAAGCACAATGACATCGAACTTCGAACAGCGGCGACACCTTCGAACCGGTCGTCAATGGAAGTCAGCGGAGGAATACCACCAGAAGAGCGCATCGCAGAAGCATCGAATATGGATTCCATCAATACCGGTCCACCAATACTGGAATCTCGAAACCCTATTGAGCCTCTCGAAAACGTTCAAACAGACGACGAAAGAGATCAGCCAACCATGAAGAAGAAGACATCCAAGCATGCAAAAACCTTAGAGATTCTGAAATGGTTCGTCAAAGACCAGTGGTTCCTCCTCGCAATGGGTGCCGTAGTCCTCATCTCATCCCAAGTCCAAGTCCCAGCCTCACAGCAGCGCACAAAGCGGACAGTTATCACATACCTCGCAGTCTCCGTCATCTTCTTCATCAACGGCTGTACATTGGACACCCGGGTCATGCTCGCCAACTACATGCGCTGGAAACTACACATCTTCGTCCAACTACAATGCTACCTCGTCTGTTCAGCAGCCACTTTTGCCATTGTCAGCCTATGTGCGACAAACCCCAACTTCATGGACCCATGGTTATTGATCGGCTTCCTGTTCGTCGGCAGCGCACCTACAACAATGTCCAGCAACGTTGTCATGACGAGACAAGCTCACGGAAACGCGGCGCTCACGGTAGTTCAATCCGTCATTGGCCAATTCCTCTGTCCCTTTTTGACACCCATCATCCTGCAAATGTATCTTTCTACGGGATCGTGGTATAGCAAGGTTCTCCAGCGCGGCTCTGGTTACGCCGGCATTTACCAGCGTGTCTTCATGCAACTCGGCCTGTCGCTATTCCTTCCAATGTTGGTCGGACAGATTGTACAACGCCTGTTCCCGAAGATGACGAAGAAAGTGTTCTTCGAATGGAAATTGCTCAAGCTTTCGTCGATCGCGCTTCTCACGATGGTGTGGCAGACTTTCGATCAAGCGTTCTCTTCGGGTGCGTTCGAGGCCGTGAAGCCGTCCAACATCATCTTCATCGTCTTCATCACAATCGCGCTGTACTTTATATGGCTCGCCATATGCTTCACGGCCGCTACTTTGTGGTTGCCGAAGAAGGATGTTATTGCATGTTGTTATTGTTGCCCGGCAAAGGCTCTTGCTATGGTTGTTCCCCTCACGTCGGTCATGTACATTAACATCGATCCGGTTGATCAGTCGAAGATGCAGATACCTGCGATCATCTTCCAGGCTTTCCAGGTTGCTATTGGCGGCATCATGACCATTGGTTTCCGCAAGTGGATCCGACCAGAAGAAGAAAAAGAAGAGGCGGAAAAGAACGTCGAAGCAGGCGCAGCGAAGTAGAATTGGAAAGAAGACGGAACTACGCCAATGCATATTACGCCCTAAACGTCTATACTATTCGCGAGCATCCGATTCTTTCGCGGGCGTCTCTCCGCTCACCCCATCTTTTCGCTTTTTTGGATTGCAAAAATATGTAGACATAGTGTATTGTAGTCAAGAACGCCAGATATGCCAAAGAAAAATCGTCTCGTCAAGCCGTGTTTTGCTCAAGTAATGCAGCAGCATCCGTTGGGAATCTGAATCAATCAGCTTAATGGTCTGCCAATGGAAAGGGATACATACGCATTTGCATGTCCCAGCGAAGCCATCACAAGGGCACTCAACGCAGGTGACTGAGGCAACAGTGCCGTCCGCCTTTCTGACTTCCTTGACGGATCGTTCGAGGCTGACCTGCGCCATCGATTAGCTGGGGGAACCTCTAGGTAAAGCCAGACTTCTCACTGCTGCGGGCGATGCAAGCGCAACCGAGGCGATGACGACCGCGATAATAGCCGAAAGCTTCATAGTGTCGAAGGTACCGAGTCTCTGTAACTGTTGGCAACGGAGCAAGATGATTCCAAATGTGACAAAGGATTCAAAGGAGTTTTTGATCGACGCAACAACAGCACAAAGAAGAAGCAAATGCTTTAGAACAGACGATCCCGCCAGTTCTTAAGCAGCAATACTTTTTGCCCATCAATGCTGCTAATTTGGCACCCTTGTGGTAGTCCTAGCTCGGCCTCCTCCAAACTTTCTTGCCCTTGCTCCCCTCATCAATTTTCGCATATTGTGTACGACGCGCGCACCGGTTCCCCGCCCTCGTGGCAGAAACATGTTTTCGCGGAAGATTAATCTATCATCACGCTGGCGTTTACTGGCTGACCTATCGCTTCAGTGCTGGCCCAACTAGGATAATTTGCAAATCGTTCCGGAACATCGGAGTTTACCTCACATATTTCATGAGCCGCGATGCAACACTTTCTTGCATCCCGGGTAAATGGTCACACGAGACCGGGGTGCATATTGAAAGACCAGCGCGTGTGTGTGTGCGCGCGCGCGCAGGAACGGAGACTTTGGCAGTCTTTGCATACACAAGCACACATACATACGGCGTCGCAATTTATTTCCTTACTGCCGATGCGGAATGGTCATTGGATGCAAGGAAAATACCCGTCGATAAGAATCATAGTATGTGCAGGGCAGGGCATGCAGCGGAATAAAGCCTAGATCGAGTGTACATCCGTCCACGTGCTGCGTCGCCTAGGACAGCTGCCGACAGCGAAAAAGGAACGCACGCGCGCACCCCTTTATGTTGTTCTGCGGCGTACGCCCGCCCTGACGTCGTGGCACAATCGACCCGACGACCAGTTTTGGCGTGTCGCGAGATGCCTTTTACGCACGTCATCCTGCGACGCCTCGGTGCGGGCCCGTATATCATCGACAGGCACAATTCCTGCGCCTTATCTCGCGTCTTGGGAGAAGCTGATCCGGCACATACCGAATAGTAACTCCCCTGTTCTAGGCTTTTCGAACATGTCCCTGAATCCGGCACTAGTGTTGAGTACATATACGAGCATGCAGTCGCTTTGGCTATGGGCTACTGCACGCTTGGCACGTTCACAGAACAAAGTTTGAAGCTAGCAGCGTCGCCTATAAGGCATTGCGACTCTCGACTGTGCGGCGGCGCATCAGCCGTGTATTGTGATCACTAGAGACCTCGACACAATCTAGAGCGAAAGCATCGGTGCTTGGGCCTCCGTCGCTACATGCAGATGACGGACTGCTTTGGTTGAAGCGACTTTCGGCTAAAGCGGCGCATACACGAGGTTCTTGCCATGCTATGGATCTAGATGCACGGAGTCTGGATGCTCTCTAGGTCATCACGTGCAATACATGTCCTCGGCAATATGCGTCCGTCCTACGAGACGGCTGCCGACCATGTCTCCTGGCGCTTCTCTCCCTGAGTGCAAGTATTCGATTTCAAACATCTCCCTTGTCTTAGTTCAAAGTCCCAGACCAGTCTCTGGCAGACCGCCCAGACATGTGTCAAGCCAGCTCGGCCAATCCATCTCAACACCCATCTACATCTCGACCATCAAAAACACTTTTACATGTCGACTTGGCGTATTACGAGTGCATCCATGCAGCATGACCCTCCATCTTACCACCATCTCCTCCTACCAGCATTCATCAGAATCTTCTTCGCCTCCTCATTCCACCTCTTACTTGCTTTCTCCCTTAGCCTAGGTCGCTGCTTGCCGCCCCCATTCCGATACGTCCCGTCATTACCATACTCGAACTCAATCTCCTTACCCCTCTTGTCCGGGTCATCAAAGCGATCTAGCCAGCGATTCAGATGCGCACGACTATCCTTTGCACCCGCCGAGTAACTCAGGATAATCCTAATTTTGCGCTTTGCTCTCACATCGTCGTCGTCTGCTCCTGCAGCCTGTGATACTGGGTAGTTGCTCAGCCGCTTTAGCTGGGCTTGAGATAGACGGTTTAGGAAGGTGACGACGGGTGCGAAGTTGTGGTTGCGGACGACTGTTGTGATGACGGGGGCGTGGAAGAGGACTGCGTCGAGGAATTCGGCGGAGATTTGGTTGTTTACTCCCACGAGACCGCAGCGGGTGACGATGTTGCGGGAGCCGGATTCTAGTTTCGAGCTGCGGTCGGAGTTTAGGATGTGTTTGTAGATTTCGCCTCGTAGTTCTCGTGGGAGCGCGAGGAATGCAGGTAAAGTATAGTTGTGTTGCCGCGGCTGGGCGGGTATGTTGTCGGTGTCAGGTTCATTGACTTTCTCATCAACACTTTTGATGGTAGAAGGTTCCGTCGTAGATGCGACAACTTTACGTGCACGTTTCCTAGGTGGTGGCGCATCGTCGTTGATGGTGTCTGCCACTGGTTTGGCGGCTTGCTCGGCCTGTTTGCGCTTCGAACGCCTGAGCTGTGGTGCCACTGTGCTAGTCATGATTGAATTTGTTTCTTGTTGTTCTCGCAATATCACTTGAGCGCGAATTACATACATATACTTGCTACGCGCCAAGCCAACATGGTGAACCTCTCAGGCAGCAGCTAGGCAACAATGGGGTGGCCTGAGGTTGACTAGCTGTATTCGGCGAGCGCCAGTTCAAGCAACGCTCCACTATTGCCATCAGAGATACCATCCGACATCATGAATTCTAAAATCAATCCAATTTTGTTTCGCAAGTAGATAGAGAAATGCTGCATGCTGGATCTTGATGATCTTGTATTTGCGCAAAGAACGAGAACCCGACCAATTATGACCCTGGTTTGGAGATCGGGATTTGATGGCGGATGGATGGAGACAAGCCGATTCAACATTGTTAGCTTTGAGTACGACAAGAAAGGAGTTCACTATCAGACACTTTATACACTGATACAATGTGGCTGATGTGTGGCTGGGAAGAAAACCTTTGTATGACTAGCCAACGAAGACATGCATTGGATACCTTAAGGTTCTTCTTTGCCCGCGATGAGCTCCGGATGGAAACGTCTCATGTGCCGGAACATGCCATCCCTTCTGGAAAAGCCTTGTATTCCAGAGCCATATTCACATGAAGCGACTTCACAATGAAACATCGGCTTATCATCATCCGCGTCATGCAAATGGGTCACTTGGTGACGCCTGAGATCCTTCGGGTACAAAAACGACTGCCTACATTGCGCACATTTGTGAGGCCGCTCATACTTGCATGTATGGGTTCGTTTGTGGCGTAGTAAGTCTGCTCTCTGATCGAATTCCCGTTCGCAACCCTGATAGTCACAGCGATATGTAGCTTCTGAGATTTCTTCGTCGTTTGTGAATGCTTCGGGCGCAGCTGCGAGATTATGTACTCGTGCTGTGTGGTCTGCTAATTTGTCTTTGCGAGGGAAAGGTTTCGAAACCCTATCGCATCCTGGCACCGTGCAGAAGTATTGCTGGGAGTTCAGGTTGTGAACCGAACTTTTGTGCCTACGCAGTTCAGCAGCTCTGTTGAACCCTTTCTGACAGATTTCACATCGGAGGCCTTCTCCGTCTTTGCGAAGTAGTTCAATGCTTGGTCTTCTTGCCACTGCCCTGGCCGTAAATGGTCTTGCATCCGTAGAGGGCGTTTCCGAGTCTCCACTTGTCCGCGGCGGCAGGAACGTCGAGGGGAGGTAATCTTGCTCTTCATTCCGAGTTTGGTCACTAGTATTGTCACGATAGTGACCCGTATCCCGGTCATCTCTGGACTCCGGTTCGTTCAGGAGATGAGGATGGTGTCGGCGGTAGTGCTTGAGACGGGCGTCGCCGCGCTTGAAATGTTTTGAGCAGGAGGAGACTTCACACACATATCCGATATGACGACCCATGTGCTTTTGTCGCCGATGCCGTCCATAATTGCCTCGTGCATAAGGTCCTCGAAATACTGTAGTGCAAGATATGCACGCTACAATTCCAGATTCTGTGCTGCGAACAGGCATATCCGACTGCAAGCCGGATGACTCCGAAGCGGTAGATGGCATTCGGATCAGTGACGATGCACCTCCAGCAAAAAGCGTCGCGCCATCGAACGACTCAAAGTCTTCGAAGTTGTCAAGTCGCTCATCGGAACCAGACGTCACCAAGACTCTGGACATGTCGTTCGACTCCGGATATGATTGGCCAAACGGCATCCCAACGTATGGAAAGTCCAGGTGCTGTTGAGTCGGAGTCTGGGCAGCATGTTGATTCGAGCTTGCCCCGTGTGTTAGCTGATGTATGGCGTAGGACGATAGGCTAGCCCGTTTTGTAAGAACGTTCAACTGCTCAGACTCGTGATAGTCATAATAGTCGTGCTCCCACGACGCGGGCAAATTTGGTGATATCGACAACAATGTAGGATCCAATGCATTCCCGCGCCAATGCTCGGCATCGTGATTGTTCAGAGAGTATATGTCCGATGGATCGAGAAAATCAACATTGCTCGTAAACTGATGAATAGAACCAGAAGTTTCCCCGTTGTTCGTTGTTGCTGAGTGGCTGAAATGACCTTTGCGACTCGAAGAGCTATTGTTCGAAGCGCAGGTCGATGCAGTTGTTATAGTAGGCCAAGGTACACCTGTAAAACCAGGATGTAATTCATTGTAGGCAACGTCGTCATGCCACGATTGGGTTGCGGGGCCCTCGTTGTCGGGTGTGGTATGTATCGAGTAGCTGGTATCGTCTGCTAAATGCGAGTGTTGATCAATGGCAGGATCGAGTCGTTGATCGTGGTTCATGGCTGGAGTTGGTGTCGCACCTTTAGTCTGTCACATAGGCGCACGCGATGTCGAGGCATGTGGAATACTCGTAGAGATAGGATAAGACATCTTATATACGGATGTATGCGCTGCATCGCTATATGGCTACTTCAAGGACGACAGTACAGTTGGAGCTGGTTCGGAGGGGTCATGAACATTTGGCGTTGCGGCCACCCCATATGAAAACGCGGTCAGGCAGATCGGGGCGTGGATTCCTCCGTTGGGCAAAGGCGAATCACACATACGTGTGGTGCGGTGAGGTTATTCGTTGTTGAGATTGACGAGACCGGGGGTGGCCCCTGCTGGCAGGCGGCGCACTTCGTCACGACAAGCAAATCTCAACGCTGGACCCTTCGATTCTTCATCGACAACACGCGACAAACGTGGCGGCGCAAGAAGGATTGGCTTAGCTGCAGATATATCCTGGGGGGCTGTCGAGTGCGGCCACCGTTTGTGCTTGGCCCCAATCATATCGTGCGTTGCGTGGAGGGGTAGCGCGACTAACCGCCTCTCAAATAGAGTAGTTGCAATGGCTCATTTCCGAGCATCTTTGTAAGCGCCTACAGACATAGAGCTCCTCTACCCTGATTGGCAGGGTGAGGCCGTCGCCCTATGGTTTGGTGCGGCGCACTTGCCCGGCTGAGACCTGGGTGTACATGTTTCACATGCTCGCTATTTTACAAGGTCAGAGTAGGCAAACATCTTAGCTTATATCCTGCTTTGCTGCTAAATTTCAGCCTACGATTTTTGCTTTCGCTGAACTAGACGCAATGGTGTTTACCTCATTCCGCATGCGTTAATGTTGAGTCCACGGTCGTGTGGTTGGCTGAACTCGACGCAATGGTGTTCATCTTATTCCGCATGCGTTAATACTGAGTCCACGGTCGTGTGGTTGACACGTCAGCCTCACCGGTCTCACCTCGTAGACTCACTTTGGCCATAAAACAACTTCTTTTTGCTGCAAGTAGATCTTGGAATTCTACATTCTCTCCATTGCAATGCCTTGGTTCGCGAGATCAAGGAAAGTGAGAATACCTCGTCTTTCATCAATACCTGAATGATCCAGCAGCCCACAGCACTTGACCGTCATCGAGAATTGACCAGATGCTAGATATGCTAAGACTACCTTGTTGTAGTTCAGTATCGATTATGTTCGCGTCCATCGTTGCTTCTGTTATCATACTGGTAAGCGCCACAATTCTGCACCATGTGTACTGCTAAAGGGACAATTCATGTCATCTCTCTGCCGTCTGCATAAGAAGGATGCGGGAGAGCCGCGGCCACGAGCGGGGACCAAGAGCATCTGAAATGTTCAGATAAGGTTTCAGCGAAAAGTGCTAGAATGCGCGAAATGACAAAAGGTCGCGATACGAAGACAGCCATCAGTCTCGAACTCGAAGAACGAGGAAAGAGGATTCAAATTGCTTTTTGGGCAGGCCCTGGTTCTTTGCTGGGGCTGGACTGCCGGCTGTTCCGCCATTGCGTGGCAACCACGGGAACCGCGGGGCTGACGTCGGCCCGACCCCATCCGAATCTTGCCAATGCAACCTCCCTACGCTCAACTGCGCGGACAATCTCATGACATCTTCACCACTCGATCTCAAGGACGCATTCGTCGGCAGCTTTGCATCAGCGTGTCAATCGCCTGAAGCTTGTGAGGATGATCAGCTACACTGGGGTTGAACTTCGGACGCGCAGCTCAGGGAGAATGACGTACGAATGCCTCGGGGGCTAGAAACGCTACTCACGCACTCAATACTTCTCTACCAAACTCCTTACGTCCTTACAGCTGATGAATCTAAATCGAGACCAAAGAAGTCGACATTTGCACCCTTGAAATGACGTTTGAACGCATCATCGTAGCTCCCGCTGCCACAGCTGAAACGCCTAACTAAGCTTCGAAGCCTAAGTACATGCAGGTAGCTCAGGTACCACTGAGCATAGTACCGTCTTCGTGGTCTAGGGCTTACTAGATTTCCCCAAATGGATAAGTTACGAACTGTTTCCAAATTCTGCCCCATCAACTTTGCGCGTTAGTGTAGTCTAGCCAGCGATCTTGCGTTCGCTCCCGGACGATCTGGCGAGTTCACCCGTATTTCTGGTTGAGTTTTTTTTCAAGCGTAGCTTGACCAAAAGGTTGGGTTCTGCACTTTCAACCCTTCGATACATTTTTCTACCAATTGTGCCTCTCTCTTCGAAGGGCAGCATCAAGTATGCGCTCACTAATTCTTCTCCCTTTGTTTGCTTTGCTGCACGTATGTCAGGCCTTCACATCGCCTGACATATACTCCCTTACGCAGCCAGCTGGTGCTAGTCCGGATCTGGGCGCAAACAGTCAACCGGCTACGGTGCCATCTCAATCGAGGTATGAAGACCAAATCTATATCGTGATTGTCGCTATTAACAAGGTTACAATAGGCATGCAGCTGGACCGAACTCCGGATTGAACATCTTCATACCAAACTACAAGGCAGATCCTAATTGGTAGGTGGTCTTATGGGAGCTGAAACCAGATCAACTAACGACCTTGCTATAGGCTTCCACTTACGCTTTCTCTAAAGACAGTCGGTTTACAAGTGAAGGTCATTCAAACACTGAATCTTTCTTCGCAATGCAGAGATCTACTCATCTACACGTCCCCAAGCGTGAGCTACAGCCCGAGCTCTACCGACGTCGTTACCTTGACCTCGTTCGTGGCCAAAGGTGGTAGATTGATCTTCATGAACCAGGTTCCTACTGCCCTTCAAGCCCTTGCAGGTGTTACTGCATCTAAAGTAGACTCGAGTGGTTCGCGATCCGTCATTCAACTGACAAACACCGAGACACCTGTACAGGCTCTCCAAGGTTTCGACTTCTCAGAGTACTACGACGTAAGCATGCCATTTTATGAGAACTACACCGAGAGTGGCTTAGTCAATGTTGGCTATACCGCTGCCAGAGGCTCACAAACACTTGGTAAATATTTGGTTCGAAACGATGGCGTGGACAGCGCAGATACATCGGCTACAAGCGCTGCCATCGTCAAACATCAGCCTTCGGGCGCGACCGGATATGTCTACAGTTTTGGTATGGACCTGGGATATCTGTTTATCCAAGCTCAAAATGAAGCCGGCGGCTACTCGCCATGGTACGACGGACATTATTATCCCGGGTACGATATCGGCACACGCATCATCAAGAACATTGTCACTACTAGCCCCCATTTCGTCAGCCTATGGTCGGTTCCGTACAACAAAGGCCTTGCTTTCACCACAACCTGGGATATCGATACCTATGTCTCGTACCCCCACGGCCAGGGTATTGCAGCCGCCGCACAAGATCGAGGTGCAGCGGGTAATCTGAACCTTCACACCAAGTACGTCACCGATGCATACGAAACTGCATACTTCCAGTATGGCGTTCCGTACATCTATCAGATTAGTGGGTTCCGCACTGCTCCTGACGGAAACCCGTATATCGACTTTGGAAGTCACACCGTCAGTCACTCGCCGAACGCAGCTGGTTTCGGCTATGGCACTCTCAATGAGCGATTCCTCCAAGGAACCGACTCAGGCTACTATCCAGTCATCCACCAATGCGGACCCAACGCTGACGGAACGCCTACTAACGGAGAGGTATGCACCAAGGGAGGTACCAGTGGGCTTTCTTTTTACACATCGGGTGCTTCCTCATCGGGAGAGGTCCGCGTGAGCGCTTACTTGATTCGACACATACTTCACGATGAGTTCAAGACCAACTACAACATGACCACCTACCGTCCAGGTAATCTTGCTTGGAGCAAGTACCAAGCCACGCATTGTGTGGCAAACGGAATTATCGGTGGCTCCTCGTGCGCGGGCAATTCGCATCTCACGCATCTTCCTTTCCAAGTCACTCACAACCGCGAGTCATTCCAGGAGCTTCCATACTACGAGTTCCCGCTTCAATGGTCTGACGGTGATGGGAACATGAGCAGCGCCGACTTTCCAGGGTCGGACTTCTCGAATCAGATCAAGTACATCAAGAAAATGGCACGTTATGGCGGCCACTACAACATCTTGATTCATCCTTCAGATGCGTTGTTCGACAAGATTCAAATCCAGCGCGCTCTTCACGACACCGTGCGCCCTTTTGCGGTCTTCTTCAACCAGACAGGAATTGCCAATTGGTGGACTAATCGAGACCGTGCAATTGTAGACATCACAGCAGCAGACAAGTCATCTGCTATCATGACGGTTCGTTTGGATGGCGTTACAGAAGGCCTCACCCTACAAGTGCCTCGGAATTACGCCTTTCAATCTGCGACGGGCTCTCTTTCAGTCTGCCAGCAGGTTTCCTACGATGGAACGACGAACGCAGTGGTACTGCGAAACACGTCAAAGGGTCAATTTACACTCTACTTCGCCGTTGGTACAAACAATGCAACCACCTCCACGTGTCCTGATTTCACTCCTAAACCGCTAGGAGACACGGAATGCATAGCATGGGACGTCATGATCGACGATTTTCTAGAGCTTTACTTTGGCAGCAATAACGTCAACCTGCTCTTGTTGCAAACGACTGCAACAGGGCTCTCGTCGAATAACGTAGACGGCACTTTGCAGCTCACTGCAACTACCGATAGCGGTGTCAACGCGTACTACACGGAAATCTCCCGCTTTTGCTTCGACGCTTCCATCTACACACATCTCTACTTTGACATGGTCGCTCCCACAGGATCCAGCTTTTACGTACAGCTGGTTTCGTACGACTCTGGATGCAATACCGAACAACCGAGCGCTTCGTACTTGGACGTGACTAGGTACGCGCCTGCTGATGGCTCGAACCATACTGTCACCATACCGTTGTCGGACTTTACGGGCCAAGACATGAAGCATGTTCGCGGAATCCGCATCGGCAACATCTCGCCTGCTCAGACACCCATCTACATTGACAACATCAAGATCCAGAAGCGATGTGTGACAGCACCAGGAGAAGACCGTACCCCAGGTCTGGCGGTTGAGTCATTCCAGAATGTTGACCGGTGGATCACTGGTATCAACAACATATTTGGTCAGACTGACTACAACAACTCGATGACGTTTGCAAAGCTGTCAGAACTGGGAAGAATGCAGTTGTTACCTTCGAGTGCCAACTCGTTCTTCTATACCGACACGAATGTTGATGGAGTCTTTTTGAATGCTACTGCATACACAGGAGTCTCTCTCAACGCCCGTGGCCCATCTGGTGGCTCCTTCGATGTCGTCCTGACATCGAGCACCGGTAAAACCTCTACTGTCAACACCAGGTCTTATGCTTCCTTCAGCCAGAGTAACTTTGCCAACATCACGATTCCCCTTACCGCTTTCTCAGGATTCAACACCGACTCCCTCAGCCGCATCACGCTACGCAACTTTACACCCAACGGCGGCTCTGCTGCCAGTAACTTCACGATGCGATGGATCTCTCTTTTGGGTGGACCTTCCACAATCGGCGCTGGTCCGCGTTGCCCGACTCCATCTGGGTTTGTGGTATTGAACTTCTGCGATCCGAATGAGTTCAAATCGCAAACCAACGCACTAGGAGCCCCTATCTCTGACGACAAGACGATGACCTCATACAAGCAGCCTTCCCGTGGGGCTGTCGAACTCGTTCCCCGTGACGCCTCGTCTTACTTCTACTCGCTGCTCGCTCAACCGACCAACTGTAGAGCGGTGAACAGTTCCTTTGACTCGATCATACTTACGGTTTCAGGCCCACAGGATGCAACCGCCAACATTGGTTTCAAGTATGGTACTGACAGTTGCATTACCAACGTGGTCACGTCTTACATTCCAATCACTTTTAACGCCGCGTCGACAGCGCTTACGATCCCGTTCTCTCGCTTCCCTGACAACTTCAACCCACAATATCTCCAGTCGTTCATCATGAACAAGTTCAACTCTCCCGGCCAAACCTATCGCATCCACTCCTTGGTCTTCACAGGGCCGGCCGACAGCCCGGGTTGCGCGCTCTGCTCCGGTACCATCCTGAATACCTGCACGTTCGTGTCGCAAGTTCCACGAAACAATCGACTCCTTGGCGCGATGACTGATGAAGGCTCTCTTGCTTCATACACTGTCGATAGCGACGGGTCTCTTAACATGGGCACTTCCGGCGACTCGTACTGGTACTCCCAATTCGAGTCTGGATGCTACAATGCAAAATCAGTAAACGCGACAGGCATCCAACTCTCCATTGCGGCACCTGCAGGTACCACTTTCCGCGTCACCATGCGCTGGAAAACTGACGAAGAATGCACAACGACGTCGCCTCCGTCTTCTGTCCCCATCACTTCCTACTTGACCTTTACTGGCGCCAATACATACCAAGTTGCACAGATTCCCTTCTCTGATTTCGGTGGCATGAACGCAAGCAGACTGGACAGCGTCGCAATCTCATCTTTCAACCCCTCTGGCGTGGACATCAAGGTCGGCTGCATCAGTTTGACATCGGTTCCAGAACCCGTTCCAGGAACATCAGGACATCCGGTATGCACATGTCCTGACTCTGCATGGTTGAACTACTGTACCCCAGGAGTTGCGAACAGTAACGCGAACGGCTATGTCCAGAGCGATGACGGGACTATGGAAGTTGCGCCGGCCGTCACCAACGGCGCGTTGGTTCTGCATCCCAGTGTATCTGGATCTTACTGGTACTCGCTCCAGAACTGCGCGGATATCTCTGCATCGCAATACCTCGTTCTCAATGTCACGGCGAACGCAGGTGCCGGTTTCAACGTGCAGCTGCAGAGTGGTGGATTCGGATGTGATGGCCAGACACCAATTCAGCGACTCAGTGTGCCGAGCAGCGCGTATGGCAGCATGAATGGCAGTCCTGTTGTTCTGAGAATTCCGCTGTCGGCTTACACGGCGATGGGGAATAGTCAGTTCACTTTGTCGAAGATTGATGCGGTTGCGCTAGAGGGTTTCAGCGCCGAGACTTCGCAGTACCTCATTCATTGCGCGTATTTTGATAATGGTGCGACGAACGGTACCGCGGGGATAAACGGCACCGCGTCGTAGTTGTTGTTTCTAGCGATGTGAATTTTGAAGGTTTTCTAGATTTACGATGTACCACAATTGTATCATAATTCATCAATGAAGTTATATCTATCTGAACAACGTATTAAAGGCTAGATATTGAGCTGAATGCTCTCGTGTTGTCTTGCCGTCGCTCTACAAGTTTTGTGAGGGGCGGATTCATACAACCACCAAGGACCTAATCGCCAGCCATAACGCCATGCATAAGTGGATACTTCGATACAGTCGATAAGTCGCTGCCGTCCTATAAATACCGATAGTACTGCTTGTACTCCAGCGCCCGACATCACGGTGTGAACACGCAAGAAATGATCCAATATTGAGATGATAACTCACAGATGTAGTAAGGGCGATGGCCACGTCAGTCACAAGCAGAACATATGACCCGATACCTAAGGCTTTATTGTTCTTAACTACAATAAAGCAAGAGTATACACATCAACCAGAATTTCCATCAATCACAGAGAATGTCGTGACACGAACACAGCATCATTTCTTCCTTCAAGCTAATCCAAATTCGTATTGTGACTGTTTCATGTAGCGACAGTAAGTTTACCAAACACACTCGTCCTCGCGAAGCAGTCTCGCGACAATGATTCCATGCGTACTTCCATCGTCCCGAGCACTCTCCGTCTAGCCCTACCTTCGTCCAGATACACAGTACAAGCACTTGTCCTTTATCGAATCGTCAGCGTTCATCTCTCAACTGAAACTAGTGCGATTCCTTACAGACACCGGCTATTATCTTCTAGAAAGCGGAACCTCCGCGGCCACCTGGGTCTTTGCCTCTAACAATTGGATCGGGTCCGGCGTCACGAGGGAGAGGGCAGTTCGGGCGAGTAATCTGGGGATCAGCGTCGGCGCTACGCGCAAGACGGCAGTTTGGACGAGTGACCTGAGGATCTGGGACTGGAGAGGCAAATGTCATGGCGACGAACAAAGAGACAAAGATGGGCGTAAGCTGCATGGCGATTGATGATAAGGTCTTTTCGAATTCTTGAATCTGTGATTGATGTTTGTGTGCTATATGAGCTGGCTTTGCGATGCTTTTTATACACCATTTGGCTCGGCTGTCTCCGGCGAATCGTGTTGTGGAGTCTTACGTGAGATGGTTGATGGTTGTTGTTGATAACCGTGGAGGATTCCGGAAGGATCAGATTTACCATGTTGACGATACAAAACTGGCTACTTGTCGCGAACTTCTCCACCCGGGCGTACAAGAGTGTGAGCACATTCTGACCTCGGAACGCAGAGACAGTTAGTCATGGCAGATCGACTGCATCAATTTGGTGAAAGTGTGTCAGGCGGCATTGATCATACGGGTGGTGTTCGTTGAATGATGTGACTTTGGCGTATTGCTTTCATCCTTCTATATGGCGGAGTCATAAACTCGTGCGCTTCATTGTGCATGTCGCACATTTGTTTGCCATTTCCGGCACGTAATAGCAATAATGACAGTTATTAGCTCAACAGATCCCGTTTACAACACTGAGAGTCCTAAAAGCCCTTGAAGGCGGATGGTAGCATCAAAACATACGACAAGAACAACGCACCTTCATAGCCTAGCTTTACTTTCATAGTGCTGGAGCAGAGCGGCCGCTGAACTAGGCGATGGACTAAGAACTGTTGCATCTCGCAACGACGCTAGTCTATACAACCGTGACACTATATGTAAGGTTTGATATCGATGCTGAAACATTTGAAGTGCAGGCATTGATTTATCCTATCAATGACTCCCGATTTGCCATGTCCAAAAGAGGGGAGTACCTCCCTGACGATGTGTTATACCCAGTATACGATTGTCGATCCATGCCCTATATAATTTGCAGTCCGCTTACAACGCCATTCGACATTCGTATATTGACAGCCCAGTGGTCGAATTGGTAGTATTTCCGCCATCAACCTAAGCCATCGCGTGAGCGGAATTGTACCCTCCACACAAGAGAGTACTTGTTGCAAATTCCGATAATACGACACAATCCTTCGGGTGTACTCCATACCAACTCTTACTATGATTATCAGTTAATGAGTAAAGTGCAAGAACGTTTGATAATGTCAATCGAAAGACAATAATGTTGATCCTTCCGATATTGTGTTTGTACCTAGTGCTTCCCTGCAGCGTAGTAGTCGCAGGGTACCGTGCCGATCCGGTGCCTTACCCTATCCCGGCAAGATCTGCAGTACTCAGGGAATTATCGGAAGACAGCTGTGGAAGGTGGCAGGTGCGCTGCAAGATTCGATGAAGTATAATGAAGCATCCAGGAGGTGAAAGCAGGAGAGAGTCTTTTTGCTCAGAGGAAGGTTGCCTGAGCCATTCTGAAAGCCAACTGTCGCCGCTTTATCTGTGATGAGCGCATCGTAATGCTCTGCAGAGGATGCTTCACGTACAATCGTTGAACTCGGTAAGGCACATTCAACAAGATCACTTGCATGTCGTACAAATTAAGTTTCTCTTTTTGACGTGATCAGAAGACTATTTTCACTTGAACACAGTGCAAATATGGCTACGCAAGAGAGATGGTAGTTTAATGATATGTCTAGATCATTGTCAGGCGTTTTCAATTTCTTTATCGATATCTCTATCTCCTGCACTCGTTCCCGCTAGTCCTCTACTGGGCAGAGGGCGAACTCCCTTTCGGGTGCACCATCATGCGTCATCACACCACAGTATGCGCCATCATCCGTTGGGTCGGTATCAGGGTTGTCTGTGTAGATATAGAAAACAACCCGATCTGGACCCTGGTCGCCACCACCAAAGATTTTATCTCCATGCAAGATCGGGAATTCTTTCAGCGTCTTGCCGTTGCACTTGTCGGAGAACTTCAGCTTCCTGTTGTTGCCAAAAGTTTTAGGGTAGCCGCCTGTAATCGAGAAGAAAGAGGTTAGCAAGGAGAACATTCTTCACAGAGCAAGTCTATACGCATACCTGGCTGAGGCGCGGTCGTAGGTGTATTGTAGATGGCTTGCTGAATAGCCTTTTCGACCTGCTCACGACTGTATCTGTATCCTGGGCAAGCTATGAACTGGTCGCTGGGCGGGAGGTTGTCAACAGTTCGTTTGCTCAACATTCCGGCAGGCGCAGGGTTGGCGAAGGATGTATGCACAAGGGCTAGGCCCAGTGGCAGGAGGATAGTTGATGGTGAGAAGTGCATGGTGTAAGGAAGACTTAAGACGGTCTGATAGTGTGAGTGATAGTGGCTTGAGATGAAAGTGTAGTGCAGTGATGAAGATGCTAGACCTCCGGCAGCGGCCAGTTTATATGCCTTTCAAAGACATGTTAGGCCCTCCATCAAGGACCAGCGTTATGCCTCCGCGCGCTTCTCGAGATATGTTTGAGGAACGTGGTACCAGTCACAATACCGCTCCCTTCACTTCTGATCCACATTTCTCGGGCCGTGTGTAGAGTGAAGAGGCAACCCACTCAGGCATCTCGATGGTCACAGACGAGGTTGTCGAAATCGAACTGACTTAGCGCCAGTATCAGCTGAGCACCCGAGTGATGGAGATTGATGTCATTATCATGCTTTCCTTCGTCATCGGGCGAAGCTCTCGGATTGACTAACACAATAGCGCTTTTGGGTGGATACACTGACAAGGTTCTAACAAGGCTGATTTAACTGACAGGATCACCAGAGAGCCTGCGATACGACCATGACAGTCATCTCGATGCTCTCTTAGGCCTTTCCTATCAGCACTGCTATAGTTACAAGGTACATATTTGGTCTGTGGGCCATAGGCTGCAACGCACATATGTGCTTAGCATAGTTTTGGCCCCTATAGGCTGCCTTGAACTTATCGTCTTCGTCCCCACAGTCAGACATCTCATCTTGATGTTAAATACAAGCTTGAAGCTATACTCGATGACACATCAGGAGAAGCCATACAACGATCCAATCGCTCTCCAGAGCACAAACAAATGGCTCTTGCCATACAAATCAGACGTCCTCAGGAAGACAAAAAAGTGTTCCTACACTCATGGATGTGTCAGGAAGTAGGCGGTCGGCCTGACTGTAGATCTTTGCGCTTGTCGTAACCTTATTTAACCGTACGACGCCGAGGATCATAGCACTTCGGGTCTTACCGTTAGAGGGCCTGAGGAGCAGAACAACGCGAGAAGATGATCTAGGACCGACTCAGGTAGAATTTCTGGAAGCAGACAGCTAGCCAGAGTGCATGTTTGATGGGCGGCGCTCAGGCAGTGATTGCAGTACGGATCTGCGGTCGCAGCTGGGGATAGTGCAGGCGTTGTGAAAGTTAACAAAACATCGCCCATGAGGTGGAACGATGCATGATGCAATTAAGGCCCGCGGCTTAGCTGCTATGAGCAAATTGTGGGGTGGATTACCCGGGTAGGAAAACTAGCGGGCCGCAGGCAGCGTGCATCGCCCCGCAAACTCTAAATTGGTACTTCTTGCCTAGCCGACTGCTGCGGCTGTGATGTGGCCTATGCTATGGGAAGCCTTGTTCTGTGACCAAATGACTGCGCTTCGGTTTCCGAACGGAGCCACTTATGTGACTCGATCATGTGATGGCAGATCACGTGGTTGTGGATGCCTGGCTGCGCCTACCTGATTGTCCGAGCATGACGTCTACCTTTTCCAAATACAGTGCCGAAGTGCGCATCGATCCATATAAAGGAGGATCGAAGTTCAAAAGCACCTTCTATCGCAGATCGGCTTTGATTGCTTCACGTCGCAATTCCCCTTCCAACAATATGACCACCATTTTCAACACACCGGGTACCTACCCGCCTAATACCTTCTTACCGCAGATAAGCGCCACTGTCACCTCAAGCGACTACTCTTCTCTAGCTGAGGAAACAGCCAAACATCTCGTCGAGGCGGTCACTACCTCTTCTGACCCTTCCTCAGCACTTTGGGAACTATGGACGGCCTTCTTCGAAACTGTCATATCTTCATCTTCACCCGAAGCCCATTTTGCTCTCCTTGATTCCATCCGTGCACAGCCACCCACTCTGCCCAAAAACTTATCCAAAACAACAAGGGACGCAAAGGAGGCACTTGGCAGTCATACTGGAGCGGATGGCAAATTACATTGGTCAAAACTGCCGCGATTTGGTTGGGAATGGCGCCACACGTCCGATTTGCTCCACCAATGGCGTGACTGGACCAGCATACAAGACGCAGATTCTCAAAGCGGTACGCCTAATTTTAGGTCGAGTAGTACTGGCGGTCAGCTATGGCTCCGCTTCGTCAACTTCTCAACCAGGCTGCTGAAACGCAGCAAGGAACATCACGCACATGAGACTATATGGGTCTTTTACACCTGTAAGAATACGCTCGAGCACGAGAAGCCTCCATCCCGTGAGCAAAATAGGAACAGAATGTCAGCTGAGCAGGTATGGGCGCTGGATGTTCGTGTGGCAGCAATCTGGGTGCGAGACGGGGCACAGGCACTGTGGAACACGGATTATGAAGAGCTGAAAAAGAATTGGGAGGCAGCATTAGATGAACCGACAGACCTGTGGCCGAGAGAAGACGGACTGAACAGGGAACGGTGGAAACTATGGGAAAAACGACTATTGGCTTTGAGTACAGATGAGGCTAGTCTCGACGAGGAGACTAGAGACCTGGTCAAAGAGGCGTATGACGTGGTTGAGGACCTTTTATCAAATTCCTGAATACAACTCCGGCCATCAGCCGCAAATCCCATGGCTGGATTCATCGTACTGCATATCTTAGATACTTGCAAACTGACACAATGAGACTTAGCACCACTCTCCATCAAGACTCCCATGGGAATTTCCCCTGATTAGTGATGCAACTTTTAGTCCTGTGAACCTGGTTCGTAGTCGTGGTCCCATTTCGGACGCAATCGATACAGAGGCGGTTCCTCTCACGAAATCCATTTAGCCTGGCATCGCGCGTTACTCTATAGCGAGGTTCTCCGTGTCAGCGATAATCACACGGCTCCCATTGCTTGGGCATGAGTGAATCACGCATCTGATCCATCTTTCCAACGATTTTTGATACTGTCACATCCAGTACCTGTAATGGCCGAAGATCTTCATATTGAAGAAGTTGTGTGTGAGCAAGACTATGAACAGCTCCCCATGCGCAAGTGCACGAACTGCTCTCGTCCATTCCGGCATCCGTCGATCCGTTGAACAGTATGTGCTGCAGTTCTGTGCGCATCCTGTTTCTTCGCTCTTCTAAGAGATCTATGGCCATAACGTTAGCGGGGTCAACAAAATCTTTGGCAAACTTGATACCTACAAAGAACCTTCCATGAAACCCAATCAGTCAGACCGGTAACTTGATCGGGGAGTGAAAGGTGATAACCTTGATGATGGAGCATCATCGAGATCGTAATATCACCGAAGGCCTGCGTATCGTTCAGAATGTAGGCGGCAGCCATGAGATAACCCAACTGTAAGATATCCTCAATACCTTCCAGATCCAGCCAAATTGCGCTGGCATAGAAAGTAATCTTCTAATATAAACATACTGATGTATAAGTGGAAGAGTAGTGTAACGCTAAGCTACGGTCAGTTTTTAAGTTCTAACAAGGTAGGCGTACTGCTGAAGTTAGACAGCGCTACTATTACTCTACTATATAGTTACTATCCTCTTGCACTTTGACCAGACCAAAAGAGCATAGAGTAGTTATGCTATCATGAGGACTGCCCCTCAAATAGGAAGTGATTGTGCTGATCGTGAGCGGTCCTGAATAGATTGCCGAAAGAAGACCCAAATTCCGACGATCCCTGTGGCGACGTTCCAGTACGCCCAGCAGATACCGGTGTCTGAGAGTTCCCTTGAAATAACGGTGGTGGGAAAGTGAACATCGATTGTGAACTGACTCCGTAGTTGTAGTTGATTTGGCTGGGATCACTTGCCACAGCATGGCTCTGTGAAAGAGGTGTCACTAGGAATGATACGTCCTCTTGCAAGAGGTTGGAGATGTCGAATCGTAGTCGGAGCGCCAGAGTTTTTAAAATGTTAAAAGAGGTCCGGTATGCACGCTCTGCAACTCGATCCGTTTCTCCTAACATTCTCAGCCGTCTGGTCAGCTTCTTGACTCTTGGTAGGAGACCTTGATCCCCAGAAACGTGATCCATACAGTAAGAAAGCTCTACAAGCAGCACCGTTAGTGCTTGCATGATATGGTGAACTAGAGACCACCAGGGCCCAGTTTCAAACATCTGAGCCGCAGTCGCGTGGTCCGGTAAGATGTCCGTGAGCTTTTTGGCGGCATTGACACATGCGCGGGCCATGTCTCCGTTACAGCTGGCAGAAGACTCAGTCTGGTTAGGGATACGACTGTTGACTCTACACAGACACGGCCGAGTGGTTAGGATTTGTACCCTGATGTAGCTCATCTGCAACATGAGGCGGTTGCGCCCAAAACGACTAACGTCGTTCCACGAAATGGAGTCAAGACCTTGCGGAAGCATTTGTTTCCATCGCTCGAGCTCACCACACAAATCAACCATCGTCCGCTGAATGTCCTTCCATGATTTTGTCGATATATTGGCGGAGTACAAGCCAGCCATAGCGTTCTGCCCTATGACATTGATTTCTGCCATATGTCTCAGTAGCGAGCTCGCGCTAGACGGCTCCGAAGCAGTCGGCGCAGATCTACCAGCATCGCCATGGATCCCGGCCCCTTTGTACTGGTTGTCCCAATATGGCGTGGCAAAATCGTCTGACAGTTGTTCCATCGACACTGGTAACGGCAATGGAGTGGAGTACTGGTCTTCGTGAACAAGACTTGGTCTGCCGAGCATGATACTCAAACTACCTTCAAAGATCTGTAGAGCCCACCAAACATGCACCAAGATCTCTTTTTCGGCTGTGCTAAGGGTTTCATCCTCATTACGAAGGTGTAACCCAAGCGCTAGTGCGTAACGAAGAGCAATGCCAATAGCAACCCATGACCTTGAGGGCACATGTTAGCGGGACAAGTGAAAAGGCGTGATAGAACCTACCTATTAACATTACCGACAGTTGAAAAATAGAAGGCGAAGAGGGCAGTGACCTGGATTCGCGCAAGGTCTGGCTGATGAGCTAGTGAAGGCTCTCCTAGGTCCAAAATTTGGGCACGAGATTGATAGACGATATGATCTCGGCTGTCTGCCTGCCAGTCTGCTTCTGTTAAATGTGAAAACCTTGCTCCTATAGCAAAAACAAGGTTCAACATGGCCAGCCATGTCTCTGACATATCGCAAGGCGTTCCTTGCGTTACGGATGCATAGTAACCGCGAACTTGGTTGATAAAAGTTTCTTGCGAAAGTACTGGAAAAGTGTCGTGAACAGTGTGCATGTAGCGCTGGATTAGTCTCTGGGCAACCTCGATGGTTGGCAACTTGTACGGCTCGACAGCATAGTCTATCTCTATGCCTTCGTTATCCAGGTAGAACGTAGAAATGCTTGTCGGTATCTTTGACTTTTGCTGTTGATGCTGTCTCAAAATTTCCGTGCGTCGCTTCGAAAATTCTGGAGTTACTGAGGGAAAAACGTATAGACTTTCTGAAGCCGATAGTGATTCTTTATCGCGTTCCGTATCGTGCTGCAGATGCCGAAGCCATTGCACTTCCGAGCTCTTCCCAATAAATCCAGTCGACTGGGAGTCTCTTTCCTTGTGCAAGTCCTCATCCAGGATGTCAGCTTCGTAGTTGGAGCCGACACCAGCAGACACATCAGATTCTGTGCCTGTATCTTCCGTAGTGGGTGGACTTTCGTGTTCTGACAATGCCATGGCATCTGAGACATCAGCCGTAACCTATTCGTTGTCAGCTTCTATGAGAAAGGAAGCAGGTTATCCAGAGCTCACGCACACGGCTTAACGTGTCGGCTATCTGTTGCTTCTGTTCATCTGGGACAGAGTCTTCGATTTGCTGGAGAAGTTTGACCATATCCTGATTATGTCTCGTGGCGCTGCTGACTATCAGACCTCACCTACACTTTGGGAGGTAGAACGAACGCTTTAAGGCGGTTTCTGCGAGTCTCTAAGTAGACACAGGGTCGCATACTTTCTATACAATTTCGACATTGCGGCCTCCCTCCATCACAGCGCACTTTGCGTTCTCGGCAGCCGTTACAAGCTATCTGAACCCTACGTACTGGAGGTCGCTGATAACGGCGTGCTGAAGCTCGCGATATGGGTACCTTAGGCAGACTGTCCGATCTGGAAGGCTGTAGAATTGGGAGAGACATTGTTTTGAACGGTGTAGCGTGGTCGACTGCAAGAGGAGTTGTGACGAAACGAAGGCTATGCGATGCTAAGGTGGTAACCAATGTCGAAACTGCGATCGGTCCAGGCTGCTATCGAGGGGAAAGGCCACTAAGGGTGCTGTGTGTACGATCGGCGATCGAAAGAAAGAATCAACCATGCAATGTTCCATTGGCTAACGATGCAGGAGTCGACTGCTGTACAATGGGTAGGCAGCGCTCTGAATCCTTGTTGAAAGCGGGCGTCCAGCGATGTGGTTGGCCGACGCGTGTTTCATGGAAGGCTGGGCCCCAATTCTTTTGGTCGGCGTTCGTTCCGCGGTGCGATGGCCTGGCTCACGAAATCCGTATGTCATCATCGCGGACGTGAGCGACTAGAAACTTCCAGACATACTTACTAGACGTCTTCTTCGATTCCTATGTTCCTTGCCATCCAAACCTCAAGGTTGGGTCATTGCTGTCATGACTTTAAAGGCACATGATTGGTCCGGCGAAGTATCACCGGTAGGATGACATGGTACGCGAAAACGAGTCATCCACTATTCTCATCGTCCCCACAATCTGGGAGCTGCTCTTGTTTAGTACTTGGAGAATTTGGATACCCTTTTCCTGGTCAGCTCAGGTGCATTGAGTGGCACACAGCGTGATCGCAAAATCGCATGCGAGACTTGGAGTGCTGTGTACTACGAAGAAGATGGTCAAGCATAAGCTCCGTCGATAGACGCGCGACTAGGCAGATTCTGTGCTACCTACCCACTTTACTCTAGAGCTTACTCTAGAACATGCAGCTTTCCTGAAGATCGCTCGCGCGGCTCTATCGCAATCGCAGCTTACAGCTATTGCGCTTGCTGCATTGATCGCTCGGGATTTTCCCCCTGCTAATTGGCAATCACGTCTAACAACGCCGTTGGTTTTCCCGTGGATAGGTGGTTCTTCATCATTGTAGCAATATTTGAAGCCATAATATGAAGCGTCAGAGCAGCTCTAATCTGGTGTTCCAGGTGAAAAAGACCAAACCGCAAATATTCTTTGCGGTAAGCCATACAGCTCCATGGATGAACATATTGTGTTGCTCGTAGTATATGCAGTAAGAATTTTAGGTCTTCGAGAGGTGTAGAAATGAATACTGAAGCTAACAAATTCGGTGAAAATAAAGAATGTGCGACCACTACCTACACAGGCAGTATCAAATGAACCAAATTACACTCCTGGCACTGCAAGTACATTTAATCGCCCCCAAGAAGCGCTTTAATCCCCTGGAAAGTGCGCTATCAGAGTTTGGAACTGACATAAATTGTCTTAAGCTGCACAAAGGACAATTTCCTCCACTTCCTTTGACGCCCCAGCCCAACCCTCTGGAGACTCGTCGTCTTTTTTGGACATTTCTTCCTCTTGGATCTTATACCTTGTTGGGCTTCCTTCGATGTTGATCACATTTATCACGATATAATAAGTGTTGCCCCCATTGTTGATTGTCACATGATCGCCCTTATAGAACTTGTCCTTGGGGTCAGTACGTAACGAACAATAACAAGGTAACATCCAGGACGTACTATGGCCGTGGAAGCTCTGATAGTATTGACAAAGGTCGCTAGTCTGGAGTTGCGATAAATTTGAGAAGTTTTCAGGACAAGTAACTATGGATATATACGTGTGCAAGAGTTTGTATTGTCAGATCTGAATCTAGATCTGGGATATCTCCATGCAAGTTGTGACTAACTCTCAGATCTATACACGATTGCGCAGAGCCTCGTATCCTGCCCCTCACAAGGGTATCGCTAACAGTTACGTGGCAAAATGAAGACACCGCAATGTGCAGTGATCAACGCATGTGAACTTGTGCCTTATCTCTTACTCGCTGACTTCTCGTTGCTTCGGTATAAATCAACATGATACAGCGAGAAAGGCAGGGTGCCATTGGTAATTGTCGCGGAAGGCAGACTCTGGCTGCAGATGGATGTTACGGTGAGCTGCAAACGGCTGCATGCATTGGAAATCAAGTATGGTGTCATTTAGGTTTGATGTGGTAGGTTCTCTGTATAGTAAGATCGGAGCTTCCGCTGCCATGCATGTCTAGCCAGGCAGTGTGGAAGAATGGACCTTTCTTTGCTTTGCTCGTTTCGCGACGCACATGCTCGGAGATTCCAGGCTACCGTCCTCACCGATGTTCCTTTTCGAAGGTTTGTGTAGTTGTTCGGAATGAAAACTGGGATGCTCACTCAACACCATGATGCGCGACGATATGTGGTGGCACTTTACAGGCCTCACAGTGCTGTGCGATAGCGTATGCCTCACTCTCCCCTATCACAAAGTGAGTAGTATGACCTTCCGCTTCATAGCTGCATGACATACCTCAGCTGTCAGGTTTCCCGACCGCATACAGCAGAACGAGCACGCCTCACCAATTTCATTCTTGCAGGCAATCTCTATTTGCGTGGTGATAGAGTCAATGCTTTCATTGGTATCTTCTATGGTGCTTTCACAACGCTCGAAAACGATAGAGAATGTAGGTGTGTACTCCGAATAACGACGAGCTTCGAGATGCTTAGGTTCAAGTAGATTGAACTTTGTAAACTTATCACGTTGAATCACCCATAGAATTTGTAAATGAGCAATTTAACATACGTGACTTGAAAAGCTACGTACCCCGCTTCTGCACATGACTGCCAAGGATGGTCCCATCATAGGTAGCTCTGGAGATCCATACATATGATCATGTCTGAAGTTCTCGTACATAGTCTACACTCAATAAATTCATCATGATTTATCCATTCTGCGAGTCTCAGTCACAAGAGGCTATCGCAATCGCGTCTGCGCTCGGCGATCTCTAGCCTATAGGCTAAGGCTACGGTCTAGCAAAAAGCTTTCGCCTTTAGGGTTGCATTTAAAGATGTTTTCCTAGGGGTTCTCACTATAATGCGATAATAATGATCACGGATATCTCTAAGATACAACTTGCTTGGACGCTACCTAGATTAGGCGTGGCCCCAGTAGAGCAGCCTACTGACTTCCTTGGCTTATGTGCGGGATTCTATCTAACTCTTTTAGGGATTAGTAAGCTGTGCTGATGCATACCTCGAACCATACTAATTAAACAGAAGCGCTTCAGTATTCCCGGTCAGATATGACGTAACAGACTTGTCGTGGGGAAGGCTGAAGTCTTGGCTACTGCATAGGTTCAGTTGGCAATTTGGAGGGGTAAACCTCCCACCCTGCATTACCATTCAACCACTCAGTCCCATTATCTTGCGGGTAACAGACATTTGAAATTTCGTTTCCATTTGTTTGCGAGAGCAGCTTCAAAGTAAAACTCCAAAGACGATGGAGCCTTCCACCAAACCCGGCATTGCCAAACGATTCGTTCGACGGTTGAAGGACCTCGGTTCCGGCAGGAATTCAAAGTCGCATCCCACAGTATCTGAGTGTTCACCCCATAAAACAAGTCCAAGACGGCCACCTATACCACTTGCGGAGAGCCTTCCAAATCAATTCCCAATAGCCTCTGGTGCGCCGGCAAGCGCTTCTCATGTTACCAATACCAGGAATGATTCTACTTCCCATGATGGCAATGACGATCGTGCGTCGACATCTTCGAAGAACTACGAAGCTATTACTCATCGTGAAAACCCACCATCCAACGATGAAACTCATACTGATGCGGCCAATGTTACATCGATATCACAAAAACCAGTTTCTCAGATTAAGGACACCCATAGCCAGGAAGAAGTAGAGCCCATTCAAGCTGATGCACAGATCACGCCTACTTTGCCTCAGACCTCATCAGCAACACCAGGCAATGGGATTAGTCTTTTGAGAATGCCCGGGGCTAGAGAAGCGAAAACGTGGGATGAGGCACGTTTGAAGTTCGAGAAAGAGCATGAAGCTGAGTGGAAGTTCCTGAACGATAGGTTGACAGAACTCACTACTAGCGATTGGAGTTCGAAGTTCATCACCGCCGATCTCGATTTGCCTCAATGTATCCAGCAAAATTCCACCTCAAAAGAAGTCGTACATCGTATGCGGCGATGGTTACCAAGCTTAGCTTCTGTCAAAAGCGTCGTCATGCCTATAGCAGCCCTCGACCCTCACAAGATTGCACCCATATGTTGTGCAATCGTATTCAGTACCACTGAGGTAAAGTATCTGTCTAACGATATGAACTTGGTTAATTAGCGTAGCTTTTTGTCAACGGTCCGGATCCAGAATTTCGAACCAAAGCCTTAGACGCTTATTTCGTAGCCGCAAATACTATCAGTGAGTGGATCTCCTACGAAACGACATCGATACCAGAGCCCACAGAAGGAGTCAAGGAGCTAGAAAAAGAGCTTTCTACCGTGTATGTCATGGCATTACGCCTCATGCATGATATTCAACATGCTACATACGGATTCCAGGCCGACTCTAAGCTTGGAAGATTCAAAGCGAAAGGTGAGCTGACGTTTGGAAACGTAATGGCCATTGTTACTTACGATTGAGATTTCAGCTGCCACAACGTTCAAGAACCCTACTGTTGTATGGGATGATATGGTCAAGGACATCGAGAGAGTTCGAGATACCTTGTCTCGAAGAAGAAAGGGAATCGAAGAAGAGGAAGCTTTGGGGGACAAAGTGGCTAAGATTCTCGAATGGATCAAGCAAAAGGATGATCCAGAACAATCAATGAGTAAGATCGAAACTGAGGTCACATCTGAGGGACGATCAGACAACTATGCGCAATGGTTCCTTAACCTGCAGGTATACAGGGCCTGGTCCGAAGGTTTCCGCAAACGTGAAGACATGGAGACACAATCCGAACCGGTCTCACCCCGTGTCCTTTGGATTAGAGGTTTTTATGGCACAGGAAAAACAACGATCGCGTGAGTTGTCTTTATATGAAGATGGTCTAAGTTAACATCAAGCAGTTGTCGAACCTTGTTGGATCTACAAGCACTTGAAGCCTTACAAACTCCGGATGAACCGTTCCGAGTTATTCCCTACTTCTGCTCCGCTCGAGGTACCAAGAGGCCCGATTGCGAGACAATCATCCGGTCACTTATTAGGAAGTTATCATGGAAATCAGACTATTCGGTTTCTGAACCCGCGCGTTCGCTTTATATCAAGTGCACCAAAGGATTGAAGGATGACCCATCGACCAAAGACTGGCAGCGAGTATTGGTCGACGTCATTCAGGAATATGGAAAGACAGCGAGACTCGTATTTCTCGTTGATGCACTCGACGAGGTTGCCGACATTGAACAGTGGGGAGATCTTCTTAGGTGTATGCGGGAAGTTACAAATGAGTGTCACAACGTGTATCTGATCTGTACGTCACATATTCAGGTTGTAGTGGATGAATATTTCGATAAATCGATTCTGCTACAGTATAAGGTAAAGCAAAGCGACACGAAGAAGGACATGGAAACCTTTATTGACACGGAGATCGCGTTCCGGAGTCTGGACCCTGGCTCACGATCGTCCATCTTCTGTACGTAACCTGGCAATGACTGTTCAATGTCGATCTATCTGCTGATACGAAAACAGTTAAAACAGGCCATAAAGCGCTCGAAAACAAGATGCGGCAGCTTCTGTCAGACCGGGCAGGGGGCATGTTAGTACCCAGCTCCCGTTTTCAAGGTCTATACTTACATTTGTAGGTTTGTCTGGGTCAGGGTTTGGCTTCAGATCTTACTACCTACACACAATCGACAAAAGACCGTCTTTACCGTGAGCCGTGCCCAAAAGCTGCTCACTGAGTTGGATGCCTCAAAGAACAATACCCAAGACGAGCAGCTCAGAACAGCCTATCAACGCCTCTGGGATCAAAACGAATACGATGACTTTGTCGAGACAAGGCGAGACCTTTTCCGCTTTGTTCTTTGTTGGCTTACGCCATTGTCAATCCAAGATGTGACGAAGATGCTGCGGGCCGGCTCTGATCACAAAGGCCTAACCGAGGAGTGGGTAGGCACTCTAGGAGCAGATTTCCTTACCATCGACACTGGAAGCATTATCACATTCGTCCACGACTCTGCAAGGCACTTTATTCTTCATCTTGCTGAGGATGGCCAACAAAGTCCTAGTACGGCACAACAGTTCTTGTTCCAGAGTCAAAAGAATCATCGTCAGGCAATGAGGCTATTCAACACGTTGTTCGGGCCACCTGGGCGGTCGTTTCTTGATGATGAATTCATTCATACACTTGGATGGTATTTTCAACGCTATTTGCCACGGCACTGCGAGCTGGCTGCACTTGATCCCCTCGTTGTTGATAGACCATGGGAAGTTTTATTCGATGAAACGAGCAGCGCGTTTCAAGCATGGCTTATCTCTGGACGACCGTGCGAGATAAAACTTGTCAGAGGGAGAACATCTTGGCGATATGAAGTGCCTCTCGAGATCATCCAAGATATCGGCGTCTCCAGCAAAGCAGCATGGCTTGGCTACCCCTGGCGTCGGCATCCTCCTGACGGATGTTTTGAGACCCTGGAAAGACATCGACGAGACTGGAGCGAGCAAGAACGCTATCTAGAACGCAGACTCGAAGGCTCACTAAGCCCTAGCGCTTTGGCGTTAGCGATGACAGACGGTCGAGCCAACGCAGTATCCTTTTTACTCCATGGTGTCTATCATCTGCATGGTCCGAGAGCTGTTCTAAACCTGATTTCCTCTTTCTGCAAACTCGCAGAGTCTTCTCAGCAGGCCTGGGAGGTTTTCGCACGAAGAATGAATCATGCGCAGTACCCTAGGCAAATTTTGCGGAAAACACTTGGACAAGAGATAGCTTCCGAGATGCTAATGCATTTTACTATTCGATGCGGGTCGAGTGCTGAAGACGCCGCGAAAGCGAACGCTGTGCGAGAAGAGCTAATAGGTTTGTGGCAAATCAAGTGGAGCGTGGAAGACAAGACAGAACCATCTCCTCCCACTGTTCCAACTCTGCCCTCATCTTCAAAGAGTTCGGTTCGCGCGTACTCATTGACGTCGATGACGGAGCAAGTCTCTGACTGATCTTGTCCAACCACGCTATGGCCGGATCATTGTACGTCTTGTCGTGTGCAAAGACCATACTACCACGTCGGTACAACGCTTCGTCATCGTTCCCGTGGCCAATCTCCTCAAGTTGACCATCTGCTTCCTCGTCATCTTTTTCGTCCCCACCAAATCTGTCACTCTCATCACCAGTCTCGTTGCCTTCATCTTCATTGTTCTCGACACCCTCCACGACCTCCACAATCTCCCAAAGCTTATCATCATTCCCCGTCCATGCCTCCCCACCCATCAATGGACTAAACATTGTCTTTCCACCCGTACCCGAGATATCAATCGCCGCAATCTTCAGCGCTAGGCAGGCTCCAGGTCTGCTTTCTACAGGCGGCACATCGGGTATGTTACCGCTTGGCCACAACGTGGGCAGGTTTGCAGCGAAAGTTTTCCAGTGGGTTGTTTTACCTTTAGCAAGCCATCTGGCGCGGTAGGCGGAGAGTGTGGAGGAGAGACCGTGGGTGTACAAATGGTATTCGGTGTGCGTCGTTGCGCTGGTGATGGTGATAGGGGAGGATGGTGATGAAGGCGATGATGCGGTTGCGAAGGATAATGTAAGGGACGCGCGGCGTACACGTATCAATCGTGTCTTAGCTGAACTGAGAGACTCAACGCGATTCTCTGAACTGAGTCGATATCTCTTCTTCCCACCCTTTGCATCTTCCCCTATCCTCACAGCGTCTTGCTCATCTTCATCCAACTGTCCAGCTGCCCTCCAAGCCGGATTAGGAAAACACGGATCCCCCCACTCCCCCAGTCTCGTCCAGAAGTGATAATGCGGAACATCGCATCCAAGAAACCTCACAAAGAACAAATTCTCCAGCACCCTTTCCCCCTTCTCCCATGCTCTTCTTCCAACACCACCACCATCCCCCCAGTAATCCAAATAAGCAGCCACATACCCCATCCCCCCAGGCCTCCACAACGAACTCTCATAAACCTCCTGCACCAACCTCGTCCTATTCCTCCTCCTCTGCACATGCCTCGCCGCTCTCTCCTCTTTCCTCGCCTCCCCTTTACCCTTGACCCGTGACAACTTCCTATTCTCCAGCCACCATTTCCGATACGTATCCGCCAGCCCGGGCTTACTCTCGTTGAGACGAGAACCCAGGTGAAAATATATATGTGCATTCCAGCCCTGCACCAACGTGCGCTGAGCCCAGTGCACACCGCTTTCTACAACGGCGTGCTGGAGCGTGCCGATTAAATGGCCGTTGCGTGCTGCGGACCGTGTGCGTGGGGAGAGCATGGGACAAAAATCTGGATCGACGCCAGTCGGATATTTGGAGCCTGGCAGGACGAGTTTCTGCTTACTCGAGGTCGTGGTGAGTCGGAGGGGGGCATAGGGTATGGCCCGTGGTTTGGGCTCGGAGAAGGAGAAGAAGCGTGGTGGGTAGGTATCTGGTAGTTGCTCGTGTGGCCATTCGAAGAGGCGGAGGCGGCAGTCTGGTTTGGTGTCGCGGTCCATGGGTTCGGGACTTGATTCTGTCGATGTCGAGTTCCAGGATTCGTCGCTGAGGGCTTGGCCGAATTGCTCGCGCGCGTACTCGTTTCGACTTGTTTCTTGGGCTTCGATGTCGGCGTCGCTTAGCGTGTCGTCGCTGACGCTTTCGTCGCGTTGTCGCCTTCTTTCCTTTTCAATCCTCCTCTCGTGCTTTTCTTCAATCTGTCTTTGTTTATGTGCAGCTCTTCTTTCCTCCTCTTCTTTCGCCTCTTGTCTCTTTCGCTGGAGTGCGAGCACGGCATCTTGCTCCGCACGTCTTTCTTCTTCATCATCGTGTTTCAAAGCCCATGCCATCTCAACCTTTTTCATATCCTTGCGATAGATGCCGCGCTCCTTTGCTTGATCGACAAGCTCCTTGTAGTTGTAGTTATCGTATTTGGAGTCAGTCTTGTGCTCGTCGCGCACTTTATGTGTGCCGCCCCGCCTGTGTACAGCAGCATAACGGGTTGTGCTGAGTTTTGAAGGCTCTGGCGAGCCCCCATACAGCGCGGGATTATCCTTCTTTGGTTTACCTTTGGGCATGGTGAGTACTGCAGGGTGGTGTTGGAAGTTTGGTATAAACGATCAGAACACCAGACGTAGGTCAGCTTGTCAATAGAAGAGCAGATCTTGGAGACAATATTGTGGCCGCGTTTGAGCGGTGTTGCCGCCTTCTCGAATACTTGGGAAATTTGTACTTGTCGTGGACATGTCTTTCAAGAGTCCTTCGTCAAAGGCGCGCGCTGAACTTGCTTTGTGCCTATACTTGCCCTTTGTCTGTGTCTGTATCAGTCAGTGTGCAACTCGAGGTAAGCGTAAACACAAGGCACAACGCATTGTATCACTTTGGTGGTATGCTCGAAAAATTGATTCGTAAGGGTCTAGGGTATCTCACTATGGCGTGTTAACTTACATGCAATCATATTGATAGGAAGTAGCTTACAGTTCCGATTTCTCGGCACCCACCTCCCGCTTTTCTGCTTTGAAGTCGAGGAAGCCCTCTAGCTCCATCCACTCTGCGGTAAATGCCATGACGAGTTTTGTCCAGTCTTCTACCGTGTCCATGTCTAGGTGCTCTCCGTCGTCTTCGATTGTGTGCCACACTCTTGGAAAGGGCGTTGGGATCATGTGCAGGATCTCCACGCCGCGCGCCATGAAAGGAACGTGGTCGTCCTGCACGAAGCCGCCCATGAAAGCATCGTTTTGTTTATTCGCGTCAGGTAGGAAGGGGCGTTCGGCGCGGGGCTTCTTGTCCTTGCGCTTGGCCATCTTGGACTCGTGATTGGGAGAGGACTTCATCAAGCCCAGCTTCTGCAAGCGGGCCTCGGCCGTTGCCATGTGCTTGTATGCCCAGTGCGTGGTCTTGAAGTAGGACGGTACATTTGGGCCCTTGGAGCCAAGGAGGTCGAGCAACAGGAACAAATCGATCGAATCGAGCGGGGTGCGGTATATCGAGGATGCGGCGTGGAAAGTCGACTCCCAGTCTTCGGCGAGAGCTCTGTGCACGTGTCAGTTACCAACTGCGGGGCCGTAGACGTGATGCATACCGCGCGCCATACAGACTGTCCGTGTCGGTCCAGGTCTTGAAGGCCTCCTCGCCGTCGAGCAACAGGATCTGCACTCCCTTGTGCTCCACGTCAAAGTCGTCCGGGTCCGCCGCAGCCCACTTCTTTGTCAGCGCCGCGTCGATGCTGCGAGCGATGTGCAAGATCATGGCGCATGGGGCTGCGCTATCGATGGCTCCAATGAAGCCTTTTGGTGTATACTTGCTGTCATAGTGCGCGACCAAGGCCAGGCGCGAAACATCCCCCTCAAAGCTGCCCGGTGGATCGCGTGTCGCAATAACATTGACAAACGGCACTTCCTTGCCTTTGCTCACCGGCGTCGTCGACGTCGAGTTGTGCATCTCTATCCTCCATTCCGGCAGCTGCGACTTGAAGAAATTCAGAAAATGCTGGCGAACAAGGGCATTGCCGTCCGTCCCCGAGACTCTGGGGATCAAGATGGGCGCCAATATCGAGCCCTTCTTTATGTCGAAGTCATCGCCCGGCCCGGGCAGGTGTTTGAGCGTCTCATCCTCGAGGGCCTGGTAGGCGTGTCCGAGAGATAGTAATGAAATGAGCGGCAGCAGCGCGAATGCGAACAACATCTTGCCGACGAGTCACATGAAGAGCGCGCGATCAATCCAGAACGCGGCGGGAAAATAGCTCAGAGTCGCGAAAGGAGCATACCGACGTCGACGGTCGAGTGGGTCGAGGCAATCGTGGCTTCTCGACCAACGCCAGCCTTACCGGCATCGGCTAAAGTTCCCGCGCCATGCCGATCACCACACACACGTGACAGCGCGACAACCTCAGAGTCTGTTTGCGGTTTACCTCGACCCTTACACGCCCATACAACCTCATTGCTGAGTAAGCGCTGTGCTAAGCCATACAGCAGGCGAGGTTGGCAGTCGCGCGACAGAGACGTCGACCACCCGCCGACTTGAGTGAAGCAGAGAAGTGCAATTTTTTCCCACGTCCCTCAGTTGGTATGCAGCCACGACTTCTCGCCTTTGCGGCCGCTTTTCGAAGCTCGACACCAGCAAATAGAGGAATACGGCCATTGGTCAATCTTCGCATCGATGCCTTTGTATGCCGGAGTTGCCAGCGGAAATTCTCCACATCGCCAACCTTGCAGTGGTTCGGAAAGTCTTCCAAGTCAGCAGCCAAAACCGTTGAAAAAGAACGAAGTACGTTGCGCAACGATCTGGCCTACATGCAAGAGGACAAGGGCAGATGCGAAGAACATGATTGACGAAGAACTCAGAATACAAGTCGAGGTTATTGATCTACGATGCGGGCGATGCACGAACTACGTGGATATCCTTCTGGAAAGCAATGGCTCTGCTGCAGTTTGGGACCACCCTCGTTTTCGGTGTACCGCCACTATGGAACAACACGAACCAACCCGATGAGCGAGTAAGAAAGATGCAGGCTATCACGGGTAAGTACCTCATGTTCATGCCAACTATTTCCCAATCTTTGTCATCTATACTACTGGCCATGGATTCCTCTTGACAGTTATCTTGCGTGATTATCTCGTACTCTAGCAACGGGAGGATAAAGCCTGCCTTTCCATGTCTTCCACCACGAGTTACACAAGTTTTACCTCACTGCGATTCGTTCCTATCAAGTCTAATCTATCTACCTCCCCCATCACACATCCATAACATCCACATCCAAATCACCAAAGACTAACAGCTCTCCACAGTCGGCGTCCTAGGCACAATCCCCACCCTAACCCTCGCCTACCTAACCGCCCCCTTCGTCCACCAAGTCTTTCTCCAAATCCCCGAACACGCCCGCCGCTCCCGTTCCGACCTGATCCGCTTCGCCACCTCTCTGCGCACCAACCCCAACCAAACAGCAAACACAAAACTCGAATTCGTCACCCTTCGCATCTTCCCCTTTCGCAAGCACACCACCGCTTTTCTCCACGAACTCCGTGCTTTACCGCCGAAACGCTTCCGCCTGGCAAACATCGAGCTGCCCAAGAGCGATGCTTGGGCTCAGCGGCAGCGGGAGAAGGGCATCATCAAACGCATGGAAGAGGTGGTTCGTGAGCCGCGGTTCAAGTTCTATGTCAAAGAAGGGCGGTTGTATACGATGAAGACGGGGGTGCCGGGCGTATGGGAGGAGGTCGCTAAGAGGATCCAGGAACAGACTATTGAGGAAGACAAGGTTATCAAGGGACTTGGGGTCAAGAGGCCGGTTGTGCAGTTGGGGGCGAGGAAGTTGATCAGGCCTGCTGTCAAGGTTGGCGACAAGGTCAAGAGGCAAACTACTCGGTAGATGGACAAGTGGGTAGCGTGGCAAAGGGTTGATCACAAGGTGGTGCAGGAGTGATATGTAGTGATACGTTGTATTGTACTATGTTGAGGCGGATATAGCCTGATCGCTCAGGTGGAAAGAACATGCTAAGCGAAAGAGTACATGTACATGCCGTCCACCCTTACAATGATTCGTCGCCGACCATCCACCTATTCTGCCAAGCCTGGTCACTTTTAATCTAAGCGTGTTCCATGACCTGGGGCTTCTCCTTCTCCAGACTGCTCTTCTCGTGGTAGTCCGCAGCACCACTGTCGTGGTACGCACCAGAGCGCTCAAGGATATCAGTAAGACCAACCTCCCTGTGAACCTCAGCCCAACGCTCCTTCTCGCGCTCAGCGGTACCGACGGAACCGAAGAGGGTGTCCATTTCTTCCTATCAAGGTCGTTAGTAGGGCTCTTACAGGGATGTTGCAAAGAAGCGTGACTTACAAGAGAAAGACCCTTGGTCTCAGGGAAGAAGAAGAAGATGAACGCCGCGCCCATGGCCGTGAAAATACCAAAGAAGATGTAGGTTCCGTAGCGCAGGTGCGTCAACATGTCTGGTGTGACCTGGCCAACGATGAAGTTGTTCATCCAGTTGGAAGAGGCACCAAGCGCGATACCATATGGACGGTTCGACATGGGCCAGATCTCTGCAATGACAATCCATGCACAGGGACCCCAGGAGTAGCCGAAGAAGATGACGAAAAGCCAGACCATGACGCAGGCAGCCCAGCCGGCACCCTGGTGGCTTGGCCAGTCGTCTTCGTAGGAAGCAACGATGCCGGAAATGATGAAGTGGCAGGCGGCCATGCCGATGGCGCCTGAGACGAGGACGGGCTTGCGACCGAGTTTGTCGACGTACATAACTGCAGGAACTGGGGAGGATGTTAGTGTCATGATCTAGACCTAAGGATATTCTATGATAAACTTACTGGTTGCGAGGAACATGACGATACCGACAACACCAGTCGCAAGCAGACTGATCGAGTTGCCAGACAGGCCCAATCCTTGAAAAATGGTCGGTGCGTAGTACAGAATCGCGTTGATACCAGTCCACTGCTGGAAGAACATTGTGAGCGTAGAGATGGCCACACGCCTGAACATGCCTCTCGTGGTGAACAAACTGCCAATAGCGACGAACTGCAGCTTGAAGATTGAAAAAGCGCTCATATCCTGGAGATGAGGGAATCGCTCTGCGAGCGACTTCTTCTCAAACAGACTCTGAGCGCGAATCTCCGCGTATTCGAGTTCGATGAGTTCGTGGTCCTGGTTCAAACCACGGAGGCGTGCGAGAACGCGGCGAGCCTCATCCTCCTTGCCGTGGTGAACGAGCCAACGAGGAGAGAAGGGCATAAAGATCATACCGACGCCAAGAAGGACGGCAGGAGCAAGTTGGAGAGCGAGGGGAAGAAGCCATGCAGCCTCCTTTTGGCCCCTGCCAGTGCCACCAATGTAGTTGGTACCATAGTCGATCCAGAAACTGATCATGATACCAAGCGTAATGCTCAACTGCTGGAGACCGACAAGAGCGCCACGAACTTCAGGAGGCGCAATCTCGGCATTGTACATGGGTACAATCATCGAGAGCGAACCGACACCCATACCCGTTACGAAACGACCACCGAGAATAGCGTTGTGGCCCTGGCCTGCGGAAGCGGTGCATTGAACGACGACACCGATGATGAAAATGGCAACGTTGACGAGAATAGCGTATTTACGGGAGAGAATCTCAGCGAGGAAACCAGAGTACATTGTTCCCAACCAAGCACCGAGTTCGAGAATGGATACGAGCCAACCTTGCTTGGAGGAGTTCCACGTAAGAGTCTCTTGGTCCTCGATGTAGTTGCCCATGTCTGATCGTTTGTCAGTAATACTCTTGCGATTGTAGTAGTGAGATACTACTTACGCTGCTTGAATGAATTCATGGTGAGTACACCAGAGAAGACACCCTGATTGTAACCATAGAGGAGACCTCCCAAACAAGCGAAACATGCGATACCAAAGACTCTAGCATTCTTGATCAAGGCCATGGGTCCCGAGGCACCAGCAAGTGCTTTGCGGCGAGCCAAAGCGGCCACCTCAAAGTCCCCAGCACCACCGCCGACAGGAGCCATGATGACAGTTCAGGTACGTTGGTAGTTGGAAAGATCCAAGTAAAAGATTGTCGAAAAAAATGACAGGCGAGGCACAGAAGTGCAGGGTCAAGTCAAAGCAGCTTTTTTTCGTAACAAGCCCTTGACCGTTGGAAATCCCAATACCAAGGAAAACATGGGGCAAGGAGGTCCTACATATGCATTTCCAGATCGCTTGTACGGCACCCCAGGTCAGCATACCACCATCTCGGGTAACAGGGACTGCATGCTGAGTGGTCGTGGGTGCGAAGCTTTCTCGTGGCGGGTAAATTGGCGGTTAAGCTCAGTGGCACCGACGCTTATTTTGGCGTTGCGGCAGCGATTCAAGCATCGGTGGCTGTCATGGCATTGGCGCGCCATTGCTTGTAAGGTGCGGGAAGGAAGTAAGCTAGAAGCCACTGACGGCCGGGCGCACTATTGATCAGACGCGTGGAGGGATAAGGCGACGCGGGGAGGGTTGGTTGGGGCGCACCGATGATGAGCAATCACGGCTGATTCGACGAGTTTGTGAGGTCGTTACGTCTAGGAGCTGGCACGAGACTGACCGGCCTTTTGAAGCTGACATGACGGGCTTGGGGAGACTTGTTGGACATGACGATGGTACATATCCTGATATCTGGTAGAGTAACAAGCTTTATCGTCAAGCTGGTGCATCGAGAGGCATACGAAGTGGCCGTTGCGCGTCGTATAGATTAACAACGTGCATTTGCCGGTCCGCGGACATCCATGCTGCCAGGCCCCGCCTCCTCGAACTGGTACACTCCAGAGTGTGGAGACTCCACAGCGGGATATTAGCGCGTCTTTTGCATTCTGCCTAAATGCCTCACGCCCTCGGCGTTCACATGGTGCGAAGGCCTGCGGCGCTGCGGTAAAGTCGGAGCTTTTGACGCTGTTGTAGTCACGGGGCTGGTGGACAGTTCCGTTCCGACCTTATTTCCGTCGCGATTTGTCGTTTGCACGTTGAGCAGATGATGGATGGGCGACCGTGGAGTTAGCCGCGCGGAGATGAACGTTGGAATTTGGGCACGTCAGGCCCACCTGGGGGAGATTGCAGCCAATCAGGACGATGTAAGCACGACGTCACGAGCTCGCTGATCTTACCGATGTTGGACCAGCCTGGACCCATGGCATAGCGTCTCTCCTTACACCAACATTCCATCAACGAACGCCTCAAACGAGTTCAGAGGCATATCTTTATCTAGAATCTTTGGGCGGAAGTGAACTATGTTGCACAAACGGAGGGTGGATTGCGACACGCCGCGATTCTACCTCATGCACATTCAGGCCGGTTACATAGCGATGTCCTTGCGAGTACCTACTAATTTCTGATCACACCAATTCAACAGGCGAGGCTCATCTCACGCACTTTGCAATGTCCTAAAAGTCGCCTAATAGCCTGCAGATTCACGTTCTACCTTCTAAACAGATTTCGTAAGACTCAAATTCTCAGGACAACGTTAAAGCAGGGTGATGAACACGATTAGCTCTTGACTTTTAGCAGCCTACGGCAAGCTAAAAAAGTTCATTCTTACCAGATTACTGGAGATACCCCTCTAGCGAATCCTTAACGATATGTGATGGGTTTGAGACAACATTAGGTAGTGCTGCTCTTCATGGCCAGCCACCATTGGTCGGTTTAGAGAAGGTGGGGTCAAGCGTGCCGAGCCTCCTACCCAGAACCACAAGAGGCGAACAATGGACTCAAGTACGTTGCTGTCACCATGATAGGGCCTGCACAAGACTACAAGACCTAGCGAGGCGTGGTAAATGCGGCGCAGTACTGATGAACTGTGCCAATGCGGCTCAGCACTCCTTGAGGTCTGCTACGGCGTCGTTCAGCATCTCCCACCTCATCTCTTTTCCATCACAGCGTTAGGGGCCATTTGCCTTCTCCAGCTCGCCTACTATCGCACAGCAGCTCAAGTATCACCGCACGCTGCATCTGCAGATTTGTGACGTTGAGTCACCTCGCTAGGGGCGCGGCATCGTCTGCAGGCGCCCCCAAATCTCATCAAACGACCAACCTCGCCGTACGTAGACATAGACTGAAATTTCAGCCCACGCATAAGGAGGCGGCGAAGTTCTTGCCGTATTCTTGAGCGTCAATCTCGATCAGCTTTTGCGACCCATTTTGACACCGTCGTTTGTTTCGAATCGGCGCATACACATCGATCCCATATGAATCCAAGAGGTGACGAGGGTTTTCGTGTCAGGTTCTTTGCCATATTGGAGACGGTGAAAACATTCCGTCAACAGATCTGGTAGTCTAACTCCATCGGAAGCCGACATCCTGACGTAACGCCTTCGTTCGCCCCGTATATCTGGCTCATAGCTGTCACCCGACGGCGCTGGCGATGGTTTCTGAGTGAGACTCGTACCACGTCTAACGCAAAGGTCATCACAATCACTAACGCAAGCTTGTTGATCATACTGATGAGGTGGAAGTGTCTGGTAAGCATGCATTCACTTGAAAGTTATAAGTACTGTGTGAAGCAATTCATCAATTGTCATCTTGGTCCACATCAGTGTCTCACAATTGAATCCACGACAACATTAAGGATAATCGCAGACCTTCCACGAGATGGAGCTCTTTCGTCTGCTCCTTTACGTACTAATTCTTGGCAGTGTTCACGCTTCCTTGCCTTACCATCTTTCCGATACGGGTCAGTCGACGATGGCTTTAAAACTGAACCAATGACTAATTCTCACCCAGATGACGACCCGTTAGTACCTAGGGACGTTTCACCAGCCGATTCGTATCTCTTGAATATAAGTGTCAGTCCTTCTTGGATACTATCTTCCGCGCCGGCAACCGTCTATCCGACTACATCGACTCCCAAGGTGAACTCATCCCGTGGTACGGCGTCAGTATCGGCAACGTCTATCGTTACTTCATTGACACCGGTCTCTTCTGAATTGCCTTCCACCTTTAGTGCGTCGCCATCCAACGGATCGAGCCAAGCCTTTGCCAGCAGCATCTACCTGACTTCAACAATCAAGCTCTCTATCGTAACTTCTCCAAGCGGAGTAACCCCGGGATCAGCGTCGACGCTATCAGTCTCATCCCCTGGAAGTTCGAATAGTTCTCAAAATTTGCCCTCGTCAATCTCAACCATTTCTTCAACATCATCTAGCTCCATTCATAGTACACCCGATACCCCTGTTTCGGTAAGCCAAAGTCTTGTGACAACTACTGTCACTGCGTCGGACGGTGCGCCAAGTACTGTGATTATCACAGCCACACAGTCACAAGATACTAGCAGTGGGGGGATCATGTCTTCGGGCCAGCCCTCACAAGCTTCTACAGCTCCTGCAGCAATCCCGACTGCACCCAGTCTCGAAGCCGTGATTGGTGGCGTAGGTTATCAGCTGCCTTCTTCCGACCAAGATGCAATCGACGTAATGTTACATGACGGCTCCATCGCTCAGCTTCTCGCAAACAAGATCATTGTCGGAGGTCAGACTGTAACCGTCCCATCGGACCTGACCAGCGAAACAGCCCTTTCGGATGATATTACCGCGAAGCCTGGGGAAGCTACAGAACCGGAAGAAGGCGACGACGACGATGACAATGGTGGTGGTGGAGGTGGAGGTCTTTTCGGGGCGCTTGGCGGTATCGCAAAGGGTGCCACATCTGCCATTGGAGGCGCCATTGACGGAGTTAGTTCTGTTACTACAGGTGCCCTTGGCTTTGCTGGAGGGACAGTCGGTGCAGCAGCTGGCCTTTCTGAACCACTATCCGGTGCCGTTGGCAACATGGGAAAGTTCGTATCATCGCTTAATGGTATCCAGAAGTCTTTTCCTGGTAGCGAACTCACCAAAAGTGCCCTGGATACATTCACAGGTGCTCAATCACTCGCTAGACAGTCCCTGAACTGGATGAAGTCAACGGCGAATCTAGCTCAGGACTTCCCTAACCTACCAGCCGACGTTCAGTCGAAGCTCAAGTCAACGGCAGCGGACTTCGTCAAAAACGATGGTCCTTTGGCTCAGTGCAAGGCGGCTATGGAAGCTTTCCGGGACTTTCCTTGGGAGGAACCCGAGGTACCAAGCCAGGCAGTGGACCCAGATACAACAGAGAAAGCCACGAACACAGCCTCGCTACAAAGTACTCAGGGCATTTCGACTGCGCAGACTACGTCGATGAAGTCATCCACTGTCATATCATCCACAGCGATGAGCGCAAGTTCTACAGTCACTTCAAGCCAGACGTCCTCTTCTATTAGTAAAACACCCACACCGACCCCAGACACTACGAAGAGGTACGGGATCATCAGCGAGTACGGGACATCGTGGGACACATTCAAGCAGTTCATTACTGAACTCGATGGGGGAAATGGATACATTGCCAAGTTGGAAGCCACCCGGCATCAGATTTACATCGCCCAGTTGAATGCCTCGCAGGTGTCCGAGATAAAAGAGCGATACGACTTCATCGGCAGCGTTCTTCCGTACGAATTCGATGAAACTATAGACCACAGCATTGATGAGTTTCGAGCGATTGGCCAAAGTCGCTCTTTACACACTGATCTAGGTAAACCTCCGGCACCGAAGAGCTTTATGGGTTGGTCTGCAACCTCTTTAGATCCAATTCCTCACTTGATACCACGAGCGTTGCTACCATCAAATCCTGATGCACCTTGGTGGAAAAAGATGCTTTCCGCCCCGCCGCGGGATATCGATGTAGCAGACTCCGGACCTCAGTTCGATCCACCTTATCTGGCGGATGCTTCTCTGGGGAAAGGAGTCACCATCTATGTTCTGGACGATGGCTTTGACACAGATAATGTTGTATGTTTGTTTTCGTATTGATCATCCACCTTGAAGCACGGGAGCTGACTTGGATAGGATTTACAAGCTGGCACACGTTCCGTCAGTACAATCGTAACCCCTAACGAATTGACGTCTTTCCCGGTTATACCGTATGATCCAGCATACCCTGACAGAACTATGCCTAAACGAATTCAAGGTGGCGACCATGGAACGATGTAAGTGTCATAGTACATGAACGTGAACGCGACAAGGCTGACAAAGAGAAAAGGATGGCTACAATAGCTGCTGGAGTCGAACGAGGAATCTCGCCCAAATCAGATCTATGCTTAGTGAAGACCAAGAACACGATGAGAAGCAAATTCGACCCCAACGTCTCATACACCTTACCCATCACGACGCTGGCTTTGGATTGGTTCATCGATGCGGTGATAAAAGATATAAAGGACAGAACAAGCCAAGATCCAGGAGCAAGGTCTGTTATCAACATGTCATGGGGTAAGTGTTTAGTTATCAGCTTCTGATTGCACCAATCCGCAACTCACCATCCTAACAGGCATACAAGAACCTGGTAAATCAAACGATGAGATTGAACGAATCACGAAGATCTTCGAGAATTTTCTGGATTTCTGTAAGGCGCGGAGTATACCTGTGGTGGTTGCTGCGGGGAACACGCCAGCGGTTAACTTCGTCCATGATAGCTTTCCACAAAGACTCTGGACAGCTGATGATACCATGATTTTAGTCGGGGGTGTGACCGACAGTGGCGCCTTGTACGAAAAAACGGTTGAAGACCCGAACAACCAGATAACCGTGCATGCGCCTGCTAAACCCGTCACCGTTCCAAAATCTGGCGGCATAATCCCACCTGAAGGTGAAAGGGAAGGAACAAGCCACGCTGCTGCGATCACGGTAAGAAGGTATGCACGATTGGATGTATGTCGATGTTAACTTGCACAATAGTCAGGTCTCATTGCATATCTGTATGGTCTACCGAACTGGCAAGAGATTCCGTATGTGCAACAAACCCCCATGAAGACGATATTGAAGGACCATGCATGGCTGAGGAGCAACGCAATCGCCAGCGATGATCGAACAGCAGGGAAAGTTGTGTACAATCTCGCTAGGGGAGACCCTTTCCACGGTTCGCACTCTTGTGTGCAACGTCGTGACAAGTTTGGAAAGCGACAGGACGAAGAGCTTTGTTCCCTCTCATCCATCCTGCCCACATCTACGAGGTCAGTTCCAGGAAACAGACAGATTCCAGTCCCTCTTGGTGTTTTGACTAATACTCTACAGCTCTTCTGGAACGAGCTCCGCCTTTTCTACAAGTGCTACCATGTTTCCCATGACCTCTTCCCTTTCGGCACGTGTCAGCATCTCTTCAGCGACTACCAATTCTCCCTCCACGCCACAGAGCAGTCGGATCAATAGCTCTACCAGGTCTCTCGTCTCGTTGGGTGGAATGGATATTTCGCCAGCTACTTGGTCATCTCAAAGCTCGGAAGTTTTATCAGAGTCCCCTGAGCCGCCGACGTCTCCCACACCCACATCTACCCCAGCGCCTACCGAGACAACGGAACAATCGGCACCACCAGCAACTACATCCGATGGATGGGAAGCAGCTTGCGAAATATGCCATGGCGCCGTACAGGCGTGTTTGGTCGGATGCGGACGTGTTGATCACTTCTGCGCAAAGTCCTGCAAGTGCGACAAAGCTCAGCAAAACCCGGACTGCACTGGATGTGAAGTTCCCTGCAATAACTAGACTGACCAGCGATTGCATGACTATGACTGTAGTTTCCAGGCATTATCGGTGTGAGGCAGCTTAAGTTGCGTCCGAGGAGAGTCGCATGCAGGCGAAGGTCATGATCCCGTTACTTGCTTTGGATTGTTTCAGGTAACTCTCCTCTCGCCTACAGTGGAGTTGTTGAAAGGGTTTTGGTCTTCTTCATCTTTCATTGTCATATCCCCACTGTCTTTACCTTTGGCAAACGTTCTTGTAACATGCATGGAGAGGTTCGTCTTCTGGGAATTCTTTGAACACTGTCGTTATTGAAGAAATACTAATACAAAAAGATAGCATCAAAAAATGGCTTGCTAATTCCATCCCACAACACCTTCCGCTAATGTCAGAGGCTGCTGCGTTGACCCTGTCATAACCGAGACTCTTCTTCCAATGATGCCATTGTCACCAACACCCAAGTGCAGTTTCTCTGATAGATGCATCATCCCTCCAAGCGAACTTCCAATTTCGAAGGAGTATAAAGAGTCTGCTATACTTTGTAGTGGTGGCGCGGAGAGATCGCCGTCGCGACTATTTCACCTCGTTAGTCATCTCCAGCTCCTTCAAAACGCAGTAATAGAACAAAATGATACATACTGTATTACGAGCCAATGGCTATTCTGTTGAATGACATTGTCAAGGCCCTGGCATTCGACACTGGTACCAGATTTGGAGAGCGCGTTGGTAAAAAGTAGGTATATTTCTTGTTCTGAATGCGTTCGTGCTAAGTGAGAGGTTGGACGCATGACTGCTATTGAACCGCCTTGACTGACACGATTTGAGCTACCGTTGCACATGGTAGAGGTGATTTGATGTATAAGAGTGTCTCGTTGATGAACTAGGTGCTATGTGGACAGCACTTTGAGGTCGATGCGAGGGCAATGCTACACAAGACGGGAAAGTGTAAGAATGAGTCGGGGGTGAAATTAGATATGATCGACGATAAGAGCCGGAGAAAGAAAGACTATGTAGTTTTCAGAGTGTTCACACCCTTTCGTATCTTGGTTATTGGGTATTTGAGGGTTGAGAGTGAATGCGTGTCTTTGAGCAAGTTTCAGGAGAGCACCCGATTGGTCAATGCACATGCGCTAAAATCCACCATGGTGCTCTCAAGGTGTTTGTATGTACACCAAGCGACAGCAGTATACAAGGAGTCTATATCATCCGTGTCATTCTTCATTGTTATCCTGTTCTATCTCATAGCTTAGATGGATGCCTTGAGCACGCTGAACGCGTCTGCGCGCGATCCCAGGTAACGCTCCTCCGCAGTCTTCCAGTTGATGACGTTCCAGATGTTCTTGACATAGGCAGCCTTGCCGTTCTGGTATTGGAGATAGTACGCATGCTCCCACTGAAACTCGAATTAGTCACACACGACCATTGCCACGAGGCTAAGAGCGACTTACCATGTCGACACCAAAGATGGGAATCTCGCCCTTACCAACAACAGGATCTTGATCCTTGGTCGTCACGATAGACAGCCTTTGCTCCTTGCCCATGTCGGTTTTGATCAACCAGCCCCATCCACTTCCCTGAATACCCAGCAAAGCGGCGTTGAAGGCTTCCTTGAACTTGTCCTCATCACCCCATGTCGCCTTAATTTGTTTGACGAGCTCTGAAGCAGCAGAGATCTTGGCCTCATTCGAGCTAGCAGGTGCAAGGTTTTGCCAGAAGAGCGAGTGGTTGATGTGACCACCAGCGTTGAATTTGATGCCTTGCTGTATGGAGACCTGAGAGGTGATGTCGGAGGCGGAAACAGCTTCGGCCTGGGTCTTGAGAAGCCCGTTCAGATTGGTGATGTACGTCTGGTGGTGTTTGCTGTGGTGGAGCTCCATGATCTGGGCGGAGATGTGCGGCTCCAACGCCTGTGATTCGTGAGTATGACGTATGCTGAAGCGATTTGATCATCGGATGTTATGCTTACATCGTACGCATATGGAAGCGGAGGAAGAGTGTACTGTGGTGCAGACATAGCGCCGTACTCGAAGGGTTGTTGTTCTGAAGCAAAGACGGTAGGTGTAGAGATGAGAGGAAAGAGAACGAACGACAACGTCGATATGCCCCGCATGATGCCTGCCCCTCAACACAATCGATAGGTATGGAATTCCGAGTACGTTCGTCAGAATGCTTGGTCGTCACCAACAGGGTGCTCTGAATGTATGCCGCCCGATCGGGTTTAGGGCTCTAGAAACTGCCTCAATTGCGCGCGATGCCGCTCAATGTTCCGAGACACCCTCTCCACAAAACGAAACAAGAAAGCCAGTAAAGGAGGAAGTAGTGTCTCTCGAATGGATGGATGTTATGATACTTGCTGCTGTAATGCAGGAGAAGAGAAGTAATGGCTAGCTACAGTCTGCTTTGGAGTGTGCAGCTGCGATGGAATGGCTCAAGATATGGAGTGACAGAAAATGTTAGTGACCGTATCCTTGACGTGCTTTGGACTCGATAACTAATGTTGTGCAGCGTAATGGAGATGCAGTGCTTCGCGAATACGATGTTCAGATGAGATGAGAACCTCAACGTGTTGCTGTTGTCGGACTTCGGGGTATCGAACTGGCCGACACAGGATGAAACACGACTTAACCCGTCCTGGACTAGTCACAAATGTCGCAATCATCATACATCTCGTGCCTAAACACACCTCGTATGTAACATTAACCTCAACGGCTGCATCGATGACTCCGGTCTCTACGTGGATAGTTTCGAAACCACATCTAGACAGCTCTCACAGGCAGCTTATCTCCTCGAGACCTTCACTAAAAGTGTGTAGTCCGTGTAGATCAGGCTGCTTCCGGCATCCCGTTCCCAGATGAACCCGTCCCGATCCAGCAGCTCGAAGTCATACTTCCATAACAATCTCGCCATGATCAGCCTTATGCTTTGTTGCGCCATATGCCTTCCAATACACGCCCTACTACCAATCAAGAAGGGACGACTGGCAGACCTATTGTCACCATCGAACCCGTTCTCCTCCGCACCTTCCAACCATCTCTCTGGTCGAAAGTTAGCAGGATCATTAAAGTACTGTGACGATCTCTGAATTGTGTATATGTCAGCCGAGACAATGGTGCCTGCGGGTATATATGTTCCCGCTATAGTGCAAGAAGGAGCAGTGCGTTGCGCTGTTTTGCCGTTCGCTGGTGGAAGCAAGCGCAAAGTCTCCCTGATGCATGCGTTCAGGAACGGTAATCGTGAAAGTCGTTCGCCCGTGATGTCGGCTTCGCTGGCGAATGTAGAACGTATCTCAGCACATAGTGTGATGTAAGTGTTTGTGTACCGCAGGACATGGTAGAATGTAGATGCTAGCGTCGTAGCTGTAGTCTGATACCCAGCGAGTCTTGCAGCAATCAGTAGACGTCATTGCGGGTAGAGAAAGGGTGATACTTGCGTCAGGCCCATCGCGTTACTAAAGAAGGCATCCGCGTCTAGCGTCAGACCTTGCTTTTCGCTGGCCATGATAGCCGAGATAAAATCTTCTCTACCATCCTGCCTATCGATACAATCGCGTAGTTTCTTGGATGGGACAAGCTTTGATAGCTGAGAAGGAATTGGCATTGCGGAGATAAGGCTTCTGGCTGTCTCAAGCGCAGGGGCTACACCAGGCATGACCAGCATGAAGCTCAAGGCTTCCACTATAGGCATCGATCCTTTGCCTAATCTTTTCAAGGACTCGTATGTTGCTTCGCACAGGGTCAGCTAAATGTAAGCTGTCTGTGGTATCGCACTGCCACTTACGTCGTTTTCCAGCCATCAATGGCTCCCCAAAAGCAAGGTCACCTATAATTTCCCAGAACATTGTCTCTAACTTGTCGGCAAGATCTATCTCGGTACCGCTTTCAGCAATCTCGTCGAAATCGGGCATTGCTCTTTCGATATGTAGTTTCTGAATCGGCTCTTGGCTCGCGAGTGCTTGAGGTGTGAAAGCTTGTTGAATCACTTTATGCAGTCTCTTGTGGAGCGCTGGATCCGGGATAGTGATGAGAGTTGGAGCATTCAAGACAAGATCCGAGAAAAGAGTCAAGAACGTTCCAGCTTTGGAGAAACGACCATCTTCTTGCTTTGCATATATTGTAGTCTCTGCCTCGAATGTCGCGAACGACACTTCGTTCGGTGCGACTCGGACGACAGGCCCTGTCTGTTATCAGCAGAGCTGCTTCTACCATACAAGTCATGGCAGTTCTTACCATATCTCTTATGAAGAGCTTGAAGATCTGAATTGAATTTCATGCGGTAGAGAGCCTTCATGCCCCATATCTTCTAACCATCAGGAAAACAGTACTCAGTTTTGATTCGAAGAACGCACTGGAGAGAACTTTGCTAGGAATGGACCAGGAACATGAGCAAGCGGATGCAGATAACACCCATAGATTATGACCGATGCTACAACAAAGATGGCCTGCGAAGGTAAGTTTGTCAGTACATAGTGATGAGCCAAAGTATAGGAGTGATAGAACATACGATTGCTACTATTGCAACAGCCTCCGGAACGTTTTCCAGCTGCTGTACATAGGAAATTCCTGCCATAGTGGCTTTCGCTGAGTGTGCTTGGAGTTTGGACTTCGATATTTAAAGGATAGATAGTTTATTGTTCCCACATAAAACACGAAAAACTGCAACGCACACCACACGACTCGTCGACCCTCTGACATGCAAATCAAGTAAAGTTCTTGTCGTGGGTGGTTCAATTCCTTCCCTTCTCGTCGTAGACATTGCAGCCGCATTACACTGGCGCAGGACCGTGAAAATCCTCCACGACAAGATTGCTTGCCGATTTTCGCGTGCCGTTATCTGGCAAATGACGCTACAATAGTTGGCTCCTTCCACAAATCGATAGCTTGACACTAGCGTAGGATTTTCTGAAGGCTGGTTACGACGACGCGCAGGCGTCGCAACATGCTCCCGCATCTGGAAAGTCGTTATTGCATGTAGGGTGCCTTAAGATGTACTACGCATCGCTAGTGGGTGGGTCAGATGCATGTAATTTGGACCCTGAACGGCTCGCCCCGCAGGCCAGCCTCTGTCACCGCAGAGTGGCTGATGACTTACCAATGTGGAACTGTGAGAAAAACGTCACAGAATCGATATTTATCATCAAATGACACGAAAACTCGTGGTATGTAGTTTACAGTGGAAGTGTTACTTCGCGCTCAAGAGATTTCATTGGTGGAAAATCATCATGAACTTATAAATAGCGCACGGTACACACGTATCCGTGGTGGACATGGTATATCATAGTAGTACAGCCATTGAAAACGTGCTCGCATTATAGTAGACGAGAAAGTCGAATTAGTAGTGGCGAATGCACGCACTGCAGAAGGAAGCACTTCTTGGGCGGCTAGTCCAGACGGTTGGGGCCTAGCCACTGATACGTGCCGCTTCAGATGATAGCGTGTGCATCATCTGGACTCAAGTGCTACCCTAATTTTGTCGGATACGTACTTATTGTATGGGGATAAGGGTAACGTTGATAAACTGGAAGGAATGACGCGAATAGCCGGTGGCTAGATTCTAAGGCCGTCCATAGGGTTCCCACAGTTATGTCGACGAAAGAAGGACGTCCTCCGACCTACAAAGCTCTTTGCTTGACTCGTAGTCGGAGCTAGATCAGTGCTGTTGTAACCAATTGAATAGAAGTGAAACGAAAATCACGTGCCCTCTGAGTCCAATGACAACATGTACAAATGCTGTTATCAACTTCTTCAAAAGAGAGAAAGTGTGAACATCCAATCAACTCCTATCTTGTGTTGAGATACTCTTTCAAGACGAAATACATCGTAAAATGGGGTCGCTCTCATATCAGTCCGAGCTTGTATCTTTTGATGAATCCCGACGAACAGGGTGTTTCACGACCCTTCCCATTCGTGTCCACTCTCGAAATGATCTAGCTGATGCAGCAAGTCGTCAGTTCGTCAAGGACTGGGCCAGAGAGATGGGAGATGGGCGGGAACGGCACACCTATTTCTCTTTTTCACCAGTGGGGAATTGGTCATCCTTGATTTATCCTGAGGCCATTCCGGAGAGATTGGGTGTCTTAGCATACCTATCTGACTTGGGATTGATTCATGATGGTAATTATGTCATCCTATCGATTTGCTAGCGCTTCTGACAAGAACATAGACGGCGGCGAAGGTCTCAGCATCGAAGATGCGCAAGTTGAGCACGGCAACCTTTATGCTGCCTTGAATCCTGACGATGTCAGTAGCACGACTCCAGATTCAAGAGCTATGAAGACCAAGAAACTTGTTTCGCAGTGCATTCTTGAATGTGTCAGCCTGGACCGCGAATTGGGCCTGAAGATGCTTGCTGCGTTCCGCGACGTCTGGCTCGCGATCAGCGAAAGAAACAGCGACAAGGAAGCCGAAACTATGGAAGAATACCTGAAGTATCGGAGCGAAAACGGCGGAATGCTGTAAGTAACACAATCATCTAATTTCCAAATTTTAGCTCATCTCTGCCCAGGGTATTCTGGCCAATGCTTCAATTCAGCCTTGGGATGTCTATCTCAGAAGCCGAGGAAGCACTTGTACAGCCCATCATTGACGCGGCCACTGAAGGACTTCTCCTAGCGAATGACTATTTTAGCTGGGAACGGGAATATAGGGAACTGCAGTCCGGCCAGTCAAAGAGGATCGTAAGCGCCGTGGACTTGTTCATCAGGACAAAAGGACTCTCAATCAACGACGCAAAAGATGAAGTCAAGCGCAAAATCATCACGGCAGAGCGTAACTTTTGTGAGCGCCGTGACGAGCTCTATAAGGCCTGTCCCGACGTATCCTTGAAACTAAAACGCTGGATCGATTGCGCTGGCTTAGCTGTTTCGGGGAATCACTACTGGTGTTCGGCTTGCCCGAGGCAGAATGCGTGGAAGCACGCTGATACACCTATTTCCAATGGTGTCAAAAGGAAGCTGTCGCATGATGCCGTGGTCATCAAACAGGAAGCTCCGGCGAAGAAAAGGAAAGACTCTCCCATTTTTGACTTGGATTCCAGCGGCAGTGAGTCTGGTTTCTCCGAGGTTTCCAGTTACCCTTTCTATAAGCCTTCAGAATTGGCACTGGAGGCGCCATCAAAGTATGTTTCAAGCATGCCCTCGAAAGGCGTCCGGACCACACTTATCGAATCTCTTAACACATGGCTTCACGTGCCATCTGATCGAGTCAAGGCGATCATGTCCGTGATCAATTCACTGCATAATGCATCTCTCATTCTCGATGACCTCGAGGATAATTCCCCGCTTCGAAGAGGCTATCCATCGACACATATTCTGTTTGGACAGGCTCAGTCGATCAACAGCGCTAATTTCATGTTCGTGCGCGCTGTACAGGACGTCGCACAAAATCTGAGTCCAGCTGCTCTTGCTGCCGTCCTTGAAGAACTCGAGGGCCTGTATCTAGGTCAAAGCTGGGACCTATACTGGAAACACAACCTCGCATGCCCAAGCGAGGCTGAGTACGTCAACATGGTGGATCACAAGACCGGTGGCATGTTTCGCATGCTGATACGACTCATGCAAGCGGAGAGCGAGGTAACACCGCAGTTGAATTTCCACAGATTGACGCTGCTGTTCGGCCGGTTCTTCCAGATTCGGGATGACTACATGAACTTCCAGGATTATACGGCACAAAAAGGTCTATGTGAGGATCTAGACGAAGGAAAATTCTCGTATCCAGTTGTATACTGCATGGAAAATTTTCCGGAGTACCGTGGGCACTTCCTAGGTGTGTTCCGGCAACGCCCTACGATCGCCACCGTGGACGCACATCCTCTGTCGAAAGAGAGCAAGCAACATTTGACGGCTTGCCTGAAGAAAAGCGGAGCATTTGAGAAGACGATTGCTTGCCTAACGGACATGGAACGCGATTTGGAAATAGAAATCGGTCGGCTTGAGCAGCAGACGGGCGAGGCGAACCCTATGCTTCGCTTGTGTCTCGCAAAGCTCAGCGTCAAAGGCATTGCGAGGATTGGTGAAGCAAGCACTAGCAAATGATCGCTCGGGGGCCTTGCTCTCCCGCTAGCCACAGCCGTCTTGTGCCGCTGTGGGTCGCTTAGCCACAAGGACACTAGCTGCTAGCATGGACGGGAGACGAATTCTACGTATTTATCACTTCTTGTTGTAGTTGCGCATTAGCCCATTGGCCTTACGCTATCGTTGAAATTGTTACGTATCTTGTTCATGTACCTAGGTACCCTTGCTCCTACATGAAGGATTGCCGTACGTGCGTCTCGTGGAGTCAAGGATGGGGCACAGATACGTTAGATACGGAACTGAGTAGCTACCCAACGATATTGAACCTTTCATATCGATAGCCGAAGAGTGAGGCTAAGACATATCCTACTTAGCCTCACATGAGTCGGTCTTTACGAGCCGACGGGTGGCCTGATATACAACGAAGTCGAGAACGTCTTATGCCCACCAGAAGCTCAAAGTTTCAAGGTTGTTAGTTTAAATCTTTCGTGTTTCGTTATCAAATATACAGCAATGTGGCAATCAACAACTTTACCTTGGCTGTATGCCATGTACGCTTCTATCGGCAATAGCAAAGGCACAACAGCAGATTACGGTTCTTGCCATGATGCTGTACGTCGAATAAGAATGTCAAGCGAATAGTAGCTATGGTCTGACACATGCAGTGCATTCTCCTCTCTGAAACACTCTCGGTCGAGATTACTGGCATTAATTTGTCTGATGTCGGACATGTTCCCACCGTTGCTAACCAGACCTCCGTGAGATCCCTCTTTTGGGCACAGCAACAGCAGTCTGCTCAGCCATCGTGTCTTGTCCATATCCATTCTGCCGAAGATGTCGCAGCCGTTGTATCAGTCTCACGCACAAGTGGTTGCCCTTTCGCTGTTCGCGGAGGGGGTCACTCAGATATCCAGGGTGCGAGCAATATCGATGGAGGTATCACCGTCAACATGGCGGGTTTGAGCGATGTCGTATTAGACGAAAGCGAAAGACTAGTCAGGGTCGGCGCTGGCGCGATATGGGGAGATGTGTACAAAGAGCTTGAAAAGGTCAACAAGACCGTCGTGGGTGGCCGACTCACTGGAGTTGGTGTTGGTGGATTGCTGCTGGGTGGTGGACTGAGCCACTTCTCAGGCATGCACGGCTGGGCATGTGACAATGTCCGTAACTTCGAGGTAAGTAACTGAATCTAAATAGCGGACACATACTGATAGCACAATAGGTGGTTCTTGCAAATGGCAGCCTCGCGAGTGCTTCCGAATCGTCAAACGCGGACCTCTATCGCGCTATGCGTGGCGGTGGAAATAGCTTTGGCATTGTCACTCGCTTTGATCTTGACGTATTCCCGCAGGGACCAATGTGGGGAGGGTTACATGTTTGGCCATTGCTGCCATCAGTGACTTCAGCTCTCACTCGCGGCTTTGTCAAATTCGCACACGACGCTCCGTCCGACCCACATGTATCACTATTTGCTGGTCTAGGCTACAAGCAAGGCAACTTTGCTTGGGCCGCAGGGCAGTACGATGCGCTAGGAAGGGTTGAACCTCCAATCTTCACCCAGTTCAAAGACAATGTAGAGGCATATGGTACAGCAAAGATCATGAGCACGGCAAGAGTGACTTCGGTGTCAGATCTTGCAGATGAGCTCAATCGATCAGAACCAGCCGGTATGCGGAGCCGGTTCACGACGGCAACCTTTTCCGCCGATGTAGGGCTGTTAGCACTTATGGTGGACATATTCGTTGAGCAAGTACAGACGGCGCTAGACAACGGGTTACAAGATGACCAGGGGTTTGCACCAATGCTGGGAATTCAGCCACTCACGCAGAATATCTTAGAAGCCCAAACGACTCGTGGAGGGAATGTCATGGGCCTTCATGACGACCAAGCGCCTTTAGTCGGTGAGTCCTGCCACACAACCTTCTTCCGATGAAGCTAATCACCATACTTCATAGTCTGTTCTTTTGGATGGGAATGGTCTCGCGAAGCTGATGACACAACTGTCATTGACGGTATCAAAGCTGTGCTTGAGCAATCTGTTTCGGCTGCTAAGGAGAGAAGCTTGTTTCATCCTTTCAAGTACATGAACTATGCCGCGAAAGACCAAGATCCTATCCGAAGCTATGGAAAAGAGAACATTGAGTTCCTGAAGCGGGTTCGAGAAGCATATGATGCTGATGGGGTTTTCACTACATTGATGCCTGGAGGGCACAAGATCAACTAAGGTACCAGGGATCTGCTGTACCAGTCTCCCTTTCAGAACAGGCAGAATTGGAACGTCTACAGGAATACCTTCCCTCAAGATGATGTTCCATCTTGTCTGGAAGACACTAAGTCTTGCTGCGGACCCATAGATTCAATATGGCGTATGTAGGAGAGAATGGAAGAGCTGGAAAAGAAGTAACAAGACCATGCCTGACGCAGTCGTCCACGAAGCCCACACTAAGCGAAGTCAGGACGAAAAAGGTCCACAGGTATCCGACGACACGCCATCGTCGATTTCGCCAGCCAAGCTGTTCTCGAGCGATGGAGATAGCAAGATCTTCTAACAACATAACTATCGGCATGATCGCAAAGAAAGCCAATGTTTTTGTGAAATTCTCGGATCGAATGGCAATTTTTGCGGCTGCCCAATGGTAGACCCCAGAGATGGCAAAAGCGATGTGGTACTGGATCTGACGACTCGCCCATGATCCTTTAGGAGCACATGCTATGTTTCTCGCGACATAGCGGCTCGGGGTCTTCAATGCTCTGCGAAAATTCTGGTGCCATGTACGGTTCCAAAAATTGTTCAGAGTGTAGCACATGGCCCATGCCCCTTTGAGTGGATGTACTTCTTCGATGACATTCCAGAAAAGGCCAGATGTGACACCGAATAGACAGAGGGCATGATACACAATATCCATTGGTGGAATAGTTGACGCCCACCAGCACCCAGTAGCTAAGATCTGCGGAACAAAGTGCAGGTCGAGTATACTGGTTCTTCCGCTGTCCGTCAACCATAGAAGAAGCGCGCCTGCAATGTCATGGATAACGTATTGCTGGAGCATCCTTCGCAGTGATAGGATCAAGAAAGACGACTGCGATGATCCTGCTGGAGGGGCTGGTGGAAGATGCGCGGTACCCCAGCTCCAGCCGATTCCTCGAGTTGAATAGGCATTACTGAAACACCATCGAGCCTTCTGTAGCGAAGAAAGCGAGTGGTATTCTGGATTGATCTTCTCTCCATTGATCTTCTTTCGGATGCGTATATGCTCCACGTACGGATCTTCTAGGACGAGCAAGTTGAAGTTCGTCAAGCTGACGTAAAGAACTACACAGTGATATTATTAGTGATTGGGACTGACAGGGATTGATCATGTCTTCTAACCTGTACCAAATGTGTAGTCCTTCGCTACATCAGTTCCGGCAGGAACAAGGGAAACGATGGCAAAACAAAAAATCAGAAACGGAAGCAATAGGAGCCATCGGAACTGCCGCTGTATGCGAGAGCCGAATAATAGGAGGAATGGAGTCGAGAGCCAGATAAGACCCACAAAATCTGCGCGTTCTAGAGTCATTGGCCGGAATATAGTATTAAACGAGTTATTGTAGGAAAGGCAATGTTGAGTTGAAGTCTGGCTCGAATGAGTGCTTCTGTTGATCACAACATACCCACTTATGTACTGGGTATGAACACTACAGACCTTCCCATCAGCGTTAGGCCAGTGAGCTTGTTACGTTCTACTCAGCCCGCTTGTGTGGGACCGAAGCACGCAAATACTCTTTGCATTAGCGTGTCAGTAGTTCCCTGGCCCCTGCATCCACCTGGGTAGCCTTACATGCAGCATGCATTGCATTGCTGCAGCAGTGAATCCTTCTCGGACGCAGACACTACGGAGGAAGCTGTGTCAACGACCTAGCGAGCTGCAATCTTATCAAAGCAATTTATTTCAACTGTGGACTTCTCTTCTATCCCCGTTTTGCTTCTCCGCACCTGACATCCCAAAAACTTGCAGATATGACCCTTTTGAGTTCTATACTCACGAACATGGACATACCAATAACTCTGGTGTCTTTGTTTGTGGTTTCCGTCCTGTATCTCTGCTATGTTACCGTGTATCGTCTTTTCTTGAGCCCAATCTCGGACTTTCCCGGGCCGAAACTCGCGGCATGGACTTATTGGTACGAATTTTGGTACGATGTCGTTGCCGAACCCGAGTATACGTTCAAGATAGGTCGACTCCACAAGAAATATGGTACGTGTTCGCTCTGGCCTGAACCTGACGTATCGAATTGACTGGTGTGAAGGTCCTATTGTCCGCATCAACCCGGACGAGATACATATTGCAGATCCTGACTTCTACGACACGGTTTATGCTGGTAGTGGACGCAAGCGTGACAAGTGGGACTGGATAACCCGGTCCTTTGGCGTTGATGAGAGCCTGATCGGCACACTCAAGCACGATGAGCACCGCGTACGCAGGGCTTCTCTTTCCCCATATTTCTCCAAGCAAAGTGTGCGAGCACTGCAACCGCTGGTCGACCGAAACATGAGCATCTTGCTAGAGCGTCTACGCCAATTTGCCGATTCTGGTTTACCCCTTAAGCTGGATGATGCTTACGCAGCACTAACCAATGGTGGGGCATCTTATTAATTTTGAGAGATCGTTCGCTGATTTGGATCTTCTGGTGCAGATATCGTCGAGGACTATGCCTTTGGGAGAAGCGAGCATCGTCTAGAGGCCCCAGACTTTGATCCATCATTCCGGGATGCAATGCTGCAGGGCGGGAAAGCTGGACATGTTTTGAAGCACTTCACATGGCTGATGGACTTGCTGAGGAAGCTTCCCGACTCAATGCTGCTCAAGCTGAGTCCAGCAATGGGCGCGTACTCTCAGCTTCAGACTAGCGTAAAGCGTCAGGTCGCCGAAATCCAGCACGCACACCAGACGCACTCCTACGACAAGACACGCCGCACCATCTTTCATGAGATTCTCAATAGTAAGCTTTCCGACTACGACAAGTCGACAGATCGTCTCTGGCAAGAGGGTGAGGTCGTTGTCGCGGCAGGAACCATTACCACTGCCTGGGCGCTGGGCGTTTCAACGTACTTTGTGCTCGCCACTCCAGAAATTCTGCGCAAGCTCAAGGCCGAGCTGGAAGCTGCCATTCCCGATCCTTCGCAGCCGCTTAACCTTATCGCACTTGAATCCTTGCCCTTCCTTACTGGTGTGGTTCAAGAAGGCGTACGTCTAAGCCACGCCATCTCGCATCGCTTGCATCGCATCTGCCCGGACGAGACTCTCGTTTACCACGACGCTGGAAACCAGCGCGAATGGCACATCCCGCCTGGCACACCTCTTAGTATGACTAGTAACCTGGTCCACCACGACGAGCGCGTCTTTCCAAATTCGCACGACTTCCAGCCCGAACGCTGGCTTGATAACCCCCGCCTCGATCGCTATCTAGTATCATTCGGCAAAGGTGGAAGAGCTTGTCTCGGCATCAATCTTGCCTATGCAGAGCTGTATCTCACGCTGGCTGCGCTGTTCAGGGTGTATGGTACAGATGAGGTCGAGGGCAAGGACGACGTTGGGAAATTGCAGTTGTTCGAGACCAGTGCTGCTGACCTTGTGATTACAAGTGACACTATTGTCCCTGTTATGCCTGAAGACTCCAAGGGATTGAGAGTAAAAGTATATTAGAATGTGAACTCGCGGTACTAGTCTGAAGCACGATGTATCGACCTTTGAGATTACTACCAGTCTTGCTTCGTGCACTGCACTTGATTCAAGATGACTTTTGCATAATGACACGGTTTGAGCATCATCAGCGTGGATGGTGGTTTTGGCTTATGCAGCCCTTCCAAGCTTACCCTGGAATGCAGGTAGCGAAGACGATGACCCAACTTCAGGCAACGTAAAGCTCGATCACTTCCCACAAGATTAAATCGACCATGTGAACATATATGTCGGACTTATGCGACGGCATTACTCTTCCCGTCTGCTTAAGTAGCTTCGTTAGCAACAAACCCCCACTCTCGCCTTGCAGCCAGGTCAAGAGTGGGGAAAAGGCCCGTCTTTGTCGATATCTATAACCATTGGCCAGCACATACTCAAAGCCACTTCCCCGCAACATAGCGTTGCGCCAGCCTCTTATTTCCTCTTATGTGGTCTACAATCGTCCGTGGCTCTACACGTTGGAAATGGGATGTCCCTTGTCGACCCCAGATTATGGATCCACATCTACAGATAGTGAAGATAGCATTCGTCTGGTCCAGATAGGGTATCGATCCGGAAGTTCCTAGGTCAATTCAGCTGCCCCACTCTCGGGATAGCCATGACAGATTGGGTAGTATAGGGCTGGAAGCGTATGGCCATTATAAGACAGCAGACACAAAATGCAGCCTGCTACCGATTGAACCGACAGCTACAGCTGTCGAGACTTTTTCATAGTGTCGCAATTCCTCTTACCATCAAAGACAATGACCGACGAAAGAAAGTCCCTTGAGAAGGGCGATGCATCGTCCACAATCCACGCAATCGAGCCTGAACTCGGCATCAGCGAGCCCGTCAATGCTCTCCAAAGATTTGCAAACAAGCTAGATGCCGTCTGTGGTGTCGAAGCCCGCGGTATCGAGCGGATACCAGAAGAATTGCGCGAACGAGCCATGACATATCGCGACTACATCCATATGTTTACCATGTAAGCTTATCACAATGAACGCTCCACGCCATCACAGCGACTGATTGTGTACTTAGCTGGTTTTCCATGAACTGCACTGCGAATCAACTCACTTTGGGTGTCCTCGGGCCCGTGAGTTACAATCTAGGTCTCACCGATTCGCTCATGTACGTCCAGCCAGCCGTTTGGGTCTCCTCTTGTAACATGAATGCAAACATACAGCTAATACGACCAAAGCCTCTGTCTCTTCGGCACAATCTTCGGATCTGTATGCACTGGCTACATATCCACATTTGGGCCCCGCTCCGGTCTACGCACCTTGAACGTAGCCAAGTACACAATGGGCTGGTGGCCATCAAAACTCTGCGTTATACTCAATCTATGTATCGAGATTGGATACGGACTCATCGATTGCTTGGTGGGCGGCCTGCTCTTATCTGCGGTGAACGGCGGAGGCATGTCTGTCATCGTTGGTATCGTCATCGTTGCGCTCATAACCTGGGTCGTGGTTACTTTTGGCATAAAGTGGTTCTACAAGTTTGAGCAGTACGTTCACTCGTTTCACTTTCTTCTCACAAGCAATAAGGAGGGGGTTTGCTGACAACGCAACAAGATTTGTTTGGGCGCCCACCGTTCTCGTCCTCTTCATCCTCATCGGCGTCGCGGGTCCACATTTCGACACCACCCTCGCCTCGTCCGGATCCGGCGCCGTCCTCCACGGAAACCGGCTCTCGTACTTCTTCCTAGTCGCGTCTGGTCCCTTGAGTTGGTCATCCGCATCCGCTGACTACGTCGTCTACTACCCCAAGACAACAAACCGGTGGTTCACATTCGCTGCCACAACCTGCGGTATCACGTGTGGGAAGCTGCTCATCGAGTTCCTGGGTATAGGTCTCGGCTCTGGATTGTTGAAGAATCCTTCGTGGCAGGAAGCTTTCGACTCTGATGGCATCGGTGCGCTTGTCGTAGAGGCATACCGTCCGCTAAATGGTTTCGGCAGTTTCTGCTGCGTGATTCTAGCTGTGTGCATTGCTGCGAACAATATCCCGGGTACGTACGCTGCAGCACTCAACTGGCAACAACTTGGTGCGCCATTTGCGAAGATTCCCAGGCCTATCTGGAGTACTTTCTCCTGCATAATCTTCACCATCATCGCCATTGCAGGCCGCGACTCACTCTTCGATATCTTCATCAACTGGCTGAGTTTGATTGGGTACTGGACCATTATCTGGATCACCATGACGGTTCAAGATGAATACATCTTTCGCAAAGGCGTCTTCGACTGGGAGATTTGGAACCGCAAAGATCTGTTGCCACACGGGTTTGCGGCCTTGTTTGCCATGATAGTGGGATGGGTAGGCGCTGTGTTGTGTATGTATCAGACTTACTTCACAGGCCCTATTGCGGCGCTAGTTGGGAACGGAGCAGATTTGGGGCTTCCCGTAGCTATGGGACTGACCATTGTGTGCTATCCGCCGGCTAGGTGGCTGGAGCTGAGGTATGTTGGGCGATAGATTAGTTTTAGGGGCGTGCACACCTGCGCCGTTAAGAAAGCGAGAACTAAAGCTTGAGCAACCGCGAGAAGCGAGTCTGAAGCTCTGCGTCGCGTGAACAAAATGATCTTTCGAAGCCTTTGGACATAGCTTACATCCAGACATCCATGGTGTAATAAGACACGAAGTTGACTGAAACCTCACAAAGTCTTCTCGTCTCGGCATGACAGCTTATCGATAAGTGTGATGACGATGTCGTCATCGTCATGTCCTCTCCCTTACCCGTATACTCATCCATATTCCAAGCCCAAAACTCCTTACGAGGCCGCAATGACACCACGGTGAGATATCGACGCACCATATCGTGCCGGGACGTAGTTTCCGACAATGTGGTTAGAGTTATTCTCCCCGCTCTTGGCAAACGTGGGGCTTCGCAGCTTAGCTTCGCGCATCTTTCGACGATAACGCAGGAACGATAAACAACTTCATCGCTACTCGCAGCTTCAGCTCAACACCTTCCTCATACAAACTGGACGCCAAGAGAGTGATATGCACGATGTCGTGATGTCAGACGCGACATGACGGCTCGTAACCGGCGAGATGGTAGATTAATGGCCGCGGATGTAAGCGGAGGAGTTGAGCGACGGTGAGTGGGATTGTAGGACGGGATATAAGATCTGATGCCAGATCGGAGATATCAGCGCACCAGGTCTGTTGACTCTTGATCTTCCAGGCACCATGCGCTTCTCTAACATCGCGGTCGCTACCCTGGGTGCTATCGCGAGTGCGGCACCGACAGCTTCACAGTTCCAACCACGTCAAGCAACGACTGCCAGTGAGCGACTTGGTCTGACATGGCTTGGCGGTAACAGTAGTTTGCCCAAAGTTCTGTAAGTATTGCGGACGAACGTGGCCTACACACCTAACACATTCTAGTGTCCTATTTACCGGAGGCACCATTGCAGGAGGCTCAATATACGGTGCTCTGGACGACACACAATACGGCCAGCTCAGTCAAACAGGAGAGGACATAATTGCCCGCAATCCCTACCTTCTCAACAACACCCAGCTGGCCGTCTCCAACTGGACCACAGAAGACGACGGCTCGACCGGAACAAATGACGCTCTAGTCATGAACATGACGCGTTTCGCCCACGATGCACTCTGTTCAGAAGACAGCGACATTGTCGGTGCAGTATACACCCACGGCACCAACTCTCTCGAAGAAACAGCCTTCCTCATGGACTCGCTCGTAAACTGCGGAAAGCCCATTGTCGGAACCGGAAGTATGCGTCCATTCACCCATCTCTCCTGGGACGGAGAAGCCAACTTCTTCGACGCTGTGATGTTAGCTGCAAGCCCTGAGTCTCAGAACCGAGGTTTGATGGTGGCTTTCAATGCGCGCATCATACCGGGATACTGGGTCACGAAGCTGCATTCGACGAACCCGGATGCTTTTGGTCCTACGTCTGGTGGGGATCTGGGCATGTTTATCAACAGTCTGCCCATCTTCTTCAATACGCCGAGCCAGCCGTTGTACAAGTACTACTTCGATATCGGCACCGTGTCTTCTCATCCTACGTACCCTGCGCTTCCAAAGGTCGACATCCTCTACGCAGCCCGCGAGTTCGATGGCAAATTAGTGTTGGACGCGCAAGCCAATGGCGCTGAAGGTGTTGTTATTGCGGGTACTGGTAACGGCGGCGTGCCAAGTGGCCAGGAAGAGATTACTGAAGCGTTGGACAGCGGGCTTCAGATCGTTGTGGGAACTCGCAGTCCGCATGGACCGTCTAGTCCGGCTCGGACACCTACGTTCGCGAAGTCAGGATTTGTGCATCCTATTCAAGCGAGGATCATGCTCCAGCTGGCTATTGCGAGCGGAATGAATATGAATCAGACGATTGATGTGTTTGAGGGTGGTTTCAGAAAGGCTATTGGACAGCCTTGGGATCCAAGCAGCTAAAGATGAGATATGTAACTAATGGCCCACACTCATGAAGATAGAACTCTAAATACCGATTCATATTAATGTCTCTTTTAAAACTCCGGATACCTTGACAAAACCCTCTTGTCTCGATGTACGATGTTCACCTCTCGCTCTAGCAATTCCCGTCATCTTAAGCTGGTCGATCCTGTTCCCACCACCTCTCTCCATTTGCGCCTTTTACATCCGAACCGGGATGTACGTGGTAAAGGTTGTACTCATTTCCGATATCACTCAGCCCATCTCCCGCCTCATTGATCAACATGCCCGGACCTGGTCGAGCCATGAAGTAGCAGTACCGATGGATGTCCTGTGAGTTGTCCATCCAAGGCATCACATCGTCTAGAAATAATTTGACTTCATCGTCAGTGCCATCAGCGCGGAATTCGGTTATCCAAATAGGAAGGCCGTTGGCGAATTTGCGGGCGTCATTGATGTGGTCTTTGAAGTTTTGGGCGTCGCGGGCCCGTCCGTACCTGGGAATCTGATCGTCAGCCTCATGATACGGTATCCGGTGAGTTGTTAAGATACGTTGAGCGTAGCGTGTAATGACGAGGGGGCTTACCAGTGGAGGTTGATGAAATCGACGGTACATCCGTCGCACGTCTCCAAGAACTTCTCGAGCCAGCCGAGCCCCTGGGTGTCGGATGGCGCGGCGTTTGTGACGCCTGGTGAGCCGAGGTAGATTTTGCTGTTGAAGGTTGAGAGGGGTTGCATGTGTTTCTTCCAGCCGGCGACGGCGGTGGGAACGTCGATACAGGAGCCGCCTGCATCAGGACTGATCAATCATTAGTATCACGACCACCGCCAGTGTACCACAACTTTCACTAATATAAGGAAGTTCGTTTACTCACATGCAGTTATCTGGTTCATTAAATCCCAGAAACCACGTCGCCATCTCTTGTTGTCCCCAGTTCAACCTCGCCTGTGCCTCCGCGTTGTCTTTCCACTTGCTTGTATGATCGTCCCTCAGACTGTGCAGCATGGGTACATATCGGAACCACGCATCAGAAGGCAGGCTCGAGGAATCCCAGTTGTAGCGCCAGGTTACGTGGTCGTGGTGGTCATACTGGAAGTACTTGGCGTATTTGACATCGTTGTAGGCGATGCCGCGACGTTCGTGGGCGGGCTTCTGGTCGAGCGGATCATGCTTTGTGCTGGATCCTGTGGAAGTGGCGTTGGGATTATCTAGGAGGGGGTTGGCGATGGCGAGGGCTGAGAGGAGGAGGAAGAGTGGAAAGAGTAGGGAACGATTCATGGTGATCTGAAGTCTTGCTGGTGGGAGGGAACTGAGGAGAGTGGTTAGAGATGTAGAGTAAACGGTCGTGGAAGAAGATGTGAAGTTGGATTTGACGTAGTGAGTGAGCGGATCCGGTCAAGGGGCTGCTAAGAGAAGAGGGTGTAGTGAGAGTAGAAACGTGATCAATTACCGCGTGCATCTAGTGTTGATTAGTACTTGATACAAGTGAGCGTTGTGCAAACGCTTGGATTAGTTGCTAGATCGTACCCCAGGTGAGGACTCGAAATGACCGCTTCCAGTTGAGCAATTCAGGCTCAAAGATAGAGAGTGAATACGGGTAGCGATCAGTAGACCGTCAAAAGGCGAGACAGAGTACCAAAGATAAGATGAGGCGTTTGTCGTGAATTGCGAAACGACCATGTAGATTGCATCCACAAACAAAACTCTTCTTAGATTTCTTGACTGACTTTGATAAACACTCTCACTGTAGGCGGTTAGTGAGGAAGCCATTCACTTCAAACGTCAAAAAAACCGCACATGCAATTTCATTACGTCGTTCAAAACTTCCAAGCATTGGTATACACATAAGTATTTAATACACGGCTCCTGTGCGGCCCCTACATCTTGCCGCCAGTGAGCTCTTCGGCCACCTTCTTGACGCGCTCCTTGGCAAGGCCAACCCCTTCGCCTCCCCTGAGCTTGTTGAGCATGTCGCCCACACCCTCGGGTAGGGGTCCATGCCACGGGCTGAGACCCTCTTTGCCCTCGGCGCGTGGGCCCATGACGCCCTTGTGATCCCAGCCTACGGGCGCATCTTCGGTACCAAAAGCCGCCTCTATGGCCTCGTCCAGTTGCTGCTCGTCTACGATGAACTCGCGCGCGTTGGTGTATAGATCGTGGAGGCGAGATGCGCGGACTTGTTGTATCTTGGCTACTCGGCGTTCATAGGCTTTTTTGCGGGCTTGGGTGATGTCTGGCCGGGGAGGAAGGCTGTCGGTGAGGAAGTCGCGAATGCCCTTGGCAACGGATGTCTCGGTCAAGATGTCGACTTCGCGACGCGGGGCCGTGGCCAGCTCCCGCCTCTTCGCGCCAATGGCCTGGATCTTGGCCAGGTACTGTGCTTCTGATGTGACCTTGCGCTCGTGCAGCTCCTTGACACCCTCCTTCAAGTTCTCTCTCCTCTTTTCCGCCAGTCGCTGCTTGTATAACCGGTAGTCGGCATCCCGGCTGTATGGTCCAGGAACCTTGACTTCCTTGGGTTCCTTTGTGCTCCTGCCGATGAAGATGTCCGACTCCTTTGGATGCTTGTTCCTCGTCTTGAAGATGTCTCGGGGAATAGGCAGATGGCCCTTTACCGTGGGCTTGGCCGGGTACGTGGGCTGCAGCGGCTTCGGAACCTCGATGTAGTTTGGGGATTGCGGACCGAGGGCGAGGGCTGTGGGCGTGGAGGAGAAGGACCGCACACATAGACTGCTACTCCAGCCATTGGCGACAGGTATCCTTGGCGGCATTGCAGCGGTGTTGCCTCTTGCACTGGGATGCGGAGGTGCTGCGGTGGTGTCGTCGCGCGTGCTTCGAAATTGTCGGTGCCAAGGCCCTTGTGTCCCACTCACTAGCGTGCCCCAGCCGCGGCTAGCGTGATCTTACTGGAAAAAAGTCTGGCTCGCCAACTTGTACCCTTCACTCTTCCACCAACTCGACAAACTCCAGGAAGCAGTCGCAATGGGTGTCCAGAAGAAAGAAAAGGTCCGCAAGGAGCGCGAGGGCAAGACGGGCGATGGCATGGGCAATGTCAAAGTCAAGGGCACCAACTTCTACCGGTATGTTCTTGCGCCTTCCTTTCTTTCTTTGCGCCAGCAAACTTCTTCCCAGCACACTTCCACTAACAGCTTCCTAGCGATGCGAAGAAGGTCAAGGTCCTCAAGCGCCTCACAGATGGCAAAGCTCAGCGCAACGCCAAGGGAGACATCACCAAGGCTGCTGTCTACCAGAACCGCGATGCGCCTGTCGCCCGTGTCGAGCCCAACAGGAAGTGGTTCAACAACACGCGAGTAATATCGCAAGATGCACTGGACAGCTTCCGCTCGGCCGTACAGGCGCAAGCCTCCGACCCTACCACCTTCTTAATGAAGCGCAACAAGCTCCCCATGAGCTTGATCGAGACACCAGGCCAGATCCCCGGCCTGAAGCAGCATGCTGCCAAGATTGCCGTCGGCAGTCAGCCTTTCTCAGAAACCTTTGGCCCCAAAGCTCAGCGGAAACGACCGAAGCTTGATTTCAGCTCTATTGAGGATCTTGCTGGTCGCACAGGAAGCATGCACGACACATACGTGGAGCGCCTCGAGCAGGCCAAGCTGTTGTCGGGCACGTCTGGCGAGGCAGAGACCAACGAGTCTTTCAATGACAACCCCAACGGCGAGCTTACATCCGCGCGCGAGTTCATCTTCATGAAGGGTACTTCGAAGCGTATCTGGAACGAGCTGTACAAGGTAAGACCTAAGCCATGTATCCATCGAGCCACGTCTAATCAATTCTCCAGGTCATCGACTCGTCCGATGTTATTCTACACGTTCTAGACGCCCGTGATCCTGATGGAACCCGTTGCCGCTCCGTCGAAAAGTACATCCGTACTGAGGCACCTCACAAGCATCTGGTCTTCGTCCTCAACAAGGTCGATCTTGTTCCTTCCAAGGTTGCTGTAAGTTCACTTCCCCTTACACACTCCACTCCTCCACCATCCACACACCCTCCTTAAGTCAAGGACCTACTCCTATTCCATGAATACGGTTCTGTTACAAGTTGGGAAGATCAAAAGTGGCTCGCTGTCCCAAAATCGTCTTGATTGCGGGTCGATCGCAACCGTCTTGGTTGCCGATCAATAGAGTCACGCGTGATTTGTTTGAGTTGAGGACCGTCTCTGCACTCGCAGGCCCCTTCATGGCGGTACTCTTAGTAATATTTCGCACATTCCATCATCGATGCACATTATCATGTCAAGTTGATGGCCAAGCACTGACACTTGACAGGCCGCCTGGGTACGCCACCTTAGCAAGGAGTTCCCCACACTTGCTTTCCACGCCTCCATCAACAACAGCTTCGGTAAAGGTTCCTTGATCGCCCTTCTCCGACAGTTCAGCTCTCTCCACAGCGATCGTAAACAAGTCTCCGTGGGCATGGTCGGTTATCCCAACACTGGTAAATCGTCCATCATCAACACTCTGCGGAAAAAGAAGGTGTGCGTTGTTGCGCCCATCGCTGGTGAGACCAAGGTCTGGCAATACATCACTTTGATGAAGCGCATTTACATGATCGACTGTCCTGGTATCGTCCCACCGAACCAGAACGATACCGACCAGGACCTGCTGCTCCGCGGTAGTGTCCGTGTTGAAAACGTCGAGTACCCAGCACAGTACATTGAAGAGGTTTTGAAGCGGGTACAACCGCGTCATCTCCAGCGAACGTACGACATCAAGGCATCCGACTACAATGACGATGCCGTCGCGTTTTTGGAGCTACTGTGCAGGAAGAGTGGTCGTCTGCTCAAGGGCGGTGAAGCCGACATTGACGGTGCTGCCAAGATGGTTCTGAACGACTGGATAAGAGGAAAGCTTCCATGGTTCACTCCACCACCGTACAAGGAGGGTGACGATGTGAGCGGACCCATCAACCCCAAGCGCGAAGGCCTGATGGGCGAGATGAGCAAGAAGAGGAAGCGTGGTGGTGAGAGCGAGGCTGCCGGAAGCGTGGCTGCGAAGACAGACGCCACCGGTGCGACGCAAGACGAGAGCGACGACGATGACGATGACTTTAGCGGCTTCAGCGATGAAGATGGCGCGGAGATAGATGATGATGATGATGATGAAGAGGAGTCCGACGACGAGGAAGGCGGTGAAGCTGAAGATGATGAGGAAAGTGAAGACGATGCACAGGTCGAGGAAGAGCTTGCGGCGATAACGCAGGCGCTGGCTAAGGCGAAGAAGCGGCAAAAGACCACGTAAGGTCAAAAGGATTAGTTAGTTTATGATTCAAATGATACCCCGATATTACGATGTCTCACAATGGTTGTATTGGTTTTGAACTTTGGTGTTCTATTCTCTTGTGCTGCAGCGGAGTCGCCTCAGAGGGTCGCTCCTTCCACACCTTCGAGACGCATGCCCAGATGCGGATGATACCCCACTTGTGTCATCGCAGCGTTCTTTAACCCTGGTCACTTCTTTCTCTTCGGGCCTGATGATCTCTGCCTCTTTGAACCTAACCAATCTATGCATCTTCAAACTTCATCACCTATGCCATTTCCAGGCCTGATCACCTGCGCTATTATTCACAGGCCCCCCATCATGTAAACACAACCCTGAAGTATACCCACAATGCCGGCTGACACCGAGGCTGCATTTGTTATATCTCACCATCTACGCTCTCTGGTGCGATCGGGTCCTGACGGAACTGGGACCTTTTTTTTTATTTTTCTAAACGACGCTCTCAAACACGACTGTCTCGTTGAGCACTACCCAAGCATGTGCAAATGTTTCATCGACAGCGTCCTCTAGCAATCGCAATGTCAGCTCTGCGCCATGTTTGTAGCGTCTTTGGTTCGAACGGTGCGGACTTGAGACGGGAGTTGAGGGAGCGGTGGATAAGCTAAGGGGATATCGTGGGAAGGAGGCTGGTCGCTCGCTTCCTACGGCTATAGAGAATTTGGGGTGGGTGCCGAGGGGTTTGTTGCATTCCAAGGGGGATATGAGTGTCTCGTCGGCCACCACGACGAATGTGGAGTGATGTTTGAGGATCGCTCGACACTCATTCACTCTTATCCAAGGTGTTCAGCCTTGCCTTGTCTGAATTTGTTTTGATGTGTACGGAGAAGCACAACCTTCCGAGGCTTTTCCACAATCGTTACTCGCCCGTGCCACAGAGATGCATGTCCGTATGCGGAATAGACCCCGCTTCTGTCAGCCCAGCCTTCCCTCAGTCTGCTCACTTCTGCATTGTACAACGTTTAATCTACTCATCTCTACTTTCTCCGATCTGATCACGACGTTATCTCGATATTCGACATGTCATCTGCCATCGAACAGCCAGGTATGCCTTACTGGCTATGCCAGTATTGCAAGAATGTCACTAGGCAACTAACAACGATTATTAAGAAAGGCGTCAAGCATGACTTCCTGGTCGAACACTACCCAAATCTGCAAGCTCTCATTGATGGTATACTGGAACGACGATGTCATCTTTGCGCAGTCTTTATCGGAGGTATTGCTGCACTTCATGGCCTAAGAACAATTGAAAGAGTTCTGGAGAAGTTAAATGGATATCCCGATAAGGCTACCCGCCCGCTCCTGATGAACGTGTTGTTAACTTTCGGCCATGACCTCAATCGCGGTGACCCTACCTGCCTTGGACTTAATCAATGGAATCCCATAGCCGAACCAGTCAGCATTCTGAAGCTGAACCACAATAGACGAGGTACAAACAACAGATATGTATTACCAGAGTTCCTATCAGCCTTCACGGGATCGGATCAAAGTTTTGCATCAATCAAGAGGTGGCTACGGATATGCTCAACGGACCATCCTGAGTGCTGCATGAATTCAAGGCATTTTAAACCAACAAGACTGTTGGATCTTGGAACGCGAGACGCAGATGAGATCAGGTTGGTTGCTGGGAGCACCACTGGTCATGCGCCATATGCAGCACTGAGCTATTGCTGGGGGACTGTACCCCAGCTGAAACTCACATCAAAGAATCATTCAGAACTCGAGAGGGGAATTCCATTTGAGTCTCTGTCCAGGGTTGCGCAAGATGCTACTACAGTCTGTCGCGCTATGTCCGTGCGTTACCTGTGGATAGATGCGATATGTATCATGCAAGGGTCTGACGGGGATTTTCACCAGGAAGCGGCACGTATGGAGGGTGTTTATTCTAGTGCACTGTTTACGATCTGTGCCGGAGCATCTGCAGATACCACGCAGCCATTTCTGAGTCATCGTGATCCGCTATGGTGGACTGAGTGCCGTCTCGTCGATGAAAAAGGAGAATCTCTAGGGTACATGTGTGCCAATTACTGCGATCGCGACAACGACGTTCCTGGCAAGTTCAACCTCGACTCTCGAGGCTGGTGCTTCCAAGAACTGTTTCTGTCACCGAGATCAATCTACTTCGGACCCAAGGGTGTCCATTGGATATGCCGCGAGGGAACCGTATGTGATCGCTATCCAGGCTTTGAAAGACTGGGTGGAGTCAAAAACCACTGGAGTCTTGATCGGGATTCTCCCAAGCAACTGTACAAGAGAGTAGTGTCGTTGGGCCACGACATCTCGGAGCCTGAGACGAACCTCGAACTGTGTACAGTTTGGAAGGATATCAGGGCCGATTATTCTTTAAAGCAGTTGTCGTACCAGTCTGATAAGTTGCTCGCACTGGCCGGGGTTGCTTCCATTCTTCAGAGAAGATTCAACGTGAGAGCGTCATTCGGATTATGGTTGGAGGTCTTACATCAAGAGCTCCTGTGGATTGTCCAACCTACCACCTCCGGAAACAAAGGAACACGACGACTTGACATCGCTCCTTCATGGTCATGGGCGAACTTGGACAATTGTGAAATCGGAAGTCTTGTGGGTTATGATCCAGATACGGGGCATCGACTGCTCGACTTTATTTTGGCAACTATCATCTCTTTGCCCCCTGTTGACGGTTTCGCGATCCCCTTACAAGAATCTGGCTACAAACACAACATATCCATACGACTCGTAGGTCGCATAACAGCGTGTGTCCAGCGTAAAAGCGAATTGTGTCCGAAAGACTACCCATCACGCCCTACGCAGCAGAGTTGTAACTATTATGCAGACACAGTTCTGGAGGTGAAAGACCTCTATTGTTTTCTTGTAAAGAGGGTATTAAGAGTGGTTGTAGATTCTGCGAGCGGGGAAAACCCCAATAGGGGACAGATAGAAGACAAATGCCTAGTCTTGACATCAATTTCGGGGTCGGATCATCGTTTTCGAAGGGTTGGCGTTTATTATGAGCGATCATCTTGGTACCGGTACGACGGTGGTGCACCTTCATTCCACCCATATATGTTTCATGGGGAGCAGGAAGAGCAAGAGATCGAGATCATCTGAAAGGCGCACAACGGCAACAAATGCAATAAGCCGCGATATCACCGCCATTCAGAACTAGTCTACGCCAACTCTAGCTCGATAAGAGAGTCAAGACTATGCGGATGGCGCCAAACACCCGTCATCTTCAAGCCTGCCCCTTCGTACATCTGTCGGTGCTGCTCTTCCGTTCGGTGTCGAGCTCCAAGACTGGCCATAAGTTCCCAGTCGAGACAAGCTATCACACGTTAGTCGCATATCATATCGTTGCGTCAGAAGACTTACTCTGCGCCCAGTGCGCGCCTTGATTGGGGACTACAAAGTCGTTCACAAGAACCTTGGAATAGCCCTTCTTCATGGCTGGCACGATGGCCTTGAGAATCTCGGTATTCACCTCATCATTCCAGTCTTGTATGATCGAATGCAGATAATATGCCCGCGCACCCTTCACAGGTTGCTCGGTCAGGAAGTCGTGTGCCATCGCCTCCGCACCAGGACCGAGTTTCGCAAGCTCGACTATCTCCGGTCTATCTTGCAGAACCAGTGTACCTGGTATCTGGCCTTCGAACGCCTCCCTCAGACCTTCAACGTCGTGTCCGGAACCGCCACCGACATCGACGAGAAACGGCACATCCTTCTCGGCACCGCTGATCAGCCGATCCTCGACAGGGTAGTAATCCTTGGAGAACCACCGCGGACGTCCCTTGCTCCAAGAATCCATCATACTAGCGAAGCGCCGTCCTACTTCAGGGTTTTTCTGGAAGAATTCAAAATAATGGATTCCCTTGCAGTTGTAGGCATGCTGGAATGGCGCATCGAGGCTAGAGTCGGGGCATTTCCAGTCACGCTGATCAAAGTACGACTTCATGGATTGATGCGCCGGCGCAAAGTTTTCTGCGATATATAGTATTGAGTCTTGATATGATTGTTCGGCGAACGCGGAAGAAGTGGGAGTGTTTGCAAAGGTACCGGGACCAGTCTCGCGCACTGTGCCCATAGCAGCGAGATGTCGAAGCATGCGCCCAACGATAATTGGGTCAACGTTCTTTTCGCACTTCTTCGCGATGTCTTCAACAGTAGCACCAGATTCCGGAACGTCTTTCATGGCCTGAAACAACTTCACTTCCGCGCCCATCCAAAGTGTGCTCAGATGTGCGGGTTGCGCCCATAACAATTGCAGCATGTTCTCAGATGGATTGCTGACTTCCGCGATGAGCCCCCTACACGCGTCCAGCAACCCTTCTCTCGCGCCAGGACTCCCATTCTTGAAGCCATCGCTGAGTTGCGCAATTTTGTCGAGGAGCGAAAGAGCAGCCTTGCTCGGAGTGGAATCGGCCGCCATGATAGAGCTTAGAAAACGATTGCGATGATTGGGAGATGGAGAACGCCAGTCCTCGATCCTGATCAAGGCACAAGTCGTCTGCCCCTCGTCGGCCTAGTCTTTGCCGAACGGCAGCGGCAGCCGAAAGCGGTGGCGATTGGTCACGGCCGAGGTCCAGAACCCTAAATCCTGGACATTACCACGTTGCGCCCACATCGTAAACCCCCTTGCTATCAGCCACTCCACCAGCTAGTCATCATTGGCCCCGTCGTGTGACAAAGGAATTGCCTTTTCGCAATTAGGTCGATTGGAAATGTCGCATCAGGAAGACCCCGAAGCACGAAGCCCTCCGCCCAACGCGGCGCACAATTCTGCATTCGACTCTGGAATTGACGCTGGTTCTTCTTCAGAGTTTGACCAGGAGAACAACGCGCACCATGCACTTGAAGCTCAAGATGACACTAGCGAATATTCAACCGATGAAGGGTGAGCTGGGCTGAACCATGAACAAACATCCTGTTGACGTTGTGCAGCTACGCCGATTCGGACGCATCTTCTTTTCTCTCATCCATCTTATCGGAAGTCAGACGCGGCGTGGAGATAGAAGGTCGTTTGTATCCATCATACGGCAAACACGAATATGGGATGCCAATAGATGAAAAAGAATTGGATCGCAACGACCTTCAACACCACAAATACACTCTCCTACTCAAAGATCGATTATATGTTGCGCCCATTTCGGAAGACACCCTTGCCGATGCAAACAGCCGGGTCCTGGATCTAGGAACCGGTACCGGGATATGGGCCATGGACATGGCGGACAAGTATCCCAACACGGAAGTCATCGGCGTAGACATCGCGGCTACACAACCACCTTTCGTCCCACCAAACTGCGTTTTTGAGATCGATGATGTGGAAGAAGACTGGCCGTACCGACCAAACCACTTTGACTTCGTCCATGGTCGCGATCTCATGACTGCTGTGCGCGACTGGCCCCGCCTTATAAGTCAAGCATACGCGCACCTCAAACCAGGTGGCTGGATCCAACTAGCTAGCACAATCCCTGGCGCCCTGTCCGACGACAACACTATACCGCCCAACAGCGGCTACGTAGAATCAGGACGTCTGTATTTCGAGATCGCAGAGAAAATGGGCGCCCCGCTCGATGCACCACGGTCCTGGGCCGCGCAAATGAAAGACGCAGGCTTCACTAACGTGCAAGATGAGGTATATAAGTTACCCATGGGCCCGTGGCCGCGGTCAAAAAGGTTGCGTACGATAGGGAAGTTGGAACAGATTATGATATTAGAAGGAGGTTTTGAAGCGTACATGTTGAGGGGTTACACGCAGGTATTAGGAGGGAATGCTGATGACTTGCAGATTATTCTTGCGCTCGCGAAGAGGGAGGTTAGGGATCCGAGTATACATACTTATGTGCAGTTTCATATTACGTATGGGCAGAAGCCGATGTAAGAAAAATCAGTTAAAAAGGAAGATTTGAAGTTCAATGTCTTGTGGATGCAGACAAAATGTATTGTTATCGGATACTTAAGCCCGCCTAGAAAGTCAGGAGGCGTTTCCACTTCTTCCATTGCTCGCTCTGGCATAACATTCGCATCTTCATCATTTTCCAGATCGTCGTCACTCTCCATCTTGTGTGATGGGACGTGAGCAGCACCTATTCCTGCCTTGGAACGTCGAGTGGGGGACGCCATATGAGGGTGACCGGCTATGGCGACCATAACGAGGAACTATTACCCGCGCGTGCAACAAGGCAAGAAAGTAGTGCGCATGGCAATAGTATCGAGGAAACAACTTGAGACAAAAAAAGCGTCTGCTTCTGGACTACTGATGGGAGGAAGTGATGCAGATCCGACGCACCAAGACGGGGAGCGCGCCGGGCTAATCACTAGCGCCATTAGTCATTGTCGCGCCCTCATCTTGCACGCGTCATTAGTACTTCATTCTCATCGACCGCCTTCCGAAGGCAATTCGTGAACAAGCTCTTCATTTCCGAGCTCAGGTACCATCTTCACCTCGCCGAGTTCGTGATGGCCGTGCTTTGCTGGCAACTCATGAACGGAGGTACCTATCAGCTCTGGAGCTGAATGCAGCGCGTCCCGAGCTATCTTCTCGTCTGGTTCATCCAGCGCTGTGGTTTGCCTTCGCCTTCGCCTCGGTTTCAGTACGAAGAACCATGTGCACGCGATACACAACAGTATTGCCGTTACGCAGCCGACGACAATGCCGGCTATCGTACCACCGGCCAAGTCTCCTCGGGCCGCTCCTACATCACTGTCTTTGTTCAAGATCGTTATAATGTTTGGCTCCAAGTTGTCCCACTTGGCAGCGCTGACGTTGAAGATACCAGATTCGAAATTCACGCCGATGTAAGCTTCCTGCAAGAATGCTCTGCCGATCGCGTACTGGCTCTCGTTATCTGCTCTTCGAATTGGAAAATAGTTCGTTGCGTTTGCGAAGATGGGATATCCAATTTGCAAATCGAAAGCTTCATATGGAATTTGAATCAGCGTGGTGTTACCGCCCGTCACGGCGTCAGCACCGATGGTGAACGTTAGGGTCGGCTTAAGCTCACGAAGGCGATCCCTGGCCTGATCCGTGAGGACATATCTGCCGGTCCCATCGTGGTACTCCAAACCGAAAGCGGACTCGAAGCGATCGCAGACTGACTTTGGGAGCCAGATTTCAGGAACTGATGAGTCGATCGGAGCGAGTATTCGTTCATTGTCGACCATCGAGAGCGTACCGTTAAGTGTATTGGCCACTATAATGTCCTGAAGCCCCACTGTGAGAGCTTTGGCCATGTCGACGATATTAATGTCGATTGTGAGAGGCTCGGAAGAGCGCGAAAAATCGTAACCTCCAAGGACTAGGCTCGCGGGTACTTTTCTTCCGCGGTATTGGGCACCAGCCTGATATCCGTAGGATAGGCTTGGTATGTGACCCTCGTTTTTGAGAGCTGATATCAGCGACGGCGAATTGATCGTCTCTGAGAAATTTAGTGGCAATGGCAACAGGCCCATCTGGCCGACCCAGAAGCCAGGTGAGGCATATGCGGTAATTGCCAGCTTTTCCATTGTGAAGCCATCAACTCCAACACTATCGAATCCGGAAAGGCCGTTCCCATTGATTCCATAGTTCCTCCCTAAGCCGAGTTCATAAAGGCCGATGGCTTTCCAGGTTGATGACATGTTCGCCTGAAACCCAGGACTATAACGTTGTTGGAAAGGACTCGCTCCGCGAGAGCGGCCACAGGAAGCTGAGGCACCTTGCAATCTGGTGCACTCATCGGCAACTGGGAGCCAGACATTCTGAGCTTGAATTGCTGGTAATACCGCGAAAGTTTGTGCTGGTGTTCCTACTTCAACGAGGAATCTACTGTAGTCAGCATAAACCTGGGGCAGTCCTGAAGCCTACAGGGGGGTGTACGTTGACCAGCTTCCATCGTTACCGAGCCAGCCTCCAGATGCAGCCAGCGACAGCGCTTTTGCCATGTTGTCAAGATATCTCGGCTGATCTCGAGTTTGCTGGCTTACATGTGTAAGAGATCGAAGGTAATTCCGGGAAGATGGTTTCCTACATGCGTTGGGGCGCTCGTACTTGAATCCCACTATGCTGGTGTGGCTGACCGTTTCTTCCTACAACTAAAAATGTAAGAAGATGGTTGGTGGGCCTTGCAGGGCTCTACACCGTTTACACTGCCGAGCAATCAAAATTTATTGTATGTTTCCGAATCGAGACAATGGGGCTGAATCTGACCAACCACGACAAGAGTGCCGAGACTATGATTGGGGGCCGTTCATGAGGCTGGGGAACGTTGGATTTCAGGCCCGTTCCTGAGATCGCGGCATGAAAATCACCACAATTGATCTGCCGCTTAGAATGCTCACTTTACTTCCGTCTGAATCATCGCTGTTCGCTTAACGCAAAATCTACCTCCACTACAGTCTTGCGCTCTCAACATTGTGGTGGCCTTTGGTTAGCATGTATATACAGTACCCAATGAGGGTGACTTTGCTTGCTGCTGTTCTCTTCACAGGTAGCCCTCGAACCAGTAGAATCTTCCCTAGGCCCAATGGACTCATGTAATACAGATTTCAGTCTTGCCGCAAACATCGCTCGCTTCGCGCCTTTAGCATCAGATTGTACTGGCATCATCACGATCACCTACATCTCGACTGATACATCAGCCACTGTTGGAGACATCACACGTACTTCGTTGGTACCATTCACAGTGACGGGTTACTCGACCACTGTTACTGTTCACGTTACCCCATTGCGCAACGGGACAACATTGACCAGTACCGAAAGTCGGGATGTCACGACCAGTGTATCTTTCGAGAAGAGAGCGACAAGCGACGTTGCAGCATCCTTCACGTACGTGCTCGAAGGACAAACCAGGAACTTACTAATTTACCTCAGAACGTCCCCTTACCAGAACAGTTCTCTGGCCATAACGCCAACACCTACGAAGCTACCCACATTCTGCTCGACAGTGACCTCAGCCATCACGGTAACCAATATCGTGACATTACCTGGGACAACCGGAGTCACTATCACTCTCACTAGTACCATGCTTACTGCTTCAACACTGTTCATTACCGATTATCCCGACCCGGCTGTTTTTGAGCCTACTAAAACGAGCACTGTGAATGCCATCCCTACTAGGCCGACAGAGCCAGGAACTACAGGTGCTCCCATTGAAGAACCAAGCATCCCCGCGTTACCTCAGGATACTTCTCATGGCCTACCAGAACCTACAGCTAGCAACCCAGTGCAAAGATCGTCCAGAGGTCCTGGGCTGCCTCCTGATGCACTGCCTACCTCGCCGGCTAAACCTCCAAATACCAAAATGACCTCGATCGCTGGGGAGATTCGTACCACGACTCTTCCAGGTATCGGCCCTGTTGTAATCGATCCATCACACTCAGCCATCTTCATCAGCGGCGTGGGAAGTGCGATTACTCCGGGACAACAGACAACTATCAACGACATTCCGATCTCATTCGACACTTCCGCTACATTCATCGTCGTAGATGGTACTCGGACAGTTGGTGTCCCTCCATCAACTCCAGCGCCTCGACCAGCGCCAGTGGTAATTGGTGGCACGACCATTGACGTCGGCCAGATTGCCACCGAACTAGACCCAGGAGAAGTGACTACCATCAATGGTGTTCCCATCTCGCTGGACGACGCGGCTTCTAATGTGGTCATTGGAGAAACCAAGACTATACCGCTGCTTGAAGTAACGCAGATGCCTGCTGCATCTATGGTAGTTGTTGGCGAGACGACCTTGGATGTAGGCGAGCTAGCTTCAGAACTTGTGCCTGGCGAGGTGACCGTCATCGGCACCGTGACGGTCTCACGCGACAGTTCAGCCATTGTAGCCGGTACCACGACTATATCACTTCCTTCATCACCGAGCGATGTTGTGGTTGGAGGCATGACCATCACCGCGGAAGCCCTTCCTTCTGGATACTCTTTTATCCCCGCTACCGCTGGAGGTGGCCTGCTGCTCCCGAATGGTCAGACACTGATGCCTGGTGCTATGACGACGATCAGTGGCGTTGAGATCTCGCTCACTTCAGCAGAGACGCCTGTCGTCGTAGTTGAAGGCTCAGTATCCATCACTTCGACCAGAACCGTGGGCAGCACCTTCGAAGGCTTCAATAACGGTGGCACTCTCGGCATTGGACAACCGACAAGTACTTCCACCGGTGGCTTGACGCAGCTCACTGGTGATGCTGTAGCAGCTACGAGAGATCCTCGCAATATGTTATGGGTATCAGCTATTGTAGGCATGTTATTTGGCATTGCTTGCTCGTTGATCTAGTCACAAGCACTTTGCCTTTACTTAAGCGCGATGCTTCCTCGGCTGCAACACTTCTATATCGTTACCAACACAATGAAGGTTCCAACCATCTCTAACGCAGCATTCAAGATATTTACGGTGACCTTCATGGCCTGGCGGGAAAATCATGTACGCTCTAGTGTTACCCGGACGAGGGGAGTTTCCGCATATGGGCGAAACCACATCATCCGGGTGGCTGGCTCCATGCGTCTCGACGTCTCTTATGAGGACATGATTTAAGATACAGAGCAGAAACTGGAGCTACGACTAGGACTACAGGAAGGACTGTCGGATTATGTCTGCTGTGGTGTTCAGCCTGGTAACGTTTACTGCATCAGAGGCCCTGGCTTCATCGATCATGTGCGCGCTATCATTCAGGCTGCCTGCTCGGTTCTGTAGATGGTTCAAAGACTTTGAATGTACAAGATCATAACATATGCAACATTCATACACACTTGCGAAAGCGTTTGGCAAAGGCTGTAAAGATATATTATTGGAATTCGGGGGTATCATATCTCATCTAATCTAGTATCGTACAAGTTTTCAATCTATGCCACCTCGTAATTGGTACACTCATTTCCTGTTCTCCGATACGCTAGAGTCGTCACCGACTACTACGATCGCTGGTGCAGGACCAGCCTCGGCGTCAACATCCTCAGCCTTCTTGTTCCTGGTGAACAAGCCCTTGATCTTGCGGCAGCCCTTGCAGCACCACCTGTAGACCACGACGACAGGCTTGCCGACAACTCGCGCGATAACAGCGAACCACTCGTCAGGGAAATACCTGATCAGAACCGCCCATGGGATACAAACGAAACCAGTGATGATGCTGACAGCCCATTGCGTACCATCGATACCACCGGGCTTGATCTGGAATGCGCGGCCACCGACGAACACAATGAGAACCTGGAGTCCAATGATCATGACGACGATGCCAATGAAGAACCAGTTGCGGAGTATACCCTCAAGCACGTTAAGCTTGTTATCGAGACGCCTGTTGTTGAAGATATTGAAGATCTGCATCCAAACGAAGCTGTTGAAGATGACAGTGTCGAGCTCGAGTTGCTTGTTGGGGTCTGATAGATCGTAGCCAAGGATGTCGCCACCAGCGAAATATAGCACGAAGATGACTGTGATCTTGTAGATGTTCTGACCGGTGATCTGCTTCCACATGGTTATCGTAATTAGAGGGCCCTTGCCCTGTGGTGGACGATCAAGGATCTTCTCGGTCGGTGGGTCGGTAGCGAGCGCGAGCGCAGCGAAAGTATCCATGATCAAGTTGACCCAGAGGAGCTGAACAGCTCGTAGTGCGGGCTTCATTTCGTCATCGTACACCGCGGTGACAAACGCGAGAACAACTGCGGTGATGTTGACGGTGATTTGGAACTACTCTTGTTAGCAGGAGAAACTGGAAAGGTATATTGACTGCAACTTACTTGGAGGAACTTTTGCACAGCATCATTGACAGCTCGTCCCCACATCAAAGCAGTGATGATTGATGAAAAGTTGTCGTCCATGAGAATGATCGAAGATGCTTCCTTGGCGACCTCAGTGCCGGATACCATGGAGAATCCAACGTTGGCAGCCTTGAGTGCTGGAGCATCGTTCGTACCATCACCAGTAACAGCAACAATCTCACCAAGGGCCTTCAGTCGAGTGACCAGGATACGCTTGTCCTCGGGCGAAGAGCGGGCCAATACCTGCAAGCGGGGCAGCATCTCGTCAAGCTGTTCGGTAGAAAGGCGGCGGAAGTCAGGTCCTTCCATCACCAAGCCACCTTCAGTGTAGATGAGGCATTCCGTAGCAATCGCTCGTGCGGTTTGCATGTTGTCACCAGTAACCATGCGCACTGTAACACCAGCCTTCTGTGCCTTGCGAACTGCCTCAGGCACACCGGGGCGCACAGGGTCCTGGATTCCGACGAGGCCGAAGAATGTAAGATCGCGCAGTAGGGAGGCGAAGTCGACACTGCCACCCTCGGTGAGTTCAGCATCAACCGGTGGCCATTGCGAGAAATCGCGGTAGACCAAGCCGATGGTTCTGAGGGACCTATTCGCGTACGCATTGATTGTATCGGTCAACAGCTGGCGGTATTCTTCGGAAAGCGACTCCGCCTGAAGGGTCTCGAAATGTGCGAATTCGGATGCAAGCCTGAGAAGGATCTCGGATGCTCCTTTGACGACAAGGCGGTACTGGCCTTTTGAAAGCTCGACTACAGCGCCCATACACTTTTTAGCCGAGTCGAAAGGAAACATGTGTATGACCTGTCCGTTAACACGAGTCTCTGATAGAGAAACGAGTCCAAGGTGGTCTTTGGCGAGCTCAAGCAGCGCGGTCTCGGTCTTGGAACCGACGAAGACTGGCTTGCCATCCTCTTGGCCTTCGAATGCAGTCGAGTTGATTGCGATAGATTGGATGAGAAGCTCCTTCGCAGCCGGTGAAACCTGGGATGCCCATGCTGAAATGGTTTGGTCCTTGTCCGAATTGGCGGAGTCAGCGTGGACGAAGCTGGTAGTACCAAACGTGCCGGCGACGACGGTCATTCGGTTGGTTGTCTGGAGATGTTAGCCTGCGCTCATGTCGAGCTTTTGTGTAGCACTTACCAAAGTACCAGTCTTGTCAGAGCAGATAGCCGTGGCATTTCCCATGGTCTCACATGCCCGTAGGATTCTGACAAGGTTGTTCTCCTTCAACATCTTGGTTGTAGCAAAGGCCAGTGCCAATGTTACAGCTAATGGAAGGCCTTCAGGCACTGCAACCACAATGATGGTAACAGCGACGATGAGGATATCCATGAAGGCTGAGCCCTTTGCCGACGCGCTGCGGGTGTCGCCAGAGAGTCCACCAACAAAGCGAAACAAAAGGACGAAGAACAAGATACCTGCAGCTGTGGTTCCGAGATAGGCAATAGCCATAGCGAGCTTGCCTAGCTTCTCTTGCAGTGGTGTAGCCTCGATCTCGACGCGGACGGACATCATGATCTGGCCGAAACTGCTGTGCTCTCCAACCGAAGTTGCCATGAAGGTACCGACGCCTTCAAGCACCTTTGCACCAGAGATGACAAAAGGATCGAGGTTCTTTGCCGGCTGTCCAGATTCTAGCGCCTTCATGACAGCAGCACCTGGGGTCTTTCGCATGGCATCCGATTCTCCCGTAGCAGAAGACTCATCGCACTTGACGTCGGAGCCGTCTACGAAGATTCCATCGACGGGAATGATATCTCCAGGCTCCATGTGAATGATATCTCCTGCCAGAACATCATAGATGCTGATCATTTCCGTCCTTCCAGATCGAGTGACTTTGATATCGCGTTGTTCCTTCTTTGCATTGAGCTTTGCAAACGCTGCTTCCTTCTGCCAGTCATTAACAGCTGTGACGAGCACGACAATAACGATTGCCACGACAATCGCGCAACCCTCAACCCAGTCAACAGGCGTTGGGGCGCCTGGTTCGTGCTCTGCACCGAAGGTCTCGTACAGTCCGAGGGCCAAGGATATCGCCGCTGCAACGGTAAGAACGATCAATACCGTATCGTTGTAGGCATTCCAGATCAGTCTCCATAGAGGAGTGACTTTCTTCGGTGGCAGCACGTTTCGTCCGTGGATGCGGATTCGATCCTCGAATGGCTTTCCATTGCTTGGCGGTCGACTTGACTCTTTCTCTTTGGTCGGTGTCTGGGGATTCGTTGCTTCGTCGAAGGAGATATGCCGGGGAACAGTCGATTCGTCGGCACTGAGACCAGTGTGGATGTTTGTTTGTAGACCAGCCGCGATACCATGAATGCCGCCGAGAGCCTGGTAAACAGCAAGTGATTTGGGGTTCAGAAGCTTGCTGAGTTGTGATGGTGTGAACGCGAACGGGTTGTTGCTGTCTGTTGCCGCTTCAGCGCGCAACTCCTGTTGCAACGCTGCGTCGTAGTCTCCCACTACAGTAGATACACCGCTTGTGGACGCATTACTCGGCGATATCGGCGTCCGGAATGGGTCTGATGTTTGCGAAGTGACAGTGTCAGCCTGACTCAGCGCACGCTGTCTCGTGTTGATTTGGAGCGTCGGAGGGGCAAGTTTGCCGGACTCCATGATGATGAAATAACGATGCTACAATAAAAATACTCGAGAAATGTAGCCACAAGTTGTAATGCACGAGATTGTATTTACGTGACGGTAGGGTAAGGGTTGGATTCTAATAAGCTGAAGGACGCATCCCCAGTCGCCATACCTATACTCAAGAGGCGGGCTGTGTAAGTGTGGACCTCATCCAAGACTGCCAGGCGCTTGGTGCGCGATATTAGTCCACTCGGTGTGATACGTCTCTTGCCAGAGCCTCCCTTGGCAACTAGTAGGCTCCTGAGGAATGATAATACCGCGGCGCTTTTTCGCCTTCTCAGCGCAGATGACATCTGAACGTTGAAACCCTGGTAGAATCTACGAGAGCATAGCCTTGCGCGTACGTCGCATAGATGGTCCAGCTGTAGACTCGTCGCCAAGCGAGGCGAGATTTGATGCTTTTGGCGACTAACGTTGTTGATAGCGAGATGAGCGGGTGTCAAGAGTCCGGCGGTCTTGGAAAGGGGGCAGTGCAGACCCCATCCGAGCGCAATGAAGCGCGGAGACCCTCATCTTCCGCTGCCATCGCGTCGCTACGGACAACCACTGGAAACTGTTGGAAGGGAAACGAGATGGCGATAAAAAATGACCGTTAGATTGAAGTTACGATTGAGTATCGCTTCGCTGCCTACCGTGCAGATCGAAGTGAGGCTAGCAGGGCTTAAACTGCGCCACTCGGGCGCCACTGAGGCTTTGCCGTGATCCAAACCACGTTGGGCCTAGTTCTATCTGATTTCCAGCTCTGTCGGTATCTACATAACATGTCTGCTTGAAGACAACTTGCTGCTGAGGTGTCAATCGATTCATGCCTATTCTTTTTTTTTGGCCATTCTTTGACGGCGATAAAGGAGAAGCAGTAGCGAAGTTCCCTGCCCAGCTTCGAATCGTCAGAACATCGAAATCTCTTACATGCACAGCCTGCACAGCTTGTACAGTACTGCATCAGGTTTTGCTATTGCATCCGGGAGACAAGACACGGAGCCGTTCATGTCTCTTTGTCGTCTTGGATGAAAGAAACGATCAGATGTGCAAGAAGGCCTGAGGCAAACCTCGGATCGCTCCAATCGGAATCTACCAGTGACACCTGTGTATGCGCTCGACCGAATCTGCCTTGTCTTGGTGACAGCCTAATCGGTCTTATTGCGATTGCGACTTGTCGCATACTCCGCTCTCTGCTCCAGATCTTCATTATCACAGGAGCGGTACTGAGACCGACAGCTTAGCAACTTTGCGATAAGGGACGATTCGAGCGTATACAGCCCTGTAAAACGTCATCGAAGGGCAAAAGGGCAGCCTGGTACAGCCCTCGCCCTCCTGTGGCTGGATCTGTGGCGCAGTGACTGTGGCGCATCATCTTCGTAATCGGAGCCGCCGTCTGTCGAGACTCAGACAGCTCTTCCAGATGACAATAGTGTCCCAAGCTTGCTGGCGGCGGAAAGGAAGCGCGATTTACAAGCGTACCTGTCTTGGCTTATCCTCGGAGAAGCCATGGACGGAAGGTGTGATGTCATCACGCGCACTGACCCCTTGTCGCCGCCGAGCTGATGGTCTGGATTACCTGCTCATCTGAACACAAGTCTTGTTATGAAGCCTAGAAGACTATCGTTTGCACTGCCTCAATCTGGGCACCCATCAATATTCGGGTTTTCTACGTTGATTACCGATGACACGAGGACATCGAATGGGCTACCTCATCGCCGCCTAGATTTTCGAGACACGTGCACTTCCCGTTCACACCTCTAGGAGTCCTTTCCGAAGTATCAACTCGGACTCAACAACAGCTGCCTCGATGTATTGCATCTCTCTCGTCTGTTCCAAGTGCACACTCCCGTAGCGCAGCAGCTCTCCGAAAGTGCCGGGCGCCATATCCTTACCTTCATTTTCCGGAAGGTCAAGCAACGTACCACAATGAGGCTTATGGCACAGCTCCTTACCATGAGTGATCTTTTGCATCACACTCTGCGCTATCATGTTCCATGCTGCGTTCTTCGCCTTCTCATGTCCTGCGTCATCTCCATCAGCGTCTAGTCTGGCAGCAAAGAATCTGAGAATATCCGCGCCATCGAATCCAATGGTTGTCTCAGCAGGGAAGTCTTCAGGAAGCGCGTTCCACAGTAAGACTTTCTTAGCCCAGTAGTTGACGCCATCGAAGCCGCCATCGGGCTCCTGCAGCCATGTCAAACGCATCCAGGCGAAGACTTGTCCAATGTATCCAATGATGGTTTGCACATCCAATTTCCAATCCCACCTATACCCCGCCTCGGCCAGTTCCTCAAAATCCAACTTTTGGATGAAGTTAATCAGGGGCGACTGACATACGCCGGAATAGTCTGTGCGTCCTTTCCATAGCTCCAAGAAGATCAGATGCCTGTTCAAAGTCAGTATAATGGATCATCTTACGGATGCATCAGTGAGTCAACGCACCAATTCCTGATGAACTCGTCGCCTTTGCGAGATGCCACGATGTGATTCGCAATAAATTGTCCGTATATCAGTGGCGCAGCAACGCTAAATGGACTTGTGTCGTCCACAAGCCGGGCCCAACATACGCTATCGAGGTGGCGGAAAAGGATACATCCAACGTCCATCCATACTCCGCCGTACGTGTACAGTGCTGCGCCACGCAGAAAGTCGGCGCTATGAGGCCCTACGTATGGACCCGTCATCGTACCCTTTACAAATGCTTGCGGAAGATCTTCAGTCGCGATCCAAGTCAATGCGTGATTCGGTGAGTCTGGTACTGTGTCGAGTACGCGAACTGTCCATTCGGGGCCATGGAGGCGCACCCAGTTGATGATGTTGCGTTGTGTCCACTTGGGCATGTTCTGGACGCCGGCATGCCAGTAGGTCCAGATATTCTTCTCAGAAGTGATGGGCGCATGCGTCATCAAGGTTTTTAAGATCTCAGCATCTGTTCGCTTGTCCTTGGACTCGACTCGGGTCACTTTTGATGCATATTCTTCCGGTATCTGGAACTCGGGCTGTTCCATAATGGCAGTAGGGAAAAGAATGGTGGCTCTTGAGCGACAATGGGCTCACGCAAGACTAGGAGATGTTGCGCTAACAACTGACAGAGGGTGCATGTCGCTTTATATAGCATCATAGTTAGTATCAAAAAGCATTGCATTGTAGATTCGAGCTCTATTGTCCCGACACCTCAGCGTTCCCCTACATGCACTACACGATATCACCCTGGATGTAATATAAACATGCCTGACTCTTGCCTCAAACGGGCATCTTACTACTAACAATGCTGTTCAGTTTTCCGTAGAGGGACATTTACCCCGAGGTAAGCGCTAGTGATCCTTTCGTTCAACGAACCAATGTTTGCTGTTCCCAGGATCGACAGCCTATCACACTCGTTTTAGGTATGACTGCATTGCAGTGTTCCTCGTCCGACTGCAACTTGTTATCTAGCATTATTGTTGTCTTACGTGTTCTTGAAGTGCCTTACAACAGAGACTGTCGAGGCTCCACAATTCGTACATGGAGTGGCACGGATAGAGTGGTGAACTTTATAACCCGATCGACATATAGCTCATGCACCTGACAGTACTAATACATGTTGAACATCTTTATCGTACATTTGACAAGTCCACCCCTCGACCTAGTCTCTCAAACTCAGATGATACGTAGCCAACTGCTCATCAGTCATCCGATTCGGGCTCTTGACCAACATATCCTCGCCTCGCCCACTTTTCGGGAAAGCAATGACGTCCCTCACACTCTCCCGTCCACACATGACGGCCATCAGCCTATCCCATCCCAGCGCAATACCTGCATGGGGTGGACATCCGCTCCTCAATACGTCGAGCAGATGTCTGAAGTCCTCTACACGCTCAGGTTTCATCTTGAGAATGTCCTTGAAGATGAATTCTTGCATAGCGGCGGAGTGAATACGGCGACTACCGCCACCAAGTTCTACGCCGTTGAGGACAATGTCGTAGTGCGCTGCTACCGCGGAAGAAGGATCTGTGAGTAGCTTGTCAACGTCCTCGGGTAGCTTTGGGGCAGTGAAAGGGTGGTGGGTCGATGAGAAGCCTGCTGAGCCACCTTGCCCTGGTTCACTGTCACTCGACGGTGTGAATAGTGGAAAGTCCGTGATCCAGACAAATTTGAAGACGTCTTTCGCCGGCGCTTCCATCAGGCCTTGCGCTATAGCTGCCTTGTGGAGAGCAAGACGCAAGTTTCCCAGCATGGTTGAGCCACCAGAGAATGGCACATTGGGACGCGCTTGAAGAATGAGAAGGTCCCCGTTCTCTGGCTTCAGAGATTCGGGACCTTCCATCTCGTACTGGCGGCCTAAAGGTCCGAGACCTTGCATGGGCTGCGACAGATCCCCGATGAAGATACCTGGTTGGCCGTCCGGATTGTCCAGATATACCTTCCCATCTGGACTGTCGAGGAAGCTGGAAACGAATTTGCGGGTAACCTTGGGATCTTCAGATATTGAAATCTTGATAGCATCGACTGCCGGATCCTGTAGCGAGGTGATTTTTCCTATCAAATCTGGTGTCAGATGTTCAGTGATGGTATGTATCTACGCGCCGTTAGTCGAAAGCAGTGATCATGTTACGGCATCTTAACATACCTTTGATTCGTAGCGTAGATCCGGTTTATCAGATCCGTAGTGAGCCATCGCAGTCTGATATTTCATCCGCTGGAATTTTTCTGGTGTCTTTTGCTTTAGAACTCTGTACCAGAGTTGTCTGAGAAGGTTCTCAGTTTCGTTCATGACATCTTCTTCGTTAGCGAAGGACATCTCCATATCGAGCTGGTCCACGATTAGCGACGGCTTGATAGTGCAGTGCATGGTACTGACCTGGGTGAATTCTGGCTGCCTATCAGCCCTCAAATCCTCGTCTCGAAAACACCGAGCGAACTGATAGTATTTTGTGATGCCAGACGCCATTAAGATTTGCTTATATTGCTGTGGACTTTGTGGTAATGCGTATGCTAGGCCCTTCTGTCGTGTTGGTACGAGGAACTCTCTTGCGCCCTCAGGTGTCGACTTGAAAAGTATGGGCGTCTCAATCTCCCTCCATTGCCCCGAGTTAAGGTGCAATCTTGCCCGCGACATGGCTTTCGCCCGCGTAAAGATATCCTCGCGCAATTCTTTGTTTGTACGAAGCTGCAGATGGCGTTGGTCTGGACCAAACACTGTGTCATTCTTGACGATGATGTCTTCGGAAATGTCGTTGAGGGGCTGCACGTGCTGCACAACAATCTCGCGAGCATCGATCAACTTGATGCCGTCGACGAACTTGTGCCTGGCTAGTGGACGCTCCTTGAGCCTTCCTCTTACAAGAACAGGAGTCCACTCTTTCAACGATCGTAAACAGGCATGTGCATCTACTGTACTGAGTTCACCGTCCTCTTCCCCTGAGATAAGTTGAATAACCAATGTTTGGTTTTTATTTCGGAGCATGGTGAATGAGAGCTTTTGGCTGACATCCCGTCTTGTACCGATGTAGCCAACGAGTTCAATCTGTTCTCCAAGAAGCTGGTGTAGCTGCTGTACATTTGCCCATGCTGAGTTCAGTGAATCCCAAGAGGATGGACGGACTGCAATCTGGTAAGCGCTTGGCTCTGCAAAGGTGCTGCAAACCCACTGGTAGCCTTGAATTCGTCGAGAGTCTTCTTCAGATGATCATCGGGCGCAGAATCATGTGAGCTTGCAAAGTTCCGGTATGCATGTCCTAAGGATGACCGTACACACTTTGGCGTGGTCCCGTGATGAGTTGTGCGACGAAATTTGGAAATTTCTGCGTAGGAGCTGCGAATGCTACCCTCCCGAGTCACTACGTACCGGGAAGCGCGCAAAAGACTCATAGTAAGTCTAAATGATGAACCAAGCCCTGACAATGGTGACAATGTCTCTGACGTCCATGAGAATCTGGCAGCCATGCCTCAACGACGCGCCAAGCCACGATCAAGACCATGCCCAAACCGAGGTAGCGTCCGCTCAGACCACGCTGCAGAAGCTTCAAAAGCTTTCCAGCACCCACACCCACTTCCTCTCGCTATCCCTCCAGTTTATAACATGTAAGCCACCTTGCGACGCCATTCTGACTGTCGCGCGCATACTAACAGAACGACTAGATGATGAAAGCCTAGTGTGTATCAGCTGAGCGGCTCTCCACATCCGCCTTTGAACTCTCCTCTTTCGGGAGGCTCAAGTGGTTCGCTGGTAGATGTGGATGTGGCCGCATGACTTCCGCGTTCGGCACACACACCTTGTTACATAACGGACGCTTTGACGGCATCTCTGATTCAATAAACTGGTCGGTGTCTCGAACATATCGCGCACCCACGCCCACACCCATTTGCGACGACGAAACGACGATTTTACTCTCGATGGAGGCGAGCGGCGGTGGAGTGGTATACCAGGTGGAATGGACTGTGTATACTAAAGTGTATAGCAACACAATGAAAGAGTTTCTCATGTTTTTGCATGGTACGTAAAGACGTGATGGGTGAAGACCAAAGAACGAACGGGCTGCAAGGACTTTGGCAAATCGCAAAGTCCTGAGCCTCATCATCGCCACATTTACTGCGAGTGGAGAAGTAGACCATCTTCTACCATCTCTCCTCAGTTGGCGAAAGAAGAACGCTTTGTCAATTACCCCTCCACTAAATTCATTGGAAAGAGGGGCGTAACAACATTTGCAACATCCAATTGTAGTCACGATCATAGTGAGTGGGAGTCGTCGTTCGAAGGGACTTGCGCATCCACGTCGCATTGCAGTTTGCACTCTGCCATGGATTGCCTTTCTCGGGAACGATGTAACTGGCGAGCTTGGGCCATACAACCCTAATGAAGATCTTCCAGAGACATAATGGCGTGTGGAAGTGCTTTAGTGGCCCCTTGGAAGGACGAGTGCGTATTCTGCCCAACCGACTGAAGCTTAGAGGACGACATCTGGGATGCAACTCATAGTCGACGTAGCATGAAGCCTTCCATCAAATCGGCTCAAGGTAGGTATCTGTATATTTGGTCCCAATACCATTAATGGCAGTCAAGAAACCTTGCCGATGGGCGCAGCGGTAAGCCGAATCAGAAAACTCTGTTAGAGAATCTGTGGGTAATGGGAGTGCGTTTCAAGTGTACACCCTCGATCTACGTCGAGAATTGATGTATTAAACCATAGGTGAACAGAAGAGGTACCCTATGTAGCGAACCACCGCAATACCCACCCTGTTTTCTCAAACACCCACCACACCGATAAGCACCAGCGGCTATTTACGTGTGAGGACAGAAACAGACCTGGAGGATAAAGTGTGGCAAGAAGCAGCAAGGCCAGTAGAATATGCCGTCGAAGATACCCTTCTTCGGCGACTTGTCATTCTATGCGCTTGGCGAACGGCGAGACCGTGAGCTCGAGCTGTTTGATGAGCCGGTCTAAGACTCTGAGCTGCCTGACTCCGCACTCGGCCCGTTGCGGTAGCTGGAGTCGGATGACATCTCGTATTGCGACGAGCCGCGCTTGTGGTGGGCACGTGGACGGTCTTCGGGATGGTTGACAACATCGGATCGATGGCCGTCGAACGTCTGTATGTGTGCTGGCATCGGTATCGCGGGCTTCTCGACGTAGCCTGTAGCTGTCGACATTGTGTCCAGGGATGGCATCTGTTGGCGCTGAATCATGGTTGGCAGCATGAAGCTGGACCGCAGCTTCCTTACTTGTTCACGCTCGTCGGCCCCGTCAGTCGCATGGCGGGCTGCAGAGTGTTCAGTTTTGCCCTAATGGAAGCGCTGAAAACTCACCACCAGAAACCTCATATTGAGTAGAGCTCCTGCCAACTCCATGCTCATGGTATGCTTCACGGCCATCGTGGTCTGCACCGGGGTTGGCAGTCTCGTACTCGAGCAGCTTCATCAGGCGGTAAAAGATGACTGCGAGGATGGCGCCGAGGATAGGACCCAACCAGTAAATCCAGTGGTGTCCAGGCCATACGCCGGTAACAACGGCAGGTCCGAGAGAACGAGCTGGGTTCAAGGAGCCTCCCGTGAAGTAAACACCTATTTGTATCAGCATCGGGGTATTTCTGGCAGAGTCGGCAGGCGCTTACCAGCGAGCTCAGCAATGAATAATGCTAGTCCGATGCCGATCGGGGCAATGAAGGTTGCTTTGTGCTTCTCTGCCGCCAACATGAAAATGGTAAGGAGGAGCATAAAGGTCAGGAACATCTCAATGAACAGGCCTCGCGTGATAGATGTTTCACGGCTGAGGGTGGTGTTCACAGATAGTGGCCCTGGAAACAGCCCGGACACAACAGCGGCAGCAGCGACGGCACCGAGTAATTGCGCAACGATCAACAGCAAAACCTTCATCCAGCCGAGTGCTCCAACAAGACCCATGGCGATGGTGACCTGGGTCATGTTAGCGGTCGCTTCCGAGTTGGCTCGCCTGATAGTACATACAGCGGGGTTGAACAAGCCTCCACTGACGCGGAAGAAGACCCAGACAGTGACTGCCAAGGAGAAGCCGAACGCCAACGAGATGTACAACAATGATCCGACGTCCATGGATCGGGTACCTCGAAGATTGTTCGCGACCTGTGTAGCTGCGAAGGCGAAGAAAAGAAAGAGGAAGGTGCCGACTAATTCCCCCAGGAAAGAGATGAAGAGGTGGCGAGCCCTATTGGGTAGCCATGCGAAACCAGCTAGGCGTGTCTCTCCAGGGCGGTTGGGGTCTTCTGTGTACCTGGGCTTCATGCCTGGCAAGGCCATGAAGCTCTCCGAGGGGCGCTGGTGGTTCATGAGTGCCACTGAAGGATGCCAGTGTAAGCTCGTATTTGTGAGAGACTGAAGCAGAACACGTACGATAAGGACTGTTTAATAGGTCAGGTAGGTGAGAAAGACGCGGCCTGAGATTGGCAGCCGAGCAGGTAGAGCTTAGGAATGTAGCAACTAGGAAAAGGGCTGTAGGGAAGTTTGAAAGCTGATGACTAGGTGTATGAGGAGCTGAAGGTGTGAAAGGTGTAAAGTAAAAAGTTGAACGAGCGAGGGAGAAGATGGGAGCAGCATGATGGCACGATAGGAAAGGGAAGGGGCAAAAGTCAAAGGCACGTCGAGGGTTGACGGACGTGCTTGCCAGTCGATGCTGAGTTCTGAGGAAAGCAAAAGTCAAGAGCGATGCGGGCATGTTGACGAGGAAGGAGTGACTGGGAGTGAGTGTCTGTCAGAGCGGACATGTCCAGCAACCTCAGCTCGACGCCTTTTGTCTGTGCAATGGGGTTTTGAACCTCTTGCTCTCTGTAGACGGTCATGCGAAGGCTACTGCACCTTTATCTTCATCATTGAAGAGATACGCGCCGCAGCAGCCACATGCATGCCACAGACGCGTTGGCATTTTTACCTTGTCCGTGACGTTGTCGTCTTCTGTCGCACAACTCCAGCTTCACCCACTGACACGGAAGACACGATAAGGCTGACGCGATGTTTTGGTGTCGCTGACGCTTCCAGCATAGTCGATTGCGGGGAGCAGCATGCTTGGCGTCCGTCACGCGCGTTTCCACCAGGGTCCCGGAACCATCACGACATCATCGGGCTCCGGCCACCTGCAGTCTTTCACTCCCAGTCACGTCCTTGTCCACTTCTTTTTCTTCAGCCCGTTTCCTGCCTATCTGCCCTCATTGCGACAAGCCTTCCTGCACATGTGCGCCATTTATCGCCTTGCGCCACACAAGTAGTGACAACCTGCCCGCCTGCGGGTGTGTTATTACCGCATCATCCATTGCTTCCTACCCTTCACTCTCGATCCGCCCCGCGTGACCCACCTCAAACGGGACCACGTCGCGTCTGTCTCCTGACCTCAGTCGATGCCTCAATTCTCCTAGATATCCAGCACATTCTGCTGCTTTTGTCGCTTTCCACCTCTCCCGCCGCCCCCGGCTGCCTCCGCAAACATGCGTCCACTCCGTCTGCTGCTGTCGCTATCCACGACCCTACTAGCCGTTACGCTGCTTCTATATATGATAGTAGGCAAATCACAGGATGAAGCGCAGGAGCGAGCATCTGTTGCATCGAACCAGGGCAGTTTCAAAGCCTTGTTTTCCTTCACGTCGCCCAGCTCCTTGTTTCCGCCCTCTGCTATCATCAGTTTGACCGACGATAACTCGACTTTTTTCCTTGCCAGACCTGCCGCGTTTGGCCCAGCACTACCTAAAGAGGGCTTGAGTGGTCCGCTATGGATCGGTAGTGGCTTTGGAGATGATACATTAGGTGCTACGGGCGAGTTAGGATGCAGCGACGTCCCAGGTTGGCCAGACGGCAGCGATGACCTTGTCAGCGCTTCGCAGCCGCTTGATCATGTCAAAGATAAAGCAAAGGGTGCCATGCCGGACAGGGACTTGCCTTCAAGGAAAGAGAACCGTCGAGCCAGAGACGACAACACTAAGACCGCCACTACAGACGATGGCACAGACGACCACCTGCAAGCAGGCCTCTCTGGCACGCGCATGACGTCAGGATCCAAACATGCCGATATCCAGTCCCTCCAGGAGGGTGCCGAGATCGCTGGCAAGGTTGTCCTCCTCAAGCGAGGAGGCTGTGGATTTTTGGCTAAAGTGCAGTGGGCACAATCACGTGGCGGTGCAGCTGTTATAGTGGGTGACGACGTGCGCGGCGGTGCCCTCGTTCGAATGTACGCCAAAGGAGATACCTCGAATATCACGATTCCATCCCTATTTACTTCACACACAACCGCGCATCTTTTGTCTTCGCTTCTCTCGGCCGATGGAATGCTCTCGAGTTCTGTACAAGCATCTGACAAGACTGCCAAAAGCCGTCCGACACCTTCCGGGACGCTACGAACTATACCAACAGCGGCCCCAGGAAAGAAGCACCCATCGACATCTGGCAAGAAGACTACGACTGGTGAGCATGCTGGTTGGCTGCACTCGCTCCTGTCTGTATTTGGTCTTGGGACAAGCGATAGTTCCCTGAAAGCTGGCAGTCGGAGACTACCGAATAGCGGCGATCTTGAATGGGTCGAAATTAGCGACTGGGAAGACGACCAAAAGCCCATCAAGACCAAATCGACAGCATCCACGCCGACACCCACCAGAGCTGCAGACGGCTTCATCATCGGAGAACACGACTGGCGGGATCCTGACCTATTGCCTCCTTCTGCATCGACGAGCGAAGCACTCACAGCAGCTAGCGCAACCCCGTTGAGTACCAAAACTGATAGTAATGCCTTGCCCGGTAGTGGCGAATATACCCCAGCGAACACAAAGACCGGTGGGAAGAAGCTCTGGACCTGGTGGTCAGGCTCTAGGCACGACACAGTATCGTCAGGATCGTCCAGGCGCGCGCGCACTAGAAGCATTACCTCGATAATCGACGCAAATTCTGGCATTATCAAGACATCCCCCACGACTAGTTATCACCAAGGTCTATGGGTCACGCTTACGCCCACGAACGTTTCAAGCAGTCCTTTCTTCGATACTTTACTCGTGCTCGTTGTCAGTCCATTGGTCACACTGACTGTCGTATACGCTCTCCTCCTTCTCCGGTCTCGCATTCGACGTCGTCGTTGGAGAGCGCCCAAGTCTGTTGTGGAACGCCTGCCGGTCAGAACCTATCAGACCATTAGCGATTCATCGTCTTCAGCCACGCCTAGCGCGGCGTCCCCAACCACACCCTTACTTCAGCACTCATCCACTCGGTCAAGATCACCAGAACCTCGGTCGCGCTCAACTACGGTATCAGAGACGCCGGCCACTTCAACATCTGTACAGCACGCGTCTCGTGACCGTGAGGAAGAGAAGAAAGAATCAGGTCTGGCGGCGTGGAGAAGACGCTATGGTGGCCGCCAAAGAGAATGCGTCGTCTGTTTAGAGGAGTACGTCGACGGAGTAAGTCAAGTCATGAGCCTCCCTTGTGGTCACGAGTTCCATGCGGATTGCATGTAAGTATCCACCTCCCAGCTTTTGACGGTTCCAATCTGACGTGAGTAGCACCCCCTGGCTCGTCACGCGCCGGCGAACATGCCCCATCTGTAAAGGCGATGTTGTACGCTCTCTGAGTCGCAGCTGGCATGATCGGCTACAGTCAGCATCACCAACACGCTCACCTCGACTCTCCATTAGCGAAGAAGACGTACAAACTGAAGCAGCTGAGACTCGCAACGAGTCACCTTCTGCATCACGGCCTGTGCCAATGTCCAGGTCTGCACCCTCGGATTCATCCTTAGTTGATGACGACGTCGAGCCTGGTTGGTCCGCAGCCACTTCTAGGCGGGCTTCAGGAGAGATTCCACGGGCAGCAGAAGGTGGGACCTCGTTGCGGGAGCTAGCTTCTTCAGTTTCTACGGTAGTATGGCGTGGAGTCGATGCTGTTCGATCGAACACCGGCCTACAGCGACGCTCTCCGCCTGAAGATGTGGACCGCAATCGGTGATTTCGCTACTCATGAGTTACGTTTTAACATGATGGATTTTGGATGCATAGATGGGATATACCCTTGGGAAGCACAACGGCGTTGCATTTGGATGTGATTATACGTCAGCTCATGGCCTATTCGACAACGCCTTGGCATAACAGTAGACAGTCTTTGCGCGCTCTACTCAATCAAACAGTCACTCCTTTTCACAGATGCTGGAACCTGCTTTAGCAAGCAGTATATCTCCTTGACGTCTTACTGTTGCCCAAGCGTTTTCGCAATCTGATTGGACTTGTGCTTTGATGTGTGGTGTGGAAACTATTATAGGTAAATGCTGTGTTCTAAAAGCACTTGATATTGACTGTCTACTCGTGGTCAGAGCATCCAGCTGCATTTGGACAGATTGAATGTGCCCAGACTTGGTACAGGCCTGTCAGTGAAAACGGCCGTGGTCTCACATCTTACGGGAGGTCCGGCTTCGGATCCAATGACCTGGTTGGCAAGAACAATGGCCTAGTGTCTTGGCGTCAGCGTTCCGCGTAAGTCATCCCGCAGCTCCATACTGTCTCTACTCACGCATCGGTTCGTCGCCTTCACCACATTTGTTCGCTCATCTGGTTCTCCGCAAGTGAGCTTCAGGACCCGCCCGACCCAATGCGTCAAATGCTGCGAACTTCTCACCATCAGCAGACTCCACAAATCTAATTCGCTGCCAGGCCACGTCAGATCACCCCGAGACAAGGTAAAATGAGCGGGAAGGCGTACGACATCCCGGCTGAGAGATTGAAAACCCGGGAACCCTCGACTTATTACCCGGTCTGGGTCTGTAGCGCGTAATATACACAAACGAAGCTGTCGTGTCTCTCAGCCGCAAGAGTCTCCGTTCAATCTACGTCCCGTTGGACACAACGGGAAACAAATGACAACTGGCTTGCAGTACAACATGCAATGGTGCCTGGATACGAAAGCCACTTCACAATGATCTATGTTCCGCAGCAGACTGCATGATTTGTGCTACCTGAAAAGCTTGTCTGGCATGAACCCTGGTATGATGTTGTCGCTTTTCGCTTCATTACTGGTCTTGAAGAAAACTCTCATACACCGCAAGACAACGACCGGATCATAAACAAATGTTTACATTGCCCCGTCTGACTACACTGTTGGCTGTCTCATATGCTTCTGGGCAGTACTTCCCCATCCGAGAAATGCATCATCATCATATACCAGAAGGCGCACGTTGCCAAATATCCGCCAAGCAATCTGGTGTGCAGCTGGCAACTCGTGTTCGCCAGACCGCAAAGTTTGGTGGCTTCGGAAGGCGCAGTCTGGTTCTCTTCGAGCACTCTGGCACGTCTGAGGGGCTTTTCTTGGCCAAAGGTTGTAAGATGAGTAGCATGTTGGAACTCTTGTCAGATTAAGTTTCCGGTCCAGGGCTTCCCACGTGGTTTCCTAGTATATATCAGGGCCGACTTGGACCTCACTAGACGAACATTCGGGCATACTATAACATCAACACATTTCTACTTCTCAGCGGTAATCTTATTGTCAAAGATGAAGCTCTTTTTTGCCTTTCTCCCTCTTCTTGGCTGCGCTCTTGGGCTGGCGCAAGACTTACAGCCTGATAGTTGTGTAGCGACGTGCCCACCACCGGATTGCTCGGCTGCTATTGGTGCACTGGTATGTATCTGATGTTTCTTTCTGGCCGTCTTGTCATTGCTGAGATCGTCCAGGAATCATGCAAGTGCCTCAACGAGCGAGAATACGCGTGCAAGGCCAAATGCCCTGACTACACTCCGCGCATTCTGGTAAGCCAAAGCAGCACACATATAAAACAAGTAGCTCATAACCATGGCAGCACTGCCCTCGCCTTCCAGTATCGACAGTCAGCATACCAGAGCCCGCTCCTACGGCATGCGTTTGCGAAGAAGTTTTCTGCGTTCTTTCCTTTCCCGAGGGCTGCTACTGTCGCAACAACGCTACTCAAGCGTGCTTCGAGAAGTGCGGTGGAGAAGAGCCAACCTATCAGGACTGCACACTCCCCATTGATGAATTGGACATTCGAGCTCCCGAACCTGAGCCAGTCCCAGCTCCAGCTCCAGTCCCAGTTCCGGCACCGCAGGAAGAGACTTGTGTGTGCGAAGAGGTTATATGCGTCCTTTCTTTCCCGGAGGGTTGCTACTGCCGTAACAACGCGACGAGAGCTTGTTTCGAGAAGTGTGGTGGCGCAGAACCGATGTATCAAGATTGCAGTCTTCCTGACGTCGAGACTCGTGCCCCAGAGCCTGTACCCGAGCCGCTCCCCTTACCGGAGCCACAGGCAGATACTTGTGTATGCGAAGACGTTGTATGCATCCAGTCATGGCCAGAGAGCTGTTATTGCCGCAATGATGCCGATAAGGCATGTTACGAGAAATGCGGTGGTATAGAGCCAGTCTACCAGGACTGCACTGCTGTAGACAATGTGGTCGCTCGTGCTCCAGCACCAGAGCCCGTACCCGAGCCAGAAGCCCAGGCTTGCGTCTGCGCACCTGGTCCCCATTTTTGCCCTCAGGTCTGGCCCGATTCTTGCTACTGCGACTACAATGCAGCAAAAGCGTGCTCCGACAAGTGCGGCGGTTCCGCACCACCATTTCCAACGCAATGCCCTCCTCTGAATGCTCCTTCGGTCGAAGCGCGTGTGGCAGACCCACAGCCTGTGCCTGCCCCAGCCTCACCTCCACCAACTTGCGAATGTCCTCTGGTAAACTGCATCTCGACTTGGCCTGAATCTTGCTACTGTCAGAATGCTGCCAAGGAAAGATGTTACGAGCTGTGTGGTGGCAAGAAACCTCTTCTTCAGGTATGAATCTTGTTTTCGCTTTTGTAGTGATGACAACCGACTAACAGATAGGTCAGGTCTGTCCACCTTACCCTATCTCCACTCTCTTGACCATCACGGCCACACCCGTCCCGCTTCCCGTACCCATCACCCCCGTGCCCCTTCCTTCACCCATCACTCCCCGCCAGGCTACCCCCACCAATCAAATCTGTGGCGGCGGTCGTGCAAGCCAAGTCCTCGACTGTCCTGCGGGTCAGATCTGCATCACCGATCCATTCAAACCGGGTTCCTGCGGTCCCGCCTGTGACCAGCTGGGTATCTGCGTCGGGGAGAAGCTGTGTGGTGGGTTTGCAGGATTCGAGTGCGATATACCGGGTCAGGTTTGTGTTGATGATCCGAGAGATGACTGTGATCCGCTGAATGGTGGGAGTGATTGTGGGGGTTTGTGTGCTTGGCCACAGTGAACTATCGAATTTGAAGATAGGTTGGCGAGAGAGAGGAGGGGGCGTGGAAGGTGAAGATGTGGAGGGTGTCATAATTCTTTGAAACATTCATTTTACAAAGGGCGGCTATGTTTCTTCTAACTGAGATATTGCAATTACGTATCCGATCCTGGTATAACAAGTTTCAATCATTGTGTATGCGTTTCTTTGCAACCTCTCTCGACAACCTTTTCTAGACTCAAACCTCTCACAGCCCTAAAGCCGAGTTCATCTTGTTCCCCGCCTTCACGAACATGGTCATCAAGACTGCCACGCTCGCAGTCCACGTAACGCTCCTCAAGTAACTCGGCGTATTCGTCTGAATCTTGACGTACATGAAACTGTACACGAGGCGAAGACCGATATAGGCTCCCGCTAAAGTATTCATCGTCGCTATATTATCCTGGTTAGCTTCTACCTCTTCGGATCTTGACATATCATCAATGTCTTGTCGTTTGTCGTCATTGATCGATGAACAACCATGAGAGTGAAACATACCCGAATCCAACCCCGCCAGATTGCCCGCCAATATCGCTCCGATAAAGAACGGCGCATTCTCCATGTTGTTCTTGTGACATGCTTCCGCACGCTCGGCTTTCGTGTATAGAGGACCGGGACAGCACTTGCGGTAGAACTCTAGTGTGGAGGCGCCACGAGGGTTGGCGTTGTCGAGTTGGCCGTTTGCACCCTTCTTGAAGATCATTTGCTAGGAAGCATCGATGGTCAGTAGTAGAACAGGAAATTACTGGAGAAGGGACACGAAAAGGGAAGCGTACAGAGTACATGTGTGGGTACAGAGCAATGACCCAGTATATGGGGATGGCATGGAAGGAGTAGTTGGAAGACATGATGTTCACGTCTGATGAGGTGTAATCTGGATGGGTGGTGTCGACGACTGTGAGAAATCTTCAACTCGTTGTCCATCTTTGAATTTGGCACCTAGAACTACTTATCTACGGTAACTTTTCTTGATGCCTAGTTTACTAGTCGGCAGCTAGCTCAACAAGCCGAAGCGCTTGGACCCAGGGGTAAACTACTTCGATCAGTAATCGTTGTACGATGACCAAAATCTGTATACTACTGAGGTATGTTCGCAAGACTAGCCATGAAGCCATTCGGGCCGTCGCAAAACCGTTAGTATTCGGCCGTAACAAACAGCTTGCCGCATAATTGTCCTGTACACCGCAACTCGATATGCTAAGAATCTATTACAAGCAACTTGAAGCGATGCCTTGACTGATGTTACATATCCCCAGCCCCATGCACAAGTTCTGCTTTCACAGCTGAATCTTGTCCGCCATGCCTTGTCCACCCATCCACTCGATATAATTCTCAATACTCTTCTGCATAGCATCTGTCGCCTTCTCAATCAACCCCGTCAGAGGCGTAAGACCAGCCTGCTCCTTCATGACATCGATAAAATCATTATTGAACGCATCGTTGATGTTCACCTTGGCAACACCACACTCGATGCACTCCTTGAGTAGCTTCTCCTGGAACCATTCCTTGCCTGCTCCATGCAATACCAATGCGACTCGATCCCCCACCTTGGCATGCACATTGCGCAACCGCGGATAATCCAGTTGAGGACCTTTGGGCCCGTATTTCCCATGTACGTTTCCGAAAGCAGGGGCTAGCCAATTAATCCCCGTTGCGACGAATTCCTCAGCTTGCTCCGGAGTGGTGAGGATAGCCTCGAGACCCATCTCACTCAAATCTCCCACACCGTCCTCTCCTCCGTCAATTCTTCCCGGTTCTGCTTCTGTGATGATTCCCCTCTCGTTACAATACCTGACCAGCTCTGCAGTCTTCTCAAGGTTATCGTCAAAATGACTCATGTCGACCATGATGCCGTCGAAACCTTTGTCGAAGTTTGCGGCTTTCTTCACAATCTCTGGGGTTTGGGCGTGGTCCATATGAAGAGCTACAGGCACGCTGGCGTTGTCAGCGGCTTCGCGCGCAGCATGGAGCAGTATGCCATCGGCGTATGTGATTGCCCAGGGAAAAAGCTGGATGATTAGAGGGGCGCGTTTGGCTTCTGCTGCGCGGACAGATGCGAGGATGCCTTCGACGTTGTAGCAGCATGTTGCGCAGATTGCGTATTTGTTTGCGGCGGCGTGGGCGACGAGCTTGACGGCCTTGTTCTGGGATAGATCTGGTGCCATGATTGTGTTGGTCTGGAGATATTCCAAGATGAGGTTTGTCCCAAGGTGGCAGACTGAAGGTGAGAAGAGTGAAGGAAGAGAGCAATGTGATATGGGCGATGATGCAACTTCCCCTCGTCGTTCCGGTTACATTTCCGATATTCCGATGTCCTCTCTTATGGTGGGGCGGTCGGCAACTGCTCTCCAAGTTGAGCGGCGTAACCACCGACGTTCGGGTCATTTGCCGGCTAATTGCGGTGTCGGAATCTGTGGGCAGGTTCCCGCGGGATACCCAGTCGAGCGTGGTATACCGCGGCCTTTGCCTTACCCCAGATGCTGCCCATGACGGAGGGGGAAGCCTGGGGTAGCTTGGACGGAAAAGTCGTTGATATAGATGTTCGTTCGCGTCCGTTCTGCCAGGATGATTAGCGTCTCGCTGTCGCAGAGCGCTCCACTTAGTTTCCATTGGATGATACTGGATGGAAACCGTGAGTGCTTCAGTATGCTGCACGATCATCTATGTCAATTCTATCTTTTCTATGCCATTCCTATCTATATTCTTGCAATCTCGACTCCGCCCAGGTCTTGAGCTGCGAGAACCACCCCCTAACCCAGCAGATCACCCAGCGCATTGACATAGGCCGTGGGAACAGTCGTCGCACCCTCGGCCAAAAAGTCTTCTTTTTTGCTGACACCTGTGAGTACAGCCAGTGTGCCGCCCAACTTTCCATCGATGCCGAACTGGATATCCGTGTTCAGCCTATCTCCCACCATACAGGTCCTGCTACGATCGAATTTAAATTTGCCCTCTACGGCATCCATCATAGCTTGACTTGGCTTTCCCAAAGACAATGGCGATTTGCCAATAGCCCTCTCAAGCGAAGCGCCCGAAGCACCAGCACCAGGAAACAAGGTATGCGCATTTGGCAGCGTAGAGTCGATATTCGTAGCGAGATATATGGCACCACGCTGAAGGTACTGGAAAGCGATTGCGGTCTTGAGGTAGTTTGAGTGGAAGTCCAGTCCACTCAGCACAACGCCAACATCGGGGTCGAGCAGGCTGCCGTTCGCGATAGCCTCGAAATCTTCTGGCTGTCGGAATTCACGGTTGTAGGCGGGGTCTGTGCCGCCGATGTATGGGACGCCTTCGGCATCGAGTTCCTGTTCCACGCCGCTTTCGCCGAGCACAAAGACTTTGTTCTTCGGCGCAGGGAGATTGAGAATGCGGGCGATGTATACCGCGGCACTGTAAGAGGATCCAAAGACTTCTTCCTGTTGGCGTGTCAGCCGGTGTTATGCTATAGGGTTCCGCGTTACGTACCACCTCGGCGGGGATGCCGAGCTTTTCGAACTTCTTCTTGTAATCCGCTCGGGACTTTGTGCTGTTGTTGGTGACGAAAACGAGTTGTTTGCCTGCAACTGATCAGCATAAAGTACGCTTTCTGTAGAGAGCGAATACTTTACCTTTACTCCTCAGCATTTCCAGCGTCTCAGGGACCTTTTCGAATAGGTGATCGCCGGACCAGAGGACGCCTGTCCTTGGTCACAATCAGTAGATGTTCACATGCGATGCGAGTGCTGCCTTAATTGCGAATGCAACCGACATGCCGCATGGCGAAAAGTTGGGCGCATACCATCGCAGTCGAACAGGAAGACCTAGAACGTCTTGTGAGTACAATGCATAACAACAGTCCTTTCTGGGCACGTACATCGAACCTATCCAAGAATCCGTCGATGGCGTTTTTGTCGCCAGACAGAAATTGAGGTGCCATGATGTCAGTTGTCAAAACAGCGGTTCGCGTCAGAGAACAGACGCTCTACAGCCGACATTGGTGGGGTGCTTGGCGTGGACCCTGGATCAGCAGCGGAACCATACCGAGAATGTCCAGGTCTACCCTACTATTGTTCCTAGGGTCGCAAGGCCACACAAGGTACTCACAGACGCTCTGATTCATTGTTGTGCTTGACACACTATTTTTCATTCATTCATGCCGTTATTATTCGTCTACTATATTCGACTAGATTGGTCATCACAATCTCGGGCGATCAAGTCAATCCACAATAATCTTCTTCTCAAGTTCCTCAAAATTCTCGAAGAAGCTGTCGAACAGATTGACAGCATGTTCAACATCATGCGCACCGCCAGTCTCGCGAATGCTGTGCATGCTGAGCTGAGGGTTACCCAGATCAAGAGTGCGAGCGCCCATCGCTGCTGATAGCATGGGGCCGATGGTGCTACCACAGGAAGAGTCATTGCGGACGACAAAGAGCTGGAGCGGGACACCTTCTTTGGCCGACTTTGGATTGTAAGACGCCGCTTTCGCGCGACGGGCTGCCTCCTGAAGCAAGACAATACCTGGTGAGTTGGTGGCGTACCGGGCATTGGCATTGATCTTGATAACAGTGCCCTTGTTCATCTCAGGCCTGTGCTGGGACTCGTACTTGGCTGGGTAGTTGGGGTGCACGGAGTGGGCCATGTCGGCGGAGATCAAGAACGATGTGGCCAGCGTTTGCTCGTAAGCGGTAGCAGTATCTGCTTCAACCTTCTCAAAAGACTTGTCCGAGTTGCTGTCAGAGGCGGGTAGCACTGACAAGCGGCGGATTACAGCAGGCAACAGGTTTGAGTCCGCTCCCTGTGCAGTCTGGGAGCCGATCTCTTCATGGTCGAAGCATGCGATGAGTCGGATGGTCGAGTCGTTCTCTAACGCGGATGATGCAGAGAGACTCTTGATGATACCCTCGATGCTACAATAGGTCATCATGAGGTTGTCCAATCGCGGAGAGAAAATGAGCTCATTGTTCAGGCCACCAATAACCGACTTCTGTGTATCGTACAGAACCATCTCGAAGTCTACGATGTCACTTGGCTCAGCGCCGGCCTCCTCGGCGATGATGTCGATAATGTAGGGGTGGTGCCTTGCAGTTGGGGCAGCGAGTGGGCCCTCGGTCTCTGTGTCCTTGCTATCCTCCTTGGTCTCTTCGGTCTTGCCCTGGCGGTTCAACTCTGCAGCGACCAGGCCAGCAATAGGAAATAGTTGTGTCTCTTTGTTGAACTGGAAGTTCTCCTGGCGGTCCAGATGGATGGCTAGAGTGGGTATCCGCAAGATGGGCCTCTCGACCTTGACCAGGCGCTGCTCAATGTTGCCATCCTTTGTTCGTACCATGGCACGACCTGCGATACTGAGGTCGCGATCGAACCAGGTGTGCCAGAGACCACCGCCGTATGTCTCACAGGCTACTTGAATAAAGCCATCGCCTGTTCGCTTAGACACAGGCTTGATGCGTAGGCATGGAGAGTCGGTATGGGCGCCAATCATGGCGATGGGGTTGCCGGCCTTCCATTTGTTGCCGATAGCGAAAGCGACGATGGAGGATGTGTTACGGGTGAGGTAGTACTTGCCTCCGGGCTGGAGGGTGGGTGCCCACGAGTCGCGCTCCTGGTCCGAGTTAGCTACTGTCGCAACTGACAAGAATGGAAGTGAATGCGTACCTTGATTTGCTTGAAGCCGGCCTTCTCAAGCCTTTCTTTTGCTGACTTGACAGCGTGGAATGCTGTTGGGTGTCAGTATGTACCTGAATGACGACAGCATGCGACATACGTGTAGGCGAAGCATTGACGAAAGAGAGGAAGTCCTCGGCAGCTTTGAGAGAGGGTTTGGTCGACATGGTCCGGATATGCAACGAGATGAAGGTCGAATGTGATACAGCAAGGGGTGAGGTCGGTGCGCAGTGCAGTAGTGTAATTCGCAGCTTGGATGATGGCAGCATTAAGGATTGGACACAACGTCTACCAGCTGAGCGCGGGCGGTGTGGGGTATCGATTGAGAGGCGGTTGAGCGCCTGGCGGGAGCAAGCGCTAGGCTCCACCCGGCGGCGATGCGCGGCGCTGATTGGACGAGGCGTCTCCAACGCGTCGAGAGGAAAGGGAACATCAAAACATGGCGACATGGCAGCCACGACGTGACGGGCACTTGCCTCGCGTGTCGCGGCGACTCCTCACACTTCACTCGCGACTTGAATTGGACCATCAACCCAACACCGACTTCACCTTCACCTGTATTCAGCTTACATTGGCCCGCATCCGGCCCATTACTATCCACTCTCGCTACGTGCGCGCCCGCCTGTCTCTCGTTGCTCCCCCAGCACCCTGCGGCTGTCTAGCATACAAGCTCCGACCCGCAACCACAACAAGGTCACCGCCGCCCACCCCGCCCGTTGCGCGCCCACCACCAACACCACGGCCACCCTGCCCACCACTATCGTGACTCGATGCGCACCGAAATCGAATAAAAGGCATATCTATTGTTGGCACTGTTGTGCGCCGCGACGACCTGTCATTGGTTAAGAGGAGGGCAAACGACTTAGGGGCTATCAATCATCACAATACCACGACTCGACGTCACCGCGCCATTCAACTCATTGTTCCCACCTTTACCTTCGTTTCAGGCGACCATTATCCCGCCGCCTAGGATAACACTGCGACCTGCCATCTGTCATCGCCTACACCCCGCCACGACAACATCGCTTTCTTTGGTACCATGGTCCATACACGCAGCAACAGCAAGGCACAGCCCGGCGCATTCTTCTCCGCACCGCCGGGTGACTTGGGGAAGACAGTTGCTACGAATGCGCAACTCGACGACGATATTGCAACCCCGACGCTGATATCACCACCCGAGTCAAAGACGCCTCCGACCGCCTCCCACAAGCGTAACCAGATCTTCCCCTCGAACCCGCTCGATCGGAGCTCAGAACCCATAGACGCGGCCGCTTTGACCAAGGCACTTGGTCACATTGAGCAGGCTGGCCGAGTTAGGGAGCGGACGCCTACAGCGAGCCCAAGCCGAAAGCGCCCGCGCATATACGGCGACAGGTGAGATGGTCATACTCAGTCACATCGAAACCACCGTACTGACTTGTCTCCAGATTCATCCCAAATCGCGCAGGCCAAGATCTACAGGCAAGCTTCAATCTCCTCCACGATGAGGCATCGCCCGCGACGCCGTCCAAAGCCAGGCGTACTCCCCACCATGAACTGCATTTCCAGAAGAGTAAGCACCCACAGTCGCCTACTATACAACTGCTGACCTTTTGCAGCTGAAGAGGCCAACCGCACATACTCCGCCGTACTCCGCCAAGAGATGTTTGAGGGCTCCGTGCCTCAAGCCTTTCCCCAGAGTTTGTCTCCGACCGACAGTGCCAACATGCGAGGCGCAGGACGCTCACATACTCCCCCAGCCAGGACTGCAGCTACATTACCACCGCCTTCAGGGACGCCGTCAACCCCGCACAAAAATCTTTTCTCATACTCGGGCCAGCCAACTCCGTCACGGACGCCTTCAAGTCGGCACGGCATCCTTAATCTCAACGCCCGCTCAGATCTATACAGCCTATCACCAATCAAATACAGCAGCCAGCGCATGCTTCTCAGTCCCCAACGCCAAGCCCGTGCCGTCTCCAAGGTGCCATACAAGGTTTTGGATGCACCGGATCTCGCTGATGACTTCTACCTCAACCTCGTCGACTGGGGTAGCCAAAACACCCTTGGAGTAGGCCTCGGCTCATGTGTCTACATGTGGAACTCAAGTAGTGGCCGCGTCACCAAGCTTTGCGAACTACAAGACGATTCCGTCACAAGTGTCAACTGGATACAGCGTGTAAGTGTTGCCATTTTTATTATACCGTCCATGCTTATGTCCTTCAGGGATCACACATTGCCGTTGGCACGAATCGAGGTCAAGTACAAATCTGGGACGCACAGACTCAGCGACGTCTCCGTACCATGACCGGTCATACTGCTAGGGTCGGTGCCCTTGCATGGAACGAACACATCCTCACTTCTGGATCAAGAGACCGCACAATCTATCATCGCGACGTCCGACAACCAGAGCAATGGCTTCGAAAGCTTGTCGGTCACAAGCAAGAAGTCTGTGGTCTCAAGTGGAACCAAGAAGATGGACAACTCGCCTCTGGAGGCAACGACAACAAGCTCATGGTGTGGGAGAAGCTCAACGCCGAGCCCACTTTTAAGTGGAGTGAACACCAAGCTGCCGTCAAGGCCATTGCTTGGAGCCCTCACCAGCGTGGTCTCCTTGCTAGTGGTGGTGGTACCGCAGACCGAACCATCAAATTCTGGAATACCCTCGTCAACTCCAACGGGCCGTCAGCGTCAGCCCTGGCATCCGCCTCCGCTGCTGCCTCAGCTGCGTCAACAGCGAACATCCCCTTATCACCCACCGCACCAGCCAACCTCATCAACAGTCTTGACACCGGAAGTCAAGTTTGCAACCTAGCATGGTCTAAAAACAGCAACGAAATCGTCTCCACACATGGCTACAGTCAGAACCAAATCATTGTCTGGAAATACCCAAGCATGCAACAAGTCGTCTCGTTGACAGGCCATACCTACCGTGTCCTCTACTTGGCCATGAGTCCAGACGGTCAGGTCATCGTCACGGGTGCTGGCGATGAGACTCTGCGATTCTGGAATGCGTTCAAGAAGAAGGAGCGCACTGGGGGTCTTAGCAGTATGGATAGTTGGGGCGTCATTCGCTGACGACTTGTTTCTGTTCTGCAACCAGGCTTCTACGAAAGTGTACTATAGGACTGATTTCGCGGTTCCTCGCATGTTCAGTCCATGTTACTTCCTTTCTTGCAACGATTTCAGCGGCATTTTCTTGTATGGTTATGATTAGTACCTGGGCTTTATCTTATCATGAGCATGGGTGGTGTTTTGGGCGTTCTGAGCGGCGAGATACCACGGGAACCTCTTATCGACGGCGTTGGGGGGCGCAAAACTAGCCTGCCATATATGCTTCGTTTTGAGCATGGGGTGAAGAGAGTTCTGGGTATGAGCGTGGAGAAGAAATCATCTCAGAGGTCTATGGCTTACTGCTATGTTCATCTTTCATGTACTCGTTGAGAACTGCTTCAGAGCGGCGGTTCTTCTATGCATTTGCTTTGGCGACCCACATATCTTGGGTCGCGGGCTGGCGTTTGGGGATCATATGGAGGATGGCCCGGTTGGATACCCTATGTGTTGGGGTTATTCTTGGATAGGCCGAAGCCTTTCCGACTACAAGTGTACATTATTAGCTACCATACCACGTTAATCAAGCGCGGAACTTTCAATCATCTTCTTTGTTCTCAGTGAATTCAAAACGACTGAAGGCTATGAGCATCCGGCCAGACGGCAACCCTTCACGAACAAGGCCTGCATGTTCGTTGCGAAATGGGCGAACTCTGTTTCAATCATTGACGAGTGGCGTAGGGGTAATGTGAGGTGGCATGGGAAAAGATATGTTGACAAAGAGTGCTTGCTGAAGCATAATTGGTAATGCTGACACGCAGCCAATAGAACGCGTACTAGAGTATCAAAGTGCTATATTGACGTGAAAAAAAGCTGGTCTTTGAACAGGGCAAAAGCCACCAAATCATCCACCACTAAGAGAGGCCACACTCCATACGCCAGTGACACCCTACCCAACCTTCATGACCATGCGCTGTCCTATGCACCCAAACTCCAATCCATCACTGCTGCTCACTCCCTACTCCTCCATCTTCTCTCCCCCAGCCCCATTAACAACCCCCGCATTCCCATCCCCCAAATGCTTCAACAACCAACTCCTCTTGAAATACGTATTCGGATGCACAATGGTATCCAAATCACTCCCACTCCAGCTCCCATCCTGCTTCACCTTGTTAATCTCCTTTTTGTGACTCCATTCAAATACGCGGTTGCACGCAACATGGTACCGCTGCTTGCCCACGTCCTCCTTGACCACTTTGAGCACATCGCGGTCGTTTACGCCGACGCGCTGAAGCATCGAGAGCAAGTTGTCCGGCGTGAAGGTGCGGTAAGGACATCCATGGGACTGTCCCGGACCGGGTAGCGGCTCCGTGAGGAGTTTTTGACACGAGTAAGGAGTGTAGCCGCGTCCGCGCCTGTTTGCGTCGCCGCCCACGTCGCCGTAGGAATGTCGGATGTTGTATTTGTATTCTTTTTGGAACTTCTCGTCTGTTATCAGTTTGAAGGAGCGCCGCCAGAAGACGAGACATTCGTCTAGACTCAGGCCGATGCCTTTGAGGAACAGGGTGTATTGGAGCCGGCCAAAGTGCTTCAGGTGCGATTGGTCGCGCAGTGTCATGTGTAAGTTGCGCATGCACAGGGGGAAGTTTTGGGACAGGGTGTCGATGGAAGCCGCGGTTATGGTGCTGAGGCCTGAGATGTTGGCGTCGGCGGTGGTGTATGCGGCGTCGGGGGCGGTGAAGGATTGAGAGAGGTGGGCGAGTATGGGGGCAAGGCGGTCGTCTTCGTCGAGGCGAGGGAGGGCGCGTGCTGTCAGCTAGACAGTTGTTAGTGACCTTATCTTAGGGGATAGAGATGGCGGCGTGGGTACCTCGAGTGCTTCGTCGAGCTTCTTGGTGAACTCGGCGACTACCAGACTCATCTGTTCTCGTTGCGGGACGTAGGCCATTCCTCGTTTCAGCAGGACTTTTCTTTGTGACACGAGCTCGGGGACGCGCTCCCAGTCCACTTTGAACCATTCCTGGTCCTCGCCCTTCTTGATGCCACTCGCAGCATGCAAGTCCTCCCTCAGCTCCCTCTTCTCGTCTTCCCTGACCTCTTCCCACTCCAGATTCAGGCTCCTTACAAACTCCTGCCTCTCTCGTAGATCGTCGTCCTTGAACCTTAGGGTAAACAGCATAGTCTCCAGTCTCGAAAACCGCCGTCGCAAGTCCTCGGTCGAGGAAAAGGCCAGGCGCAGGATGAAGTGTGAATAGTGGTCTCTCCGCCTCTCCTCCTGTAATTTCTGACTTCGCGACGAATCTGATCGCAGTGGGAGGTACTTTTCCAATATGCTCTTCATGTATTCGGCCGTCTCTTCTGGACTCTTGTTTCGGAAACTGCAGGCTTCTAGTTCGGAGAGGACTGTTTCGGGCATCGTCAGCGAATCCTCAGGACTACATAGCCAACAGACTGACCCTTCAATCTGTCGATAGCCCACGTCTCAAACTCGTCCAAGGTAATCTCTGCCGTGGGAGGCAGGACGTAGAAGTTGAGCCTGTGTTCATATTTTTGCTGTTCAAAGTCCGCTTTGGCGAATTGGCGTCTCTTGGGGTCGACCTGCGCGCGGCGCTTGGGGTCGACGCGGGAGTAGTCGTGGCGGATCATGGCGTTGTAGATATGCTGCGTATTCTGCGGCGGCGTTGACGTTGCGGAGGTTGATCATATTAAAGTGGCAGGCGCGTTCGCGTGGACGCGCAAAACACGCTAGCCAAATGTAGCCAGCGCGCGACTGGCGTGTCCTATTGGCTCACTGTCAACACCGCGTTCTACATATGCGAGCTGTAACTCAAGAGTAGACAATCTTGATGGCTTTATCCAAGTTTCCTCACATATACATAGACGTTCTAAGGATCATCATGGTTTTGTACCGACCTTTGGCGGCCAAGTTTCATAAAGTTAATGCGCTATACCAAAGAATCGTATTATCCTAAGCCCGATTTGCCTCACGAATTGAAGATATCAACTGGAAACGCATCAGCAATCGCCTGATACCCCGCGACATTTGGATGTAACCCATCACCCCCATTGTACTTCGGATCCAACTGCTCGGTATTCGCTTTATTCGCGACCATACCCGCAATATCAACTGCAAAATCATAGTTCCCACTCTCCAGGATCCACTTATTCACCCTCTTCCTTGTCTTCTCCCTCTCAGCACCCTGATAGCTGTTTCCCGCAAAAGGCGTAATCGTTCCACCGATCGTGGTGTAACCGGCCTTCTTCGCATCAGCAGCGATCTGCTTGAACGCAGCGATGAGGCGATCACCGATAGAGGTTTGCGTGGCGGCATTATCAGCACCGCCCCCGATATCATTGACGCCTTCAAAGACCATGACCCATTTCACGCCGGGCTGATCGATGGCGTCGCGCTTGTAGCGAGTTAGGAGGGGTGGGCCCAGACCGCCGCTTAAGACTGTGTTGCCGCCTGCAGCTTGGTTACAGATGGCGACGTTGGTGTGGTTGGAAGATTGAAGTCGGGCGAGTACGAGGTCGGGCCAGCGGTTGTTCTTGTTGTCATCTGAACCACGCCCATCGGTGATGCTGTCGCCAAGGACCATCATAGAGTTGGTGTTGGTGGGTACGTAGGCTTGAACGGCGCTGACGAAGTACCTGTAGTTCAATTAGTATGCCCCTCTTTACATAGATTACAGTTCTGACATACCAGTGCACACTGGAAGTTCCAGAGAAAGTCGTAGTATTGACCTTGTTTCCACTCACAAACCAACTAGTCGTCCTACTGCCCGGATGACCAGTGATACTGCTTCCGCTCTGCCCCTGCTGACTGTACAAGCTCACTGTGAGCATGCTCTGCGGTTTGACTTCGAAAGAAATTTCATCGCTGATAACAACCTGGCCCTTGGGCACAGTAAAGCTGCTTTTCCCACCAACAGTGATGGCTGCCAGTGGCGAGGCTTGAATGCCACTAACACCCGCCGCACCACCTGCTGGAAGCCCAACGGAACCTGCGGTTATGGGGAGATCAGAGCCACCAAAGGTGTTGGAGATTGTGATTTTGATCTTCGGGGCGCCGACAGACATGTGGAGGTTTTGGCGGAGTGTCGCATCCCGGAGAACACTTCCGGAACTCTACGATCATGTTAGAATTGCGAAGATGTATCTAGAATAGTGTAGGTGTTTGCCATACGAATTGCGCTGGCGGCATGTTGCTCGCTTCTACCAATTGCGGCATGCTGGTCCAGGTGTTAATCCAATGCGACGCATCTTGTCGCTTCTCGACAGCTTCAATCGCACGCCCATTGATAGTCGGCGATATCAAAGAAAGCGTTGCTAAAGTGACAGAAAGGAGTGACGTATAAATCATCGGGACGTAGAACGGGAACACTAGCGACCTGGATGACGAGGAAACATCGCGGCATTCGACTGGCTTTTGACCACTTCATTTAGCATTTCAAAACAAGCTTCTGCTCGGTCACATTGCGTACTGCAATTTATCTCCAATTTCAGTAGAGGCGGCTGCTTTGTCAATGCGACAACCGCAAATGATGTGGGGAGGCAGCTCTCGAGCGAGCGGGCGTTTGGAAGTGATTAATTCCGCAGGGTATAGGATGATCGTCTTATAGCCACTGCCTTTTGTCCTGAGAATAGCCGGGGCTCAGACCAACTTGAGATCGTGTCAAGCGTTGTTCCACGAATGAGTATTTGCATATCTTTGAAGTTGCTCCCGAACAACAATAGTTTATATGATAAAATCATGACTTCCACATTGCATAGCATAGCGCTTTTCTAGAAGGTAGATATTGGGAGCGAGCAAAGCTTGATCCCAAACGCGTTAGTCCTACATCGCGCGCTTTGATGCCCCACCCTACATGTCTGCTTCGGTTCCCGAGTAGTACTTGAACACTGATGTTAGAGAGCGAGTGCATCACCAACGCGTCCTCCTTCACGTGTGTGCTGTGAAGGATTCACCGTGTCCGAACAGAGTAATGGCGGAGATGACGTCATTTTCATATCCCTGGGCTGGTCAGCTATCGACTACAGCACCATTGAGTCAAAGAGAAGCCTTCGTGTGTAATGAAGAGTATGAGAGCAGAATGAGATGGACACAAGTCGAATCCATCAAAGGACCATCGCAGCTGACCGTATAAGATTTAGACGCGCACGTTCCACGGCTCTCCCATAGTTACCGTTGTTCCCTCGCTTCGCGCTCTTCTTTGTCCATCAAACCGCCAATTGATGTCTGGGCGAGAGTGATCCCAGTTTGAGTTCCACAGAGTCTGGATCTCTGAGCTTTGTGTAGCTGCTCTGGAACCATCTAAACGTTGTGAAGCCTGGAAATGTGCGGCGAGTAGAGGCTAACGAACTTCAGCTTCGTGCTGGTAGTCACTAGAGCACATTGCGTAAGTATACTCCAAAAATATATCTATATCGCTATGTCGACCATATCCTAAGTATACATTCAGCGGCTAATTCAGTCATCATGCACGAGCGCCTTCACATTGCTATGCCACAGACTGGACATCTGCCGAACTGCTGGTCAAGCTTGCGCAATCTCTACAGGAAACATGTTCCATGTATAACGCAACCACAATCCGGCGACATATCAAGTCGTTTTCGTGCATGCCGAGAATGGTGACCGCACAGCTGGCATTGCTCAGCACGTGCAAGGTCTATAGGGGAATGCGCTACAGCATGGCGAAGAAGAAACTCCTTTTGGTAGGGCAGTAAGAATGTCGCGGTATGGAGATTCTACTCAAAGGGTGAGCTCAGTCTTGCGGTCTTACGTGCGTAATCGAACGTACCATTGATGGTTTGTTCGTGCCGGAGTCTGGAGTGCTTGGCTTCCGATTCCGAAGCTGTGTCCCATTCCCGTCCCTCGAGCTTTTTCAGCGTTGCAGTGTGTCGTCGGCGTACGGGTGTAGCCGGAAGTTCCACCGGCGATCTACAATCTGTGAGTTCTGCAACCGGAGTCTGATTTCCTTCATCGCGGCCGAAACCTGGAAGTTCGACTGGCAAACTACGAGCGAAAAGCTCCTCCACCGAAATTCGGCTGGCCATGTCTCCATACTTCTCATAGTGGAGACGATCTCGGTACCACAGACCATTGTCGAACGGCAGAGGTTCACGGCGGGTTGTGGTACCATAATCATCCTCTTGGTATCCTCCACCCTCTTCGTAACATCCATTTTCTCCGTGAATACCAAGAGGATCGCCGGGGACCGGGACTCCTTTCATCGAACCAGAGTCGAAATTTGGAAGGTCGGCATCCTCATCATAGCTACCATGCACGATCCCCGTTGCTTGCATCTCAGCGGAATCTGGGATATCCAGATCTGGAAAACGCTTGAGCAGCCCACGAATGGCCTTTTTTTCATACACTGAGCAGATGTAACAGGTAGTGAGAGCTAGAACGGCAAGCCAGTCTCGTGTGCGCGACGGATCAAACACATCCGTATTCACAGCTGTGTCTGCCTCGCCTTGAGACTGGGACGAGGAGGTAGACGAAGAAGCACGCTGGGTCATGTTCAGTGCTACTGAAGGACTTGCCGACCTTGAAGGTGGTACGGTGCCCATCGGTGTGCTGTAAGCCGATTCTGCACCGGGTCGAGCCTTCGAAAGTGATGGATGGGCGGTCTGCCACGCTTGAGAGAGCATTCCTGGCTCACGTTCTGGTGTTGCTTCTTGTATTGAGACATGACCACGATGTTCTGGCATGACCGAAGTTTTACGCTCGATTTTGTCCCGCACTTCCACCTCTGGCGATATCGTTCGTCGATGTTTCTTCCCGCTGTCTTGGTACGTTCTCGGGTGACCAGGCTGGTCTCGTACAATGAATGAGTACGGAGGGGGTGAGCTGTTGTCGAAGAATTTCCACTGCTTCTTGGTAGCCGTGAGCTCGCCGCTGTGTGCGCAGAAGAACTCCGCGCATCGCTCGATGATCTCGGGATGCCGAGGGGTGCCATAGTCATGGCTCCATGGCTGTAGGCAGCGACACACAACGTCCTTGTTTCGATTGGCATAATGAAACTTGTCAGCGTAGACCCCTTCTACCTCCCACTTGGCGTCTTGCCATTCGTGGTAATCTTGTAGGTCGGCAACGGCGCACGATTGGAGATTATGGCGTTCTAGATACAGCGTAAGATCTGCACTCAGATGCCTCGATTCGAAAGCCACGCAGGAGATTCGCACGGAATGCCGCCTAGGGTTCGTACATAGGCAGACATATGTACGTCCTTTGCCAACGTAGTGCAGGATACGTTCGTGTGGTGCCAAGGACGAGGCTGATCCTCGAGATGACTCTTTCCCCCTGCGGACCTTGACATCTCCGGTGCGCTTACTACGCACGAAGGCGTGATCGAGAGTGTTCCTCAAGAGTGATGGCATCTCGACTCGAGGACCTATGTGTGCGTGAGGGCAGGTCAATTAGAAAGCTGTATGGGTTAGTGATGACCCAAGAAATATGGACAGAGGAGTTTGATCATCTCTCACGACTACTTGTGACTCGAATGTCTGTGCAACTTTCCCAGGCTAAGGGGGGCAAATTAGGCACTCCTTTGCGACCTTGTGCACGGAACAGGACAAGGAAAGACGTACTTAATGAGACACGACATCGAAACCGATATGGACTGGGCACGCACAATGCATTTCATCGCAACCGCTGTTCAGTCGCGTTGTGCGAGAGATATATACGTATCTTAGACGATATGCCTTTCATGACTTCACAATGTCAGCGCTTCAGGTTCAACGCTCTCACTTGCGGTGAATACAGAATGCAAATCGTGACTCACAGTACATGAGTCCGAAAATAAGATCTGTCAACTACTGTTTGTGATAGCGACAACTTCAATACTAGGCTATCGCCAAAACGCGAGAGCACTCTCGAACTTCTTGCTCTCTATGCCTCCTGGAGATTTGTTTCATCACCATCATCGAACAACCCGTCCAGGTCTGAACCGTCTAGCTCAGTATTCCCTTCCGTATCAGCTGATTCTTGTGCCTCAAGCGGCAGTAGTTCCTCGGTCTTCTCATCAAAAGCTGCCTCTCTGTCCGCAATGCTAGATGGTTCCGGACGCTTCAGGACAATCTTCTGGTCCTGTGAGAGCTGCAAAAGTTGGACCTGAGAAAGCCGTGCAGCCCACCACTCCCCGAAGCGTGGCCAGTCGGGCCATTTCTTACGCTGCTCCACAAGTCGACAATCCTCAAAATCCTGCTTGTCTCGCATGTTGATCCGTGCAATATTCCAATCAAATGCGAGTCGTGCAACAGCTACATCAGGACATACTTGAGGTGCTATTCCTTCATACTGCTGACTTGAGTTTGGTGTCGCAGCAGATAAAGATCCAGGCATCGCATCTCCAAGTGATTCCTGCTGCGAAACTGGTTGTTTCCTCTTCTCCTGGCTTACCTTTTCCGTGTTGTCCATCTGCCTTTTCTGTTTCTGCTTCTTCTCCTCGTTACCACTTCGCTCTGTATCTACCTCTTCATTGCCTGATTTCACTCGTGCTCGCTGTCCTTCTGCAGCGAGCTGAGCCCGTCTCAACGCCTGATTCTGATGTGTTGGCCAGGTCATATGGCTCCGATGCAAATCGCCGTTCTCTATCAGGCGCTCAACCTGTGACTTCCACGTACTGATACTCCTATAGATCGCTTGCTTCATTTTACGCTCATCCAGCCCATTTTTGCAGCAAGGCCACCTCCTTTCATAACGGTGCATGCATTGGTATATTCCCTCTTCGTTTGGAGTGAAGTCGCTGATTTTGTCCAAAGGGTACGATGGCACTGCGACTTTGTCCAAAGGATGCTTGATTTTATCTGGCTTAGGTGGCTTTCCTGGCAGTGTTGACGGTTCATCAGACTGAGATAAGGGGCTCTGAACCTTTTCTGTGGTGTTGTTCCTTGTAGCCAGCTGCTCCGCTACGAGCACTGACTTAGAAGGAGGCACCTGTGGCGTCTCATTGTCTAAAGTCGCATCGACAAGTGGCGTACCGCGAGCTTTCATCTTCGATCGCTCGAATGCATCAATCATGGCCTGGTTGACAGGGGTCTCGATGGCTTGCTCCTCCACTTTCTGGTCCCAACACCGACGTCTGTGCGTATCGACAATCTGTTCGAAGGATTCCACCCACTCCTTCTCTTTCTGCAGCAAAAATGCTTGAAAGTTCAGAATCCACGCCCAACGTCTCTGAAAATCTTCGCTAGCCTGGTTATACATAATCATCTCACGCGCTTCCTCAGTCAACATACGGTACGCGGCATAGCGTAACAAAGGCGAAAGAGAGCGCAAAGACCACACCTCAGTGGGAATCAGATCATGTTTAATGCCAACAGAACTTCCTAAAGCGCCTTGCTCAGGGGGAATACCAGGAACGATCTCGGTAATACGACCTTGGAGGTCTGCTTCCGCTCTAAAAAGCCATGCGTTTTGCCTGGTGTAAATGTCTTGCCACGCTGCTTGTTCAGCCGATGTGGAAACCGGAACATCTTGGCCATAGTCTGCTGCAGTTAGGGCTAAGATAAGCCTCTCCTCTACTGGCTGTTCATAAACTGGAGGATTTGTAGCGATCGAAGGGTCCAAAGGGTAATAATGTCCTTGATCAGGCGGAACTTGAGGCACACTCATAGGTTGTTCATCCGGGTGGTATTGATGCGGATAGTCTACATAGTCGTGGCTCCGCTGAGTAGCTGGTGGAGGCTGGTAGGGTACTGTGAGGCTGTACTGTCCATTCAAATCTCTGTATGCGGGGGCTGGAGCATACGTGTCGTAAGGTGGAACTTGATGGCCTACAGCAATCCCGTTGATGTCTGGAAGTCGTGTATCGGGTATGTCTGGATACGCAGGCTGAACAGAAAATAGCGACGATGATGATTGTGGAGTGGATCCCAAGAACGCCTGAGAGTAATTGTTGGGGAACTCATTGGGAGCTTCAATGAGCGTTTGGAATTCACTCCGGCATTGCGTCTTCATGGAGTCTTTGGTGTTCTCTTCGCAGGTGCGTTTTGAGGCGCGCAGGGTAGCTGGAGATGTTGGTGGCAGCCATGCCATTGTACAGAAGTTGTACAGGCACTTGAGGTAATCGCACAGATTATGTACTTAATTTGCCTTAGATGCCACCTAGTATCAGGATGAAAAGGTTCCCGGGACAGGTTGTGGTTGAGAATGCTGAAGGTTGTGCCTATGAGAAAGGGTTGAAATCATCGTAAACTTCAACTTGGCAGTCTTTCATTAAGTCTATGTTGTTCCGCTTTGATCGGAAGAACGTCAGCTAGGTACAGTTAAACGCTCTCACGCAAACTTGCCTTTACTTTTGATTCTAACCTAAGTAAACTACTGCCTTGAAATCCAGAATGTTCCGATCCTACTGCGTACGCTAGTAACTAGGTTAGGCTGGGTCAGAGTTAGTCAGAGTTCGTAAGACTCTAACTCAACTATGACCTATAGTCTATAGTTTTAACAACAATGGTAAGTATAAGTTAAGTCAAAGTAGTCTAAGCGTAAGTCAAGTCCAAGAATAGTATATCTAAGTATATCGATATATACCTACCTCTTTCTAGAGTATCATAATATATAACCACTTCTTTTTATAGTGGAATTGAACAAGCGCATGTGCAATTAAGACTAATGACCTCAGGTACCTAGGCTTACGTTGAACAACTACATAGCTTTAGAAAGAGAGGCTGATACACCTTGAAGTTTTAGTTCCTTGTGTACTGGGGATGGTCTCAACCACCGGAAGTTGGACTTGAAGGGGGTGTAATAAAGCCGTTAGAGTATATTTCTAACAGGCTACTTCGCAATATGATCACTGCGGCCTTCTCCAGCAGCCGATTTCTCTTCATGCATCTCTACAAACTCATCAGGCGATGGAGATTCTATGAGATCACCAGGATAGGGGACCTCCGCTCTGCCAAACTCGATAAGTATCGAGGCTACATCGTCATGGCCATTTGCGACCGCCAGTGAGAGCGCTGTTTGATCTCGTTGGTCTTTGATGTGAACATCGGCATGTCCAACCTCCAGCAAACGTCTCACCACACCCGCGTACCCCAACTCCGAAGCTAGAATTAACGGATTACGACCTGACGTGTCCACCACGTCTACCTTCACGGAAGTGCTCAGCAACAGCGACACAATGACCTCGTGATTGTGGTTGATAGGGCAGAACAAAGGCGTGAAGCCTTCATCGTCTGGCAGATCTATATCGATGTCGTTGTTTTCGAGGAGTATCGAGACGACCTCTGCATGGCTGTGTGCTGCAGCCCATGAGAGAGCAGTTCTGCCAAGCTTGGATTCTTTGACGTTGACACCCAGCTTCGCGGCCTGGAAAAGGGCTTCTACTACAGGTGCGTGTCCACCAGACGCAGCCCACATGAGAGGCGTCCAACCAGATTTGCTAACGAGACCAATATCACTCTCGTCGTACGCGAGTAATGCGCGTACAGTCGATTCGTGTCCATCTGCTGCAGCCCAAAAAAGCGCCGTCTGGCCATAGAAATCCAGCGCAAATCCCAGGCTACGGTCGTGGCTTTGATTCAGCAGGAGCTTCACCACAGCGGTGTGCCCATCTCCAGCTGCCCACGCTAAGGCTGTTCGCCCATACTCGAGATCTGTCATACCAGAAACATCGATGCACTCATTGTTCAAGAAAATGCTTACTACCTCGAGATTCCCCTCTTGGCTGCGAGAGAGCAAGAAGTCCGGCCTTGCGTTGTGTCTTGTGTGCGTAGGTCAACCGGCACCGCTCGTAATATTACTTGCACAAGATCGATATGACCAGCCTCAGCTGCCCACATCAAGGCCGTGCGGCTGGACTCGATTTCCAAAGAGTCCACATCAAATTGAATCGCTGCAAGTAGCATGTCTGCTGTCTCTGTATGGCCGTTTCTACAAGCCCAAGAGAGTGCTATTCGACCCTTTGTAGTATCTCCACGCATAGCTTGCGCACCGCCATTGGCAAGCAACCGTCTCACGACACCTATCTGGTCACCTCTTGCGCCTGGTATGAGTGGAGTGTGACCCTCATTATTCATTGCGTCGACAGTACTAGAATTCTGATGCAGAAGTAGATCGAGGGTATCGTCAGCCCCGTTCTCGGCCGCACAAAACAGAGCAGTTCGGCCGTGCTTCAATTCCTGCAAATTTACGTCAAGGTTGGAACACCTCAGAAGCCGCTCAACAGTTTCTCTGTGCCGTCCGACAGTAGCGCATGGTAACGCTGTCCAGCCATTAACATCCTGTGAATTGATGTACACTTGATTCGACGTAAGGAGAACGTCAACAACATCAACATGGCTATATGCTGCCGCTACGATCAACGGAGTCCGTCCATTCCAATCTCTCAGGTCTGGGTCCGTAGCCGTCGCTGTGAGAAGAACGCTAGTGAGGTCGATAAGACCACTTCGTGCCGCAAAAACCATCGATGAGGGACCGCTGTGCCACTGCTCTGCGACGTCGTCCTCGGCCAAACCGAAAAATGCTCTGTTTTCGCGGATAAGGTTTTGGAGAATATGCTTTACTTGGTCTGGTAGATGAGAATCGCCTTGGATGAGCGCGATGTTCCAAGAGCGAACAAGCGTTTTGACATGGTCATCCAATCTGATGGTATCTGTGTTTTGAAACAGGTTGCCCACCTGAAATTCTGCAAACTCGGTTGGACTGACTGTCCAATTCCAAACAGGTACGAAATCCCGAGTGCAGCTCTTCGTGCAGATTGGAAAGTTTGCTGCTCGATTGATCTCAGGGCCAATCATGATGACGTCGAAATATTCGTTATTCAGTCTCAGAAAGACTTCTTTACGAGAACCACGCGAATAACACAAAGGATCGCCGTTCTTCACGCGTTTTGACGGCCGCGGAAAAGATACTTTGAACCTGTGATTGTCTCCTGGCAGAGAGGGGTTTACAGTGCGACAGTCAATAAATCCAACTAGCATTCTCCAGTCTTGAGTTGTTGTCACTGAGGTTACTCTGCCAGGAACACACCCCTTTATCCGAATGACGGCTAGTTCTGCGTCATCACAGGCTGACACAGTAACATTGCCAAGCAGACACTTCACGAGCCGCTCCATCAATACCCCCTAGGGCAACATATAGTTCGGCTCTAATTCAGTACCGCTGTGGTCCTCGGTACTCATACCAAAAAGAGCATATATTTTGTCATGCCGATTTGTAGCCATCTGGCCGTGGTATTGCTCCACCAGCTCGCTGAGAGAGCATATCCCAAACGAGCACTTGTTTGATCGGACTGTTACTTGTTTTTGTTGGCGTAAGACTGCACCTCTCATTAGAAAGCTGACGGCGCAATATGGTATCGGGCAAAAGGTGTTGAGCTCATCTAATCGCAAACAGAAAGCATGGCCATCAATTTCAGCTGTGCCACATAACAAGGTGATATGTCGAGCTCCTTTGGCTTCCTGAAGTGTCTACACCGACATGGTTATCAATCAGCTGATACAGCATGTGCCAGATAATAAATACTCACATGCGACCAAACCAAGGCCTTCAAAATAGGCATGCCACAGCGCGTTGCACTTTCTTGTCGCTGAGCCCAAATCTACTATCGTTATATTTCTAAATTTCAATCCTTTTTATTATACTAAAGCTTACTATGTCTAATATATCGTAAGTTATAATATAGATAAAGTACAAATATTAACCTTTAAGTTAAATAAAATCTAGCAATAACTATAGGTACTATTACAAATATAGGAATAATTAAAGCTATAGAATAGTGTAGTAATTATTAATTTAATAATATTATAATATATTATAAGAGTAGATAATAGTACTAGTTCTAAACTAATTTATGCTCTCTAAGTTACTCTATAAATTTACTAATAAAAAGTTTACTAGTAAGCCTATATACTATAAATTAATTCTTAGATATATAACTATATATATAAGGCGTAACTATAGGTAATAGTACTTACTTTATATTACTAGAGGTAGTAGAAGATAGCTTATATATTTTAACTATAGGTATAAGTTATAAAGAGAATAATTTTTACTTTACTCTAGAAAGGAAGACACGCCTTATAAGTATATATAGCGCGTGCTTTCTTCCTCTAGAGAACGTATACCTCTAGTCTCTATTCTAATATATATAGTAAGTTTAGTATAAGTTTATAATAAGATTCTTAGCTAAAAGCTTTCTTATTTTATTCTGTTATTTTAGAATTAGTAATTATCTAATAGATTTATACTTTAATTCTATTATAGTATAGTAATAATACTTAGTTTGTATTTTAGATACTAAGAAGTATAAGATATAAAAGTTTACTTAAGTTTATAACTTACTATATACTAAACTAATTAAAGGTCTTATTTCTAGTATTTCTATTACACCTCTAGTTTGTAAAGATACTTATCTTTTACTAGTAGCTTAATCTCTTAAAAAGATATCCTAAATTATAATAGTACTATAAAGGTAAAGCTAAAGAGAATAAAAGTTATTATACTTCTATCTTAGAAATTAAAAGCTAATAACTTCTATATTATAAGCTAAAATAATAGTAAAATATAAGAATACAAATTAATAATATATTAAGCTTACTGTAACTAATTTATAACTTATATCTTAATAGTAACATTTATTTAAAATATAATTTATTAGAAGTTATTAAAAAACTAAAGAAATATTAAGTTAACTTTGTATAGTATATACTTAAGATATTAGTAGCTATATTTAATAATTATACTAGAGGACTATATAGCGTATATAATAGTTCTAAACTAGATAGTATTAAAATTACTATAGCTATTACGTTCTATTAGCTTTTACATCTATTTTATCTCTATTAATAATTAGTAAGAAATATAGTAATAAACCTAATATAATTATTACTAGACTACATAATTAATCTAGGAGTTAAGAAGGATATAGTATAGTAAGATTTAAAATATAAGTACTAATATATATTTAGTAACTACTATCTCTTTAGCTATAACCTATTAACAATTGTAGAAGTCTCTATAGTTAGTTTCCTACTTAGTAATAATACTATTACTTTTACTTTTTATCTATTATATAAATACTCTATAGATAGATACCTTTACTATAGTAGATATACTAGTAGTAAGACGTAAGTATAAGGCTATTAAGTTATACTATATTATATTACTATTAAAGTATATTTTTAAGTACTTACTTAGTTCTACTATAGATATTTTCTTTCTAAAGAGTCTAAAAGCTAATAATACTATAACTATATTACTATTCTATTATAACCTTATCTATTACAGCTTTATTACTATTAATATTTTTGTAGAAGAACAACAACAATACTAAGTATAGCGTTTAGAGCTTAGGCCTATTATATTATACTATTAGAATCGCGTGCGATACTATATTACTTTATTACTAATATAGCTACAGCTATATCTATATTAATATTATAAGTACTAGCTATTTCTTCCTCTTAATAAGCCTTACTAGATAACTAAACTATACTAATATCTATTAATACTTTTATTCTTCTATCTCTATTCTTCTACTATCTACTTAGTTATATTTAACTTACCTACGTAAGCTATCTTTAAAGCTTTTTTAATTTATATACGTATACGTAATTAGTTAATTTAATTAGTTTATTTTAAAGAAGGATAAGAGTAAGAATAAGAAGCGCTTATTCCTCTCTAGGCCTTAGGGACAGGGCCTACAGTATTTCTATATTACGTATTATCGCGTTATTGCGTTATTATATAATATTATAGTAGTATTAAGGAAATTTTAAGTAGCTAAGTCTAAAGCTAGAGTTAAAATACTAACTTTTTACTTCTATATAATAAGGTGCTATATAGTTATACTATAATAAAATATACTTATTATTATAGCTATTACTAATACTACCTAGAGACTAAGTAGTAGTAGTATTATTAAGCGTATTATAGTAACTACTCTATTATAAGGGTAAGTACTAGTACTATTATAACTATAATAATAATTACTACTAAGTAGCTATAAATACTTATAGCTTAGTAGTTCTATTATCTAAGTTAACTATATTAGTTATATACTTATATCTCTTTATTATTACTTTCTAAACTATCTAAGTTGCTAAATTAATTATCTACTACGTTATATCTATTTTAGTTTATAGATAATAATATAGATAAAGTTTAGCTAGC